TTTTTTTTTTTTTTTAAATTTTTTTTTTTTTTTTTTTTTTTTTAAAAAAAAAAAAAAAAAAAAACTAAAAAGTCACGTACCCGTAGTTGCCGTACGTTCCTACAGATCTTATCAGCAACGGTTTTCAAATCAAGGGCTTTGTGATTGTAGGCATTGTAGAGAATCTAGGTCAATGAGACTTACCGTACTCAGTAGGAGCTCCATCGTAGTTTTCGTAGCTGACCTGGGATGAGAAAAAGATCAAACATTGGTCATGAAGGGCCGCACCTTGGAATATCATAAGTGCCATAGTTGCCTGAAAATTAGCTAGATCTGGAGTCTAACATGTCTGAGGCCCGTACCGTAGTCGCCTGTCTCCACTTGTCAGACGCAGGTCCTTCAACTTCTCAAACCCAATGGGGAATCTCATACCATATTGAGGCTTGGGCTCAGCCGCTGCTACAGGAGCGGGTTGCGGAGCTGGAGCCGCTTCAGCATCCCGTTTTTCCTTTTTGTAAGCACCGTAGTCGCCATAAGTTCCTGGTGGTTCGTCCTGATTAGCCACAGATATGGGCTGATAAGCAGAAGATCGTAGCGAAAGACAATTGTTTCGCTCATTTCGCATATCTTCTGGTACAAGAACTCACTGTACGAAGATCAGCAAACGCTCAAACAAGACTGGAAAGTTAGGACAGACCCATATTCGGTCGGCGCTCCATTATAATTCTCGTACGAGGGAATGTCATAGGCTGAGCTGAAATCAGTGGACGGGACGCAGGCCGTGACATTAACATATTCGAACCTCCGTAGTCTCCATAGGCTATCTCCTCGTCAACTTTGTTCAGGGTGCTCCATATTGGTTCTTACTTCCATATCCAGGCTTCGCAGCTGCGTCGCGAGCCTTGACATCAATTGGTGCGCAGGAGACGAAGCTGCCGGAACAAGCGACGACGGATACAATAATGCTATGGATATGCATGATGCCGAATGTATGAATATGTATTGACGAGAGAGAAACTCAGAGGAGAAGCTGATCGACCAAGAGTAAACTGGCCGAGAGTACTTTTTGTACCTGCATCTTGGGAGCTCTTTAAGTGCTGACCGCGAACCGGTCATCCGTCCCTCCGACCTTCGTCCAAGATTTTCTTCTTTCCACTGTATTTTTGTAGCAATCCAGTCTTCGCTTCTCGGTTCGGATACGAAGTTTGCTGTTTGCTTCACGGTGCTTGCCGTGTAGCTCACAGGACAAAGCCGGCCAAGCTTTATAGTTCCAGTATTTCTCCGCTATGATTTGATGCCACATGTGAGTTGCCTTGGCGGTTCCGCGCTATAGGGCTGTACGTCAAGGAAAGCTTTATGCCAAGTCGCTTGGAACTGTGCTGCATTTCAGCTCTGTGCCGCGATCTGGATTTCGATGTTTGTCCCCGCTTTGTGACGATTCATACTACGCTTGTCTTTTGCGTTTCTGGTGCTCTGGCAAGTGCACGCATGAGAGGACAGACCATGACTGTATCTTAAACTCATGCAACCAAAGAAAAACTCATTAAATAAGGACAGAAGAATGATGATTGGAGCTTATGGATGCATTTTCAATGTAAACCGGAACCTTAGCAGTACCAAGATTTTATTCGCTTAATGTGCATCCGACATGAACATAGTCTGGCTCTGTCACCATCCAAATTTAGCCTCCCAAGCTGAAAGGTTTGTAGCCGCATATGAACACGCGATCGTCTTCAAGTCTAGACCAATAGTGCATTTAAGCTTGGACCGTCCAAGCTATGGCACCATGTGCGATCCCAATCATGCCGAACTCTACTTTTCTGAATCGATGAATCGAACTTTCTCTGCGTTATCCACATCTTCCTTCTCTTTTCGGCCCCCAAAAGCTCGAATTTGACTATTGTGGAGTCGAGGACTGGAAAATTGAGTTCCCTTGAATTGGCTGGGCTCTGACCGCGTTGAAGTCAGAGTAGACAACCTGGGATTTATTTTCCCACTCTCTCAGTTATCCGCAGTCTTGACGTATACCCTAATGTGGCTTATAAAGAGCAATTCTGCCAGCAGCTACAAGGGTGATGCTGAAGAGTCATTGCTATCATCGGATCGCGATTGGAGCTCGCGTATCCAGGCTCACAAAGGCTGGTCTCCCACCAAGATCGCAGTCTTAGTTGTCTCCCATGTCACTCTGGCCGTTGTTGGGTTACTTTTGGGTATACGTTGGAGCAAAGATCCAATCGCTCTTGCAACACAAGTGACAGCTCGATATTGTGAGTTTCCAGCTCAGGATCGTGTCTCGATACTTACGGCTGTTCACCTTAGCACCGTTTATCAGAGATGTTGGCCTTAAATTCGAAGTCGTAGAATTTAACGGTTCTTTCTTTCATGAGACCGTTTTTCGACAAGATGCTGGACCAGAGGTAGATGCAGCTTGGAGGTCGCTCGGGGTTGATTGTAAGTTTTCGAATACATATTAGTATCTATTGGCGGACTAACCTTCGACTAGATCGAGCATTGAGAGTGCCTGCTGAGGAGTCAGACCCCTCAGGTTTATCATCCGAACAAGTAAAAATCAATTCAAAATATGGAGGTGGCTATCCCGCAAATGTTGAGGGTCTGCATCATTTACATTGCCTGGTAGGTAGCTTTCATCATGTTCGCGGTACGAGGTAATTGGCATTAAGGCGTATCAGAACCTCCTTAGGCAAGCACTGTACTTCAACTTTGAATATTACCACGCCTTAGGCGAAGGCGCATTCAAAAATGACGATCAGATTCTCAAGTCGCACATCAGTAAGTGCTCGGAACTTAGATTGATGTCGTTAACGGTTGAGCAGCTCACTGTCTCGACATTCTTCGCCAGCAATTGATGTGCACTGTGGATGTTGGGATGATGGGTCAGATCTGGTGGGATCCGACGTCTCCAAAGGCATTTGTGGACTTTAATACTAAGCATATTTGCCGCAATTTTGAAGATGTTAGAAAGTGGGCTGAGGCGAGGCAGCTACCAGAAACGCCGCCAGCGGACTTTTTGCAACCTCCCGAGCCTGGACAGTACATTTCCTCAACGATACCGTAAGGATTTGCCTTCTATATGTGAACATGAGGTGATGTATACACACTGTAATGCAAAACAACGCACCACGGACAGATTTTGCAGCGATAGAGAAAAGACGTGGATATCTCTGGGTGTTTCATGGATTCAAGTTTGCCACGTCGATGACAGAAATGCCTTTCAGATTGGGACAAAGCACTAGAATTGCGCTTGTTAATCGAAATACAAAATGCTGGTTAACCAGCTCGTCTGTACCGTTGCTAGCGCAGTGTTCGTGATTGCAAGTGGAGCGAAGTTTGCTCCGACATTAATCCGACGGACCAAATATAAGCGGCAGTTTTCTCGCCAAGGTTTTTATACTGAACGAGCCATTCCTTGTTCTCGCGTCAAAGAGCCATTCAGTTGTTGAAATGATCGGAACGCACGGCAAGGGAATTTGCAAAGTGGACACTTCGGGCCTGGCAGCGTCAGCCATGAAACATCCAGCCTTGGAACTTTGCCGCACCGAACACGCGCTCCGGCAATGACGTATCACAATGGATGTTTCACGCGTTGGTTACGAGGTTATCGACACGACTCAAACCTTTGGAATATCTTCAAAACAAACAATTAATATATATCCTTGAGTGGTACGATCTAATGTAGCACAGATTGAAGCATTCTATTGCTGTGATCGTAACCTTTTGCGGTCGAAAATTTTTCAGCAAAGCCGTTCGTCGACGTCACAGCCAATTTTGGTCTTTGGTACGTAGATCGCCGCGAGAGGCGAATTACACCGAGTGAGGATGACCCACTTCAAGCAGCAATGGCCATATTTTATCACCTGAATTGAACATGTGGATATTCGGAATGTGGGAACCGTTAGATAATCCACAACATTGTCGTCATATCCGGGGATCGCGTGGCCTTCAAAGGAATTCCACGCCCTTATCAGCAAGCCTGGATCTCATCTCCTCTGGACTTAATTAATTTCCAGCATCCAGCCCTATTGAAGTTATAAGACGCGATAAGCTGGCATATACATCTTAAGCATTATTCTTTATGTGTTTTTTTCGATTCTATTCACCATGAATATCTTGAAGAAGATCAAAGCTGGACACAAAGTCTCATCGGACAGCGATGGAAAGACGGACGGAACAATTACGCCAGGTCAGGGCGCTAGTGTAGCTGCAAACGACTCTGGGGAAACGCGAGACCTGGAAAAAGAAGTGGGACATACTCTCGATGATCGTCCAGTGCGACTTTTGACATTGCGAGTCTTTGCAATGGGTATAATTGTTTCGATAGGTGGCATGATTTTTGGCTACGACACAGGTCAAATTTCAGGCTTTCTTGAAATGCCCAATTTTCTAGACAATTTCGGAGACCGCGGAAGCAATGGTCAGTTTTCTTTTTCCAATTGGAAATCTGGTCTGATAGTTGGCTTGGTAAGTATTCTTTTTCTCCCGAAATAAAAAAGGCGATAATGGCTCACACCTGTAGCTATCCATTGGAACGTTATTTGGTGCATTGATTGCAGCACCCGTTGCAGACAAGTTTGGTAGACGTTATAGCATCGTCTTCTGGAATCTCATCTTTTGCGTTGGAGTCATCGTCCAGATCACAACCACAACGGTCTGGTATCAAATAGCTCTCGGCAGATGGGTTGCAGGACTTGGGGTCGGTGGGCTTAGTGTCTTAACCCCGATGTATCAATCTGAGACTGCACCAAAGCAAGTAAGAGGTGCATTAGTATCCTGCTACCAACTGTTTATCACGCTAGGAATCTTCGTTGCATACTGCATCAACTTCGGTACGGAGTCGGAGCGGAGCCGTCGAGCATGGCGATTACCGCTAGGTATCGGCTTCATTTGGCCTGTAATTATGATGGTAGGAATCATGTTTCTGAGAGAGTCTCCTCGCTGGGATTATCGCCATGGCAAAATCGAGGATGCGAAGAAGACCCTAGCTCTGAGTTATGGTGTACCGGAAAACCACAGAGAAGTCGCACGAGAGTTGCGCGAGATTCGCGAGAAACTTGAAATAGAGCAGGCTGGAGGCGGCAAACACAAATTTTACGAAATTTTCACCGGGCCACGCATGCTTTATCGTGTGTTGCTTGGGATTGCTTTGCAGTCGCTCCAACAACTAACCGGTGCCAACTTCTTCTTCTACTGTAAGTTTCACCAGAATCTCTATATGAATGACCACTGAACTTAATTAAGACGGAACGTCAATATTTACCTCAACCGGAATTAACAACAGCTATGTCACATCCATGATCCTTGGGGGCGTAAATTTTGGGACCACGTTCTTTGGCGTAAGTCCCTACATTCTCACGCTGATTCCACTATGTCGCTGACTCCACTAGCTTTATGTTGTTGAACATTTTGGTCGTCGCAAGTCCCTCATATTTGGTGGCCTGTGGATGTTCGTCTGCTTCATGGTCTTCGCGTCTGTTGGCCACTTCAGTCTTGATCAGCAAAACCCACAGAACACGCCCGGTGCGGGGACTGCCATGATTGTGTTTGCATGTCTCTTCATCGCAGCTTTTGCCATGACCTGGGGTCCCATCATCTGGGCCATTGTAGGAGAACTTTATCCCACGCGTTACCGTGCAGCGTGCATGGGGATTGCAACAGCAGCAAACTGGATATGGAACTTCTTGATATCCTTTTTCACGCCATTCATTACCGGTGCTATCGACTACCGTTACGGCTACGTTTTTGCGTCATGCTGTTTCTTGGGTGCTGTGGTCGTTTACCTGTTTCTTTGCGAAAGTCAGGGCAAGAGCTTGGAAGAAATTGACACAATGTACATCTTGCATGTCAAGCCGCGAGAAAGTTCGTCATGGATGCCACCAGAGGGGGAAGACCTAGTCACGGCTGATAGACTTGCTCTGACCCCTGGCGCACGAGACATTCGCAAAGAACGACCTAGTGACCAGAGAATGGGTTCTGTGTACAACGAACATGCTCAATAACGACGAACATGTACTACGGCTTAATGACATGGAACAGTTTTTCATATGGATCATATACGAACTAGACCATTGCCTTATTGCTTAGTTGGAGCCAAATACAGTTTTGAATCATTGATCAATCTTCATTGAGGTTTGAGTTTCTATCACTTTGCTGATTGTATCTCTCTCCGTCTTCGCCATTTGCCAAGCGATTGTACGGAGTTGCATATGTACGTAGGACTGTTCCGTCTTAGCCCCTAATAACTGGATGTCGCTGGCAGTCTTGACAGCGCGTGAGTGCTTGAAGGTACGGATAGCGTACGTTGGGGCATTGTGCTGGCCAGATTTGGCCTTTGCAGATTGTGACAGCCGTATCGACCCTGCAGCCGCAAGTATAGATTATCCTCGCTATTTCGCACATTTTCAGAAGGAAGTTGTTGAGTGTTTCTGTTGATGTAGTCGAGTATTGTTAGAGCAGTTTTTGGCCCTCGATCATGGAGAATCCATCCTCAATATATACTCGAGTGGATTGACTCAACATGATTCACTACATGATGTTTCACCAAAGTTGATTTCACAGGATTAGTCTGTGACGTATAAGAGATACCATTCTGCTCGCTCAACTGACCTGAATTTCGAGATATTGGTCACGAGTACCAGTGATAACTAGACCTGGACTAATTCATCGTGAAAAACACGGTAATATCATGCAACAGTTGCTTTCTAGCGGATGCTGATCGTGCACGTGTCTCTCTTCATTCAATATCGTTACCTTTATATGCTACCTTAGATTGGGTTACAGCGCTGAAAGAGATGGTTGAATCTCTCGGTCTTTACTTCACGTGAAGTTCTTGGAGTATTTCACTTGAAGCAATTTTGTGACGGAAATAGAATGACAGTCACATCCGCAATGCCAAAAACACTGATAAAGCTAAAGAGAGCAGAAGTGTATGTTAAAGAATGAATATTAGACTCTATAAAGATATCGCTAAGAAAGGCAAGCATATCATTAGTCTTGACTTAATTAATATTAACGTCTATCCAAAGATGCCGTCGATATCTTTTAAAACATCTGAATCATCACAGAATAAGCTATTAAGTTAGCAAATTGACAGATTGATGAAGACGAAGCATCGCGCTATCCAGGCTTATAAGAGTTCTTCTTGTCCGTGGACTTGTTGCTGGATCCTGTTCGAATTGTTACCCCAGCAGTGATTTGATGAGCTCTCTTTTTGATCTCTGCTATGTCATCCACATCAGTTAGACTCTTGCCCTCGAATGATTGTGATAATTCCGAGTGCAAGGAGCTCAATTCTTGCTCTATGTCCAGGATCTTGGCTATCATGTTGATGACGGTGCAAAGTCTTTCAAAGTGTTTGGGAAGTTACAGATCGTGCGCGTTTTTGACGAACTTGTAAGCTTTCTACCTTTGGTCTCCATCTCCGGACGGTGCAAAAATTAACCCAGAAATCAGATGTCGATAAATCTGTATATCGGCTCTGTTGAGAAAGAGATAATGACCATAAATTCTCACTTGCCGTTCATCATGCGATAGTGAAAGTCTGTTGATCTCGCGGTACAATTCTTGCTCTCGCCCAGCTAGTTGGAAAAAGCTTTACAAAGCCCTAGTAAAACACGGACTAACAAGGGGCGTTCTTTCGTTGGGCAACATCTAGTTCACCATTTCCGCACTTGACCTCACAGGTAAGAAATGGAAAAAGACATTTGAAGTGTAGCTGAGAACAATTATGAATCAGTAAGAAGTTTCCAAGATACGGTTGTAGCATTCGCAGCTGCTCCTGATCAAATACATCTTGGTCAAATGCCTATGTAAAGTCAGGCTGTGGTCGGGGTCCGCGACGGGAGGAACCAGTGCCACAAGGGTTGATGATTGGGATGGAGAACTCCCAGTACACGTTGTTGCCTTCTCTAACAATAGAAATATGTCCAATTTCTTGATCGGTGAGTAGTTTTGCTGCAGGTACAATAACCTCGGAGAGACGGAGAACGACCTTTGTCTCGTTCTCGCCCTTTAACCGTCTGCCCGTCGTTTTTAACTAGATTGTCATCAGAGAAAAGAGTGTCATTAGGAATCGATTGATATCCATTTAGCAGCTTTTGGCAAAGCTCTTTACCTTGTGGAGTAGTACCAAGCTCGTGGTCATCTAAGATGCTACCGCATTTCTTCAATTGCCTCTCAAATAGTTGACGTCTAAACGGGGCACTCTTTCGCTCTCGCGATGCGCTACCACCCAAGGATGAGCTCGAAGCCATCGATCCCCTTAAGATTTTACAGCTCGGGGATCGCCTTTTTGCTTGCGCATCTTCGACAATCGGAATCGATCCATCAACTGGTCTTCTGTAGACGACCAGATTCCTTTTTGGATCCACCAAGTAAGACGAGCTTCTTGAAGTGATACTATCTGGTTTATCAACCGGTGTCTCTAATAGTTTAAAAGAAGGTTCCGGCGATGTGTGCGAGAGGCCAGCTTGTGATCCTTTAGCCTTTCTTTCCTCAATCTGCTCTGTATGAGAGTATTTTTGGCTCTGGATATGCTCCATGGCCAAGATTCAAAACATCGGGGACGCTTGCTCGGACCGTCTCGATTTCGCGGAAGGGGGATCGAGAGCGTTTTACGTCACTCTCTGGGCGGCACTTCTACCTGGGCTTCACTAAACGAGGAAATCTATTCCCTCTAAGGTACGCCCACTAGTCCGTCTACCCTTCGTTGGCTGCTCAATGAATGTACGTTGTTCAACGTTTCGAGCTCGTTTTCTCGTCTGAATAGTTCGTTTTGGACTCTGTCATGAACTGTGTCAAATATATTGACTCCAGGAGAATAAGCTTGTGCTTGATTACCTCCTCCTTCTTTTTTGAATGCTGCTCAGTTATCTGGAGCTCCCTTCTTTGGATTTCGGGCTATTTAATGGCAGTGGAAAACGATAGTGGGAATTAACGTTCAAGTATTTTCTCAGTAAAGTATATCGAAAGGATGGAACTCGCACATACAGGTTGAAACAAAAAACTCAAGAAAACTCATACCATGTAAGTCTGGTAACACTGTCATAAATCGTTGTTGCGCGCAGAGGATCTCCTCGTGATTGAAACCCTCTTTAAGAAAGAATACTGTTACAAATATCAGAAACTAAGACGCCGGTGTGTTGCTAATATCCTCTAGTATGAAATATTCACTGGTCGGGATGATCCTGTATACCACCAGTATAGAGAGGACTCCAGTACCAAGAGACTGTCTACTGAACTTAGGACAACCTGCTACGAAAGCTGCTTTAGGAGCACCAAATACTTGCCAGAGAATTGCCATCTCAAGAGGACTTAGGGTTGAAAATAGCAAACCTGGACTCCTACAGCATTTTGATGTGATGTCTTCTAGCCGTGAACATCATCTTCTAGAATACGCGTTTACATTTGATGCATCCACCATGGCATGTTTAAGAATTTCCAAGCCCAGAGAACTTCGTCAGCACACATTTATTGAATATACTACATAAGGACCAGTCTCAGTAAAGGGAGGCCCGGTTGGTCTCTGCTCTTCTGATGATAAATATAATAACTCGTACAAGGCTCAATATTTAACTTTAACGTGCGAGGGTCCTATGCCTTGATGGTAATAACGTTGCTAACAAAGTCGAAACTCAAAACTCCAGTTCCACCGCCCATCTTTTGCAAATTGCTGTATCCTATGTCGGCTACATTTGCCTGCCAGACGGCTTTCCAAGTTCCCTTCGCTCTAACTTCATAAAGTCGGCCTTGCTCAAGTTGCACCCCAGGTCCATCAAGTACTAATTCCTTTGCAATTGCACGACGCGGTTCGATCTCTAGAAACGCTTCCTTTGGCGGCGGAAGTTTCCGGTTTAATTTGAGACCCAGGGACGGAAGAACGTGACCACTTTGCAAATCTTTGATCTCAAAAAGGCCCAACTGAAGTGCCTTATCATCGAAGGGCGTATCCCATGTAAGCAAAGTCACGGTGGTCGACTCGTGAAGATTTGTGGCTACAACCATGATGGTTGGAGGAAAAGTTTTGTGGTCAGATTCCTTGAGTTCGAGAGTAAGATGGGCTTGTGAGATGTGAGGATCGAGAGCTTTCTGAGGAGGGTTGCCAGCCATGTTTCGAATTGAGGCTGCCAAGGGTGACTCGCTAACATAGAGGAATAGAACAATCAAGCTGGTGATTAAGGTGGCAGCTAAGATTGTACGCATTTGGGATACCGGACGGAAGTAGGACATCCGAAGCCTTTTGTACACATAAGGAAGGTTGTTGCCTTCGGTCATCGCTGACATCTAAGAAGGAAGTATCAGCACTGGCTGGCGATATGTGGTTGCATGAGGCCATGCTGGAGTAACCATCGTGGAGTTGCCGCTCCCTGTACATGGGATGTGCGCAATTTCAGATGCAGGCCAGGGGTCGCTCCCACGCCAAGATAAGCGAAAAGCCTATGCTCTGTAGCTACTTTTGACCTCCTGCTGGCCTGCTTACATTGTCCAGACAATTCTAACGTTCTCATAAAGAGTTCTACTGCATCTGAATCAAATGCCGTGGCCTCAGCAGTGCGCTGAAGAGAAGGGTGAGAGAAACACGTGTTTCTGTCACAAGCTTGAGGTCGCACACACTGACCTCTACTGAACAACGCTGTACCCAGAAAGCATCCGTGCAGCCAGATGTCGATCCGCTAGAAAACGTGGGTCGCGTGGAACAAGCAAGTGATCCGTCAATACAAGGTTGAGATGATCGAATTTGACATGAGACTGTAGCGATTTCTGACTTGGCCAGTGAGAGAATGCGAAATGCTCGAGAATGCTTGGCCGTCAGGGCGGAAACAAGCTTGCCAAGACATCGCTTGGACCCGATCCATTTCAACCTCCTTCTTTTGATCAAGTCCGTTGATTGACCCGTGACGAACAAGGCTTTGTGACTTTAGTTTCTAAGCATCTTGCTGAAATCATCCGGACCTATGGCATTTCAACATTCTCTACCGTAGACGCAGTGAATGTTAACCATTCAGTGCTTGCAAAAGAAACAAATGAGGACGATGCGGCCCAGTGTTCAGACTCTGTACCCTATCTGTAGAAGCAGCTGAACGGACGAATTTTTCCCCATGTATCGGCAGTCCTCGACTCTAGGAAGGGTAGGACCATGTAGGACCTCGTTTTCATGAGCTGCATTCCAAAGCTACTACATAGTGCGCAGCGGACTGTTTCCTCGGCAGATGGTGTCTTGCACTAGCAAGCCCAAGCTCAAGTCTATCTGAAGACGGAACTCGTGCGAAATACTCCCAAGACTTTGCCCCACCAATGACCGTCTTTTTTTGTCCTCTTCATCAGATCTACCGTTTCATGAGACCCGAATTTAAGGAAACGAGCAGCTTGTACTGACGACGTGTATATCTCTGTTATGCATGAATTCTCTTTGCTTTCTAGGCGCGCTAGATCGATGCAATGTTCCAGTAAAGATCAGCAAGTAAGTCATGAGGCCATCAAAGGAGATTCCAAACTTAATCATTTGCCCGACACTCCTGCCAATTTGGGATCACATCAACAGATAACACTCCCTGACCTGCGTTGCTACTCGCAGTGATTGTCTTCTAACGTGAGAATACATGTCTTGTCACTTTCCTTAGAAGGACTGGCGGCAGAGAATCCGCGGCCTCCATCTGATACTTACCTTGCTAATCCCACTCGAGATCAGCTACAACTCTGCCTCCAGGTGCCACGAAACCGAGAGAACAAGATGTATAAATTTAAGTCTTTACTCTTCTCCCTCTCCCGACTTCATCAGAGTACAAGATTCCCTGACTTGAATTTACTTGTTCATTGAGTCAGCTGCCTAAAACTTTCATGATGCACTTCATCAGTTTGTTTGCTTTTTCAGTAGCTTTGGCGAATGCCGCTGCTGTTCCCCGTGACGCAACTGAACTAGACGTTGTGCTCACATCAGTTGGAAACACAATGGTGAAGGCTGTAATCACAAACAAGAACTTAAATGCTGTTCAGCTACTCAACAAAGGCACTATCCTTGATCCTGGACATGTCGAGAAAGTATCGATTAGTTCTGATGCTGGTACTGTTCCATTCACGGGTATGCGCAAGCGTATCGCATATTCTGGGCTTCAAGCAGATGCTTTTACTCCATTGGCCTCTGGGGAAAGCGTAGAACTCACGATAGATATGGCCTCTGTTCACGATCTTAGCACTGGGGGAACATTCAAAGTTTCGAGCTTCGGTGCGATTCCATATATTGAAATGAATTCTACGACACTGGTACGTGTAAACTACATCCGTTTGATCTTCATGAGAGCAACCAGGACCTCGGTGCTATACTGGTGGGTGCTGATTCCTTCCAGATACCTAACCGCGCGCTGGTATATAACAGCAATGAGCTGGAGGTTACTGTTGATGGCGCTGAAGCTGCTAAAGTCGCACATGCATTCAGCCACATCAAACGGACTAAACTTCAGAGTAACACTTGCACGTCCACCCAAAGGAGCAGCATGACCTCTGCATTGAGATACTGCCAGCAACTTGCGTCTGCAGCAGCCACTGCAGCTCAATCTGGATCTGCTTCCAAGTAAGCACTCGATTTTCCTTAGAAAATTATTTATGTTTTTCTTTGCTCTTTTGATAGAGACGATGGTTGAATAGCGGTCTTGTTTATATCAGCATATCACCAGTCTCAATCGTGAAGCTTATTCATCTCAATCAGGTTTAGAGAATACTTCAAGACAACTTCATCTTCTACACGTGCCGTTGTTGCTGCTCGTCTCAATGCTGTTGCTGTCGAATGCGCGAGTACCACTTCCGGCAAGACAACATCTTACTGTGAGGACATCTATAACGGTTGTGATTCCGGCGTCTTGGCATACACGCTTCCGTCTACGAATGAGGTCGTTAGCTGTCCATTGTATTTCAGCGCTCTCCCAGTTCTCACCCAGCAATGCCATGCTCAGGATCAGGCCACGACCACTCTGCACGAGTTCACACACGCACCCGCTGTCTATTCTCCTGGCACAGAGGATAATGGCTATGGTTACGCCGCGGCAACCGCTCTCAGTGCCAATGCAGCACTTAACAATGCTGATACGTACGCCTTGTATGCCAATGGTGAGTTGAGACCGACATCAATATACTACAAATCGTTAACTTTATTATAGCAATTTATGTCGGATGCTAAGCCTCCCATAAATACAGATTTGAAAGAATGAACTTTCCCATGGTCGAATTTCCTTTAATACTTCTGAACATGCAAGGTGAACATTTAAAGGAACCTTTCGGTGTTCCTTCTTGTACCTAAATTTTTTATTTCATAGTCCATCGTTTCAAGATAAGAATGTCAGCTGTCAAGCCATAGTGTCCCAGTTTTTACTTCAGTCTTAGTTGGTCCTAAATTCCTCTAGGTCCTGCAACGATATGGTTCGCAGGGCAGATTGATCCGTGGATTCTAATCTCACCCTGAATGAGCAGTTAGTGCATATGCTTATAAGGAAATGTGAAACAAACTTTGGTACTCCATTTCTACTGATCCGTCCTGCACGAAATGCATCCAGCGCCTCCTTCCATCTACTCGCGCAGAGGCACCACTTGCAACCTTCAGATAGGCCAACGACCCTAAGGTCATTACCCCGACTTGCCGTGAAGTCTAGGAATTCTTCAGAAACCACCCCTATGATCGTATTAGCATACCACCATGCATGAGCTCATGAAGGTCCTGACCCGCGACACTGTGGTTGCCAAAATCGCCAGCGGTAACTCGACAGAACCCGTCGCGGTTGAAGCCCGTTAATGGCTGGCGACTAAAGAGCTGCAACGTTGTGCCCAAGACGTTTTTGTAGGATTCATTTCGTGGATCATTTATGTCGCCTGTGCCCACCGCCATTTCGCAAGATGAAGTTGTAGAAGATTGTAGACTGTCTTCGAACACAGGGGTGGTCATCGACGAACTGCTAAATACCTGTCATTGGCGCACGACTCATCCTAGTATAGCTGGTTGCGCAGGCGGGGCATTGACATTCCCAAAGAGCTTTTTGTCTCCGTACGCGAGCCTCCCTCGTTGAAAACAATGTTGTTTCTAGGGGAAAAAAAGTGACTTACAGCCCGTCCGCGTTCCTCTTTATGAGATCAGTGATGTGCGAAATTTTCAAGAGGCAAATTTGCAAATTATAGATCTGTACACGCTGCGTCGAGAGACTAGGACCATTTTCAACTGTGTATATCAAGTCAATAGCAGAGTAGATGCCCGAAACTTCAAACACTATGTACTAGCACCCGGCACTTGGATTGAAACACATTAATAGCTAAATGAGCGTGAATTCTGAGTTTGCCGCTCGTTGCTAGGCAGGACGATTCGTTAAATGTTGATTTTTCGCAGATGCTTCGACAATGATAATGAAGCTGGGAGACTTGATATTTGATCGCTTTATCCTTTTGGTGGTGCACTCACACGCTACCCATGTATTTCTTCAACTATGGCCAACGTGGTTCAGAATCCTTGCTGCGATGAATTTTCCAGGATTCAAAGAAAAGGGAAAAAAATGTGAGATATGCTTAAAATAAATAATTGATTTGAATATTATTATAAAAAAATGTCAAAGACTGATCAAAAATCAGGAGGCGTAACTCAGGGTGCGTGATTATCACATCAATAAGAAATCGGAATGCAACATACTAACAAGCAATACAGGGTAGAGTGTGAGATTGCAGTTTACTGAAAATCTTGATGTCCATGGTTCAAATCCGTGCGTCTCCTTCTTTTTCCTCCTTTCGAAAAGAAACACGTGCCTTTTGGGAGATGCCTGAGGTGCTCTGCCTTACTTTTGCTGAACAAATGACACTATCTTTTGCAGCAGCGTGATTCTTTTTTTTTTGTGAAATAATTTAGAAATAAATCCACGTTCATCCCTGCCTAGAAATACTTTAAACTTAGCCTCCCCGTGTCTTGAAGACTTAAAATATGGAGTAGCTGGATGATTGTATTTTTTAACTTGTTGTATACCAATATCAACGTGACTTTTTGGTCGATCCCGCTTACTGCGGTTCCATGGGATACTGTCTCAGTTTCTTGAATGTAGGTCACAACTTTTTCACTCAATTATTCACTTTTGTAAATCTTAAAGTTGCGAATATATGAACCTGCGTATGAGATAGAGAACAGCGTCTGGAAATCTAGACAAATGAGACTGTGAAAATCAATGAAAACTTTCGTTGCAGAAATGTCTTCGGGAGCGTAGGAACAAAATTCGCCAGGTGATCTTAACATATGAGATGGTTGGAGTAGCTAAATCGATAAGCAGCGTAGAAAGCAACGCAAAGTAGTTAAGCTGAAAATCCGATTAGATTCCAGGGTCAGCTTGAGGATTGCTACGACTTGCCAACGAGCGCAAGCAACAGCGAAGATGGACAAGCGCCGGCCATTTGGAGACTGGGCAAGGAAGTGGGCTTGCAAATGAGAGCCGGATGATCTTGATAGTCATTTCTCAAGTTCCTATCCATCTCTGGCAAATGCATGTCTTGACAGTCAACATCGCTTGCATGTAAAGATCGAATGCTCCATTTGACCAGTAACATGCAGTACATCTAATGACGCGTAAAGGCACACGACGATCCCAGGAATTGGTCAGTCAATATCTCTTGAGTACTCAAATTGCCTGAGGCCAAATCTGTTCGTGATGAAATCTGGAGCCTACGCGGCTCAATTCTATGGTGTATCGTGAGGAGAATAGTCGTGAAAAAAATTCCCCTGCAAGAGACTCATTACTGCCAATCGAAAACACACGATAAGACCCTCATTCGAGCGGCCGATCTTCTTGGTCCGCGCCTTCTAGCAACACGTATTCTAGGATATCGCTCAAGGTCAATACCCCCTGCAACCTTGCATTCTCATCGATTACGACTAGCCGATGGACGCGTGATCGTCTGATTGTGTCGAATATTGTATCCAATCGATCCCACATGGAGCACGTGTATATGCCTGCGAAATCCTAGAAGATCATTAGCTCAGTTCGAGGCATTTTGGGCGCTGGAATGAGAACGGCGTACATCAGATCTTTTCAGAAGCGCTTCGCCCACTGTAAGATTCAATTCATCGTAGACGCCGCCTTTGATCAATGCAATCACATCTACCGCCTCGAAAACATTGATCACGGCACCTTCTTTGTCCAGGATAGGAACGCTCGATATGTTCTTTTCAAAGAGAATGTGGATCACATCTATGACCGGTGTCTCCATCGACGCTGTCGCGATGCCCTCGTACGTCCCGATTTTGAGCTCTTTCAGCGGCTTCTTCAGTTTCTGGGTCTCTTTGACATTTACAGCCACAAACTTTAGAATCCTATACTGCGTGACAACGCTGACTACCATTGCACGCTTTGTTTCGTCATCTATATCGACCAGCGGTATCCTCCTTGCTCTCGATGTCACCATCATCCGACATGCTTCGTAGAGTGGCCGTTCTGGATGTATCGAAACCGTCTCGATCTGGGGTGCGCCTATCGCCTTTTCTATATCTCGCAGCGAGTTCAGTGTAAACTGATCTATGAGGTGTAGCTGGTCCGGGTTTTGCCAATAGTACTGTATTACGTTTATGTAGTCGGAGGTCGTGAGCAATCCCGCAAAGGTGGACGTCTTGCTATCCCACAAGGGCGCAGAGACAATGCCTAATACGCGAAAAAACAGTCAGCACCGTGCGTGTCGCTAGTGAGAGCGTGGCGTCGAGTAACAGTACCATTTTGAATCAGTATGTTCAGGCTCTTCTTGACGAGCAAGGCCGTGTCGAAGACAATTAGGCGAAAGCTCAAGGGCAGGACGTCGTAACTGGTCCTGACCTTCAGGAACGCTCGTATAGCTCTCAAGCCCTCGATTTGTTCCCTGTCGATGACGCTCAGAGGGGCCTTGGGCTGCTCCATGGAGCCTTTCGGGTGCAGGTGTGCAATGATCGGAGACACAGCATGCCGTACCGGCGTCGTCCGCCGCAAACCAACTCCCAGAAAGTCACTCGGGGCGACTATCGGCGGGACTACCGGCGGTACGTGTGGCGCAAGGGCAGGTTGAGCGGCTGGGTCGTACGGGTGTTGTACAGGCTGTCCAGGCGCGTGACTTGCACTCATGGGGGCCTCCGTAGCCGCTCCAGAAGTGGATGTGGACGTGGAGATTTCAGGCCGTCCTCGTGATGAGCCTTGATGTCGCCCCGCACTCACGACCGATGCCTCGTCCGAATTGGGCGCTCGCGCTGGTGGCGGCGTGGGCGTGGGCGAGGTCAGGTGTTGCGCTTCGTTGGTTGGCTGTTGCGCCTCTGAGCCAGACATGGCGGTGAGACTCTTAGAGATGCGTCCACATGGAGAGAGAGCAAAGGGCACTGGCAAGGCTGCCGCTCACATAGGCTGCTCCTCGAGACGTTTCGCCCGTTGGCTGGCGTAGGTGATGATTTCAAGTCTTCCTTGCGGAGGGAAGTCTTTCGCTATCGTGTGCTGGGGGCCCAGCCAGCTTTGATACAGAATGTGGGGACACCTCGCTGCGATCTTCCGCTGCTCAGGAAAATTAAGGTTCCGTAGTCCTGATTAGCCGCTGCAGAGTGTGGGCTTTCTCGCGAAGACCCTGCCTGTGATTGGTTCGCCTGCGGCACATCATCGATGACATTCGTCGATCCTCAGAAGCTCACAGCAATCATGGAAATCTCCATGGTTCTACGACGTGCAAATTGCTGCCTTGCCGACCGCGTCGAGCCTCCATTTCCATTTTTTTTGTCTCTCGTTGTTCTTGATTTCTGGCTCTTCGATCTGTTTACAGCACATATTCCACCTCTGATTCGCCATGCCTCGGTTACAGCTCCCAAAGTCTTCGTTGCATGTCCGGGCAAAGGTGTGCTTAGCTATCGAACAATGAAAATACGATGACGTTGAACATTGCCCGTGAGCCCCCTTTGCTGAGATGTGTTCTATGGTCTTGGGTCTGACAATGCTTGTCAACGACGACAATGCTCGAAAATGATTCTACAACATCACCCGAGTACAAGCTCATGAAAAGCTAATTATCATTCTCTGACAGATTCATGTCATATAGCAAACATTCTGCAACAGACCTGACCTGGACCCGCAACAGCATTTTTATGGCGCGGTTCTGCCATCATGATTGCTCAACAACTCTTTGCTTCCATCCTCCGATCTGCTTCAGGCGTACACCTTCAGACGCAGCTGCCTAACGCCGTCGACAAAGCGTTGGTGTTCCTCATTATTTGGAGCTGTTCTTTGAAAAAATGACTGATTCATCATCATGAAACGCCGTGTGTACGTTCCTACGAGCGCTGAGGCCAGAGAACTGATCCGGATTTCAACTTCCAACCGCGAATTTCTGTGCTTCTCCAAATGACGTAGTATTCGACCCTATGAAGAGTCCAGGCATTGAACTGGGCGTTCTGTGTCAATGATGACATGTTCAATCCATCCCAGATGCTCTAATAAGATAGACATGAGCTGCTTTCCGACACTGGGCCGACCTTCATAGTCCGGCTGCCACGATATTTGCTCGGAATGTGTATTTTCCATCGGTCCATGGAGCAAGAAGCGGTTGTGCCTCCAAAACAGACGCAGTGCCTCTTCTCTGATCGACTTGTTTACCCTAAAGATGGGGTCGAATCGGTATACACAACAATAACCGGTTGAGAGGGATTCCCCGTCGTTACAGCGCCAGTCAGAGTCAGCCGAGACTAGAAAGCCGCGACATCGTCCACAACAGCGTTTTGAATGGAGCCGAGAGAATGTAGAATGCTTCAGGAGCATGATTTCTGAGGGGTCTGTGACAGCATATTTGATCACAATTATTTGCAACTCCATCGGCAATTTTGTGAAAGGAGAGCAAGCACCTTGGCGCTGGGGTGACTGGGACGACATTTGAGTGGCTTGAAGGTGCTCTCGGTAAGCCTTCAGCACCATATCCTCGAGAAGACTCCGACCGCCTAATGGCATGCTCTGAGTGTAGTCTACGCGGAAACTTCTGTAAACAACGAAATCAAACGTGACGCTAGCTTTTGTTTTTGATTCGAGGACCGACATATTGACACAATATATCTAGGCGCCGGCGAGCTTCTTCGAATCGCTTGCTAAGCCCATGTATGGGGCGTACCTCTTAGAGCACTAATCAAGGGTAGCCCAGTTCGCTTGCTGGCAGATGGGAACCACGTTCAAGCCACGTCTGCCTCCCTGGGCTAATCTTAGGGCCATACGATGGATGGAATATAATTTGAGCGTCCAAAATGTTGACGAAATCAACGCCTTGAAGGGATTCCTCCACTACGCCTCCAGTACTCAGCTCTCTGATCTCGTACGCCCATCGAGAACTTCGTTGCCCTTGATAGAAGAAGAGCTTGACTGTGATCTCAGACAGGCTTCGTTGTTTAGAACAGCGTGGCGCCATCCACACAGAATTGAGAGGACCTTTTTAGATGTTGCAGTCTTAGTAAACGAGCAAATCCACTTGGCCGGGACAGATATGTGCCAGACCTAGTCTTGCTGATCAACAATCTTCGTGTTTGCAAGTTTGGTCGTCTTTACGAGTTTCTAAGACTAGAGATGACCATGTGTATGTTTACATATCAACGTTTTCCTTACCACTTAACAACATAAAACGACAGAAAATGCTCGGAAGATTATGAACCTGTTATTTCTTCTCGAATGTTACGTCGGCAGAACTGCAACAAATGGCGTGCTGAAGCACTAAGGGATCCTTCTCCAAGTCTGCTCTTTCAATTGGTCGCCTTGGGTTAACGCCCAGTTCAAGTCTTCTGTCCCATTCCGAATCTCCTATCGGCCTGATCAGCCATGGAAACAAATTACAATTAAGGGCGATATTCTCTACTGCATGTAGAAATTTGATTTTTTTTTTTTAAAGTCCAGCTTGATGTGCAATTCAAAGGCTCTGTATGTGTTACCACCACACACTCAACGCGCTTGTTTTGTGTCAAAGTAAGAGTTCTATCAAAAGTGACTGGCAAAAGTTCTCTCAAGCCTTGATGATCATCTCAACGAGACGCCCTCAGATATTCTTAACCTAAGTCTGTCTTCGCACGTTTCTATAATTTTTCTGAGAAATGGACAGTCCAGCCGTCCCTGTACGTGGAGTTGGGAAGATGACCGCTTTGCTTTCATGGGCGGCTTCAAGATCGGCTGCAAATGCACATTTGCCAACTGCGAGTTGGGGAGATCCAGGCCTATAAAGCTGTGCATTATGGCAACAATCACCGCCTGTTAGTTGCCCTCACAAATATTCGACCACATCACAGATACCATGTGAATCACAGCCACACTTCTCAATGAACACTTCAAGACATAGATCAGTATGTTTTTAAAGAGGGGCCTCTGAGAGAGCGAGTAGCGCACGACTTCCAGCCACGGTTGGAAAACGAAAGAAGATCGATCCCGAGCGTCAGAACGAAGAGGGGCTCCTATCTTGTTGCTCGTGGTGCAAGGATTGTATGGGCTCTCTCGTCAGCTTGTTCTGATCTCTGTTACGGCCAGACGTACATAAGCGACCTTTCCGCAGTAAAAACAGCCTGGAATTGCATTTGTTGGCCACGAAGAATTCTGATCCTGTAACTGAAATGGCAAGCTTGGTCCTGGATGTTGGATGTTATTTGCTACGGACCGGCTCTCTCTCTCTGTCGCGTTGGTACAACCATCACACCTTCAAAGGATCTTCTTCGAGACAAATCTGTCGCTTCGGAGGACGACGGCATTCGATAGATCGGCTGGGTAGTTTTTGGTGGATGCAGTGTATGAATTCATGCAGCTATGGGCCAGAGACATCTTCTTTAATCCGTTGTTGGAGTAGATTTGCCCGGTCACTGGGGTTCTGTCATCAAGACTACTCGTCTCTCATTTCTGTCTTCTTCAGCTCTTTGCCGTTGGAGTTTAATATCCTTGTCAAGATCTGACCCACCCATAAAATGACTGCAGAGTTCCAAGTCCTTGTGGACGCTGGATAATCCTCTTCGTCTGTCCACCCCCTTCTTCGCCAATGCATATCCGCCCGCAAAGGCGTGGAAACACCACTACTATCACGGTTTTGATAGAACCTGCGCATTTCATTCCGACGGAAGCGAACTGGATTATCAGTGCTCTGCAAGCCAGCTGTCACGGTTCGGATGCCGTGCTAGTGAACGATATCACGATAGGCATCACAACCGAGGACGCTATGGGTAGAGGAGAACAATTCGTATTCGCGGAACTATATGTCTTTCAAACTCCCGCTCTCAAGAATGAGGAATACAGCTTCCCAGTTGAGCAAAACATGGACCGAAGAAGAACTTGGCAAAAGAACGAGGAGGAACAAAGAGCTTCCCAATCCTTCATAACGCATGCCTCTTTACTCTTGCTCGCGCCCGTGTGTGTGTGCATGTTACAGAGACCAAAAAAAGAGCAAAGAGCATGTTTAGAGAAAGCGAGAGCGTGCCTTCTCATGGTCATTCGTGCCAAGAAAGGAAAAATTCGCAATTGCAAGATGATGAAGATGCAGCGCACGCCATGGATGCGAAAGCCTCCACATTCTCAGTCTCTTCCACTTCCTTCTCTTGATATTGCTTCCTCCCATTTGCCCTTCGCAGGTAGTAGGAGAAGATGAGAAAAAAAAATGTCAAGTGCAAACAGTAGTATAACTCCTTTTGGTTAACCTTTGGCCGACCCCATTTTGGCATTTCGAGCGTCTGATCATCGATCGCGCCTTCTGCTTGAAGGTGATAAAGAACCGGGGTCGCTAGCATCCTTGCGATGTCTCCTCCTTCTTCTTTTTCGCCTCCTCCAATGCGTCAACGTTTAGCTCCGTGACTTCCCCTTGTACACCGCCGTCCTGTGTCTTCTCCGCTTCCTGCTCATCAACTGCATTCGGCGTGGGCTGCGGAACCATGCCTTCCTCCTGCAGCTTCTTCACCGAGCTAACAATTGCGTCTGCTTCGCTCATGGTGCCTTTGAGCGTCTCCGGATCCCCCTCAACCCCGATGTTATGATTCTCACGCTGTCGTTTGAGAGCTTTATTGTCGAAACGAATCACCATACAAGACAAGTTGTCCGTAGAGAATCGGGCAAGGGCGTGGTCGACAAGGATTTTGGATGCAACTTGTGGATCGGTAGTAGAGCGGATGAGATCGACAGCTTCTTGATCGGTACACACATCCCAGAGCTAGTCATTTCAGTCAGTTCGCGATCATTGTAACGTCAGCGTGACTGTAAAAAGAGAACTTACACCGTCGCATGCTAGGATCAGGAACTCGTCCTGGTCTGGCTGAATGACTGTTTCGGTCGTATATGGATGCCCAGTAACCAAGTCCTTCATGTACGCATCGCCCAACGCTCTCGTGACGGCCAGGACCCCATTGACACGGTTGTTGAGGATCAGTCCTCCAGCGTTCGCTACACGTCGGCCTTCCGATTCATCGCTACCCTTGTGATCGTATGATAACCTGAGGGCTCTGCCATTTCTGCAAAGCACTATCCTGGCGTCACCTACATTGGCAGTATACAAAACGCGTTGCCTTGTGGCATGCTGAACAAGCGGTGCAACGCTGTTAGCTTCGCTATTTGCCCCTGCCGCCGCATCTTGGGTGTCCTTGTCCTTTCCCTCGACCTGCAAGCCCTTCAGGGCAGCTGAGTTGATGTATGTCGAACCGGTCGCTGAGGCAGCATTCGGAACCCGATCTTCCCATCTCAGGACGGCAATGACTGCAGTGCAACCACTGTTCTTCAATGGCAGCTTCTCCAACTGCTGATCGACGGATGTGAAGGTCTGGTCTAGAAGTTCGGGCACTGGTGTGTTGGGGTTCTTGCGTATCATATCTTCCAGAATGTGATGCAGCTTTTTCCCACACCAGTCTGCAGCAAAAGTACCCGCATGCCCGTCAAAGATGGCGAAATACCCGTTGTCCGTCTCGGCGACACCTTTCTCAGACGGATCGGAGGATGCGGACTCAGATTTGCTTTCGCCGTCCTGGCTGGCGCTGCTGGCATTCGGTGTACTCAAGAAGTTGTACAAGTAGGCATGTGTGTCCTCCATGGTCCGGCGACATTTCTTGTTCTTGTCTTCTGTAACGCCCACGCGGAAGGTCGACCGCGGGCCTGGCAGCGACTCGCCAGCCGAGTTGTTGTGAGAACCTTGCGGTACGCCGAGAGCGGGGTCATGCTTGCTCAGCTTCTGTATGGGCGTCTGCGGTGACTTGTCCAAGGACGAGGCTGAATGACTATTCGAGTTGAATGCCTGCTTGGCGCTGGAGAAGATCTCTCTCGCCTTGGCCACGCTACTACTCCTCCGCTTCTTCTCGGTAGGTGTGACAGCGGCGTGTGTGGCATCGGCTGTAGGTTTGCGCTCGGGGCTAGTACGGTCGATTGCGGAAGAGTCAAGAGAGTTTGCGGCTACAACGGACGGAGGCGAGACAGGATTGTTCATGGAAATATCGGCCTCTTTCTTAGAGTCGGGACCAGAGCTTCCGAACATTTTGTTCAGTAGGCCCGCGCCGTGGCCGGAGAAACTCCGTCGTTTTTGTGTGGAGGCCAGCTTGAGGAATCTTGGGGAGCTCTTTTCTGTATTCAGGGCCTGCTGTGATGAGTCCATGGCATTAGCATATCTTCTGAGGAAAGCCAACGAGGATGCAGCGGTACAGAAAATGGGCGGGGAGCAGGCGGCTCGCTGCGGCCTCTGTTTCCGCTAGCGAGAAACAGAGGGACCGGGCGAAGCTTATATGCCATTGTGTGCGAAACCAGTTATATTTGCATTCATGACAGAGCGAAGGGTATGTAGGCCATGGTGAATGGGATGCAATGGGTTGTGACTATGCATGCGCTCTGCGGCGGGGCGAAGCGATTGTGTCATAGCAACAAAGTTTGTGCATTGCGGGCGAGAGGATCAGCAAGTCCAACCCGCGTGGACCGTCCGAGAAAGAGAGATGAGGTGCACATACCTAGTTGTAGTAGCTTGAGTTGGGTTGAGCTGGGTTTGAGTTGCAAACGGAGCGTCGCTGTCAGTGCTGTGGCCTGCGACTCTGCTGGGCTGGGAGGGATACGGCGAAGAGGCGGAACAAGGGAGGCGCGGGATGTGGACGGCGGGGAAGGTGTGAGCAGACGTGCGTCCGGGCAGACTGCGGGTTGAGTGCGGGTGTGCTTCGTGTGCGTACGGGCGCGCTATTGCGTGCTTCTGGGAGTGTTTCTTTGTGTTCGAGCGTGCGGATGTGCGAGAGTGCGTGCGTGCGTGTGTGGGTGTGGGCTGTGTGTGTGTGCCTGTGTATGGTGTTTGTGGGTCGGTCGAGTGGGCGGCAGCGCAACCAACGCACGCAGACGCCCAGCAAACAGCGCGGAGGACGGGGGTCGATGACGGCGCAGGTCTTTCGGCGGGTTACAAATGGCGCGGCAACGGGAGCCCAAAAGAGCAAGCGAGCGAGCGAGCGAGCGAGCAGGAATTTGGGGGATGTGCCCAGCGAACGGAGTCGCAAACTCGGCGTGAGGTCATGGCACGTTTGGGGCTTTGGGCGCTTGCCGCCAGCCAGGAATGCGTCAATGGCGGGGGCTATCGCCGCGCCACCATTTGTCGACAGCCTCTGCCTGGTGACGCGCACTCTTCACTTTTCGCCTTCGGCTCGCTGAATTTCGTCTTCCTTTACGCCGCTCGTCGTGCATGACGCCTCAACGCCAAGTGCGCAGTGAGTCTGCTGATTGAAGGGTTGCATTACTGCTTAGCCGTCCCCTGCTTCGCGGGGTACGACGCCGTCGATTCTCCAGACAAGTCGCCCGCTTCGGCGTCCGAGGCCCCTCGCTCCCAACCCAAACACCGCACGCCCCCTCCTAATAGGCCCCCGTTCATCCGCGCCTGACGAACCCCAGCCAGTGCTATATAATCTGCTATGTGTTTGCTGCACAGCGCTTTTATATGTAATGAAGTGCCCGTTCGTACGGAAGCATGATTGTGCTCAGGATATATACCATCCCGCAAGCGAGAGCATGTCAACTCGCTTGCCGTACGGACCTCTACAACTGCAAGAGGGCATATACCAGTTACGGCTCGAGCACAACGCGCCCGCAGCTTCGACAAACATGACAGCACGAGTACGTGCCCTGTTCAGACCTTCTTCAGACTATCGAACCTTGCTCGCAGGTCCTCGTCGCCTGCATCTCCACCCCCTACAGCCTGCGCTATGCGGCCTTCCTGTACACTCGTCTTCTGAAGGCCCGAGGGCGTCTCGCCAAGCTGCATATCATTAGCCTATATTCCCGTGCGTAGCGTGAGCTCGCCGTATTGGAAAAAACATACCGCAGAGCCAAGGTCGATTCCGATCTCGTCCAGCACTTGATTGACCACCTCCTCGCTCTCCTCCTCGTCTTCAAGCCCTGTCACGTCGTCGATTGCGTCGTCCATCATTTCTTGCCGCTGATCCATGATGTCGTTCTCCCTTTCAAACTCCATCGCGATGCGTTGCAGCGCCGGCAGATTCATCTGTCGGTTCATACTGCCGAGCAGCTGCGTGGCGCCCTTCATAGATTGCATCATTTGTTCGTTGCTTCGAACGGTCTGAGATTGTTGTCAGCTGTGTTCATGGTCGTCACCAGCGTCTTGGCCTACCTGTATCCTAAGACTGATAGCCTGCAGCTGCGTCCTCATCTGGTAGAACTTCTGAATGTATCTGTGCCACTTACGTTAGCCCTTGCTGCTCTGATCATCCTTCATCCCCACATGCAAACCATGCCTACCTTCTCGTTCTCACCAAATCCTTCGCCTGTATCCTCAGAGATCCCGTCTGGCCGTTCTTCGCGCTTTTTTTGATGTCTTGCACCAGCTTCTTTTCTTGGTTCTCGAGCTTCACACGCTCACGGTCGAGTTCTCGCTGCGTTTTCTCAAGGGCACGCTGGTGCTTGCGCAGACGCTCAGCCGGCGTCATACGCTTTCCAAAGGCCCATTCCACGATCTGCGTCATCTTAGCAAACTTGTCTCTTCAGGCCGCAGCTCCGATAAGAGCGCCGTAACAATTCGTAGAAGGCACAGCAACATACATTCATGATGTGTCAAAGAATCGGTCTGTCGAGGTGGAACGCGAGTTTGACAGGGTCGCTGAACTTTACGCAAGGCAGCTGTACAATCGCGGATTGGAGTCGTGGTTACTCGAGACTCCCAAGTGATCGGCTCCCGAACGGGGATGCTTGGCAGTGGAGCGCCACCGACAAGCATACACCTGCATCACCTCACTTTTTCGCAACAACATCAATATTGCGCAACTCCCTATTAGGCACCCACCCTTTTTTCCTCTCTCAACGACATGCGCTCCAAACCCCTGTCCACAACATAATACGCAACATCAGCAATGAGCTCGGGAAAGCAGCCAGGAGAATCTTCGGCATCGGGTGGCGATTCGATTCCATCTTCTCATCGCGACGGCCGAGGCACCGGTGGGAGACCAGTGTACATGACCGCGGGCACAGGCTCGATGTCAGAACATGGGTATCATCTCAGACAAATAATCGATCAAACCAGCGACTCTGGTTACGGTGGGAGCATAGATGAGGAAGGAAGCAGCACCTCGAGCGGTTGGCACCCTGACCTCTCCTTCGATCGACCGACGCCGTCGCACACACCGACACGACCTGGCGAGTACAATGCCGCCGCTGAGAACGAACGACGTGTGCTGGCAAGCCATGTTCATCAACTGTACTATAATCAAAACAAATTGGCACTTGGGCGCGCGATTAACGAAACATTGGATGCGCTGAATAAATTGAGGGAGATGAACCATGTGTGGCCAGCGCATTATCCTTCCGTGCAGCGTCCAGAAACGCCGACGAGGGCTTCGGGGAGGACTATGAGACCGGGACTGCACCACACCCTCTCGACGGTGGACAATCGTGCCGAGGAGGCGGAGGCTGCCGGTCGGCCAGGCTCAACAGGAGGGCGGCCTAGCCCCCGGAGAGCAGAGACTACATTGGGACACGACGAAGCGCCTGCGGAGTCAAGTTCTTCTGCTGCGCGAAGGGTGGCTCCAGAACCGCGGCTGGTGACGCCGCAACTGGTGCAGGATTTCTCCGTGCTGAAGATAGATCTGAAGCTGGGGCATTTGAGGCAGTCGGAGCTCGTCCATTCGCTAGAGAAAGGCTCGATCGCAGCTCTTTTGGATGGTCAGATACAAAAGAGCATCCAGCATTTGTACGCTCTGCGAGAACGCATCGACGACACCGCAAGCAAAGTCCTTGTCACTGGTGACCTCAACGCTGGTAAATCCACATTTTGCAATGCGCTTCTAAGGAGACAGATTCTTCCCGTCGATCAGCAGCCATGTACGAGTATTTTTTGCGAGGTGTTGCATGCGGAACAGAATGCTGGCGTGGAGGAAGTGCATGCCGTCCCAATTGGACACCAGTACAATCGCGACGACGAGCGCACTTACAAAGTGTTTCCGTTACTCGACCTTGAGAAAATCGTCATCGACGACGAGAAGTGGTCACAGTGCAAAGTCTACATCAAGGACATTCGCTCCGTGGACGAATCGTTGTTGAATAATGGTGTGGTCGATATTGCACTTATTGATGCGCCGGGATTAAACAAGGACTCTGTCATCACGACTGCAAACTTCGCAAAGCAGGAAGAGATTGACGTTGTTGTGTTTGTCGTCTCGGCGGCAAATCACTTCACCGAGTCGGCCAAGGAGTTTGTATTTAATGCTGCACGGGAGAAAGCGTACATGTTCATCGTAGTGAATGGCTTCGATGCGATCAGAGACAAAGAAAGAGCCCAAAGGATGATCCTGAAACAGGTCAAGACTTTGAGTCCCGCGACGTTCAAGGAGTCCGCAGAGCTTGTCCACTTTGTCTCAAGTAATGCCATACCAACTGCGCCACCGCCTGGAGGCCCATTCGGTGCATCAGGTGGAAGTAGCAGCGGTGGCTTCGATGGTCCCGACAATGGCAGTGACGGTGATGACGATGAGGACTCCGATCCCGTGAAACACAAGGATCCGCCGTCACCTGTCGATAAGGGTAAGGGCAAGGACAAGGAGAAGATTCGAGACTTCACAGACCTTGAAGCTTCATTACGAAGGTTTGTGCTGGAGAAAAGATCACGGTCGAAACTTGCACCGGCGAAAACGTATCTTGTGAATCTTCTCGGAGATCTCGACAGTTTAGCGCAAGTGAACCGCGATGTCGCGCAAGCTGAACTTGACCGCGTGAACAAGGAGCTCGAAGAACTTGTTCCAAAGCTGGAAGATTCAAAGAAGGCGACAGATGATGCTGATAAGCACTCAGATCAAACGATCGAAGATACTGTCACCGAAGTTTACCGTTCAACACGAGATACCCTGAACACTGCTATCAACACAGTGGGTGAAAGGGATCACGGTATAGAGTATCCGGGTTTCCTCAGTGCTTTCCAGTACGCCGAGGATCTGAAGTGGGCCATGATGCAGACCATCTCCGACACTGTTTCCCTCTGCGAGGAACACGCTAGACAAAAGACGGTTGCGGGAGTGAACATGATCAAGAATCTGGGCCTCTTGCATCTAGGCAATAATTTTCCCGATATCTCGTTCAGACCCGACCTCATGTTCAAACGGAAGCATCACATTTTAGCTCGACAAGTCGAAATTGACGTCGAGTTTTCGGACTTCTTCGATCTTGCGAGCCTGTGGGAGAGGCAGGAGAAGGTCGCCGGAACTAGTATGGCACTCACAGTCGCTGGCGTTGTTGGTGGCCGGTTGGTAGGCGGCGTCCATTGGGTTGACGGTGCTTTGGGTGCTGTCAAGGTGCTAGGGGTGAATAACGTACGGAGACTCATTATTCCCGGTCTTATCGCTACTGGTATGTGTTCAATGAGTTTCGTCATTCATACAAAAGCTAATTATACACAAGTCATCCTAGCAGCATCTTATGCGGTTGCTTCTATTCCTACTTCACTTCCGCGTCGGATCTCGTCTAAGCTTCAGAGTCAACTCGCCGCTTTGGATTACACCCACTCCAATGCCACTCGCATCTCTAGTGAAGTACGAAGGGCGCTCAAGTATCCGGCAGACAATCTGAGAGTTGGCCTCAAGCGGAATGTGGAGAAGCTCCAGAGCAAGAAAGAAGACACAGACAAGATCAAGAGAGAGAGTACCGATGCACAGAGATATTTTGTACAACTTATTGCACGAGCGGGTGAGATCAGACGCAAGGTCTTGGGTGTTGACTTGGAAGGCCCGGCTCCCGGTATTGCAGCTGCGTATGAAGGCTGAGCTGAGGATGTCGGTTTCCTCGCCTTCTGCTAGAATGGAGTCGGTGACTTGTGGGGGGGGGGGGAGTAAAAAGCTGTATATAAGACATTAGGATACCACTCAGTTGCTACATGACCTTCAATCCCCGTCTTCGATGGTTCAATGCCCCACACATGAATGGTCGACATGGTGCATGGCAAACACATGAACTACACGGTCATCTGGTAGTGGAATGCATGTGCAATGTGCAACACTGAACCCTGGTTGCCATGAGCACGAACGGCTAGCAGCGGTGGAAACGGGTAAGGCTGCGCTATGACATATTTGGGCAACACAATCTCAGAACGGTGGGCTGTCTCGGCGGGGCATGCGATTCAAAAATTTCTCTGTTGCTCGTCGTGCAGCACTGAATCAAATCCCTCAGCCAAGACCATATAAAACTCAATTGGCCAGGCCCTCCGCTTCTCTCCTCTCCTTCAGACACTTGAGATCAACTGCAATCAGCATGAGCGACCAGATCACTCACCCAACCATCAAAGGTACGTAGAGGTTCACTTGAAACAGGTGCGACGTGAGACAACTGAGAAAAGTCTCGATCGTACGTGACTTTTGCCGAGACCTGAGTTGATTGTGCCTGTAGATGGCTGGTTCCGCGAGATCAACGACATGTGGCCTGGCCAGGCCATGATGCTCAAGGTGAACCAGGTCCTGCACCACGAAAAGTCCAAGTACCAGGACGTCCTCATCTTTGAGTCAAGCGATTACGGCACCGTTCTCGTCCTCGACAACGTGATCCAGTGCACAGAGCGCGACGAGTTCTCGTACCAGGAGATGATTACTCACCTTGCCATGAACTCGCACCCCAACCCTGAGAAGGTTCTCGTCATTGGTGGCGGCGATGGCGGCGTGCTCAGAGAGGTCGTCAAGCATGAGACGGTCAAAGAGGCCATCCTCGTCGACATCGACGAGGCCGTTATCCGGCTGAGCAAGAAGTACTTGCGGGGCATGGCCGTCGGGTTCGAGCACCCGAATGTGACGGCGCTGGTTGAGGACGGATTCAAGTACCTGGCGGACCGCAAGGGCGAGTTCGATGTGATCATTACCGATTCGAGCGATCCTGATGGCCCAGCCGAGGTCCTGTTCCAGAAGCCGTACTTCCAGCTGCTGCACGACGCCCTGCGCGAAGGTGGCGTGATGACCACGCAAGGTTGTAAGCCCCCTCCCATATCAGCACCCCCCGACTTTGTGATGCGTTACAGGTCTTTTTGTGTACTACGTGTCACTACACCTTTTCAAAAGCGATAGCTTGCTGACATTCTCGATTTTTTCATCAACAGCTGAGAACCAGTGGCTCCATCTTGAGCTCATCACCAACCTGAAGAAATCCTGCAAGGAGATCTTCCCCGTCGCGGAGTATGCGTACACCACTATCCCAACGTACCCGAGCGGGCAGATTGGCTTTATGGTCTGCTGCAAGGATCCAAACCGCAACGTCAAGAAGCCTCTCAGGACTTGGTCAGAGGAAGAAGAGGAGAGGCTGTGCAAATATTACAGCAAGGAGATCCACGAGGCTGCGTTTGTCCTCCCGAACTTCGCACGCAAGGCTTTGCGGTGAGGTGTCCCAACAATGGGATTAAGGAGCCTGGAGTGTGGATTTTATCGTAGGGATAGACCACAAAGTAGAATCAGGCGTTTTTGGGGACATAGCATCACGCACGATACACCACTGAAAACAAGCTGGATCCGCCAAATATATCAGTGCATTTTGCGCATCTTCACATGGGCGCATTGAGCGAGCATCTGCAGGACTAACCATTTGCTCTACCACTATCAAGCAGTCCAACACCTGCCTGATTGGTATGTATTCTTTATACCGAAAAGCTGCTAGATTTCACAACCTCAACTAGCTTCTGATATATCTGATTCTCTCGGTGCCGAGTCGTGTCGTTGCTTCCTGGATCGTCACGATCCCGCTTGCCAAATTAACCACGGGTCGCAACTTCTCCGTTGTGATGATTAGACAGCATGACTCCATCTTCGCTAGCTAACTCACGCTTTCCTGTCCTGTCGCTTTTCTCAACACAACTACATGGTGCTTTTTACGGCGAAGAACTAGAATAGCTAACAACTTACCGCCACAACTTTCTTGCCTACCCACGAATAGACTCAGTATTTTGAGCTTTCGAGCACGCGCTGCCAATCCAAACTGTTCGCCAATGCTTTACTGAACCTCTAGCTCTCGACACTAGGTTGCATTTTATGCCGTCAAAGGTCATAAATCGTGCCCGCTTCCTCTTCTCCCGGTTTCGACTTACAGAACATGTTCCGCCGATCTTCAATGATAACGTTCATGATCTTGCACGAATTGGCGGGATTAGCACGCTGGCATTGCCCAACGAGTACGCACCTTGTGATTTGGTAATTCCCACTCGTTTTGCAGCCACTGCACAATTTTTGGTTGACGCCTGTTTCCAAGGCGACGATTTGCGAATGGGAAATCCTACTGATAGAGACATCATTTACGAGGACCACGGACAACAGTGGAAGCTGAAGGTTCTCACCACAGGTGCCTATGTCAATGTACCTGGGCTGTTCCGTATACCAGGGAGCAAAGTTACCACCGAACGATTGAGGACATATTTCGAGCGACAGATGTACGACGGTGGTGGAAATGTTGAAGACATTAGGAGGCAAAGTCAAAACATCGAGTACACGGTGAGAGTTGCAACGTTGCCGAGTCAGAGTGTGCTGCCGTATCAGATTCACGACGTGGCCAGTTGCTTTAAAAGCTTCCTCGGCGATCTCGATGGGGGTGTATTGGGCAGTTTGGAGATCTTCGAGGGACTGCGAAAAGCTACTCTTCCACGAAGCCGTCGAAAGAGCTTAGAAAGCGCAAGCCTGGAATGGAAATGTATTGGACTTGGCCTAGACGATGAACACGATGATGTGGATCCGAAGGACATTGCTCGCATCCTCTGCAGCATCGAATGCGCGGCAAAGCGCAATCTCATTTTGGCGGTTTTTGGGCTGTTGGCATTTTTTATGGTGGACGACTCGCCTTCTGTTCATCCTCATGAGCATAAGCTGCACATCAGTTCATGCGAGCCTGCTATGGACGAGATGAAGAATTGCTGTTTCCCGTCGGCCGCCTCCCCAGATGCAGGAATGACTGCTGAAGCGCTTAGTCGAATTTTTGCTCCGCTTATGCTCGGGGAGGAGCTTACCAAGCACATCGACATAGACTTCGTTGCGTTTCCGGGTTCCGGAGACAAAAGAAATCATCGACGGAACTCTACTCCAAGTCCACAGAAGCTTAAAACGCCATATTTGCCAAAGAGAACTCCAGTTTGGCGTTTAAGACAAGGGACGTATGCAGGAATTAACAAAGCAAATATCACAGTTAACGTGCATCCTTGTCCTTCACAGTCAACTCTGTCATATTGTGATGGTTCTTCGACTCCGTCTTCTCGACACAGCATAAAATTCGCACAGTATGGTGGGCTAAGAGATCGTAACCTCTCTGCGAAATCTTTCATTCAAGCCCACGCGAATTGTTCGGCACAGACTTTCCCCGCTTTCACTGGTGGAATGAAGATCAAGAAGACTAAGAAACTGAAGTCATCGAATCCTGAATTCATGCTATACGAGCAACAAGTTCGCATCCTATTAATTGCGAATGTAATCACTATTGTCTTGTGGAATTGGAGGGATGTCTGTCTCGAGTTGCGAGCTCTAGGCTATGGTAGACGAGAAGGTCATTGGTTCGTCGGAGAAAGTGCCGTTGATACCCTGGATGAGAGGTAGAAGTACCGAGAGCAGCCTTGTTGTCACAAGGAAAGCTTTGGAAACCTAATGGTATCTTCGATGGTCGCATCGTCTCAGCGGACGTAAGTTTTCATGGGCAAGGAAAGTTTCAAATCAGAAATGTTCATTTTTACAACTACTTGGGAAGAGCATGGTCCAAGTCTCTGAAGCAAGTATTATAGATTGAAGATATGTCAAGGATTCAGGCTTAGAGAGCACAGACTAAATATCATTCTTTCAGCACTTAGACCTTCTCATCCGCTTGCACGACGGCAGCTGCTGCCCCAGACTCGTGCAGAGTAACTGCAATTTTACCGTCCATCTTATCGTCCACGTTAGGTGCAAATACACTCAAACACACAGCGATTCCAGTAAACGCTATGGATGTATAAAAGACAGTTGAATATGCATGTGCGCTAGCAACCTTGTATGCTTGTGTACCCACTGCAAGAATGCTGTTCGTCAATCCAGGTACATCTGCAAAAGAGCCCGACGTGAAACCAGATAAGAAAGCAGGGACAGATGATGCTGGTAAACCGGCAGCGATTACCGCTGGCGGTACTTCTGTAGGAATCGTCTTTGCAAGACGATTGGTAAGGACCGACACATAAACAGCTGAGCTCACTGAGGAGATAGCGGAACGAATTGAGCCGGCAGCACCTATTGCAGTTCCGATTTCTCGTTGATCGAGGAGCTCGATGCCGGAGTTTGAGAGACATACACTCTCGTTCCAGCCGATGAAGAAGCTTGATATAATGATTAATGCCGTAGCTCCCGCACTGGAATCGGGCTTAGCGTACGCGATGGCACCTAAGAAGGCACCGCCAATGGTCAGAACAGTCATGCACTGAATTTTGGTCTTTCCGATAGCCTCAGCTGAAAAACCTGCCACAATTTGCCCCACGTTTATGGCGATACTTGGGGAACAAGCCCACCAACCAGCCGTCATCGATGCACCTCCATCAGTGGTAAAGAGCACAGCAATCATCTGCGGCCAGATGATTGCCATAGCATAATATATGCTTGCTCCTATGCCGAGGAGAATACATGCAACCACCCATGCAAAGTTCTCAAAAAGATGCATTGGAAGGAGAGGCTCTTCGAGCTTTGCGTAAATCTCCCAAAGCGTAAAGATAATTAAGATTATGCCACCAACAACCATAGTGGCGATGACGTGAGCGCTTTTCCATGGGTAGACAGAGCCGCCCCAACTTAGACCTAGAAGGAAGGTGATGAAGCCCCCTAAGAATAAGACGGTGCCAATGTAGTCAAAGTTTTTGATCTGTTGTGCTCGGCTTCGATTTCTAAATTTTTCGTGGAATGTGGGTGGGTGATAGAAGAAGAAGAACAAAACCCCTGATACGAAGTTCACGATGATCATCGTGTAGTAGCACCAACGCCATCCCGCACTCGTGTATAGAATGAATGCTTTCGATACCGCCGGTCCTAGTCCAGCGAATGGAATGCAAAAGAGATACATCACGGCATTGGCACTGAAACGATGCTTTCAATCAAACTAAGTCAATAAAGGAACAAGGCATACTGAGCGTGTGGCTTACCTTCATTGGAACAATCTCGCCAGTAATGAAAGCGAAGGATTGTTGTCCAGAAGCTGCAAGTCCTATGAGCGTAGTACCGCCGATCAAGGTTCCCACTGTCTTTGCAACAGCACAAACGATGCAACCTATTAGAGCGAGTACTGCTGAGCCGATGAAGAACCACTAGTGCTGTGTTAGCTCAATGACAGGCGAGTATCCAACTAGGAAAACCTACTCTTCGCCCGAAGAGATCACTCAATCGACCAACAAGCAGCAAGCCAATGGCTAGGGTCAATGTATACACCAAACTGACCCACGTAATGTTAGGATCCGGACCAATGTCGTTATTGATCAACGTTAAATTTGGCGCGGCAAGACCGAAGCCACCAGTTGCAGAAGCAAGTCCAAGACCTGTTGCGAGCATTGTACCTATGAAAGGCATGCTGTAGAAGTAACCCTTCCGCACAGTGGTTTCGTGTGCAGCGAAACCATGGACAACATCGATTCCATGATCGGAGCTGTCCGAGCTTGGTGACTCTCGATGTTGAACATCGTCAAAGCGAGCCGAAAACTTTTCATTAGAAAGGTCCATGATTCCACTCCTTTTTTTTTTCTTAGAAATAAATTGAATACTCTCAGAGCTTGGCAGGCATTATACCATTTCAAAATCGCCAAAATGCCTGGCGATCCTGGCAGCTTTATGCATTGTCAAAGAGTACGCATTTTATGGCTAGGTCCTTCCCCCACAGCACGGGAATGCATAGCCGTCTGCAACAATTGTCTCCATAAGTGATCGTCAGGGCACACGCTCGGTTACCCCGGAAATCAACATGACTGGAGAATAATGGAGATGTTAGTCCATTCAACCATTCAAGTGGATGCCAGGGGGTTCACTATGGTGCTAACGAGTCAATATGGTCTGTGCTCAAGGCCTGGGATGATAACTGTGATATTCGACCTGGAGAAAAAACGCCGTGAAAGCAACTCGGAGGAGTGAATCATGTCTGGGGATTGGATTTCCTCATGACTCATAGACATGATTGTTTCTAAGCCAAGCGTCTTGCCAAAAAATGGATAATACCGAAGGTAGAAATACTGCAGGACTGCTATTTTTCAGCCTGTGAGCAATCACGTCTGAGGACGAGCAAATAAAAATGAAACTTGTCATGGAGCAGATCAACAAGCTTTTCGCAAAGCTCTCGGATCTCAGATTTGACACTAGCATACCAATCTACGCCGTTAGCTTTTTGCTCACTATCTACGCCTCATATATCGTCTGGCTTATTTGGTTCCACCCTCTTTCTCATATCCCAGGACCCAAGATTGCAATCGTCTCGAACTTGTTCTACAGTCGAACCATTGTGAGTGGCCATTCTCCAAGGATTGTCAAGTCTCTACATGACAAATACGGAGATGTCGTGCGTTGGGGCCCAAATGAAGTCTCTTTTGCTTGCAAAGAGGCTTGGAAGGATATCTATGACCGAAGAAAGGACGGAAAGATTTTGATCAAAGATCCCCTTTTCTACCGGACTGACGATACAATACGTGCGAAACACATCGTCAACACGCACGATCCTGCAGAACATGCCGAGATGAGAAAGATGATGGCTTACGCTTTCTCTGCGAAAGCTTTGCTCGAGCAGGAACACCTTATCAAACACTACGCTGATGACCTTGTAGAAGCGGTGAGGGAAAAGGGGGATTTGGGTCCCATCAATCTGGTTGAATTTTTCAACTGGACGACATTCGATGTACTTGGGGAGCTGGCCTTTGGAGAACCGTTCAATTCGCTGAAGAACCGAAAGACAGACTCGTGGATCTCCATCATCCTTGACTCGATCAAGTTCAACGCCTGGGACGTAGCCATATGGAAGTTGCCGATCGTCCCATATTTTCAATACTGGTTGACTCCGAAGCACATCCGCGAAGGTGGCATCCGCCATGCCATCGAATCCAAGGAGAAGATCTTGAAACGTGCAGAGAAGGGTTCGGACAGGATCGATTTCGTATCGTACATTCTCGCGAAGAGAGAAGAGTTGAAGATCAACGATTGGCAACTGGCTGCACACAGCAATGCTTTGATCGTCGCCGGATCTGAGACAAGCGCTACCGTGCTGAGCGGGCTGCACTACTACCTCCTCAAGAATCCTGCTGCTTACGACAGGCTGCGGACCGAAGTGCGTTCCGCCTTTAGCAGCGTTGACGAGATCAACGCAAAAGCTGCCGAAAAGCTGCCGTACTTGACGGCGTGCATCGACGAAACGTTCCGCATCTATCCTCCCATTCCGATTGCGATGCCCCGGGTGACGCCAAAGGGCGGCTGCACGATTGCAGGTCACTTCATTCCAGAAAATGTACGAAGTCAACTTGAATTTCATTTACGCTCGATGAAAGCAGCCACTAACTAAACGTTGCAACAGACAACCGTGGGCGTCCACCAGTGGTCGGTGACACATAATCCGAAGCATTTCAAAGACCCGGACTCGTATCGACCAGAAAGGTGGCTTGAGAAATCAGACGACCTCGACGCAAGCAAACCGTTCTTGACAGGCCCGCGTATGTGTATGGGCATCAAGTGAGTATATCGCCATTTAAATTTTCTCCGTTCTTGGCAGCAGAGCAGCCTTTTGACGGTTTTTTATAGCATGGCCTGGATTGAGGTTCGGATCCTGATGGCGAAGTTGACTTATATGTTTGATTTCGAAATCGTGGATGAGTCGCTGGACTGGTACGATCAGGAGTGCTATACCTTATGGCAGAAGCCCGACCTTTTTGTTAAAGCCACACCTGCGCGTAGATAGGGCGGATAGGGGACTTAAGTGTACAGCCTCAAAATCCTGGAACAGTGCCATCATTACCCGAAAGCTTAGCACTCGCAGCTTCAGCTCAAACATGGTCAAATTTCAGTTCATTGTCTTTCCATGTCATCTACGGCAATATAGTCGCCTATCCAGAGCTAGTTTATTGGACATCGGGCCAAACAATCACAGATTGAATTTGCATGTAAGACATAAATGAGGACCATGATGAGCAGGGTCCTATCACAATTGTTAGATCCAGTGCAATGGAATATTATGCACCGAAACAGTTCTGTACTGTTATGAAAGAGGTCAAGATTGAAGATGATCTAGTCGCCAATCCAGACGCTGCAGCCGCAAATTAGTTTAGTTGTGTTGACTCGTTAGTTTACTCCGCTAAGTCGCTGGTGCGCCGCGTTCAAGCGGGACATGGTGCGGGGAACAGTTGCCCCAGATGAGGCTAGAATTACTGGGGAAGGAAAATGATATCCATAGGAAATTCCTAGTTCGCTTAGCATGTTCTCTGACACATATCACATCGCCGAACAAAAGGTGTGAGTCCTTGCAAAGACGTCTGGAACCACAGTACAATTATGACGGCCGAAGTTTCTAAGGTCAAGTTACGAAGTATTGATTACTTGACACCTGAACAACTGCAACGCAAACGCGAAGTGGATCGCAGGAGTCAGCGTCAAGCGAGGGCACGAACCCGAGCCTATATCGCGGAATTAGAGCAGAGGGTCCGAGACTTTGAGGCTCGTATCCACACTCTTGAGCAAGAGTTTTCAACATTTGTGTCCAGCTGCAAATGCAAAAGAGAGCCCCAGGAGTGCGTTACACTGCCACGAAACGAGTCGACATGGGAAGATACCACACATGCATCTATTCTTGCGAATGTAGAACAAAGTCAATCTATGCTTAGAACAGAGCAATGGATCGACCAAGGTAGCGGCCTTGATATCTCGCAGCTGATGAGCATTGACAGCACAACTCAAGGTAAGAACTGCTACTGCTCGAAATGCAGGCTGAATCTGACCCTTCTGGCGTAGACTACTCTATGTGGGAACGTGTATTTGACGACACAATGATAGCTACGGCGCAAGGTCTCCCCTTGCCAGCATGGTCGGCAGGATCACCTTCTGTAGCGTCAATTCCAGTTCATTCTTTACCGGATCCACCAGTCTGGCAAGCTTTGCCAAAGCACACTCCGCCAACCTCGCCTACATGTGCACTCGATATTGTGATGACCAATTTAATTCAAAATCGGCGTGCATATGAAGCAAGCGGAGGAAACGATCAGGAGTTTAGGAAACGAGCGTTTCCGAGCATCCAGAGTCTCCTCAATCCAACCTATGACGCAGTCAAAGCACCAGTCACCAGCACAATTGTCAACAACATAATACATGTTATGACGGTGCCTACTCTGCCGGAGCAAATTGCCATCCTGTACGTAATGAGCTCTGTTGTACGGTGGCAGATCTCTCCGACTGAGGCAAACTACGACAAAATGCCAGAATGGCTTCGACCTACTCCCTCCCAGCTGTTTACGCCACATCCGCCATGGATCGACATGTTCATTTGGCCAAAGGCTCGTGAGCGGTTATGTCGCCAGGAGAAGTATCATTCCAAGCATGGATTGATGAGCAAACTTTGTAACGAAAGCTTGTCCATCAATTGGCCCCATCAGCCGTCGGATATGATACTTCAGGTCGGAGATGACACGATCCTGAACCCAATTTTCGAGAGGCACATCAAAAAGATTGAAAACTGGACCGTCAGTGCTAGTGTGCTCGAAAAGTAAGCACATCAGCCTTCAAAACATTTCGAAAGATGCTAACAGCAGGCCTTAGATTTCCCGATCTTGAGGGAGAGATCAATATTGGCCAGCCAAGAGGTTCACAAAACAGACTGAGCCATGCAATGTGAAATTTAGATGTAGAAAAATCGGACAACAGGAGATAACATTGGGTCTAACGTATGATAATAGATCTCCCCTACTTGTCAAAAATATCACTAGAGAGTGTGCGTGCAACATTTCCAAACTTATCTTGGTAAGTCGTACGACCGTATTGAATCTCTGTATTGAGCACTGCCGGCGCAGCAACGATGAGCTGTTTGCCTTACGCGTAAATCTATAGAGCCCTTGTCTTTCAAGCGCTACTTTCTCTCAACTCCGAACACAAGTCCATTTTCTTTTCTGAGCGCTTCTGTGATGTTCTGCGTTATCTTACTTATCCGCTGCAGTTCTTCTGCCATCTTTCCATCTTTGGATTTGATTATGTTCGCATAAACCTGTGCTTCCTCGCTCATGTTCAAGTCAGCCTTCTTTTGAGCCAATTCCACGCTGCTCTTGGTGCTTGCGTCCCAAAATTCGACGGACGAGATGTCAGTTACTCCATTGCAAATTATAGTTCCTTTCTCACCGAAAACTTCGCTTGGAGCTTTCGATGTATATATTTTTGATGCATTGATTGACACTCCAAACTTTTCATAGTAGAGCATAATCAGTCCGCCACCGTCTGCACCGGTTGCGATGATGAAAGGTTTATACGTTTGTGCCTTTGGTTGTCCAAACAATGCGACCGCCGCAGAAATAGGGTATACGCCAAGATCTACCAGACTTCCACCAGAGAAGTCTAGGTTGAAAATATTCGGCGTTTCGCCTTTCAAGACGTTGTTGTATCGCGACGAGAACGAAGCATAGTTTAAAGACGCGCCATAAATCGGCCCCAACCTGTCGAGATTCGACTTCAATACCTTGAAGTTGACCTCATGGATGTGTCGGAACGCCTCCAACAGAAAGACGTTGTTCTTCTTTGCAAGCTCAAACAATTCAGCTAGCTCCTTAGAAGTCGAGCAGGCTGGCTTCTCAACAATCACATGTTTCCCGGCGGAGAGCATCACCTTCGCGTGCTCAAAGTGAAGAGAGTTGGGCGAAGCAATATAGACGGCGTGAATTTCTGGATCATGTGCTAATTGAGCGAGTTCGGTGTGTGTTTTTTCGATGTTGTGTTTGGACGCGAACGCTTTCGCAGTCTCTGCAGAACGAGAATAGACACAGTCGAGCTTCCATTGTTGAGTCGATTCGGCAGACTCAATCCATGAGGATGTGATCCAGCTCGTGCCAATCGTCGCAAAATGTATTTTTCCCTCCATATTGTGCTGTTGCGTGTGATAGTTATCTTGTCTCTCTTCACAAGAAAATTTCTCAATCAAGTCCCGCATCGGAGTGGGGTCGTACCACAGTCCCGCTATTATGTCATTTGGCATGCGCCGGGTCACTCGACACCCAATTCTGGTCTTCGACGCGAGTTTTGTATCGAATCAAAGTTGAACCAGGGCTAAGAATTCTGCAGAGTATCTATTGATCGGCTGTGCTTGGGAAATGCACGCGCATTCATAGAAGATCAAAACAGCGAATTTCTGCTGTGCAACATCTCAGAATTTGGTGCATTCTGTACTGCGTCTAGACTCATAAACATCATCATTTAGGAGAATAAAATTCGTGCCACATCTCTCACCCTCATTTATCATTCATTGGAAGTGGCAAATAACTCCACATTCCTCCAAAGAGATCTCGAGTGAACTCCGTGATGTCATTGCCCTGTGTTTGATAGAAAACGATGAGGCTTTCCCCACCCGACTGATCGTTGATCGCAGAGACTGAAAAATGGCTTCCTTGTATCGGCCGGCCCTGATTAGGGATGTTGACTTCGACTGTGAGCTCATTCTCAGCTATGATCTGCGTTTTTTCCGCATGCCAGCTGATGTTATATCCTTTCAATTGAAGAGTCTCCGCATCCTGAGCGTAGAGAAAAGTGGTGTATCCAAGACTCGTCCTCGGATGAACATTGTTCACTGCTACACTGCTGTTTGTCCATACGTTTATTGGATGTTCTTTTGTACTGGGGAGTGAAGTGTTCGTGTCCTTCCACCTTCTAGAACGTCAGAATTGACAACGTCCATTACACACTGAGTTACCAAATGACTTACCAGATTTCAAGAGTGTTATCTGAGTTTACCATCATGGTATACGTTACCGTACCAGGACCCCACGTGTAGCAACCCACACCTGCATGGCCATTCATGCTTGTCCAGTTGTCTTGCTTTTCCCAATGATCAAATCCATCCCTCCAACCGTATTGCTGGAATGTTGTTGGATCAACAGCATACCAAAGATGCATACCCACATCAGTACTGTATGTTGTTGCATTGGACCCATCAGAGGTGACAGTCGGCTTCAAGTCCTTGTAGTCAGTGTCGCCGTAGAAGTTACCGTACCAGCAGGCTTGCATACCCACTGAATCGCTGTTCATCGTCGTAAGATTCAACTTATTGACCGGACCATCTTGCCAAATGTTGGTAACATTGCTATTGGTCTTTTGTCGAACTTGGTTCTCTGCATTGATATAAAAAATGTGCCACTACGAATTATATTAGTAGGCCGGGAGGCTTTGAGGCACTCTTGACATACAGTCGAGATATTATGCAAAGCGTATGCTACGGCGGAGATAGGAGTTCCATTTTTTGCATCGTATGCGACAATCTCTGACATTGTGCCACCTACCCACTTGCCGTCGCGGAGCTGCTTGAACCGGATCGTGCCCGTATAGTGTTGATAATATAAAACCATGGAGCCTTGCTCATCGCCTTGAAACGATTGCGAGGCTAAGGCGATGCCAGAACCGTTAAAGGCGCCTCTTGTGGAGAAAAATTGAGGGTCTAGGTCACCTCCTGCTAAGAAGTCGGTGTCTGATGACGAGACCGATTTGTGCTTTCTAAGTCCAAGGCCGAGCCCTACTCCTAACGCAAGGCCAATTGCTAGGAACGCGAGTACCAGCACGATGATCGAAAAATTCATCATCCTAACCCCAAGGATTGTATGTCTTGCTAATTTTCTGGGCTGTTCATTTTGATGGGAGGTTGATGGCCCGGGAACTTCTTTCTCCGTACAGTCTGGTACGTAGGCTTCTTTATCAAAATTCCCGAGCCTCACTACCTCAAGCTCTTCTTGCTGGCGACCCAAAGATTCCTTGGCTTGATTTTGATCGACATATGCAGTTGGAAGAGTATTTGAAAACGAGAAGGACCTCGTACCATTGTGACTAGCTGAGGCGGTATGTAGCGTAATCGGTGTTGAGTCTGAATATGCGTGAGATATCGTCCCAATTGAGACAGGCGTAGAATGAGTAAACGCGGGAGAAGGAGGTTTTTCCTTGCTTTCCGCAGTGCAGTCTGTACTGGGGATATCGACTGCGACCTGTACCACGTTTTCCGGTGCTACTCCGAAATTCGATTGGCTAGATGCGAGACGAAGTTAGTCATAAGTGTTCGGCAATTGAGGCAAAATGCAGCTTATCGAAGTGTGCAGTATACGAGGTATGGCTCTGTCGTACCTTGCTTGATACGTGGGTGGGTGGATTATCTCAACGATTCGAGAACCACGCCCAGACGGAGGGTTATTCTGATGCTCCATGATCAGCGGTGAAGCGGCAAAGATATTGGCATACTACACAGAGCACAAGTGAGATCATATCATGGACGAAAAGGGTCAGAAAATTTCGAGTATAAGCTGAACTTATTCTCCAGATCGTTGCAACTGAATCACAAGTACAGCACTTAGTAAAGTTAGGGCCATACAAAAGCACAAGGGTCTGAAAGGCCACCAGTTTTTCTAGCATCCCGTTTGCATTTTCGGGGGTTCTACTTCGGGAACGAAGTTGAATCCGAGGTGCGCTTTGTAAACTCTCCAATACCTTTGCGGAGAATACGCCATCGATTTTGCGGGATGCAGGAATGACATTCTGGACCTGCAAGTTTAGACGCCTCTCTCAGATGGCGGTTAGCCTAAGCGTGCAGAAGCGAGGGCGTTTCTTGGCCAAAGGGAAAACAGAGATCTTCTGATTTGAGCGCATTGTTTCAACACTCGGGATGATAACTCATTGTTGATGTTCTTAAATGAATAGCTCTAATCTTGAGTAGCAATCTTGTTCTTTGCGTTGGACTTATGTCAGAGAGCCGGATCGGGTGCGAGAGTAGTGGTGAATATCTCTGCCGCAAGACTTGAGCGATACAGCGGAGGAATCTCTTGATGGTCCGGCCCTCGGCATCAGGAGATTGAAAGTGAGGGGAATCTCGCATCTCGCAAGAAGCAGCGAACGAGCATTCACAATCACGGTGATTTGGAGTTTAGATCGTCTGCGGTGTTATCGCACAGGTCTCACTCAACAGGCTACTCAGTCATCCAGTTGAATTCATCACTTAAAAGTATGTAGAAATGGAGAACACATCTGGAAAAGGAAGCGGAACAAGAAACCACATCGCTACGTCTGTGAATCGTTGGTTCGGCTTCCACTTTGCAACATATTTATTGGCCACATCGTATTCGCCCTAAGTCATATCTTGTTTCTTTGCCAAGAGCCAAGGTCTTGTGCGAATGCTCGAAAAGTCGAACAAAATTTTCAGCCCAAAGCTCCAGAGATTGGCGTTAGAGGTCTAAAATGAGATGCAAGTTAATTGTGCTTACTAGCTGATTCAATATTTGGCCAAGCATTAATTTCGAAAATGCTGCACCTAAATTGTGTTGATGTCATATAGTACGGCAGTCAATCATGCGAGCAAACGAAAGCAGCAAACCGAGAGCATTTTAGCCGAGAATAGAATCTTGGAAAACCGAGCAGAATAGGTCTGGCTATCAGTCCCTTAAGTTATCGCTAAAGCTCGCTTGGCAGCTCGCCTCATCGAGCAGCAACATATCCAGTTGTCCATTGATATAAAATATCGATTAAGGTATCAATTATGAGTGGACTTTTTTCTCTTCTGTACAGTGCTAAAGCAAGGCGGAGAATTCATACTTAAGTCATCTGTGACCCTTTGCCTTGACAGCCACTTTCTACTGGTTCTGGAAGAGTAGATGCTACTGTTGTCAAAATCTAAGGATTACCATGTGGATATTTCCGCGATTGGCCAGCACACATTAAGTCTTAAAATGCAGTGGTCAGTTTGCACTTCTTGCTCAAAAATCTGCAAATGGCTGTCGGAATGCAGACAACACGGCACCTGGCTTCACAGACTCCAAGAAGGCTTGACCCACGGAGCACGATTGTTCGGCATGAGACATAGGCGTTGAACTGAGCAGTATCCAGTAAGCAGATCATACTCAAAAGCATCAAACCCATGGCATCGCAGTTTTGTGCCCCAGCTTAGAGTGCAAATATTTGTTTCAATCAAAGTATAAGACATGGCGGACAAAGATATCCCATTTCTCGGTTTGTCTCGCGGCGTCCCACTTGGCTTTTACATAGACAAGCTGTGTTTATATGTTATATGCCCGAGTGTGTTTATATTTCTTAACAATACTACTTGCCTCACTAAGTAAATTTTGGTCTAAGTTGTGAGATTCAAGGCAAAGGTATTGAAGACGTCGATAGACTAGATAAATGGTCGATTAAGATGCCTGTCTCGCGTTATTATGATATGTATACTTGAATCAATCTATCAGGCCAATTATTATGCAACAGCTGGCCGGATTTTAAATTCCTCACAAGAATTCTATTGCTTTTGGAAATACACGGAACCTGGAAATATTCAAATGTGAACCATGAAATCGACTCGCACCAGAGTCGAAGACTTGAGGAGCACAAAGAGCTTGATCCAACGATTGCAAGTCCGGAGCACGCAATGAGGCAGACATTTTGAGGTCCATAGGAATTAATCACGCTCAAAATGAGATCTTGTAGTAACATATTCAACGAGAACTGCTTGGTCAATACCAATTTCTTGTCTGCGTGTTCCGATGCTCATTATGCTCGCACAGCCTGTGATGATTGAGATGTGGTTTTTTTTAATGGCTCCTCTGTGGATTCTCGCTTTCGGTCGGCATATCGATTGCAACTAAGGACTTTGTCTCTCTTGACTTTTTCTTGCTAAGCCTCAGCCTATGACCTCGACTTTCAACATGTTTCAACCACAATTGAGGTGTTGCAGCCTTGACACCGCATAGATCACAGGTCTTAACGCCCCAGTTCTCGGGATTATGTGTCAAATCCTCCTTTGGCGGTGTCAAAAGTTCCGTTGCAATTGCGCAAATCTCTTCAGGTTTAGGTAGATCCTGTTCATCTAGGAACTTTTCACATAGCTGCCGTGCAGGATTTATCACCATTGCCTGAAAATTATTGATATCCGTGCCGTCGAGAACAAAGAGATTTCGTTGTGCGTTGGCACGAAATAAAGCATTCATGAGCTTGATGCGTATCCATTTCAGTTGAGCGAGCGCGTATCTTCGCGTTGCAGCCTGAGTCTGTTCGATTGCTCTTTGCTTCAACTTGTCCAGCTCCTTTTCGTCCATTACTCCCGATTGTAACGCTTGTTGGTACATTTCAAATTGTTTGAAGCCAATAGATTGCCAAATGCCCTTTGTAAAGTCGACCGATTCGCCTGCGTCAAGTTTCGTCTTGCGGATTACCATCAGTTGAGAGACTTCATCTAGTAAGCCATCCTGAAGCATTTTCTCCACACGGTTGTCGAGCCGAGACTTGTGCGCTTCTCGCTCACAGAAGGGCCATAAAATAAGTGTGGAGAATCTTAGCCCTCCTGCGCTATTCGAATGCTCGTCCAGACGTCTTTGCATATACGTCTCAGATGCTCGTTTCCCAGTTTCAAGATAAATTTCTAGAGACCTTTGAATCTTACGCCTATCATTTGGATGCCATCGATTCGCCATGACGGGATCAACTTCACGCAATTTTCGGAGGATGACATCAGTCGGCTCGCTCAAGATATAGTGCTTTTCCTCCGCAGGGATCTGAGAACTAGACTTCTCTTGTTGAAATTCGATCGTATGATCTCTGAACAGCAGCGCTTGAGTATAGTAATGCGTTCCTCCCACAAGAATTGGCACCTTTTGTCGTGATCTGATGTCTTCAATCTGTGAGAACTCTAAGTAGATAGCGCGGAAAGACGAAACTGAAGGCTTACGATGTCGAGTGCCTTCGGGAGAAATTCTTGTACGGTCCATGTCGGTTCATCAAGCCCAATCGAGCCGAGAAGATGGTGTTTGATGCCTTTCCGCTCATTCATAGGGATTTTATTTGTGATAATAGGAAGTCCTTCATACATTTGTACGGCATCTGCGTTGATGATTTCTCCATTAAATCGAGATGCTAGGTCAACAGCCAGCTGTTCGTCATATGATTAGCACGTATTTTGCGTGAAGTATTGTGCTCTATTCACATCAGACTTTCCGGTGCCAGTGGCACCTATGATGGCGATAATCGGCTGAGTCTTCCGCGCTGACATTGTCGAGACCGCTCGCGTGAGAAAAGCACTCATGAAATTGATTTGGCATTAGTATCATAGCTTGAAAGATTTTCGATAATACGCATGGACATGAAGTCGTGAAATAGATCGATAAGACAATTTGATGCTCTCAATTTCTAGACTTGCAAGAGGTAAAATGAATCATTTCGTGCAAGTGCAGATTCGAACCCAGAAAGGCAGGTTGTAGTTCTAGCGGGGTGGCCTCCAGGACCCACCATCCCACAGTGGATTGACTGATCCGCCCTTTGACAACTTGATTTGCAAAAGTCGTCACAATGTAGCCATTGCAAGTCTTCGACAGTTGAGCCACAATGCATAGCCAGGCTCCGACGGCAGAGAATATTGTCCCGTCCATAAATGTTAATGGACTGAGCTACAAGTTTCCAGACGGTACCCTTGGGCTTACCGACGTATCTCTGGCTCTGCCTGCGGGCAGCAGGACATTGCTGATTGGAGGTATGTGCTGCGCATGTCTACATGGCCGTATGTTAACTAACAGATTGTTAAGCCAATGGTGCTGGTAAGACGACACTTCTTCGCTTGCTCTCGGGAAAACGCATGTCACCACCGAACACCGTGCTCATTTCTGGCATCGATCCTTTCACCCACGGTCTCGAGGGCGTAACGTACCTTGGCCTCGAATGGGTTCTCAATCCTATTGTACGAACAGATATTAGTGTTCCTGAGTTACTCAAAAGCGTGGGAGGAGACTTCTATGTGGAACGCAGAGACGAGCTCGTTCGTATACTAGATATCGACGTCCGTTGGCGCATGCACGCTGTCAGTGATGGGGAACGAAGGCGCGTTCAGCTTGCCATGGGGCTCTTGCGCCCATGGACCGTGCTACTTCTGGATGAAATCACAGTAGACCTGGATTTGCTTACGAGGGCCAACTTTCTTCAGTTTCTTAAAAGAGAGACCGAGGCGAGATCATGTACCATCGTTTATGCCACGCATATCCTAGACAACCTTTCCGAATGGCCAACGCATCTGGTTCATATGTCGCTCGGCAAGGTTAAGAAGTGGGGAGCCATGTCAGAGCTTGAAGTAACGAATGGCAACGTTGGTCGAACCGGCAACAGCAAGCTCGGCGAGCTGGTTCTACAATGGTTGCAGGAAGATCTAGATGAACGTGGGCCACGAAATCCGGCCTCTGATGGCAAAACATATCAATCGTATGAAGGTAAAGGTGGCTATGGCGCTGAGACAAAGAAGGAATAGACACATAGATGGTCGGCAGAACTTCAACATCAAGAAATATGAAACACGATACCATAGAACGCCCATAACAGCTAGCTTAACACGGCTGTGTAATTCAACTTTGGCGCTGAGTCGAAGAAGGGGCGTGAGTAGAGCGCCTTCTTCGAGTCCACAGAGAGACTCAACGATATAATGATGATGTAGGTAATTTATTTTTGAGGCAGGTCTTTGGGAACAAAAGTTGTTGCAGATACTTCTAGTAATGTCCGAGTTTCCAAATCTTGAACCTTGTTTCCTCGTAACGTGGTCTTTTCTGACACATGATAGTTCTAGGGACTTCGCCTCATTCAGCGGCTGCCTTGCTTTTTGAGTATTTCTCATTAATTAAGCACGTCAGGTCCATACAGCCCCAGCTCCTTCATGTTGCGTCATCGACAATGAACATGCTGAAATTTTGGCATGAATTTGACTCGCGTGAATTTTTATTTTCCCAATTTTTGTTGACAAAAATCTACTTGATAACTCTATTGGACTCATACACGCCATTCAGACAAGAAAATTATCGTATCATTTGTGCCCAGTGAATTATGGCGCATGTGTATCCTATATCCGTACTTACTACGACCATGCGACAGTATATCTTACAGGAAGGAAACCTTCTTTGAATCCTTCCTCAAGGTCAGGGTTCCTTGAAAATCATGGATTTAACCAACAGAATCGGGAAAAGGTAGCCGGCTCTCTCGCCTTCACTTCTATATTTCTTCCTGCAACTGACTACAGAAGAGCTATCTCTTCCTTCATCTAGGCTCCCTATCTTAATGCTCCCAATTCATGAAGAGATACAGAAATCGTCTGACGGCTGCCATGAGTAGAAGGGGTGACCAATTAGACTTGTTCCATAGTGTAACTTTTGTTAATGTCTGTCCACTCTCGCAGCAAATTTTTCTCCTCGCTTTGTGTGCATGAAGCCCTTCTCAGGTGGGCTTGACCACAAGAAAGACGATTTCAGCCTAACAGAGACGGAGGAAGTGAAGTGAGACCGCGGAGGTGGGCCGCAACTTGCAACATATATCAGCCTTACCAGGGATAGCCCTCTGATCTTTACATACTTAATGATAGACTCCAGATTGAGGAACAAAATTGCAACTTTTCCGGTTAATCATTTCGATATTCCACCCGGCTCTCAATATTATATGCAGTGTGGCCGAGAGAACCGGATTCCCCCTTGTGCAGCGTACCGTCTACGAACAAATGCTTCAACTCTGAAAGCGGAAGTTTCCGTAGACGCTTGCAAAAGAGCAAAATGCATGCACGGTTTGGGGGCCCAAAGCTGGGCATCTCACGTGACGAGAAAACTCCACTTTCAGTGTCAGCCTTCCTCAAGGTTATCCTTATCATAAGTATATGTTCGAGCCCGTAGGCATACTTGTTATATAATCGTAGTTTATGGTTCAATTGGGGGTTTACAATCTGCAACTCAATATTCACAGCCTATCCTCATCGCTGAAGCGGATGCTGATCTGCCTCAGTGCATCCTTAATGCCAAGCCCGTACAGCCTTGAACCATGCAACGAAGTGTGGAATTTCCGGATATGTCCGTCGACTCCCCACACCTCTCGAAGGTTGCCTTTGTGCGGCCTTTCCGTGACAAATTCACTGCTTCAAAGCTTTCAGCCTTGTCGAAAAATTGACCGCGCGTTAAGTACCTTAGAATTCATATGTTCTCTTCTCTGAGACTCGAGCAAGGCACGATTACCATGAAGAGTCTGACCATGTATGGAGCTTGTTATAAACAAGCAAACCGAGGCCTCTTTTCATTCGGTCCAGCCTGATGATCAAGTCGGTGATATCGACATCGCCGGATTTGTTCAAGTAGACTTTCGCGCATATGCAAGAGGGGGCACTTGTGGCATGTCAGTTGGAACTGTACCACACCACATGACAAGTTCCACCATACAGCTTCGCCCTATCCCTTCTCTTAATTGGTTCACATTCATGGCGAAACGAATCTGCAGAAAGGATGCCGACATTAGCGAATTGTTCAGCGGCCGCAACGCTGTTGCAGATTATAAGCCTAGCTCCACTCCCCACATCAAAGACTTCCTCGATTGTTCTATCCAAAGACTCTGCCAGGTTATTCAAGAGATGACATAAGGCTGAACTCTCACAACCATGGAAAGCTATAAGCATCATCAGCATCTACAGTACGGCAGCACACCAGATACCAGTTTTCAGTTAGTGTGATCCCGTTTCTTTCGTTATCGGTTCAAGAGGCTAATTGCTTCGAGATCTTCACCCGGTCCGGCAAGAACATCTTCAATTCATGAATCGGACGTGTCCTCGCCCGAAATGTACCAGGCATTTCAAACATCATTAGGTCCACCACAACATGGCGATATCATGCATCATGACGACCTTTCCACTGCTCGGGTTTCTGAAAAAGAACATACCACTCGTTCTCCAAGTACCGCTCCAGAAGTGGCCCAGGAGTTCGGTTTCTATCATCCGCAACCTCAAAATCGTTCCATGTCGCCCACATTATCACAGGGGAGCACAAACGTCGGCAGTCCACAGATAGGGACGTCTGTGGGAGGCGCAGATGACAAGGAAGTTGCACATTATCCGGCAACGGGAGCGCCAGAGCTTCGAAACCAAGAGAAAAGGATTCTTGGAATCAAGGCGAGGATATTCTGGATTCTTTTAGTTATCTTGATCCTTGTGTTAATCGGATTAGGACTAGGACTTGGTCTTGGACTTGGTTTGGAAAAAGATCACAAATTTAAGTCACCACCGGTTGCTTCCGCTTCAGCTTCACCAACCTCGTCAGCTCCAAAGCCAACGTTTACAGGTGATCCAAATTATGCGATTGGGGGGGTAATCGATCCGGCGTACTACTCTAAAAAGGGCGCTTTCAATGGAAGCGGTATTGCTTTTGCGGGGGCAGCTTTGGATGCAAAGATCAAAGGGCAATATACTGTGTATTATCAGCACTATACTGGTGATATTAGGTACCTTCAGCTGACGACGGATGCGAATCCTACATATGTTGGCGGAACTTCTTCCGAAGTCGTTGCGTCGAACGCGAAGAACTCAACGCCGATTTCAGTTGTCCAGTATGTACTGAACGCAAACACTAATGACGCCGTTGCCGAGTGGCATGTATTCTTCATTGGAAATGACGGCTACATCAAACAAAGAACTTGGAAGAACGATTCCAACATCTGGTAGGTGACCGATCGCATCAGCTCGACTTGAGACTCAGAACTAACGACTTCATCTTGATTCAGGTCTGATGGCCCTATCACAGCACAGAAAATTTCGATCATGGATGCAGATGCAGTTGGTCTCCAAGCTTGCTGGTATGGGAACTTCTATGGAGACTCACAACTATCTGACTTCCCTGCCCCGTCAGGTTCCAACAATAATATTTCATTCTTGGCTAGATATGGAATGAACCTATGGTATGCGAGGGACGAGAGTACCTTCGAGCAGTATGGCATCTATGAGAACCAGGAAGAGTGGAAACTTCAACACACCTGGTCTGGTTTCAACGGGCACGCAGGAGTTGGATGTTACAGCTGGCTGCCTGGAACGACCACATATGCAATGCTTGTGAATCAATATAACACGGTAGAGCTGTGGTGGAGGGATACAGATCAAAGTCTAACCCCGACGCCAGAACATCCCATCGATGCGTGGACGAATGGTAAGTGTCCGATCATTCTACGCTAAAGTACATGTCTAATCGAAATAACATCAGCAACTGGGGTAGCAATACCCAATGTGTACCCTTCCACATCCTTAGGCTATACCACGTATTTCTACGCGATGTTGGATGACTCAACTATCCACGGCTATAACATATCATTCAACTCTGAAAACAGCACCATCTTTAACGAAATCGTGGTTTCAGATCCAAACGGTAACCCAGTCAAGTTCTTGAACGGGACACATATGACCGTTAGTGCTGTAGGTGATACTAGCGGGGGCGCATCACTGCTTGTCTTCGCTCAGACTACAGGGAATGATATTTCATTATATACTAGGGATCTCAAAGGTGGAATTTGGACGAGTATCCAACTGCCTGTCGATACGGACTGATTTGGGGCGATTGCGCTAGCTCGAGGATTCCACATATGAACATATATTGTTTAATTTTTAGTACTTTATCGATCAATCGCTTGCGTTCTTCAAGAGGAACCTGAAGACATTCCTTACAATGAACATGCTAGCGCTATAAGAAATTGAGGGATAATTTTCAAACTATGAAACAGCGGGATATCTGCAAGAGCACCCCGATCTCTACTTATATAAAATAGGTCTTTGGTGTACCCTTAGAACATGTCCTTGTGATTGTTAGGAGAAAGAAAAGATCTGTCGGCCAAGACTTCAGGCGGTGATACTTTTCGGCGCCGAAATTCCATCAACCCGACATTCGCGGATAAGTTACGCTTTCGGCGATTTTGTCAGCGCAACAGGCAACGATCACACTTCAAACATTGAGCCACATTCTTTCCTTGTTAATTACAGGTTTGCAGCTCTTATTTTGCCACTTGCACATCGTAACAAAACTTCAATCTTGAGAATATCCCATACTTTGATGTGAGGTTTCTTTATGAATGTGACACAGAAAATTGTTAATGTTCTATACCTAGATATCTGCCATGTTATCAGCACTTTCCTATGTGTGCGCGCTTGTTGGGACAATCCCACTTGGTTTTGGTATCAACGCGTTCATACGCCCCGAACACGCACTTAGCTTCTTCAATAACTCGTCAATGCCAACTGAGAACCATGAGCTTGTTTCAGCATTATTGATGGTCTACGGTATAAGAGACATATTCATGGGCATTTCAATTTATGCAACAGCATTCTTTGGCAATAGGAGGGCAATGGGATTGGTTATGATTGCAGGTTTTGCTTGCGCAATGGTAGATGGGTATGCTTCAAAGACGTTCCTTGGAGGTGGGGAATGGGATCACTGGGGATATTCACCAATGTTGGCCTTGCTTGGAGTGATGGCCTTGATTTAGGATCACGGTGATGATTTCCATGCGACTGTGGAGTACCGAAAAAAAAAAAACAATGTATAATCAATCATATTCTATTGGTTTTGTATTTTGTCGCAGCCTTTAAAAATCACTGGATTTCGAAATCAGCTCGGAAAATTTCTCTAGGTATTCCTTGTCTTCTTCATCAAAGCCTTCAAGTTCCGCACAATCTATATCGATGATTGCAACTGTCTACAAAACCTAAGTTTAAGGATCGCTCGTGGCACGGGATCTTACTGACCTTTCCATTTTGAATAATTGGGACCACTATTTCGCTCTTGCTCGCTGAATCGCATGCTATATGACCGGGAAATGCGTCCACATTCGGAACCAATTGAGTCTTGACTTCTTTTGCTGCGGTGCCGCACACACCACGACCAAATGCAATAGTCTGACACGCAACTTTGCCTTGAAAAGGACCGAGAATCAGCTGTCCCGGATTTTGCTTGTCGACAACGTAAAACCCACACCAATTGACGGCGGAACTTGGTCTGGGGAGCGAGAGCAATCCGTGATACAGAAGAGATGAGGCGTTTGCAAGATTGCTGTTTAGCATTTAAACACGCAAATTCACCATGATCTAAACAGCTTTTGCTCTTACCAAACCCAGTTTCTTTGACTCTCGAATAATCCTTGGGCTTGTTCTAGCACTTGTGTATAGACCTCAGCCTTGCTCAAGCCGGAAGCGAAGGTCGATGAGTCAGCATGAACCTGCACCACCATGCGTTAGCGTTAAACTTGGACAGTCGATTTGAATATGAAACCTTGCCATTTTGAAGGTTTGGAATAAGTCGAACTTTTATGAAGGATATCGTCAGTTCATTGGGCGTTGTGAGTTAAGCGGAAATATTTCTTTAGCCTAAGTTAAAATTGCGAGATCAGCTGACAAATCTATCCAGTCCAGTAACTTAAGTTATAATTTTTGGCACCATGATTGAACAAAACGATGCCATATGCTTTTGCGGAAACGTACCTTGTCAAATAATGGTGATCATCATAAAGGTGAGGTTGCAGCTCAAACATACACTTCAAGGCTTTGTTTATATGTATACCTGCACGTTTTTTTCTTTCCATTGAGAGAAAGGCGCAAGTCCAGAAGGATGGTCACGAAAAGATCGTCGAGTTCAATTTTAAATAGCCTAGCTCAACGCTCTCATAACAGCCTCGAAAGCAACGAGCGCGCATGCGTTCGCTGGAAACGCTCGTAAAAAACAGGGTACAAAGCCTCTCCAGTATCCTTTCCATCCCCGGTCTCTATAAACCTGTAAAGCAGCATCGCGCCATCTCCAATATTTTCTTTTGTCCTTGTCCAAAGAATCTGTCATGATCTGCTGCTTAACAACATCTGATGGATAGCTCGTGATCCAAAACATCTGTGCACTCAGCCCACCTGCCCAGAAATTGATGGCAGGAGTGCTAAGGTTGGTATACTGCTGGAGCCACCGTGAGTATAAATCGTAGGTGCTCCACCAACAAAAAAAGAACGTCCTAAAGAGCAATGTTGCTCCAAGACCGTGATAGAGGCCTCTTATCCCGTGATTCTGAAGCAACTTCTTTGAACAGTCTATTGGACCAGAATATAATCTTTTCGATTTGTCTGCAGCGTATTGTACCTGTAATCGTGCTTTTACATGCTCTACTGGTGCGGCTATGAAGCTCACTGTCCAACCAGCGGCCATACCAGCGAGTCCATGACCAAATGGGCTCAATTTGTAATTTGGGTCGATCCCTCCGGTCGGTAGTCGTGGAGCAAAGATGTGTTCGCGAATCAGTCGGCGGTAGACCGTTAGGGATCCAAGCATCCTGTGTAAAGTCAGGAGCAATCTCTAGAGCTGAAGTACACTTACAAGCTGTCCATAAACATCCACCCTACCAGTGGAGGCGTCGCACCTTTATACAAGCCTCGTACACCCTCATTTCTTACAGTTTGTAAAACACAATCTAGGGGCCCTCTAAAGTGTGACTTTTCCGTTGTTTGTAGTCTGACCTTGATCGTATCGAAGCTTTGAAGTATTATTAGCACAAGATCATGAAGAACCAGGATGATGCCTTCTCACGGATGACCAACTGTGAGCTTTGCTATACCCGAGAACACACCAGCAACGAATCCCTTGTAGTTCGCAGGTGCTTTCTTGTTCTCCTCCTCAAGCTTCTCAGAAACTACCGTTCTTTTACCCATATGCTGTTCGCAGGGTTTTTGGGTTACCGCCGACATGTCGACGCCCTTGAATATTCAAAAGTTGAGGATACAAACATGCCGTAAGATTTCAAGGCATGAATGTTCCGACAATGAAGAATGGCAGGAAGGATGATCTCTGTATCACTACAGCTTCGCGGAGAGATGCATAACTCCGAAAATTTGGCGCGAGTCAGGTAATCCAGTTCCGGGATCGGAGCTCCGACTAAAAACGCAGACAGCATTGCCCTTTAACTACGTCAATCAGCAGTTATGCAAATCTCTTGTTGAAAAATCCAGCACAATATTTAATTCTGAACGTGATGATTAATCTGCTGAATTCGGGGAGAACCATTTCTCGTAGAGTCTTCGTAACTGTGACATGCTGACACTTGGCTGCAAAGTCCACGACTTGTCCTCGAGTCCATGAGAATGCTTTAAACCAGCAAGGAGTTCAAAAATCGGCTGATTAAATAAGAAGCTAGATGGAGAAAACGCTCTCTCTACATAAGAAGCCTCGCGATCATAACAATCTCGACAGAGATCCGGAAGAGGGGATGAGGGTTAAAGGTGCACTTTGCCAACAATCAGAGCAAGTTGTGACATGCTGTGCGTTTTGAGAGCCTAAAGTCGACACTGAATGCTTTACACCTATGCCTTCCGCCCCCAACCTTTGCGTATTTAAAATGTTGTCACCAGCGGTATTCAGGCATCACCTTAAGATCAGGTTGCCTTCTTTATCTAATTCCAAGCTCTTTAGGACTCAAGAAAGTGAAATCAACTTCAGGATAAGGCTCGTACAAGTCAGAGTACAAGTATCTATCTATGAATGTGCAGCTCGCAATGGTTCGTTGTTCTTCTTTCTCTTCGCAGAACGCAGTGTTGAACTGCGAGTATAGAGTCGGTGGCTAGATCCGTGGTTGGGAAGCTAAATCACGTTCAGCGCTCCCAAATCATGGAGGTACATAGGTAACGTCGTTCACGAAACGAAATCACACCTCTCAGATGTTGATCGGTAGATGAAATGCATCACTTTTATACACACAGGTCAAGGCAAACGCAAAGATTGGCCCAAAAGAGAATAAATTCCAGCAAAAGATTTGGATCGTATGAAGCCTTGACGCCGCATTCACTAGTAAAGCCTCGACCGCAGAACTTGCAGAATCGATGCAGTTCTACAAGAACATTGAGTCCCGGCATGAAAAATTTTTCGGACTCACCGTCCATAGGCACGATCGTGAGGATCAGCTGACTCAGATTATCAGCCCTAGATCTTGATGCGTGATGGATTTGGCGGCCCTCGTATTCCTCTGCCTCTGTTGTTCGGTGTTCAGACTCCACAGTCATCATTTGCTCTGTTATACACCGTCTGACGTTTCTATCTCGTGGAACAAGCAACTGCAGTCAAAATTGCCCCACGGCAAGTCCCATTAAGAACCCGCGGCATTTGGTGTTATCCCTGCAGCAGAACACCTTTATGTGATTCGCGAGCGCCGACATGAATGCAGTTGCTTTGCTGCGGCTGAAGGCAATCCACCCCAGCCATTCGCTTACTTCTCCCGCTATCGACGCATCTCGGCTTGCCGAATGCTGCGTTCTGCATCACGTTAGTACTAGAACACGATAGGCACCAAACCTAGTCTCTGCATGAACTGGGCCAGTCTTAGCCGTATTGTCAAAGGCCCCAAATTCTTCGCGAACTTCTGGCGCAAGCAGTGGCACCTCATTCTCTCGTGGCGGGGCAGTGCTCTGACTCGAGAAAGCTGCCGAGGATTTGCCATGCATGATTGCGCTCTTTACCGCCCTTATTTGATTGCCAAATCCCTGTCCTGCAGTCTCCTTCAATCCAAAAGCTCGGACACAGCTTTGGAGGCGGTGGTTGTTACGACAATCTGGGTCTTTGGTTTGTAAGGCTGATCTTCGTGATATTTTGCTGCCACAGATCCACCTGCAGACCCCGCGCTATTGTGGTTTGCATGCAGTTTCCTATCGTCAAATCTTTCGTGCGTGATGGAATACAACTACCGTCCCAATGCGCCTGGTAGACCAGAAGAAGGGTAAGGGAAATTCATCTCCTTGATTTTAGTTTCCCAATATCTGAGACCCGTCGATTGGAAACATGGGTTCAGAAGGCGTTGACTTCCTAGCGCGACGCAATTCCTGACAAAATATAGGACGCATTTTGATACTCCATACGATCCTCAAATACCATTAACATTGCATGATTTGTCGAGGATAACACATCAATCGAACGAATATGTTTCGCCGTATCAATCTCTACCATACGCGGCTCCACAGGAGAAAGTCCTACACGAGCCAAGAGCTGCCTCAACAGCTCCAGAAGTAGTTGAACTTGGACTGCATCATCCGCGACCAATTCATGGTCACTCCAGAGCGCTGTCACCTGCGTTTTCCTCGCAAAGCACAACTGTAGAGTTCCCAGTAAGCTCTCCAAAACCGCAATCCGGCTATTACCCCGACGGCCTTGAGGTGCGACAAAGCTACTTCAACGATGGCAAAGAAGTCTACAATGTAGATCCACTGCCACCACAAGTTCCACCAAAGGAGAAGAGAATATGCGGTTGTTCGAAGATACTTTTCATCGTCCTCATGTTCTTGGTTGTCCTCATTCTTGCTGGTTTGGGAGCAGGCCTTGGGGCAGGCCTTGGAATCAAGCATGGAGATGGTGGGAATTCGCCGCAATATATGGGTGACCCAAGACTTGCAATAGGCGGTGCCCTCAATCCCGCATACTACTCCAAGAAAGGCGCGTTCAATGGCTCTGGCATTGCCTTCGCAGGCGAGTCATTCGTAGACAACGAGCACGGAATCTTCACTGTATACTTCCAACACTGGGCTGGTGATATCAGATGGATACAATTGAGCTCAAACGGAAGCTATATTGGAGGCCGTGTGTCAGAGACGGTAGCCACAGATGCCAAAAATAGCACCCCTATTTCGGTGGTTGCGTACGCGATGAATAGCACGTCGAAGTGGCACGTGTTTTACGTAGGTGTCGATGGCTATCTCAAACAAAAAAGCAATAGCAACGTGACAAATATATGGCAAGATGGACCATTGACAGGTTTGAATTTGAAGGCATTTGATTCTGACTCCGTGGGCATGCAGGCATGCTGGTACGGGAATTTCTACGGAGACAGCGATGCGTCTAAATTTCCCACAGCGAGTGGACAACCCAACCAGCAGGCGTTCGACATCAGCAAGGGAATGCATCTATGGTATGCAAGCGATGCTAAGACCTTTCAGCAGTACGGTATATATGAAGGGCAGGATCAATGGGTCTTTCAGAAGGAATGGTCTGGCTTCAATGGCCACGCTGGTGTCGGATGCTATTCTTGGCTACCGGGAACTGGTGAGCATATACCCTTCGTTCCACATTGAATTCATTGCGCGTTGACAAACCTGTAGTCTCTTACGCAATGCTCGTTAATCTAAATAATACCGTAGACGTAAGTTTTACCATCACTAGCTTTCTTTTGATTGTCTGACTCGACACAGATCTACTGGAGAGATACCAACACTACTACAGAAGGTAACGCAACGCATCCTATCAACGAATGGACTCGAGGTTAGTGCTTGTTTTTGAACTTTGAGGAGTTTTCTGAGATGAAATAGCACCCAACGCGTCTATCCCAAATGTATACCCATCAACGTCTCTCGGTTACACGACATATTTTTACGCTCAGCTCGAAAATACTCAGATCGAAGGCTACAACATCTCATTTAACTCAGAAAGCACCCAGCTCCTGAACGAAATCACCGTATCTGATACCGGAGGGCCCGTCAACGTGCTTGGAGGTACTCACATGTCCGTCTCAGCAGTTGGGAATCCCAGCGGCGGCGCAAGTCTCTACGTCTTTGCGCAGGACGAAGGTGATGACATCAGCGTCTATACGAGAGACTTGACGGGCGGTCAATGGAGTAGCGGAAAATTACCTATACCAAACGACTAGACATGAAAAAGCAGCATTTATCTTCATTGTTTATCTTCTAAGCAACACACATGCACATGTATAAAAATATCTATACATACGGCAGCCTAACCAAAAGATACCCGAATCGATCTTACTTTACACATAAACTGTCACTGGTATTACGGTGCAATACTACAAACTTTTTTTCTTTGCTTGTTCACAATGCGACCGTTTAGATAAAATTAGTGGTCCGTGATAAACGCGTACAGCGTTCGCGTACTTGATGCAATACGGAGGTTCGGATATCAAAATAAGATTCTTGATAGCCAGACTTCTTCATCTGAACACTGACCTAGCAATTCAAACTAGGAGAGGCCAAGATGATTGACATGATTTTCATTTGAATTTCCGGGGACTGCTTCTTCATTCACAGCATCTAGCTGCCTCAAGTTGGCCAAACTAGGTCGCAATGATGGAGGTCCCCTTCCACTTCTCATAGTCCCGTAGGAAGGTCCGAGGCTTGGACTCATATATGGACGAAGTCTAGGCGTAGCATCCGACGGCATTTGACTCCTCCTCTCTTCTTCCTCGAGGACTTCATGCTGTACATGCTTTCCAGCGACTGCGACGTATGTCACCAGCGCGACTCCAATGACGAGTCCCAAGCCGGCAAGTGACAGGTTGACTGGTGTTGGGTCGTCATGAAACGCTTGGTGTGTAAGAGCCTGCATCGCTGATTGTGTAAAAGTGAGGAGTCCAGATATGCAGACAATGGTTCCGTAGATCGTCCCAAAAGTTGCCAGACCAAAGACCTTGACAGCATAATCTCTGCAAGAAATTGACGAATTAGTACCATAGTAGGTAAATAGTGTGCAAGATACTTACGACATGGCTGAATAGTATAACGGCCTAAACAGGCAGAATACAATTACGTTAGCATACCCAGCCCACAAGAACGGCAACACGCCCAAAACGCCAATGAGTGTGCTAATTCCAACAACAAGAGCAAGAACGCCCGATACGGGCAAATTGTCCAGTAGAGTACCAATAAATGGTACTGTAGCTACGCCTGCGATAGGCAGTGCTATGTCGAAGAGTTTATTGATTCGGTTGGCCAGATCAATAGATTGAAGCATGTAGCGATACTGACTCCATATTGTGGCTATGAAGAAATTCATCCTGGCCATCTGTAGAATTGTGAAGAGTGTAATGAAGATAAACCACGGCGTTCGGATCTGTTCAATGACTGGAAGCCCATGCAAAGCCCCCCATGCTTGCGAACGGATGTGTCTCTCCACTTCTTTCTCGTCGTGTTTAGCCTGCTCATCCGCATCACCAAGTAGAGACTGCACCTCAGCGCGGATCCGCTTGCGATCCTCGGCACGCATCGTCCTGACACGCCACAATTCGCTATCTTCCAGATCATCATCCGAGTCGTGAACGTCTTGCGCGGGATTTTGCGCCCTTTCCGCAGCCTCTTGAAGCTCAATCCGATTTTCGTATATTTTCGATGGCATAATGAAAAGTTGTGTGATGAAAATAAATGTGGGAACAGCAAGATAAGCTAAAAAGAGCTGCTTCAAGCCAAACGTCTTCTGTGTGCGCTCGTAAATTAGGCGAAAGCCTAGAAAGACCGCGGCCGATGCGTCGAAAGCGCCGGTCACGAGGGCCAGAATGAGACCTTGGTACCGAGGAAACGCATTCGACAGATGGAATGAAGGCACAAAAATGAACGTGCCTCCTAGAGAGACAAGGACATGGCCAGCCATGACGGCGTCAAAGGGTAGCTCATGCTCAAAACCTAGACACAAGCTACCCAGAAATAACACGACCGCGCTGATCAAACCACAGAAACGAGGTCCGTATCGATCGAGCAGTGCCCCTACAAGGAGTGCGGATACATTTGTTGTTACAGATGCCATGTTGAAAGCCAAGTTGAGCCTGTCGTGAACAGTCAGCACAAACCCGGCTTGTTACGTCACACCGTAAAGAACATACTTCAAATCTTGCATGTAACAGACGACGACGCCATCTCGAAGCTCTTGCTCAGTGCAGAGCTCTCTGTATGCATCTCTGTCTATGAGAATGGGTTTAAGCGCCGCAAATCCAAAGACGATTCCAGATCCTAGTGTGCAGGAGATTACTCCGATGATAACCTGGGCTAAATCTGGTGAGTACGAGCTCAAGTTGGAGAGAAAGCTAGTCAGGAACTACCAAGTCTTTTCTTGAAAGAAACTTCATAAGCTGCAACTGGTTCAAGTTTCTTCACTTGCTGAGCAAGTGGATCTGACGGTACTGGGTCATAGCTTATGCTGGTCCGACGTTGTCGAGAGGATACTCTTGAGAGCTGGAGCGGTAAGCTCGCCAAATCGTCAAAGACATCTGGATCACGATCAAAACCTTCGGCGGCAGAGACGTGCTGTGCTAAGGACATGTCTCCACGATAAACGAAAAAAAGAAGAATGATGAACAACCACGATAGCTCCACGAAATCAGAAGAAAATTATGGATATTGACGCCCTTGCACTAGGGACGACCAGGCCACGGCACATGTGACTTAGTAGCCGCGATACCGGTACGTTAAGGAATTCCCTACCATTTTCAGGCAAGCGTAAATGGCAGGCCGAGCACATACCATGAGAATGATTGACGTTTGCATGAATGTCTTTTGAGAACTACAATCAATGTGCAAACTGCAGACACGCTTCGCGATACGGCGTCGTGGGACTTTGGAATGGAATGGTCTGCGACCGAAAAGGGCTGCCGAAGCTTTGTGACGACCAATCAATTCGCGCGTAGAGCTTGTATCATCTTGCGTAGTTTGAGGTACTAACCACATCCGCTTACTAGCACAACCTTTGCCGATCTGCATTCCTGTAGCAAGTTTTCGTGTGCCTTGCTGATTGCATCATTGTCGTTTTCCTGCAGTAATAGCTATACATCGATCAAGTCTGCAGATGCTTGGTTAAAGTGCAAGGGTCCGTTCAAGGTGTGCCGATGAAAATCCAACGACTCCACAGCTCTTGCACGTGATATGCCTTTTGTGCTGTAGTTCAAGACAATTCTTTTGTGGAGCGTGGAGCGAAAACGGAAGTTGAATGACGAATTCTGTTTCGTATTGAGGCTTTGCTTTTGAAGAAGGAGTTCTGTAGATAATTCCAGCTGACTCACGCACGATTGAACACTTCACACCACACCCACACTTCATAGGGCCGTAATCGCGCATACAGACCTTGGTCCTTGTTACGACAGAGATAATGGCAGAAACAAAATCCGTCCTCGTATTTGGTGCCACGGGCACAATCGGCACGTACATATTCGATGCTATTCTCGCAGCAAGTCCTCCTTTTGAGCGAGTCGGTATCTTCACCTCGGCAGCGACTGCGGAGTCGAAAAAGCAGCTCGTCGAGGAACTCAAAGCAAAAGGCGTCCACGTCCATATAGGTGACATCAAGAACAAGGACGACATATCCAAAGCCTATTCAAACGGGTATGACACTGTCGTTTCTGCGATCGGACGAGCTGCAATTGCCGACCAAATCTTGCCGCTTGAAATTGCCGAGCAGACCGAGAGCGTCAAGAAGTTCTTTCCCAGCGAGTATGGCACAGACATAGAGTATGGTCCAAAGAGCAAGGACGAGCCGCCGCATCAGCAGAAGCTGAAAGTGAGAAAGTACATACGGGAGAACATCAAACGGCTGGAGTACACCTTCCTTGTTACGGGGCCGTTTGCCGAATTTTACATCGGGAAGCCATTCGGCGCCGGTGGCTACGATGTTAAAGCAAAAAAAGCCATATTGCTGGGGACGGGAAAAGAGAGAGTCAGCCTGACAACCATGCCAGAGTACGTAGCGCGACACTTTCCTTTAGCATTCGTGCTGATCATCACTCCAGCGTTGGCAAGCTCTTGGTGGCCGCTTTGAGGCATCCTGAAGCATCAAAGAACAAGGCTCTGATCGTGAACTCGTTCACCACAACTCCCGAGGAGATCTTGGCCGAGTATGAGAGGCAGCTCGACACTAAGTTTGAGGTTCAGATCATTTCGCTGGAGGAGCTCAGGAAAATGGAAAAGGAAGCGTGGGAAAAGGTCGGTCTGGGTGCCACTGGCCTCATCCTCAAACGAATTTGGACAGAGGGAGGCACCCTTTACGACCATCGTGACAATGAGAAGATTGGATTCACGAGTCCAGATACGTTGGAAGTCGCAGTCTCCAGAGCCATCAAGGCACAGACTGAATGAAGTACGATATGATTTCAACACGCCATACATGGCAAAACTGTATGTTTTGAATTACACTTAATGAAACGTCCGAGCGCGGCTTGGTTGCCATTTACAAAACATCCTTTTTCAGATATTTATTGGGTAAAAGCTTCACTTTCGTTGGGAAGGCATGAGGTATCAGGATCGCCTCCTCTGTATGCATCTCCGAAGAAATTCATGATGCCCAATTTTATATGCAAGCTCAACTGAGATTTGGACCCGCGCACCATCGTGCTAACGGCAAGAGGCAGGCAGGTAATTTATAGGGTAGCGGAATGGTGGCTTCTGCGGCACGTGGCGACATCGGACGACTTTTTCTGAATTAGGTCTATCCAGAAAACCGTCAGTCAATCCTTTGACCAGACCACGACGACTTGCATCTCGCACCCAATCATGCATTCTGGTCGATGATGCGGTTATATCAGACGCATTCCCGGGCCCCCAACAAAAATCGTTGAAAAACAAACAAAAACTAAAGGATTTTCCCCTGATCAACCAAAATAATGACGTCCACCGAGCCCAAGTCGCCGGAGCAGCCTCTGTCGCCCATGCAACAAGCCGCCGACTTCGACACCATCCGGCGCAATCTCGCCATCGCGGGCGTCATAATCTGCCCTATACTCATCGCGCTACCGCCCCGCAAGCTGGATATATACACCTTCGCGCTGGGTGGGTCGACGCTGATCTCGCTCAACTACCTCCGGAAGCACGCAACGGGGCGCAGCTTCCTCGAGAGCGCAGGCGTCACCGGGCCGGGCAATTCCGTTGCGGCAGCGGGCGACAGCTACACGGGTTTGATGCCGACGGAGAGGGCAAGGCTGTACCAGCAGCTGTTGAAGGAGAGGAAGGAAGCCGAGGCAGCGGGGAAAACTTGGGTTCCGCGGACGATAGAGGAGCAGAAGAGCGTGCTGGAGAGCGTGCGCGAGGCGAAGGTGGAGGAAGATTGGAGAGCTATAAGGAACAGGAAAGAACGGGAGGCGTTTGAAAGAGGCGACGGCGTTGGCACGCTGATAAAGGACTACTTCGCGGAAGCTCTGGGCTTCAAGGAAGAAGACGAATCTTCAGACGGAGCGAACGGAAAAAGGTGACCAAGGCAGCCTTTGCGCATTTCCGATCATTCCCTCGGAGGACGAAATCACATACATGTCGTATGTGTAAATAAAACACGCAAAGACGGCACGAACAAAAACTCAGCGTGGACGTTGCGTGGAAGCCAAAGGATGAAAACGAACACCTCAGAAAGATCAAGTCATTCATATACATTGTATCAAATACACGCTCTCCAGAAAAGAACATACTGTACGATTAGTTATTATTCCCCTCTTATCTTGCTATGACGGACAGATATACGTCGGAAAAAATAGGTTGTCAAAGACTCCAATTTCTCGTGAAAAGTGCGACAGCTCGCCGGCCGTAGATTGGTAACCATCAATGCGCCATTCCCAATGAATACTTTTCAAACCATCTTTGTCTAGTTCAACAATTGGTAATTGTGGTCTAGCCTGGTCTTGGAGAAGCGTGTAAGAAAGCAGGCAATGTTCATAGAGCGCAAACACCAGCGACGATGGCGACAATGCCCGCGAGCGACGCAGCAGGAGCGATCAAAACCTCAGCACCGCTCTTGCTTATGCTTGTGGCTGAAGCGGAGCTGAAAGAGCCTAGAGAAAAATAAAAAAAAGAACCGTCAGCATCTGGGCAAGAAAAGACTCTGAAGCGATATGGAGATTACTGCAACTTACTCAATGGACCAGTTGGCGCTTTCGATACGACGCTGATGTTGCCATTGAGTTTCTCTGCACCTTTTGTGATGACGAGAGGATTGTAATGGATCTGACCGCTGGCAAAGCTAAAGGAGTGACCAGTGACGGTGCTGTTACCGGAATATCGCGGTAGGCCTCCTGAAGCCGTAACGGTCGGAGAGGGAATCTGGAAGCTCTCCGTACAGCTGGCGGTCAAAGGCTTAGTATCTATGTTGCAGCTTACAGTCGTGGGAATAGGCCCCGAGTTGTCAATGCGGCCGAACATCCTGGGGCCCTGGGTCACAGTCATAGGTGAGGAAAAGCAATCCTTGGTGCCGTTATTGCCCTGCTGGGAGCAATCGAGCGCATAGATTGTTTTGGTGTTGTCAGCAGACACGACGGCGCCGTAGTATGTCAGGCCGCTGAGTGCGGAGCAAGTTAGATTTATGCCGGAGCAGGCGTTGAACAATGAGACCGTGGTTTGCGCTTTGGATGTGATTGTGGTATTCATGCTTATGGTAGAGACGCCGGCCAAAGGAGCTGATGTGATGACACTCTCTGAGAAAATTTTGTTCGAGGCATTTGCAGCTGTCGTGACTGCCTTCGTCGCTGGTGCTATGGCATCCGATATCGTGCTCTCAACGGTGGAGATATCGGAGTGAGTGCTTGAAACTCCAACAGAGCTGGCCGAATCCAAGCCATTGCTAACTGTGCTTAGATCCGTGTACTGAGAGAGCACAGGATAATTGTACGAAACTGCTCGAACGACCGCAGAGCCCAAGACGAGCGCTGCAACGACAGCTTTTTGAACAACCATTCTGGTTATGGCTTCGAGCGGTATTACTTGATAAAAGAAGAAGAAGAAGAAGAAGAAGAAGAAGAAGAAGAAGCTTCAAACTGATGACTTACGAAGGCAAGAAAATAAGGTAGAAATGCAAACTAAAACAAGATAAAAGAAACACGAGCGCGGTCGATGATCGTACCCGCTCCCAAAAGATGGAAACTTGGACTTTTACTGCCCCAGCTATTTAGACGCAATGAATGGCGACGGAGATCTTGAGATTGTACATTGAACGTAGAGTTTCTGGCCGCCTGCCGTAGAGCAACCCAAAGGACTTATAACCCCCCGGCGCGACACCACTGCACAAGCTCCCTCGCATCGTGCCGTCGGGCGGTACCGGATCGACGTCTGAACGGCTGTCGCATTCAGATAGGCCGGACAATAAGCAAACGCAGGCAAACGCAAGGCACAGCCGCGTGTGTCCAGGTTAGGTTACGTTTGCGGGATGAGGCTCAAGTAGAGGAGGGGCCATGTTGCTAACTTTGGACAGCTGATGACGGGGGAGGGAGTGTGCAAGGCTCAGCGCTATGTAAGACGGCGTCTCGAAAGCGGCGCCGGCGAGAGCGGAGAGGCCACCAGCGACTGCTGCACAGATGACCGCCGGTCAGACGGCATTCGGCATTTCGCCCCTCCCCCGCCCCGGACGCGCGTTTCCTTGACGCGTCTCGGTTGTCGGCAGGCTGGTGAGAAGGCAATGCGGTGCAGTCGGATGGATTCACAAGTAGATCACAGAAGAATGGAGGGGAAGGGGGGGGGGGGGGGGGGGGGAGGGAACCGGAAACACGTCTGCTCCCATCATCCTTTGCTTCGTCGGACTAGCATTCATTAGCGTGATCTGTGAAAGTCTAGATGTCTTTGCCGTTGCCGAGTGATGGTTCGAGAAGGGATGAGGTAAGGAGGTTTATGACTGCTTGTTGGAGGCGGCCAAACACGGACAAGCGCCCGTTGCTCAAGAAGTCCAAGAATCAGCATCCGCTTTCATCTGGCGATCGCGCTCACATCGCACGTGGAGGCCAGCCAAAGGCCGTCAGATGGAATCAACGATTCAAAGGCTTGTCGTCTTCGCCAAAAGCTTGTCGTCCTCGAATCTCTTTTACCGGCATAGCACTCATCTCTCTTCAACTCTCACCAAGATCTCGGCAACGGCAACGATGAAAACTTGCCTTTCATTCATTTACGTATCTCGCTTTGATTTTCGTCGCAGAGCCATTTAGTATACATAACTTTGTTGATGGGTGAAGGTCACAACCTCACAGACCTGACATTTTTGACGCGTTTACGCACTTTCAGCCGAAGACTGTCATCGACAGGTGAATAAGGGGCCCGCGAAGCGCAAAATGTCGTTCGTTGTCTTCCCTCCCTTCAGAATACAAATACATCAAGCCATCTGTTCGGACGAAATACATTGTCATGTGGGAAGCTGTCGCAGGCGCCAAACTTTCCAAGTCCGCAGCAAGCTGCAGCGTGGTCATACGGTACAGCGCCGCCCTTCCACCTACGCATATTCTTCGTCTCTACAAATCTCCCTTGTTTCAAGATAAAGATGCCCTCTCGCTGGAGCACAATGTGAAAAAAGCCAAATATTAAAAGCATGGATATCTATGCCGCCATGAAGAAAAGAATGCCGTTGAACTTTCTGCAGATTATCAATCGACGTAAATGACGCAGCAATGAAGTCTCACGAAGAGGGAGAAAATTTTTGCTGCCGACACAGGGTGCAAGTCAAGAGAGGACGTATGTCACCTCGCCGCCAGTCGCAGAGACGGTACAGCCCTCAGTGGAGCATTGGCTGTAGTTATCACCGCCACAGTACTGGCCGTTCTGATACCTGCATTTGGTGTTGCCTCCGATAATCTCGATAGTGTATGGCAACGTAACCTGCATCTGAGTTGGGTGGTTCGCCTGGATCGACAGCCAAGCAAGGCCATTAGACCACCCAACACCGAGGTTTCCCGGAGCCCAGTTGCCGAAATCATCGCCGTAGTCTCCCCAGACGCATGCCTTCTCGACAGAGTATCCTGGCATGTTAATGTAGTACTGAGCAGAGGTACCTTTGTTCTCCCACTTGTAGTACGTGGAGCTGTCGGGACAGGCAAGCTCTTGCGTCTCCCCTGGATTGACATTGACCGGGATCGACATCTTCTCGTCGCCTTCGCACAGCACTTTTAGCCTTGTACGAACAAGAAAGAGACGCTAATTGACTCACCTGGATAATTCGTGCGGCATATGGCTACATTTTGCGAGAGCATGTTCTTGACGGTGACCTTGATATTCTGGCTACCTTTGGCGCAGAGTGTCTTGTAGGCGGGGTTGGTGAGGTGAAGCTTGCCATTCTGGCACAGGAGACCGCCGATAGACTGGCCAGTTGCACCCTGCTTTGACGGCCACTGATACTTCAAGTAGCCATCTGGGCAAGCATAGGAGCAGAAGGACCCTTCGACGCAGCAGTTACCATTCGGGCATTCGTTGCTAGTCATGCTCAAGATGTCGTTGTAGCCGTTGGCCAGATCCTGTTCCGGCTTCTGGACACTGGCCCAGCCACCTATGTTGAGCCAGTCCAGAGGCATGGCTCCATAGTCGCTTGGAAAGTGACTACAGTCGATCTGCCCATCGGGGAATTCCTTGTCGACATTGGCGAGAAGGCCGTTGGAGTTCCAATTGCCGTGGCCGTAACCTGCGTCGGAAGCTTGTATGGTTGGTGTTGCAGACGTGGAACTTGGTGCTGGGGCCGACCACTGGACACTGGTAGATTGCAGGCTTTCAGTGGACTGGGAAGCAACCTCTGACGTGGAACTAACATAGTACGTGGTGAAGGTGCTTGGGAGTGGCAGAATCTTGTTACCGTCGACGAACTCCAAGGAACCGTTGCGAACACCGGCGGCGCACTCATCTTGTTGGATAACATGGCCATCCAACCAGCATTCGACGAGATTCACATGCACCATTTCCACAACGACGTCCTTTTCGACAAGATGCGATGAGGGTGCACGGCGGACGTGGTGGCGCGCGTGGTTGTGAGCGGTAGCGCACCACGCGCCACTGACAGCCACCATTGTAGTAGTAAAGAGTCTCATGTTGGATTGCCTTTGACGATTGTCGCTCAATGTAGCTGCTCTGCTCTATCTCGCTCGGGTCCTGGGTCCTGGATCCGGGATGCTTGGGAACTTTTCGCGCGGATATCACTTACCAAAGTCCTAGAGACTTCCAAAGGCTGGGGTCAGCCCTTTGATGAAAACGCAGACGCCGCAGCAGCTGGCAAGCGTGGAACGCGAAAGGTACAGACAGCCGATGCACGACGAGCACGGGAATTTGGAGAGCTTTGAAGGGTAGAAGGTAATGGTGTCGGTCTAGCAATGCTTTGGACGGGCCTGAAAAGCAGTCGGAGACGTCAGGACTCACTAGCGTGGGTCACGAGCGTGTCCGAGACGCGAGCAGTGTTTGTTGCGACGGTAGTGAGCGAAGTTGGCCTCACTTTTAGGCTGTGCTGGCGCAGAACAAGTGAAGCAGTACCGGCTCAGTTCGGCGTGACTTGTGTTTGACTTTGACCGCGTGGCGTACACAACTGTAGCAGACTCGGGAAAGGATACAAAAGAGTGGACGGAAGCGTGATACTTCCTGGAGTCGAAGCGAGGGGAACTGCTAAGTCAAAAGAATGGCCGGCGTGTACCTGGAATCAGGAACGCAGTGTTACATGGAACGAAGGGAGGATAGGAACGAAGAAGACGGAGAAGCCGAAGACAAAGACGAGAATGAGAACGAGAGAGAGTGGGCGAGGGGAAGAGAGAGAGTGTGTGTGTCGAGACGGCGAAGGGAGGGTGAAGATGTCGTCGGCAAGACGCTCGACGACGGCAGCTGCGCCTTCTTTGCGTCGCTGCCGAAGCCCTCCGCCAAGGTCTGGCGGTGATCTACGACGTGCCCATCGCCTGCGCTAGCTGCACCACCGACGACTTGGTATTGCGCCACGCGCTGGTGCCCGTCAACGTGCCCTGCACGGCGCCGAGACGCATGCTGTGCACGACCACAGAACGCCTGCGCGCGCCCCAGAAGCCCGGCGATCGCATGCCCGTCCGTCCCGAGCTCCTCGTCGGCGTCAATTGCAGATCGCACTGCCTTGTCGTGCTGGCTGCCCCCGTCGCCTCGCGCCGTCGCCGGCCGCTGCCCAGCATCACCAGATTTCCCCCTTGAGGCACCGGCCAGCGGCATTGGCATTGGCAAAGTCATGGCATGGAGCAGTCAAGCCCCCGAAGCGGATGCCTCGTTAATTGCATTCCAACCCCCCCCGCCGTCGCGTCGCTCAGTCGTGCCCATCCATGGCAATCTCATGCGCTTGGCCCAGACGCGATCCAATATTCGCCGCTGGATGCCCCCTTGCTCCCAAGAAAACCGAGCTCTGCTCGTCGGTCCGTCGCTGTCGCCTGCTGGGCGCGTCGGCGCTTCACCGACGGAGCCTCCTCCTGGATCATCGAGAAGGATGCGTTCGGGTCGCACAAGGGAAGAGTCGAAGAAGAAGCCAGGAGCCCGTTTCGTACACAGGCTTGCGGAGCCCAAACCAGACGTCGACAAAAAGCGGCGTCGAGCTATTTTGTACCTGCGCTAGTCTCGACTTGGCACCGGCGTTGCATCCGTTTCCTCTCAAGCACAGCGTGAGTGAACTCTACAAAAGCGTCGCCGCGCTCCTTGAGCGTGCCCTGTTCAAGATCGGCAGCCCTCTCTGTCAAGAGCATGCAGCTTCCACTCAACGCCCGCTGGGCCATGTCCAAAGCAAAGTTCGCCTCCTGGCACAACATCGACATGGTTGCCGCGGTGTCTAAGGTTTGAAGTCCCCTTTACTCCGGCCCGGCTAGCCAACGTACAACCGAAGGCAGACAGTGACAAGTTCCGGAGCCTTCGTGGCTCTTGAATGAAGAATGACGATCCGCTCAGACGGAGCCTAAAGAATCTCATTTCCCTCTGGCTCACAACAGCTCCCTACGGAGGACGTTCTGTGTCACGCTGTCAGCGTGGACGACAGGGATTTCTTCCCACCACGACGACTCCTGCCACATACCGCGTCGTACACGAACGACCATATGTCGTACCTATGGATCTTGACTCGCTCGAAGTGATATGTAGCGTACATTCTGCCGCGCCCCACCCGGGCGAACGCGATCTCGTGACCGATTTCGTATTCACCTCCGCCGCCTATATCTCGTGAGCTACATGAGGTCGCGTTGCGGACTCTGCTCTTTCAGAGGATGTACTACACTATGCTTGCCGCTTTGTATACTATTACTTAAACGTGCGAGTTTTCAGAGTACCATGCAAGAATGTGAAACAATTTATGGAAAGTACCAATAAAAAGGCCGACCAAGCGCCTACGTTGTATCCCTATCCCTATCTCCAAATGGATCATGAAGTCGAAAGTGCCAAGCTTGGTTTGGAATATCCACCGGAAACCCCCGATCACACTTGTCTCCGTTCCAACAAACTCTTGAATACTTGCCACATTCGCGACGGGAGATTACTGCTGCAAAAGATTGGACCTTGTCGGCTGCTGAACGAGCCCTATCCGTCAGCAAAGTCCCTATTCTTTAGATCTGTTCCGCCTTGTGACACGTCCGAACTCTGTCCCGCCTCTGTCCAGAATCATTTCCAGCTCAAATAGCCAGTGAGAGATGAATATTCAAGAACGCGAAGACCCTGCGGTTTCGCCGACTTGGAGCACGAGGAGTCGAACAAGACGACCAAGATAAGCGGAGACAACTTGTCATGAAGGAGGTCCCTAGAACTGAGATCACACGCACCCATCTTGCGACGTTCGTCAGTTCCGGCTAGGCCGATCAAAATCGCTGCTCAGGCGAAGTTGAACCTCAATGGATAGCATCTTGGTGCGAATGCACGTTGCCTGTTCTCTCGTCAATGTCGCTGGATGCGGCTTCTGCACCACGCTTCTGGGGCCACCAAATTGCGCTTTCTCCTGGCGCGGCACCCGGTTAGGTGCGTTTCGGTCAAACGCAACGAGGCGGTCAAGTCGCCATAGTGAGAGCAAGTTAGAGCCGACGTAAACACAACGGCGTGATCAGTTTCGCGAACGACCGTATAGATAGTCTGTGTGAGAAATGCCTCCAACTGTGCTCTGGTTATGCAGCTGAACACGACGAAAGATCGTGCTCTGATGGAGCACAGACTCACGCGAGCCGATGGGCAGTGGTGTAAAGCCATTTTTCCTCACTGGGGACTCAGAGATACTAGGACACGACAACGAACGGCGTGATTCAACTCGATGGCAACTTTCAGAGGGGCGCTGGCATACTCGTTGCGCCGCTTCTCGGCGTAGAATGAGTTTTGGGTTGATGGACATACAAACGCAGGGCCTTGCAGGTAGTTGGACATTCTTCACGACGCGCTCTCCTGAACCATACCGGTCGAACAGTCTGATGCGCAGACCGAATTCGAGAAGCTGTTGGATATTCTTCTTTCGCGACGCGTTCACGCACTGCACGTGTCTGAGCGGTTGGAAATCGATCAGAAACATTAGTTAAAATACATAGCGCCTATCAACTAAGCGATTTGCTACCCAAGCTCTAAATTCTGAGCTCATTCGATACAGAACCATCGAGAGTCTGAAAATTAAACCTGCGGTCATGTTTTTCTCGTCAGCTTGACGACCATATCGCCTGCTTGCAACACGATACCGCTGCCGCCGAAACCGTCCCTTAAGTGAGGAAGTTTCTCTGTCTGATTGCCGTGTTCGTCTATACAGCGCTTCACCTCGAAGTCGAAGTTCAGAAGCATGAGAGCGGTAGCTGCAAAGATTTCTTGCTTTGCAAATACCCTGCCTGGACATATGCTCTTGCCACCCCCGAATGGGAAGAACCGGCCCGCAGTGCCCGAGGTAGTGAACACATCCTTTCCTGTTTCTGGGTCGGTAGTGAGAAAGCGCTCATGATAGAATTCAGTAGATGGTTTTTCACCATCCCAGATAGCAGGATCCCGCTGGCCGGGCCAAGATGGTGCCATTGCCAGCGTTCCCTTGGGCAAAAAGACTTTGCGATCGCCCTCGCCGGACAGCGGCAAGACGTGGTCTTTCTCCAGCACGCGGGAGACCAAGACATCTGTGTAAAGACGCAAGACTTCGTGAAAGATGCTTTGCAGAAGCGGAAGGGCGAACAGTACGGGCAGGTTCAAGCTTCCGTCGGGATGTTGCGCAGCCTTGAGCTCCGCCATGACTCGCGGCTTTAGGGATCTGTCCGCGTTAGGGTCGAGAATGTGGAGCAGCATCCAGCCGGTGGCCGGAATCGCGTTGCTGGCCAGGCCAAACGTGAATCCGAGATCAAAGCCAGACTTCGCCTTCGTGCTTAGCCCGAACTTGTTGTACATCTCTTGTCGAGCTCTGTTCGCTCGACTGCCGTGATTCGGCTCCCAGGGTATGTTGCTGTTGCTAGAGTCCACAATCGTATCAATCGAGTCTCGCGCAAGCCCTTCATGCCACTTTTCAATGCCCTTGATGCTCGTATCTCGCGCTCGAACGGCCTCGGGAACCATAAACTCCGGCAGGCCAAAGAACAACGACAGCATATTGCGCTCGAATTCCCAAAAGTCTTTGCCAAAGTCCGGATAGTACTCAAAGATTTTCTCGCCCATAAGAGCTCGGCCAGAGGCTTCAAACATGTAATCGCGTAGCCATTTGACCAGACCAAACTCTTGAGAAACGTCTAATCCATCCAGCTGCTTCGTGAACTGCTTGATGAACTCACTCGTTAGCTCAGTGACCGCATCTGTCTTCAGCAGAGTGTCCAGGTTGATCTTCTCAGCTACATGGATCGGATCCACCTCCTCGCTTTCAAACTTTAGTCTTCTGTCCTTGGCGTCGGTTCCATGATACTTCTGAATATCTGCTTGCGGCACCCCCAAACTTGTGCGGGCGATCTGGATGTTGAATTCTAGCCTGTTCGCGTCTCTGCTTTTAAAGAGCGCCTGAACCGTCGCCGGACTGTGCAAGATATGAGCGCTACGGGGGCCAAGTCGCAAGGTGCAGGCTCCCGCCGCTCGCGGATGAAAGCTGAAGAGCCAGTTCCAGAACAAACCGGGCCTGGGAGCAAGAAACGACCGCGCATTACCAAGAAAGGGAATCGTGTAGGGGATCTGCGGAGGAAGCGATGGAGGTGCAGGTTTCGAAGACGGAGAACCGGGCGCGGTGAAGCGTGCCACAGCTCTGCGGTAGCGAATCGCAGTGTACGCCCGCGTACATGCTAAGACCAAGACACAGGATGCAACGAGTGCGAGTACGATTCGAATGGAAAGAGGTAAGGAGCTTGCAAGGCCAGTACAGATGCTGTATAGCCGAGAATGTTCGTCGAGCTTAACCTCGCGCAAAGGAGATCTTGTAGTCGAATACGTCGCATAGACTACACGCAAACGAGAGAGGAAAAGCAACTCCCTCATAATTGCGTGCATGCTCTAAAATCCTTTTGACTTCTCTTTCATTGTAAAGTGCTGAGCGTTCAGCTTTTATCGAATTGGGACTTGCTTATGGTGGAGACGCATCAGCCAAACGCCGTATGTCGTGTCTAAGATTAACCATTCCTCTTTGAGACCAGTGCTTATTGCTTAGATTACACTTTGAGATGTTTGGCAGGACACTCTGTGGTCTACTCGAACTCAATCGAAGTGAAAGTCATGAAGGCTAAGTTGAGCACGTGAAGCAGATTTATAACTTTCTTATGATGATAGTCTTGGTACATGAGTGCCATTGAATGTTCAACTCTGGAGTTGGCATAGACCCGCCGAGATAACTCACAATCCCCGACAAGAATCATCTTATCTCTTGGCAGTCTTCGCCTATAAATAGTAGTCGACGCGAGATGAAAGTCGACTCGAGGAAAACATAATTCTGCATTATACATGTTGTGACATTTCAGCCCTTAGTATTCGTAGGTCAGGCATCCTCTGTACTGTAATTGTATTCGTAACCTCCTTTCTCCTGCTCTTGCGAGTTGTTAGAAAAGTGTGTTGTTTCCGGGATCTCGATGTCTTGCATTTGTCGTGCATCAACTTCTAAAGCACTATGGAGATCGTGCTGAAAACCGATGGTGCCTCCAGCAGCGTCCGAGGCAACAAACAAAGCAGGATCAATATTGGCTCCATCTTCCACCTTCATCTTCTCTGGATGTCCATCGTATGGAAGCTCCTCCTTTTCCTCCTGAACTAGTGAAGATAAACTAGAAGGTGGAGATGACAACCCTGAGGTGTCTGAAGCTCTCAGGCTTTGTGCAACACCTGCACGTTCCATGGCCCGCTTAGCGAGATCTGAAAATGAAACAGCGTGTTTTGACGCGCTTGCCTCGAGGCTTGGATCGAGCATGGCGATGTGTTCGCTGTCTAGACTCGATAAAGGTGACGAGGCCTCTGATGTAATCTTTATGGAAGAGACCGGAGAACTCTGTCGACGCTGCGGATCAATGTCGGTGCCGTCGAAATCCTCAGCTTGGCTATTCTTTCTCTCGACTTGGCCTGTATACGATATTTCCTCTACCAAAATGATTCGTTGGTGTGTGACAGTGTGGTTCCGCTCACTCAGATCGTTTGAAGTCTCTTCAGTGCCACCTCTTTCGGTATCGTCTCCATCCTCATCATTGGTCTCTGGTTCTGTAGGTTCTTCCCCTTCGCTTGCCGCGACTATTGCTTGAGCACGTATGATAGCGTTTAATGATGAATGTACCCGTTGTTGCTCTTCGAGACCTTTCACTTCAGAACGATGTTCTTCCACAACCTCTACATCATCACTTTCTGTCTCTGACTGCTCATCTGACTCTCTTTCGGTGACTTCGGCATCGTCCTCGTCGACCGTGCTCTCCAGGTCCTCATCATTACCTTCATAAATCTCTTCATACTTCTCATCATTTTCTTCTGTGCTCTCGTCATCATCCTGAATACCCTCTTTTTCGTCTTTATGTTCATCACTTCCATCTTCATCCTCACTATCCTCATCATCATCATCTACTCTTTCTGCTTCTCCTTCTCCTTCTCCTTCTCCTTCTTCTAAAATTTCTTCCTCTTCCTCCTCTTCTTCCGCTTCTGCTTCCGCTTCCTGTTCTGCTTCCTCTTCTTCCTCAATAGAGTAGTCTTCAACAGCGGACAACTGAGATTCATCTTCCTCAACTTCATTTGTCTCGTCGAAAGAGGACTTTCGAGGTTGGATTGCGTGAGAGCCTATGAATTCAATTTCGCTAGATGATTCTCTGGCCTGAGAAGCTTCGCTGACTCCTGATGAGGCCTGACGCTGCTGCTCTATGACGACAGAAGCCTCGCTATTGTCCGCGTCGTCAAGGTCATTCTCGCTTTCCCCATCATCAGATTTATCATCCCGTAGATCTGATGGTAAATGGCGTCCAAGTTCCTCTTCATCACTAGAATCTTCACTTGTTGCAGAGTGCTGCGTGCTTATCGACATAGGCGTGTGCCCGTTGAGTAAATCTTTGCTTCCCGAAGCCATCTTGTTTAGTCTGAACCAGCCCCAATCCACAGGTCCACTCGGATCCCAGCCCTCCCAATGTATAGCTGGCTCCCCGTTCTTCACCCTAGGTGAGCTTTCTAGGCCAAATACTCTGCTAAATTGAACGTCAAGATCGTAGCCATCCAATCGCATTTCTTCAACAAGCTGCTCTTTTATAAAAGGCGCAAGTGGTATGTCGAAGGCATGTTTCCAACTTCTTGGATCCATTGTATCTTTTGTATGACCCTGACTCGCTCTGCGTTCGATAAGGAATTCTAGATCCAGAATTCGTTTCCAATCCTTGTCACCTGATACTTTGAACTTAAGCTCGTGAAGCATGGCCTTGCCCTTCTCTATTAGATCGAAACGTGAATAGACATGATCCATGATCCGACATCGGTCAAGAAGTGCGGCTACTCGCTGTATAAGCGGCACATCTTCATTTAAGATGAAATCTTCGAGTTCTTTCTTCATGTAAACCTTCGTCTTCCGCTGTGGATCATACTTTGGAACAGGGAATTCTCGCTCATGCTGAGCAAGGGTATCAGGTGGCCAGAGTTCAAGACCAGACAAGCCGTGATCAATGATGTGCCTGATCTCGTAGTCGGTTCTTGCATCCTCGATTCGAAGCTGCTCTCTAATCAACTCAAGATGCCTTGTAGTCCCTGGCCGCATCTGAGTGTGTGGAAATGGAGCAGTCGACGTCCACGGCACCGGCTCTGTGGGAGTTGGCCTTACTAAACACGATTTGTTAGCCTCCGCCGCGATTTCACTGGACAAGTCGATTGTTTCATGTGTGTGGACGTCGTTAGTTTAACCTCGACGAACAACATTTATTCTTGAATTCGATCATATGGGTTGGTTCTTTCCTTCAGCTGAAGGTTTTCTCTTGCTCCATCTCAATAGCCCAAGTGCAATTTCACGCCGTGCTTCTAACTTGTTTACAATTCTCGACGGCGCCATCAGATGCCAAAGAAATAGCAATCTGCGGAATTTGGTTTTTTGTTGATACCATTAGGGCTTAGTCTATGCATTGTAATTCTGTCGTGTGCAGTAGCTCACGAAGTCGCAGGTTCGAATGTCGCCGAGTTATGGTTGCCAGCAAGCAACATAGAGCAAATTATGACTCTCATGTATCAAACACTCACCAGGCACATAATGATCCAGAATTACCGTCGTTTCTGGATGCTGCATGTCTGACGCTGCTGAACAATTCATCTTCGCTTAGTGATCTTTACTTCAGTCAGGTCGCAAACAGACTGATAAAATTGCTATGATTGTGCTCCGGTTGAGTTTTCGCATCACGTATTGATCAAAGAATCAGCCGTGAAGCCGAAGAGATGGCGGAAGAGAAGTTACGCAGTTATCAATGATCTAGATGTCGCGCAAACAACATGCGACGCGTGACAGCGTTCATGAAGTCTGCGACCTCACAGATCTGGGCACGGCCCGACGCTATGTGGCTTAGCCTTTGCGCCACACTTCTTCTTCCTCGTCTCCCTGTTGATTAATGCCTCTAATGGCCACAACTGAAGCATGGTGTGCACTTTGAAAGCAATCCGATTGTCTTTGATGAGATGGAAATTGCACTGCAACGTTAACAATCGTTCATGCGGCCCTCGAACTACAGTGTCCACCACATTCTTCGAACACATATATCTTAACGGTTATTGGACATCAAATTTCCGTCTTATTCCCTACGCTGCCCGGAACAGCCGGGACGACGACCGTCTTCCCCCAATACGCATCTTGCATGCGGAGTTCGTGTGAAGATTGCACGAAATTACCGCGTCAAAGCACCCAAGCAAGGCACGTCAAGTGCGTTCTTACTAAACTTGCCGCTGATCTCTGATTTGAATTATCCTCGTACAGAGCTAGGCTCATACACCATCCGGAGCACCACCACCCGGCGCCAGGTCTCTGTTCTATCTGTTGCCCTCTAGCTTGGAGAAGTTGTTCGTTTACTTTTAATCGTTCCTCCTTAGATCCGTATTCTGTATCAACTGGATCAATCATTTCTAGCGTTTGGAACACACGACTCCATTCCCTGCCACAATTCGTCCGTCCAAATCTAGCACGTATCTCCACACAACAGCATCGGTGCTTAGCACTTTGACGAACACCACTATGGCTGTAATTCGACCGCGAAGTTCAAGTTTGCTTGAAAAGATGAATATACCACCGTATTTAACAAAAATAAAGATGGTGGACCTCGCTGAGTTCACAGAACTTGAGCAGGGCCATTTCCCTAGACGTTCGTAAGGGTCTTCCGCAGAAGTACGGGCGCAGTGCTTAATATATTATTAGCTAAATTTGCAAACGCACGGTTGCTCGCAAATGGCGTACAGTTACCGCAAAGTATAGCGCACAGAGGGTACAAAGCTGCGTATCCTGAGAACACCATGGTGAGCTTCGTAGGAGCTGTTGAGGCGGGAGCACACGCGTTGGAGACCGATATCCACCTTACCAGAGACGATGTGGTAGTTCTTTCGCACGTAGGTATCACCAAATTTCACGGGGAGCTACACGCTAACGAATTCAGGATCCAACCCTTAAACGATGCTTCGGTCGACCAGAGAAAATAATCGACTGTGATTGGAACTTCATTTCAAAGCTGAGGACTACGGCCGAGCCACCGTCCCCCATGCCTCGCTTGAAAGACCTTCTTGAATACTTAGCATCCCCTGGCCTCGAGAACATCTGGGTCCTCCTGGACATCAAGCTTGACTGTGATCCAACAGATGTGATGCGCTTGATTGCTGCCACAATCGCTTCCGTACCTCCCTCACCCAAGCGTCCTTGGAAAGATCGAATTGTTCTGGGAATTTGGGCTACAAAGTACCTCTCGCTATGTGAGGATTATTTGCCGGACTTTCCTGTATGCTTCATTGGCTTTTCGACATCATATGCGCGGCGCTTCTTCTCAGTGCCCAACATCTCATTTAACATGTTACACCAAGTGCTTCACGGGCCGGTGGGTGCGTCATTTATACGCAAAGCTAAGGAGCTGAATCGCGAAATTTTTGCGTGGACGGTCAACGATGAAAATAGAATGAGATGGTGCATTCGCAAGGAGCTTGATGGCGTGGTCACAGACGATCCAAAAAAATTTCTCGAAATTTGCAAAGACTACGAAGAGCTTCCAGTGGAAAAAAGTGTGAAGTCGAAAGAGAAGTATAAAATGGGCGATTGGATGCATATTCTAAAAATACAGGTTTTGGTGACAGTGTTTTTCATGCTGTTTAGATTCAAGTACGGGTGGACCGTAGAGGCGAAGTATAAGCATGTGCCAAAACGGAGGAAAGGAACGGGTTGGCAAGAAAAGACCGTAGAAAGAACTTTGTAGATAAACTTTTCCTTTTCTTGGACCTAGTTGATACTTTTGAAGGCTGAGCGGGATTGAATGAATAGATGCTAAATGAAAGTCTGCGAGAGGCCAGAATGATCCTGAATTCGGACGAAATTCCGCGCTCGAGACGTGATGTCCACATTTGCATCGTGAGTCGCGGCGTGTTCAATCAATCCCACCGCAATCATTCATCGCCATCATGATTCGAGGGTCATTCTGATCAATAATGATGGTGCAGCTAGTATCGTGTCAATTATCTTTCCACGAGCCGCCATGAACACGCTTCTTCGAACTGGCCTGAGAAATGCCATTCCTTGTATACACTCCACTCCAAATATCGCACGATTTCCGAGACCTATCCTGCCATCCTCTCGATGCCTTACCACCAAGCTACGCATGAAGAAGGGCCCAAATGCAAGCCTACGATCGCAAAAGGAGCAGCCTTCGAGTGCAACAAGCCCTTCTCAATCACAAGAAGAAGACCAGTCGCGGCGACACAACAAACATGATCGCGGATCAGAGCCCAAGTATTGGCGCTCATCCTACAAAATTGCCTTCATCTTTGCCATTGAGGTTTTCCTCATAACCCACTTCGTTACTGCCAACTTCTACGCTATAACCTTCCCTTACGGCGCTTCCATGCTGCCCACAATGTACGTCTCCGGCGAGTGTGTTGTCATCTCGAAACATTACGCACTTGGTCGAGACATACGCGTCGGCGACGTAGTGTGTGCTCTCCATCCGATGTTTCCGGACGGAAACGCGGTGATAAAGCGAGTTCTGGGAATGCCCGGGGACATTGTCTGTGACGGGGTGTTTGAGAATGGGGAACCAAGGATGATAAAGGTTCCAAGGGGGCACTGCTGGCTAGCGGGCGACAACGCCGGATTCTCCAGGGACTCTCGAATCTTTGGAGCAGTACCGTTGGGGCTTGTGACAGGAAAGGTAGTTTGGAGACTCTTCCCCTGGGAGAGATTTGGAAGAATTGAGAATACCATCGAGCCAGTCGACGAGTGGGAGGCCGCTCCCGTGTAGAGCTATTTTTTTGCTGTATGTGTAGAATGCATGTATACAAAAACTATCATACAGACAGAATAAGATAACAAGCAATGCATCATTACCAGACCGCCGCGCTGGCTTTGTCTGGCTGCGACAGATGCTCTGCATCGTCTGCTTCGGCCTTGATACCTCCTCTGGGCCCTTCAAAATAAAAAGACATTGTATGTGCCAGTTGACCATCTTGCGACCTATACTCGCGTGCTCCCGGAACAGACTTGACGGCATTTTTAAGTCTATCAACCAGACCCTGAAGTTCATCCATAGTCCTGTCAGGGGCCTGCCGTCTGTACTTCCTCACGATGGTTACGTCCACCTTCCTACCTTCCTCTAGAAACCTAATCATCTGTTTGCATTTCATATCCATATCCGCGGGACCAATGCTCCAAGATAACTCAAGCTCCTTGAACATCTTCTCACCCCTCTGGCGCTGCGCCGCTCTTCCCTTCTCTTTAAGCTCCTTTTCGAGCAACTCAGTGATGCTAAAAATTTTGCAAATTGGCAAAGCTCCTGCGTCTTTCCCATCCGTTGGCTTGATCATGACCAGTTTCTCCTCTGCTCGATTCAAACTCCACAGAACCTCCTTTGTTTGCACTCTTTTCAAAAACCTCCCGTGTCTATCCACCAATGAGATCTCGGGGTATGTGATTTCATCATTTTCGGGAGGTCGCTGCTCTTCTTCTGTCTTCGCAGGACTCGCAATTTTCTTGCTCTTGTTCAGAGAATTCAGGAGTGCCTGCGCCCGGTTGCCCTGACGGGGTGCCTCAGCTTTCTTAGCCGCGCGTTCGGCAGCCTTCTCTTGGGCCTTGCGAATGCGCTCTTGGTCTTCTGGTGTGATGATACCACTTTTCTCGCGTTGTTTGCGGCTCAGCTTCTGCTGCTGATGCGCGGACAGAGCGAAGGTTCGTCTTAAAGGGAGTCGTGGGTCACGACATCGCGGAATCCCAATTGCTGGGAGTATGAAAGCTTCGGTTATGGCATTGCGTGCACAGTACGGGCGGAGATGTGCCATTGCTGAAATAAACAGAAAATGATTGTTGTAGTTCGGAGTATCTAACAAAGTTGACATAGAAGTTTGTGGACCCTTGTCCGTTTTTAAGTTTGATCACGGGTAATGGCGTCACAGGCGTGACTGTCCCCGTCTGTTCTAGGCAGAGCACCGTGTTAAAAGGCAGCCTTCGCGTTCTACTACGGGTTTGTCAAGCAAGGCTCTGATCGGGCAGATCATGCGCGCTTACACTATTGCCTCATCACATTGGTACAAGTATGGCACACGATAGAGTCGTTGCCGATTCCGATGCCGTTGAGGAAGAAGAGATGATGTACGGTCATGGAGCCTTGACTTCAGCAGAATTAGATGAGAAGTACAATCTTAAATCTTCGCTCTGCGATAGCTCGTATGCTGATGGCGCCGAAGATATCCGCATAGACCACACAATGTTCACAAGACATTGCCGTTCCATGAGCTATTCACTACACTCTTTAATCCGCTTAATGAACAACGAAAGAAATCAAACACGTCTTTAGTCTCACGCAAGAAACAGGGTCCTCAAGGTCGAGTACTCATGACACCTCATGAAGCTCGCCGCAATATTATAGAGCGGTTTATATCGCGATGGCGAAAGCAAGTCGGGAACGATATCTACCCAGCTCTTCGGCTCATTGTTCCAGAGAAGGATCGCGATCGCGCCATGTATGGACTCAAGGAAAAAACGATCGGAAAACTGCTGGTTAAGGTCATTGGCATAGACAAGAATTCGGAGGATGCCTATAACCTTACAAACTGGAAGCTACCCGGATTCAAAGCTGCTGCCAGTGCTGGCGACTTTGCAGCCCGTTGCTTTGAGGTACTTCAGAAGCGTCCAATGCTCACAAAACCTGGCGACATGACTATTGCTGAGGTGAACGAGCGACTTGACAGGCTTGCTGCTTCTTCGAAAGAAAGCGAGCAAATACCAATCTTCGAGGAATTCTACAGGCGAATGAATCCGGAGGAACTCATGTGGCTTGTGCGAATGATGCTGCGCCAGATGAAGATCGGAGCTACTGAGAAGACTTTTTTCGATATCTGGCATCCCGACGCAGAAAATCTGTTCAACGTGTCGTCAAGCTTACGGCGAGTCTGTTGGGAGCTTTACGATCCGGAAATACGTCTTGACAGCGATCAATCCTCCGTAACGCTCATGCAATGCTTCCAGCCTCAGCTAGCAAATTTCCAAGCCCGCTCTTTTGAATACATGGTCCGGAGCATGAGACCGACTGAGGATGATGATGAATTTTGGATCGAAGAGAAACTTGACGGAGAGCGGATACAGCTCCACATGATGGAGGACAGCTTGGTGCCTGGCGGAAAGCGCTTCAGTTTTTGGTCCAGAAAAGGGAAGGACTACACATATCTCTATGGCAATGGTTATCAAGATGAGGAGAGCTCCCTCACGCAGCATCTTAAAGGGGCATTTTCTGACAATGTTCGAAATATCATTCTTGATGGCGAGATGATTACGTGGGATATGGAAGAAGACGCAATCGTTCCCTTTGGCACATTGAAGACCGCTGCGTTGTCGGAGGGCCGAAATCCGTACGGAGGCGGAGGGCAACGACCGATGTTCAAAGTTTTCGATTGTCTCTATTTAAACGACACTCCAATCACGCAATACACACTGAGAGATCGCAGAAGGGCACTTGAGTCAGCCGTGAAGTCTGTCCCCCGCCGTATGGAGATTCACGAGTACACGGTTGCGCACAGAGCGGAAGAAATTGAGCCTCTGCTGCGTAAAGTTGTCGCAGACTCTTCAGAAGGTTTGGTGCTAAAAAATCCTCGGTCGTCATACAAGCTCAGTGAACGGAATGACGACTGGTGGAAGGTTAAGCCTGAGTACATGACTGAATTCGGAGAAGCTCTTGATTGTGTCATCATCGGTGGATATTGGGGCTCTGGTCACCGAGGCGGTATGCTCTCAAGCTTTCTATGCGGCCTACGCGTTGATGATGAAACAGTTCGGGGTCAAAACGCTAACCCGCAGAAATGTTGGAGCTTTTTCAAGGTTGGCGGAGGTATGACCGCCACGGATTACAAAGAAATCCGTGAGGCGACGGACGGCAAGTGGAGGAGGTGGGACCCAAAACGGCCACCAACTGAGTACATCGAACTCGGAGGTGGAGACAGACAATATGAGCGACCTGACATGTGGATCAAGCCGGAAGACTCGGTCGTTGTGGAAGTCAAAGCAGCATCGGTACATAATACGGATCAGTTTCGCACGGGCTTCACTTTGCGGTTCCCGAGATTCACGAGACTTCGACGTGATAAAACATGGCGAGAGGCACTCACGCAGACTGAATTCCATACCCTGAAAAACGAAGCTGAACAGCGGCACAAAGAGCGCGAGTTCCAAATTGACGACGAGCGTAAAAGACGGCGGGCTGCTGCTTCGGTGCGCAAACGCAAGAAGCCACTTACTGTGCACGGAGCAGACGAGGTGATCGATACGCCCTATGCAGGACCCAGCACCAAAATATTCGAGGGTCTTTCCTTTTTCATCATCAGCGAATCCCTTAAACCAGTCAAGAAGAGTAAAGCAGAGCTTGAGCAACTTGTGAAAGCTCACGGCGGCAACGTCGTGCAATCACAATCTGCTGCTGAAAAAGTGATATGCATTGCGGACAAGGAGCTTGTCAAGGTACGGTCGATCAAGAACGAAGGGAAGCTGAACATAGTGCGACCGATCTGGTTATTCGACTGCATCGAGCAGAACCAGGCTGATATCGGCCAAGAGCGCTTCTTATTACCTATTGAACCAGTTCATGTGTTTCACACGATTGAGGCCGATCAAGACATGATCTTTCAAAACGTAGATGAATTTGGGGACAGCTACTGTCGTGACGTGAGCGTTGAGGATCTTAGACGCATTCTTGCATCCATGCCCTTAAATTCAAAGATCGCTTTGAGTAAGGATCAATTGCTGGAGCAGTTTATGGACCATGGAGTTGATTTCGGCGAGACAAAAGGCTCGATGTTCCGTAATGTCATCGCGTACATGGGAAGTGCAGAGGATGCGGTCATGGCCAACAGTGATGCCGAGCAGGAGCATGAGGATTTGGATATGTTGTTCATACAGCAGAAACTTGCGTTTGGGGGTGGCCAATGGGTGCATAGTTTAAGTGCTGATGGCGTCACGCATGTCGTCGTCACGAAGGACCTAAATCGCTCAAAGCTCAATGATTTGAGGGAAGCCGTGGCAAGCCAGACCACGCTGCCCAGGATTGTGACCCTAGAGTGGATTCAGGAGAGCTGGAAGGAGGGAACTTTGTTGGATGAGGAGCGATTTAAGCCCTGAATGAAGAAGGGTATGTACATCGTATGTTCAGCGCCTGCAGGTCAGTCCGTGATAATCGTACGATATTACAACGCTCGGAGAATACGGAAGATGAGATCACTTCGACAGCTCCGGCGAAAGGCTAACAAACCAACTCCATCGCTTGGATGCTAGTAAGCACATAGAGTTGTGATAGTGATGAGAACAAGCACCTTGACGACCGAACCTGCTTCCTGTTCCAAAGCATAGAGCAGAGCTTGGGCAAATGTGCAAATGTTAAGCAAAGCTTGTAAAGTGCTGCGAACAAGCACAATCAAACGATCATGGTTGGTTAAACTTTACTGGACTGCGCAATTCGCAGGGCGTGTCCCATGAATGCCGAGCACTACTTTGGCTGCATGAAGATGCTCAGTCCAATAGTAGAGTTCAGAGCATGATTGATCGAGAAAGTCTGCAGATGGAACCAGTGCCAAATAAGGAAGGCGTTTATATCTCAACTGTACGGATTGCAACTCAGCTGTTTATGTACTCCACACCCTTTGGTTTGAAGGATTTTGGACGTTCCCTCGTTCGTCGATGCGATGGGGGAAGTTACAGGTCGTGGAAAGGAAAAAATAATACCTTTGGTGGGCAGAGAGCGGGTATAAGAGATAGGTATGAAATGGAGAAAGGATTGACGCGACTTGGGGGTGAGTGTAGGGAAGCCTTGAGACAATTAATTGCCGGGTGCAGGGGAAGAAACACAGAACCGTAATGTCTGACTAACAAGCCATGACCCGGTCGAGGAACGTAGTTACTGAACAGTAGTGATTGCTTCAGCGACTATACGACGGTCCCCCACTCCATGGTCGCATTTCCAGTTTGTGGTCTGGTGTGCTCTTTCTGCCTTGATGGCCTATCGTGCTCCATGCAGTTGACGTGGGGTCCCGTCTTGCAACGTGCCATTGTGCAGGACGCAGGTTCCAGAAGTGTGAGAAAGGGATTTGAGAGTCTGAGCAGCGACCAGGGATGCTCGCAGGTGGGAAAACGCGCCTGTTTTTGCAGGCCGCGGAAGCTTAGCAGCGGCGAAAAGGCAGAGCGTGTGCCTCAAAGCACGGCAGACAGTTTTGAGTGCTACCTTGCGCCGTGCTCCTCCAGGTGAGATGGAGACAGCCCATGCTAGCGGCGACGTGTGGTCTGCAAAGCGCTGAATCGCCTTCGCTGCAAGGTCTCAAATGACGGAGGTGTCAAAAGATTCTTTGACGGTGGTTGGAGCGGGGGGTATAACACTTGCATGGAGGGTGCAAGACCAGCATGCAGACGATGCCCCTTTCACGCCACACCCATTTTCGCTTCACAGCCGAGCCAACGACGTGAGTTGAAAAGCAATCCGGAGCAATTGTTTACGAGCTGCCGGCCGGGAGATCTCCTCCGGGAAACCTCCCCCCTTGGTGGAGGGAATGTGTATCTGACCTGGCACATCCTCATCTGATCGCTGCTTGCTATCTCTGCCCGCTGAAATCACAGATAGTGGTGACGCGGCGCAGCACCAGTGCCCAAAAGCTCTCAGGCTTGCCCCAAAAGGACGGCGAGTCTATTGAATGTAATATCGATAAGAGAGCCGCGGGTGACTTGTGCTTTGCAGCCATCTCTCGTGGTGCAAGCCTCTAAGGAGCTTGCCGATGGCCCGACCAGCGTTCGCGCACGGGTGCGGAGCAAAAGACGCCTACGCTTAGAGATGCCATGCAGCAAGGAGAAATCGAGCGTCTGGCTGTTCTCTTCGACGAGCCCGACCGACCTGCTACATCAAGGGCGGTCAGAGGTGCGGGAGGAAACAAAACAAAACAAAAGAAGCCCCCTCTTTGGCTCCGGCGAAAACCGACTCGCTACAGATTATGTAGCAGCGGCACACACATCCACGATCCAAAGAGATCGGATTTTTCGCGTGCGGCGACGGCGGCGACGGGGGCAGACACCAGTGCGAAGCTGCACACACGCACAGCTCATTCTGTGCTCAGGGGCAGACACATCGACGAACAAAGCCAATCCCCGGTTCGTGCACGCCACGATAAGAACGATGCACGCCACGGCCATGGACGCGTTACCAGAACAAGGCTTCGTCGTCCCCAAAATTGGTCTCTTGACAAGCCTTGTGATCTCCATGTAGGACATGAAACGGATCCAAGCCAGGTCCCGCATCGGTAGCCCACCACACAAGCCTGTCCAGCACGAGGTCTGCCGCTGCCAAATCGTTACAGATTCCATCCTGGGACCACCTGCTACTTTCTGTGTGCTGAGGGTGCCCACCGTCCTCGATTGCGGTCGATGGCTTGCAGGCTAGACTCTGGACTACCTTTGCCTGCTCGCTCTTTCGTCTTGCTTTCTTTTTCCCTCCTGCGAATGCCCTGCCCGTCATTGCCCATCTTATGCGTCGTCTTAAGTCAGTGCAACCCCGCGATCTACAATCTCAGGGCTTCCTCACATTCCGTCATGCTGTTGGACTCTTGTCCATACACTTCCATCTGACCTATCACTTCTTTCTTTTTCCCTTCCAAACCCTCTCTCCGGAGCCCGGCGAGAGCGACTGTCTTCTTGTTTATAATTGCTCCATTTATCAAGTTCTTGACTCGTATCATTTACAGCGTGCCTCGTTTCAACCACTTGTGCAACGCGCATGTTTGATTGCTGGTTGACCGCAAATCGCATAGCAATCGTTCTCTTTACCACCGGTTCCGGTTGGTTCCCCCATTAATTTCAGTGCCAGTTTGAAGATAGGGAACTTCGTAATTCCACGAAGGAAATAACAGGATATATGCGCAACGCAATCAGTCGACATAGGAGGGCGAAGAAGCGACCTCTTTCGTTGACCATGTTCTTCTTCTAGACAACACTCCAACCACCTTTTTTGTTACACTGCTTTCTTACCAGGACCTACAGCATTTGAGAAAAATTTGCTGTGTATGTGTGTGTGTGTGTTTTGCATGTGCTAGTTCAGTTCAAAGTGGCGCATGCGTCTACCCGATTCTCTGCAGCTTCATTTCATCATGGTCGCACAGGAGGATGGCTTAAACAACAAGAATGATGAGGTCACGCAGCAAAGGAAGAGCATAGTGGCAGCTGCAATTCGACGGGGAACGGTCAAAATCAGCGAGCCCATTCTGTGGGTCGAAGGTGTGCCCTCGAACTCGCAGCCCGCCGCAGCCGCTGTGGAACCGCAAGGACCTGCTGTTGAAACATCAACTAAAGAAACGGAGGAGGGAGACAAGATCCATGGCCTGGCTATATCCACCGATGAACCCACATCTGTTGTTAGAATATCTGGAGATGGGCCAACCGTAAGCCAAGCGCAATTGCCACCACCAAATGCTATCCGTGAGACCATAGAGTCGCGGGTTTCATACGCCCCGGCTGAATCTCTGGATCAGAAGTCAGAGCACAAACGAAGCATCTTTGTGGAAGACGACATGGACAGTCCCAGACAAACTGCCGCGGAGAAGAAGAGAGCACGCCGAAGTGGCACGTTGAGGACAGTTTTGCGAAGCGTCTTTGGCCGCAAGAAGAAGACGCAGTCAAAGCATATTTCACCACCGCCCTCACGGTCAACAGTGAAGCATGAATATTCTCGAAGCGTAAGGCATTTTTTCTTTCTTCATTTGTTGCCTTTCAGGCGCTTACTGCAGTAGGACCCTCTGCCTGGTTCAAGATCGAAGACACCGTCAGCCATCCAGCCAGGCCGTAGCATCAGTAGTCAAAATGCGAGACAAACACTCAACGAAGATGAGCTTGACGTCCGCAGTACTCCCGTTCAACAAATGCTCCCGTTTCCAATGAACGTCAACGCTCCCCAGCCTGAGTCACCATCAAAAGAACGAAGGATTGCCAACTACCTGTCTTTCGAGACGAGTCCGAAGGTGCATCGGCGCAGAGCAACCCTATCCAGCATGATCATCTCACCTGAGGACAACACCGTCTTACACAAGATGTGGAGCACCACGGATCTTGCACCAATTAACTCTGCGAGTGAGACTTCACCTCTGGATAGCATCGAGCAGCCCGGCACGCCAATTGGTGTTGCTGTTTCGGGCAGCATCGCCAATCCGAATCGTCGGTCACGTAGCGCGGGTGCTCTTCACGAGCTTGCCAAGAAACAGGCGCAGGATACGCATGTTAGGAGGCTTAGCTCTGAGATCAAATATTGGCGCGCAAGCCACATCGCTTCGCTACAAGACGATGCCAGGGAACGGAAGACTCAGCCACAAGAAGATCTTGAGACTCCAGTCCTTACTAGTCCAAGAGCCAGTTCTATCGAGCCGCCGCAAACAGAGGTCTCTGAAGTATTTGCAGAAACAGGATCATCAATTCACGAGGGACATCTTGAGCCAATCGAATATGGCTCTGAAGCATCTGAACTAGCGCCAGCAGATAAAGGCGATGGTTTGGTAGAGCAGCGATTACTGCAGCTCGAATCTAGCATGCGCAGGTTATCCGTTTCCGTGTCTGAGTACGCTGCAAAGGTTGAGGCACCGAAAGAGCGCGAATTCGCACTAAAGCCGGCACCACGAACCAACACCCCGCAGGTTGTTTTTCAAGCACCTGCTTCTGGACGGCAGGCTTACACCGAAAATGAATCTGTGATGGAGGGACCACAGAAGAACCCCTCTATGCGTTTTGCACAGCCGTCTCGTGCTGTACCATCGCCCTCGCCGTCCAAGGGGTCCTATCAACACAGCTACGTCTCCTCAACGACGACTCTCCAACCTCTTGGACACTACTCTGCCGGCCCCTCAAGTGTGCAGTCCGCACCACAATCATCGTCTCCATCAGTCCCAAACACGCAATACGTCACCCAGAACGCATTACAGGAGCATTTTGTACCCCTCTATAACGCCCTCCGATATGAGCGGCAAATTCGTAAGGCGCTTGAGACGCAAGTTGCACAGCTTCGCAATGACGTGATTGATCTAAGTGCCATGGTAGCGCAGTTGCGCAAACAATCTGCTTATATGCAGACGAATGGGAGCAGTCCCGGTGGATCGTCGGTAAAAGCCTTTGGATTCGATGTTAACGAGAGGAGCAGGTTCAGTGGATACGATAGCAGTGACGCGGAAGGGGATGCGCCAAGACTCAGCCCACAAGAGCAGTGGACGACGCCACGTGAAGAGCAAAGCAGGCAGTGGGGCAGCACTGTTGAAGGAGACATGTTTTAGAAGCTACTGATCAGTTGCTTGTTGTTGACTCCATTCTTACTGGATAAGCAGCGTGAGGAGTGGTAGATACAAGGCTGGAAGGCACATGATACAGCGTTATTATGTGTATTTGTCTAGATACCCCCACACCAACGACTGGAGCAGTTTTTGTAATAATACGAGCAAGACTCGAAACTGGGAAGCTTATTGAGGCGTACCTTTGACCTATCTGGAGGCAATTGACCAGTGTTATTGTAATACGTACGAGATCAAATTGAACAAGCAATCGATTCCAGAAAATCTCAACTACTTGCCCTCCTCTCAATGCTGTGCAGCATTTCCCCGCATCAGGCCAAAGTGTACACGCATGCTGCCGAAGAATGAATGATGATGCTCCACAAGGCTCAAGACAAGGCTGTCACGTGCTGGGTACAGTTGCTCAAATTGGACCCTGAAGATTTTAATACCCAGAGCCCGTCAACACGCGAAGCGCGTCTCCGCCGTCGCACCCCACTAACATTATCCTCAAATGCGACAACCAATGCGCCATTCACGATGCCACGGTATCAACTCCCATGTCTCCGAATTTAGTTAACATCTAACACTCTTTCTAGCGAAATCATAACTCTCCAGGCAGGCCAGTGCGGCAACAGTGGTCAGTAGCCATAACATCTCCCCAATGCTGCCCAACATCGGAGACCCAAGTATGCTAAAAGACGAGGCAAAAACGCAGTGGGCAGCGAGTTCTGGCAGCAGCTATGTCGCGAGCACGGTATAAACCAAGACGGGAACCTCGAGGACTTTGCGACCGAGGGCGGCGACCGAAAGGACGTCTTCTTCTACCAGTCCGATGACACGCGGTACATTCCACGCGCCATCCTTCTGGACCTCGAGCCGCGCGTCATCAATGGAATACAGAACGGGCCTTATAAGAATATATACAACCCGGAGAACGTGTACATACACAAGGAGGGCGCGGGCGCAGGCAACAACTGGGCGGCGGGGTACAGTATGGGGTCGCAGATTGAGGAGGAGATCATGGATATGATTGACCGCGAGGCGGACGGCAGCGACTCGCTGGAGGGGTTTATGATGCTGCACAGCATCGCCGGTGGCACTGGCAGCGGGCTGGGAAGCTTCCTGCTGGAGCGCTTGAACGACCGCTTCCCCAAGAAGCTGATCCAAACGTACTCTGTGTTCCCGGACACGCAGAATGCGTCGGACGTGGTCGTGCACCCGTACAACAGCCTTCTATCCATGCGCAGGCTGACAGAAAACACGGATGCGGTGGTAGGTTTCCGTCTCGCTGGTGGCTAGCACTTTCACCTTTTCTCTCTCTGATCTCTTCGCCTTCCCTGATTTCTTCCACCTATCCTTCCCCCCTCCCCCCGACTGCATTCGATATGCCGAGCTAACCAGACACTTGTAGGTCGTCCTAGACAACGGAGCGCTGTCCCGCATCGCGGCAGACCGGCTGCATGTTCAAGAGCCTTCTCTCCAGCAGACAAACCAGCTCGTGTCCACGGCTATGTCGGCCTCCACGACGCCGCTAAGGTACCCAGGCTACATGCACAACGACCTGTGCTCCATCGTCGCGTCTCTGATCCCCACACCGCGATGTCACTACCTTATGACATCGTACACACCCTTCACCTCCACCTCTGTTGAAGGTAACGTCAAAACAGTGCGCAAAACGACGGTCTTGGACGTCATGCGCCGGTTGCTTCAGCCCAAAAACCGGATGGTGACGATGGCGCCCCGTAAGTCGTCCTGCTACATCTCCGTCTTGGACATCATCCAGGGCGAGGCGGACCCGACCGACGTCCACAAGTCGCTGCTCCGCATCCGCGAGCGAAACCTCGCCTCCTTCATCCCTTGGGGTCCAGCCTCCATCCAGGTCGCGCTGACCCGCAAGTCGCCTTACATCCCGACACCGCACCGCGTCTCCGGCTTGATGATAGCAAACCACACGGGCATCGCCACGCTGTTCAGGAGAATCGTCATGCAGTACGACAGGCTGAGGAAGCGCAACGCGTTCCTCGAGCAGTACAAGCGCGAGAGGTGCTTCGAGGATGGGCTGGGCGAGTTCGACGAGGCGAGGGCCGTGGTCATGGAGTGCGTGGAGGAGTACGAGAGTGCGGAGAGAGAAGACTATCTGACCAGAGATGTCGGAGGCGGGGGGGCAGAGTCATGAACGCGCTACGTCATGTAAGCATGGATGAGTGGCGTTCTTAGGAAAATGGGATGGGGGGTTTTTCAAATCGGAACAAGGCATGACAGCATGACATATCATAGGATTTTCTTTTTCATTCACTGATGACATATGGCTCGTAAATACTGGCGTATGTCTTTGATGGAGCAAGCAGCGGACATACTCAGAACGTGCCGTCCCTCCGGCTCAGTTACTGATCTACATGTCTGACTTTCGATGCCGTGTCGCCCATGTTATCATTCATACCAAGCACTGGTGTACATCCTTTCGCGCTTCTTACTTATACCTTTTGGGATCTTTGCTCTTTGATCTAACATACAGCCAATTCTCGCTCTCTTACTGAGGGCGGTCCGGCAATGTAAAATTGCAATTGTCATATGCAAATCGACGTGGTCCTAAGGTCAGCTACGTTCATCACATGCGTCTCACCATGCGATTTCTTCCCAGATGATCCCCTCCGGATCGACTATAGGTTGACTAAGTGCGGTACCAGCCATCGTCGACAATTTGATCACGGAGACACCCGTTGCTGCATAAGCGGTACGACCTTGCACATAGTTATAATAGTCTGAGGAGACGTAGCTTCTGAGAGGTGCCTTTTTGTGCAAGCCAGCATCCATTAGCTTGTCCTCAATTGCTGCTGTAGAGCGAAGCACACTTCCACCCTCCACAAGTAGCCTGTAGAGCTTCAGCTGGCCCTCCAGCTGCTTCACACGCCGCCTGTATTTCTTGGCTTCGACAGATGGCGAGTTCGGGTTCGGCGCCATCGGACACTCAATCGGCTCGGCTACGTGGACACTATCTCCCGGTTTCTCCTTGCAAGCTTCAGCATGGAACGGGTGGCAATTTCTTGAAGCCAGTGCTTCAGATGATTTTTGTGGGCCGGTTTTTGGCTGAGCGCTGGTCGTATTCGCTGTAGTGAAGGCCCTGACCTGCTTCTCAGCGACCAAAAGCTTGTTTGTTAGACGGAGGATGTCCTGCTCGAGACGCTCCCGCGCCATCTTGTCTGCCGCAGCCTGCTGGCATAGCTGCATTTTCTCGGCCTCGTACGCTTTCTTCATGACTTGCAGTTGGAACGTAAGACGAGCATTTTCCGCAGCCAAATCGTTGCTCTTTCCTCGTTCCTCGGCGAGCTCATGCTGGCCCTGCTGAAACCCCTTTGGTCCAGGCCGTTCTGCTAGCTCTGGAACCTGCATGGCGCTGGTTCACAGTCCCAGGTCGCCGAATTTGGTCACGCTGCCCTTCCTCACCCTCCCGTTCTCTCACAAAGTACACACACGAACGTTCCGGCCGGCCCGCGTTGTTGTTGACTACCCAAAGCAGCAAGAGCCAGAAGCAAAGGCCAGCAGACCACTGCAATGCAGATGATCGACACCGAGGGCACCTAATTCTCCTTCTCGGATCCACAAGAGCTAGGGTCGTTCGATTAGACGAAAAAAAAAAACTTTTTGGACTTCGGATGCGAGCTTTCGGGGCATTGAGGACGGTGCGAGATGAAAGTACCTTAGCGACACGGGGGCATAGCCGAATACGATAACATCAAGGGGCGACGGTGCCAGGAAATGAATTCGAGGTTTTGGTTGATGTGAGTCTGGCTTGGAGGGAACGGAAGGTGCGATCGTACGTAGTGACAGCCAGAAATGCAGCATCGACAGACGAATATGGCAAGTGCAGTTCAGGATGGTCGTCCGTATCTTCGATCACGAGACGTATCGAGTCTTGATATGAACCATTGGCGTTCAATATACTGGCTACACATCGCCGTGATTCTCTTCCCAACCCTCTCTATTCGCGCAGCCCTCCCAATTCAACTTTCAATTGTCATCGGGAATTTCCATGCTCCTTGTGTAGCCTCTTCATAAGCGAAAAGGCTAAATGTTGACAGAGCAAATACTCAGAGTTCACATATGAGGCCGACCCGAATATATCCGCTGCTAAGCTTCATGCATGGAGGTAAGCTTTGCTCAGGCAGTATGTCCAGACTTATTTCACATGGAAGCGAAAGGTGAAACCCGAGGGGCTAAGCACGCGTGACTTGTTTTGCTAGAAGCTTCTGAAGAGAGTAAGAGGGGAGAGGAAGTTCGGTTGCACATAGAGAAGAGCTCGAACACGTAGGAAGGGAAGAAGAGAAGCTTAATTCGAGAAAATAGCACAACTTGGTCCAAGCGGCCTTCTCCGTCGTCAGAAAATTAAGCGGACACGCCAACGACAAAGCCTAGACCTCGGACAATGAGCAATTCAGATTCTGAGTTTCTCATTTCTAACCTTAAAAAAGGCACTCTTGGGCACGTAAAATGCCATATGGCATCGCCACTTTAACCGTAAAGACGCCATGGGCACTGGAATGCGCCGATCACCTTGTTAGTCTGATTTCGGCAGAAGCAAGCCTATCCCTGATCTGATACACGTTACCCACATAGTCGGTTGTTTCGCCATTGTTCAAAAAATATCCAAATGGCGTTGCTTGAGGGCCCTACAAGATACAAGTCGAGCAAAGATTGCTCACGGACGCTTGAAGGCCTTCATGAAGCTTTGCAGTGAAGCTTATACAGCGTGACTGATCATGAAAGAGCAAAAAGAAATTGAAACACACGATTTATTGCCATGAGTGAGGACCAACGCGATTTGGCGTAATGTGTCTTGAAGTTGATGCATCAAGCACGCATAAAGCGCAAATCCATCGCCTAGCTGCTATTGATGTCATGAGGTCAGCGCTTCGGCTAGCTAGGCAAAGGAAGGTTCTGTTTGTGCCGCTATCAAGATAGGTGAGAGACTTCTTTCGCGAGAGTAGCTAAGCACGGAGAAAACGCGAAGCGAAGAAAAAAAAAACGCCACAAACCCGACGACACGCTGACGAGCGAGGTGAGGTTTCGTCTTGGGATTGCTCGGGGTTATCAGAAGCCTGTACCGGGACGTCATCCACGTGTACGGAAGAACCGTCTCAGCGCCCACGAGCAGGCTGTCACGGTACATGGAAGAACGTCAAAGCGTTGCTGCATGTCGATCAAAATATTAAGCATGAGAAGCGAGGGAGAGCCGATGTCTAGGACCGCGCCGAAAGGTGGGCACTGTTTTCGCGTCTACGTCAAAAGGCCAGCAGGCAAATCAATTCAAGGCCCAAAAGAGCACAGCTCTGTAGCACATTAGTTGGCGCTTGGGACCGGATTGCAGTTAGCTTCAGTGCCGTCCGGCTCTAGGGCACGCCCTAATATAGCCACCAGGACCGTATTATAGCCCGACGCCAGGGTTTAGGCAACGTTTCCGCTCTGATGGCGGGGCAGACAGCAATCATGCACGGAAAATCAATGAGACGGACCAGACTACCGCTATTATTGACTTGCGCAAAGCGTGGCCAAAGCGAGGAAACTTCCATCAATATAGCCGAAGAATGGGTTCGGCTATCTGAGTGGCCGTCTGAGAAGTGCTCGGATTCGGCAACAGCAACGCGTCATCTGCTTTGACCAAGAAAGACTGGAATCGTGTGCAGTCCTCAACAAGGGGTGTATGTTCTGGTTGGAAGCGTATTCTGTTCCTTCATACTCTACGTAGATTCGCTGGGCCAGAAGCTCGATGCGAAGCACTGATTCGTGCAGAGAAAAGCAACGTTGAGGGACAACGGGGAAACGGGCAGAGTTCGCCATCTCGAAGGCATCAGACGCAAGGTGACCAGAGGGAGCTGATGTGTGTGTGTGTGTGTGTGTGTGTGTGCGCAGTGTGCAAACGATGCTCAGAAACATGGCCCGTTCAATAATACAAGTGAGAGAAAGCCTCATCGTCGAGGAACTGGAACAGATTGGCTCTGGTTAGTGTGCTGCACGACAAAGATTCACGCATGATTCGAGACAGTTCGTGGTACATAGCCGTGGTGGGGCAGGTTGAAGCCACCAGACTCGAGAACATCGATGCGCTAAGCGCGAACGCTGAGATTTATTCGACACGAGAGACGAAAATAGGACGAGGTTGAGTTCGAAATGCAGTCTCACGGACCAACTCCCGCGCAGCATCTGGATGAAACGCGGAAGAAAATTAGGAGGACGAAGCAACGAACGACATGTTGGACAAAGGGCATAATAATTTTTTTGATCTTGCGCATGAATCCTATCGTGCATGCAAAAGCTGGTACGCGCAGCGCGGATGCATGAGAAGGGATCACTGGGACCGGCCACAAGGGACCGGGGCGACGTTTCGAAGAGTAGGCGCATCCACAGTGCGCGCCCGCTAACACAAAGCCAGTTGGGCCGCGCCGCCACGGGGGTTGGTGGAGCGGGCACCTGTGAGACGTCGGCGGGCTCCCTTGGCCTTCGCTACGAGGTGGGTTCAGTTCCATTCTTGCTTGTCTCTCACTCCATGCCAATGCCAGCATCGTGATGCTCACAATACTGTTCCAGTTGTTCTGGCCCTGCTGCGTCTTCTTTTTTTCCTAATCTGTTTCCTAGACCAGATCAGTGCTATCATCACAGCAGCGGGGGAGGGGCCACGCAGAGAAAGGAGTTCCCCGTCTTGCGCGACGACACGCGAGTCATCCGGCAGGCTCGGCCTCGCACCGCGGGCCTGGGGACTGCTCAGACCCGCCCAATCAGACCACCCCGACACACGCCACCCTTGCTCCGCCCGTTTTTCCCCAGAAAAGTTTGCTCTAACTCGGTGCTGTTCTGCTGCCACAGCCGCTACGGCCACGGCTGCCACGGCTGCTACCACCACCACTGCCACTGCTGTTTGCTGCTGCTCCTGCAAGCCCGATGTTCGTCGCATCTGAAAGCTCTTAGTGCCATGGCCGATCCTCGCTAGCGTTTCTCCTCGGCTGGGAAGCCCAGCCACTGGCCGCTGCTCTTGCTGCTGCTTATTCACGATGCTCTGCTCCTTTAGCTACCGCTGGTGTCTGCCGCTTGCTGCTTTTCCTTCGCGCTGCGCGCTTGTTCCTGCTTCAACCCACGATCGCATTCGCGATCACAGTCATGTCCGAAAACACCATCATCAACCCAATCAGACGTTGCTGCCGAGTGGGACCCACAAACCCACATCTGGCAGCAGCAGCAGCAGTTGTGATGGTGGTCTGAGAGATTGCAATGATGAAAATAAGGCCGTTGCTACGGGAGTGCTGCCCGAGATGGCACCATGGGAGGCTCCGGCAGGCTTGACTAGGACTAGCATACTGAACCTCTCCGTTGCTCTTCTGCTGCGGCCCCTCCTACTCGTCTACCACTGCTGGACACGCACCATGTCGCCTCATGTGCTGTGTAAAGCTATCCTTGATCAACAACTTCCAACTCGGCATCCGGGTCTGGATCCTGTTTCCCTCAGCGTTCCCCCTCCCCCTCTGCAGAGCGGCCGTGTCTCCTTCTCCCTGCCGGGTGCTCTTGTGAGAGTTCATATACCATGCGCGGTTGTTCTCGCTGTCAGCCTGTCAGGCGGGAGGCACCGCGCACCGGCTGTCTGGCGCAAGGTCCCCTGCCCTAGTAATCTTCACATCATACATTACCTCACTCGCCCATTCCTCCTCCACTGTGGTTGCCAAACCCTGTTCCACCTTTGCCATTGTTGGGCCTCTCTGTTGCTTGTCTGGCTGGTGGTCCTGCTTCTGTCGGCTCTGTTGGGCATTTCCTCTATCACCATCCTATCGCTTCTTAACATCCCACCCACTCTCCCCGCCGTCAGACCCTTAGCCATAAAACAGCCGCTTTATTAGACCTCTTTGCTTTGCCTCAGAGCGTGTGACTATTTTACCGGTCTTTCTGCACAAATAAGCTCGCGCCTAGCTCCCGTTACCCTCTTACAGTATCACTTCTCATATTGATAAATTTGCGGAGCGTTTTCCATTCCCCCCCTCCAAAAAAAAAACCAACCAACCAACCAAAAAATACCAGCCTTGCTGCCACAACAGGAGCGAAGACAGCTTGGCGTCAGAAGCGTAATCGGCGCGCGCGCACAGGGTATTTAGCACATTATCGGAAGATAAACCAAAAGGACGATAACAGCGGGGAGAAAGAACACAGAAAAAACAAATCAAGGGCTCAGCCTGTCTGCATTTGAGAGGGGAAAGCGTTTGTGGTCGAGAGTAAGACCCTGGCCCCCCTCTGCATTGTCAGGTCTTTGCTATAACTCTACTGCTGCTTCCGCTATCTTTCTGACGTTCATTCCTCCCGCCCGTCCTCTGACTATTCACTCTCCGTCCCAGTTCTACTTTAGGCGATCGCGTGGCCCCATGTGGCGTCTGCTTCAGGTCCCAAGGCAATAAGAACGTGGAGACAAGAAGCAGACGGACAAGAGTCAGGTCGGGTTGCTGCGACAGTTACGCGAGTAACGACGCTCCAGGCATCCTTGTTTCACCACGGACCATCCTCTAAATTAATTTGAACGTCCGATCTGCTAGTTCGGACCGCTGGCTTTCCTCCCGCAGCTTTTCTGCGATTGTTAGGTCAGATCCCGTTTTTCTTGCTTCAGCGCTCCCGCTCATCATTCTTCAGCTGCAACACCCGCGCGCCCTCCGCACCCCCTCGGCCACCTGAAGCAGAAAAGGCTGCGGCCTCGATCTCGGGCGACGAAACGCACACTTACCGCGGTATCGATTGTGTGCTGGTCCCAACTGCGGTCGGGCAAGCTCACCGCGAGCATCTTGACCTCGTTTCGTTCAGATCGAACAATCTGAGCCCACGCCGCTCGCGTTGACACGGCGCCTGAACCTCGCCCTGCTGCACTCTTAAGGGAAAAAAAAAGCCACATATACGTACACGAACACACATACATACACTCCATATACCCTCTTGCACTGTGCCTTCGTCGTAGCTCGGACTGCGCCATCCGACGCACGTGCGCTCCTCTGCGTCCCCCGCCATCACTGCTTCGGTTCTGCAATTGCGCTGGTAAGGCGAGACGTTGTCCATTGAGCTCTGGACTTGGCTGCTGACACAGTTTAGCTTGGGGCACGACCAGGTCCCGAACATCGTGAGACCTCTTCGGCAGCATAGACTTTTCCAAAGCGTGATCCGCATACCTTAAACTACATACCACCTGCCGCTTCGACCCTTGCGCATATCGCCGCGCGCATAACGCACGCTCCCTTGGACTTGGACGGTGCACATGTCATAAGGCCTCGTCCATTGCCTCTCTAGCGTTCGCAAAGACGTCTGTCTGCGTTCATGGCACCAGCAATAATGTGCTTCGGAAAGAAATCTGGACCGCCGGAGTCCAAAAGGCGGAATGATGAGATCGAAAAGCAATTGCGTTTGGACAAGAAGAGGCAAGAGCGCGAAGTGAAGCTTTTGTTGCTTGGTACGTCATCTCCCCCAAACCCCCGCCCCCGCTGTCGCTGTCGCTGTGGTGACCAAGGTCACGAGAGGGAAGAGAAACAAGTCTAAATATACATCTGGCTGACCTGTGGGATTGAAAACAATAACAGGTGCTGGCGAGAGCGGCAAGTCCACAGTTCTGAAGCAGATGCGCCTGATACACGCAGGCGGTTTCAACAGACAGGAGCGGAAGAATTGGAGAAGCGTCATATTTAACAATCTCATCAATGCCTTTCAGATAATTTTGGGCGCCATGGAGGAGCAGCAGACCAGCTTCGAGGACGAGGGGAACATTCACTGGGCGAAATATATCGCAGAAGATCCAGAGATTAGCCCTGAGGAGCCGCTGCCGCCAAAGTCACTGGAGGCCTTCCTAGCCCTTTGGAACGACAAGGGCGTTCAGATGGCCATGCTGAGGGGCAACGAGTACGCTCTGCATGACAATTTGGAATAGTGCGTTCCCTTTGCGTCAGGAAAAGAAGGGTATTGGTACACATGCTGACTCACTGCAACAGCTTCCTCGAGGACATTGAGCGCCTTTACGTCCCGAACTATCTTCCCTCGGATCAAGACATCCTGCGCACTAGGTTACGCACTACCGGCATCAGCGAGACCGTTTTTGACCTCGGCAATCTGACTTACCGCATGTTTGACGTCGGAGGTCAGCGTTCTGAGCGCAAAAAGTGGATTCACGTCTTTGACAATGTACAAGTCGTGCTCTTCCTCGTGGCAATCAGCGGTTATGACCTCGCGTTGGTCGAGGACCGCAATGGAAACCAGATGCACGAAGCGCTTATGTTATTCGAGTCCATCGCCAACAGCAAGTACTTTGAGAAGTCGGCGCTCATCCTCTTCCTCAACAAGATCGACCTGTTTCGCGAGAAGCTGGCCACGGGTATGAGCCCGATCAGCCGTTACTTCCCCGACTATCAGGGCAAACCCAACGACGTTGTGGCAAGCCAAGAATTCTTCGCAGAGAAGTTCAAGGGACTTGTCCGGCAGAGCACGAAAGAGGTGTACGTGCACTACACCAACGCTACGGATACGGACCTGCTCAAGAAGACGATGAACAGCGTACAGGACATGATCGTCCAGCGCAATCTCAACCAGCTGATCTTATGACCATAAGGCAGAGCAGCCGAAGCGCAAAGAGTAAACCAAAGGAGACAGCAATACTAACTCCCATCATTGCACGGAGACTCTCATGTGCAACTAGAACATTCTCAGTCACGGGAATATTGGAATGTGCTCGCGGTCGAGCTCCGCGGTCCCTCAAAATGCATGTAAAAGACAACGCCACGCTCGCAGTTCCGCGATTCTCGAGAGGCGGGATTTTTCCCACGCCAATTCTTCTACGCAATGCATATGGCAATAGTAGGGATGATGCGAGATTGAGGGTAAGACTGGGAGCAAATGCCATTGATCAATGCGTAAGACTGAATCCCTCATCGCGAGGTTGAAACAAAACACGCACGCACATACACGCAAGTACACAAAAAAACTCTCCACCATGATCAAAAGCTCGGTTTGCTTTTTTTTTGTCTCTCCCTTTGCCTTTCTGCTTCTCCGCTTATTGTGTTGTTTTTGGGACACACTGATAAACGGAGCGAGAAGAGGCCGTCTCTCTAATGTTTTTTTTTTCTTTTTTTTTTTTAGTCTGAAAGTCTCAGACGCTTTCAAAAAGGAAGGAGCGTACGCGAAATCTCCGCAGCGAAGCGACATCGTACTTAATCTCGACATACTTTCTTTTCCCCTCAAGACTGCCTCTCTAACAAGGTAGAGGCAATCCCCCTTCCACTTTACATTTGCAGGGGATGGAACGAGATTTACAACTCATCGTCAGGGATAGGGGTTGGTGGGCAAACTCGTTTGCTTCCTGCTTACTCCGACGTCAGCTGTATTTTCCCGTTATACTTTCGCAAGTTCTGCTCGTAGCTCCCATCACATGACACGAGCATCAGCTGTTCAATCTCCTACTATCATTCCCTCCTTCATCCCCCCCCCCCCCTCTCATTCCTGCTTAACCACTCTCTTACGGCATTGTATTCGTTCTTTTCTCTTCTTCATCTGCTCTGAATTGCATTTATATACAGGGACAACTATGAAAAGGAGGCTTTCGATCTTGTTTTTCTTTTCTTGACACGACAGGCAACGTAGTGTAATGGGAGGAAGACGTGGCAGGCAGAAGGAAGGACGGAGCATTCACGAAATGTACCAGCATTTGAGTCTTTTCGCCCTATTCTCAAGCCGCTCAGAAGAACGGATGCCCCTCCTGGTTGCCGCCCATGTGAAATTGTCTCAGACAACGTGGACCCGATTGTGGTATTACCGCGGGGGTGGGGCCGGTCTCGAATGGGAGATTTCTATCCAGCCATGACAGTCGGAAGATGACGCGAGGTGCGCATACAAGAATAGGTCTGACGGAGGGGGTGCACATATTGGTTGAAGCACATGGCAGTCATAGCATCAGTGCGTAATGCGATTCGAGCGCTATCAGTTATGTTTTGGGAGCATGAATGAAGGCCGGCAGAATCGAGCTGCGCTGCCAGCCTCTTTCTCTCGATCGGATGTACGTACAGCATATCTACAAGGCGTTGAGCGAACCATCTACGGGCGTTTCATCGTTGGCCATGTCCTGATCTTGCACAGACAGAGCGTGTTTGTGCTACCTTTTTTCCGTGAAAACGTGTCTGTTGCTAGCACGAGGTGCAGTGTGAAGTTCCCTAAGAACGAGGCAGTCCTGCCCGAGTCTGTTGTACTGGACCCTTGACGCCGGGCCCCCTTGGCTCGTGCGGATGCCGCATCCGCCCCCGCGCAGCGAATCGGCGCGCTTAAACCCCGCATGTCGTTCCTGCCCGGACGGGACGACTCGAAGTGACCCAGGAAGCACTCGACTCGACTCGAAGACTTCGTGTATGGACCGCGATCCGGCCAGGCGGTTGTACGTATAAAGCGTTGGCGTGCCATCGGAGCCGCTTTGCAAACTCTCTTGTCCTCACACACAAGTGCAACTGCTCGTGGTCGTTTTCCCTTTTCCCCCGGCATCTCAATCCCAACCAACGGTTCAATTTTGGCTTGTTCCCCCTCCCCCCACCTTCCTTTCGACGGTCACCAAACTGCTTCGCTGTGGATTGTTTCTGACATTGTCTGGTCGCGAGCGAGCCCCTCCGCCGCCGTCCGTGCCTCTCTTCAACAGAGACGCTAGCAAGTCCCGCTGCTGAGGCACGACCAATCCTTCTGTGCAGAAAATAGAAGGAAGAGCTAAGAGAGACACGAAAGCCTTCAGTGAGCCGAAGGAGCCCCAAATATGGCGCTGGACTACTCCACCTTGAAGAACAAGGCCATCATCTATGCTGAGCCCGGAACCACCAAGACACAGGTCGTTGAGCTGCCCGTGACAGCTCCCGGACCTGGCGAGGTCCTTGTAAGGCTGTCGGTGCTCCCTCCTGCGCTATGTCGTTTATTGAGCTGGATAGGCTCTCTGAGAATCCATGCTGGCAGGGCTGACACTGAGGCAGCGAATACTCAGGCGTCTGCCATACCGACTACGGCTTCTGCACAAACGCGTTCAAAGGCAACCCTATACCAACACCTCAAGGTACGCTTTTTGACGGCCGTTCGTTGTTAAAGAGGCTAATTTGCGGTTCTGCTTGCAGGCCAGATTGGCGGACATGAAGGTAATTGCTTCTTCAAGAGCGACATACTTTGAGAAAGTGATCAAAAATCTGATGTGACTCGCTAGGCGTCGGCAAAATTGTCGCTCTCGGCCCGGGTGTCACATCCCCGCCAGTAGGGACGGTGGTAGGTATTAAGTATGCGGCCGACGCATGCCTCAACTGCAGCATCTGCCTCGAAGGCGGCGAAACCTCGTGCCCCTCCGTGCGCGTCTCGGGCTTCTACACTCCTGGCACTTTCCAGCAATACTGTATTTCCTGGGCCAAGTACGTGACACCCATTCCACCAGAGATCACGGATCTCGCTGCGGCGGCACCGCTAATGTGTGCTGGCATTACCATGTACACGGCACTGAAGAGGGCGGGTGTGAAGTACAACGACTGGGTGCTCATTAGCGGCGCAGGCGGTGGGTTAGGCCACTTGGGAATCCAGTACGCGAAAGCGATGGGTGCGCGCGTGCTCGCCATCGACAGTGGCTCAAAGGAGCAGTTTTGCAAGTCGCTCGGTGCAGAGGCTTTCCTTGATTTTAGCAAGTTCGACGCGGCGGGGCTCGCCACGCAGGTGCACGAAGTGACAGGCGGTGGTGCGCGCATCGTGCTCATGTGCGTCAGCCACCAGTCCGCGTACGATCAAGCCGTTGGTTGGCTAGGTTTCCGCGGAAAGGTGATCTGCTTGGGCGTTCCCGAGGGTGATCTTAAGCCCATTGCCGGCGCGGTCGTGGGATCCATGTTAATGATGGAGCAGTCCATCATGGCGATCAAGACAGGCAACCGGCTCGAAGCTAAGGAAAGTCTGGACATTGTCGCGGCCGGTCGTGTGAAGACGCATTATCAGCTCAGGAAGATGGACGAGCTGACCCAGATATTCGACGACATGCACGCCGGCAAATTTGAAGGCCGCGCTGTCATCGACCTAAGATAGAGATCTTTTGACCCTGCATTTAGCAAGCTCACGGTTTCCCTTTCTTTAAATGTACCCCTCACTTTTCCCATTCCACTATCTTTGTGTCATGGCAAATGTGTGCTCTCGTCATGACTCAAACTCGCCCCTACCGATTGCAAGGATGACGACTAAGCTTGTGATGATGAGCGCTCCAGAAATGATGGCGACGAGGGCGATGCTGCCTCTACTCGCCGGGAACTTGCCCCGTATCACGTAGTGCTGACCCTCGAAGTACCGGTGAAACCCAATGAACAGAATGACAGTGCTTATGCCTATAAAAGTGGCCCCAAGGGGTTTCCCAACCTCCCTTAGATGCTGAGTGGCGCCGCTGCTCGTGTTGCCGCTTATGCTGGTGTTGAGGCGAAACAGCTGCGTGATCGCGACGCCGATGCTGGCAAACGACAGCGAGGTGCGAAGCCAGGCGAGGAAAGTGCGCTCTGTGTACGATGCCGTCAGTCAGTGTGCGGAGCCACGGCGAGGAGGAAGAGCTCTCCTGCACTTACCCAGCGCCAGATGATCTCGAGCAACGCTCCCTTTGTTCTCCAACTCTACGCTGCCGTACTTCTCAAGCATCTTCTTCCACCTCGGCTCTGCGGTCTCTCCTGACGGGGACGCAGCATTCGGTGCACTCTGACGTCTCTTCTTCGTCGTGTTCGGGAGTCCGTCTACAGCCGAGCTCCTCCCAGCTGCCGTCTGGTTCGTCGTTGCGTAATCTCTCGGCCCACCACGCTCCGAGGCCAGAATGCTCGTCGTCTCATCTGCTGTCTCTTCCGCATTCCTTGACATCGAAGTCGCTGGATGCATGGTCTCTGATTCGTTGCAGGCCGGTGTATCCGCGTGGAAGGAAACACTCTTCTTCAGTATGCCGTGTTCTGTGTGCTTGCTCTTGGATCGAGAACCAGAAGATGGAGATTTATACGATTGTCGGTCCTCACCGCTCGGTTCAGTGATTGAAGCCCCATCGGCTGAGGCTTGCTCGAACCGCTGCTCCGGCGCCATATTCACGGCACTGCCATTGGACAGTTCCCTTGTCGCTTCCGCCTGCATCGCTTTTCCGTCGGGTTGTTATGCACAATGTGTAACGATACGAGGCCCTATAACCCACTTGGGTTGCTACCAAGCATATCTTACCAGGGCGTTGGCTGATAATTACAGCTCTTACCGTGATGTTTGGGTGTCCTGTGGTGATGCTGTGATCTCGAGGTCAAATGATGTGATTCTTCGAAGGGCCAAGACTAGGTCTGGTTGTGGTGTGGATCCACGCCAAGGAGACTGAGTCGCGAAACGGAGCTTATGAGATCATATGACATGTCCGGACATGTCGAGTCAAATGGTAACCACAACTTCAAACCTTGGAGAATGAGGCCCGGAGCATAACGAATGTGTGACATTGCGAGCAGATGGCCTTTCGTTTGTTACTCTTTGTATAGCCGTCACCGCTGACGATAGAGCTTTGAAGTCGTATTTGCGCCGACGCAAGCAGCCCACGTTGTACTTAACTTTTGTGCAAAAATTCTCAAAGATGAACACGATTATAAGGCAACCCAAACTCCAGGGTCGGTATCGAGCTGCTTTGCAGAAGTCCTACATGCTCTATATGACTTTACGAATGCCTAAGAGGCGACGTTGGCCTGGAGTGGTGAGCATCGTCAGGACAGATTCGCTCGAGGAAACATTATTCCTATTCTAGATGAGGATAGAACGATGCCCTCGCCGGAATGTAACTACCGTGAAGATATAGCCACGAAATTCATACATTTCTTCAGGTGATCACAGCTTAGTACTTCTTAAGAAGCCGTCAGGCTTTGCAGGTAAGCCGCTAATTTCGATAGTGGTGAAACGCTCTTGGATCGTCGTTGCTTATCGTAACTTCGTTCAGCACTCCTGCTTTATTTCTAGAACAGTAAAGCCACCAGCTGTTGGAACCAGCGCGACAGGTTGGCTTGTACTGAAGGCAAATCTTCACGAGGAGTTGACATGGATGCATCATGCCTTGCGTCTTGAGCAGAGTGGACAGGCTACAATACTACGAGCTCTAGTTGGTCGCCCGTTAGAGAGATCTGGGAAGACCATATTTTGTAGATCTTTAACCTCGCAAGGCTCTAAATATAGACATGTGAACCCTTACTTTCAAATGTCACGTATACTTTACCTTGCGTCATCTGTATCTGGAGTCTTCAGCTGCACCGCACCATAACATCCCTTGTACAATCATGCCATCCTTCACTAGAGGCTTCAAGATGAACGGCCGAGAGTCAGACAATTCACCAAAGTGCTGATCCGTGCGTTTGATCAAAAGGAACATTAGGTCATGGGTGACGTTACAGCTATAGAAAACACAGCCTCAGACGCTTGAACGCACCCCTTGAGAGCCACCAATCCAGCAATGACGGGTCACGTTAAGAACGCCTTGCTGCGCATGGTCTTGCTTGGGGCTTCAATACGAAGCTTAGACACGCGTGCCCGACGAAGGGAGCCCGTGAAGTGCGATTCCGTCTCCATTTAAAGACATAAGAAGTGACTCCATCAGTTCGTGGTCACGTCTACGCTTTTTTTTTTTTCTTTCACCACGTCGTTTTCGACGCTCAAATAGTACATCCTCGCGAAGATCTCGCACCAAGCCTCGCAAAGTCTGCTAATACAGCAACTGCCCCCCTGGTTCTTCTCCGTGTTCAAGGACACGTTGGACAGGTCTCATAACGTCTTTGTTTTTTTTTCGAACATGGGCTGCTGCTCTTCCAAGACGGCATATCACTCCTCCTACTCGCATCCTGCGAAACCCATGAAGCAGAAGGGGCGACGGCGCAGAGGACGTAGCGGTTACTCTGGTTACAGTGGCGGATACGCTGGAGATTCCCATGGTGGAGGTGCGTAATCTTCCCGCCGAAGATACTCGGTATACAGCATCGGATTTTTTTTCCGGGCAAAGATAAAAAAAATTGAAAAAAAAAAAATTTAATTCTCCAATTGTGCGCGGGAAGTGCACATGTTAACATATATCGACTAGGTGGATTCTTCGGCGGAGATTCAGGTGGCTTTTCGGGGGGTGACTCTGGAGGATGCAGTGGAGGTGATCAAAGATCGAATCTGCCCATCTTCGATCGAGACTAATGCAGGCCTAGGGTCGTAATCAAGACTGATGAACGTTGAACGACTCGTGACTCTGCGAATAATGTAGGCCATTGGCTGCTTAAATCACCCAAGGCTTGCGAGGACTAACGATCGAGCCTTGCAGCCGCTAGGGTGCTGGAGATAGATTTGCGTTTCTGGGCGAGTCTTTTTCGACTTGAGCAATCTCATGTTTCTGATAGTCGGCCCAATCTGAGTCTGTGGCAGATCAATATTGGCTCCAAACCTCTGCGGTTTTGGGAGAGCATTAAGAACAAAAGATACCATTTGAGCGCCCATGCTAATGCAATGCAAAGTATGCGTACATATACATCATCTGTCCTTCCTCCTGGATTGTCGAAGATTCCGCTTATTCCCATTTACCATTTCTTCGGGTATGTCATTCCAATTGTCGCCCTGATTATGCCGCAACAAACGGGTTCTCGTTTCTGCGAGCATTTCCTCGTCACTGCTCGTCTCGTAACCGTCTTCATCTCCATTCCTGCCATTGAGGTTTTGCATCGGCGTACTTGCTCCGCTTCTGTGTTCTGGTGCCTGCCAATTGTCCTGCCGCAGCCTATGCATAGGGCTGTTTCTCCTAGCTGGGAACGGTGTATTTGGGTTGTACATTGGTGGTGCGGGTCCATCCTGAACCGGGACGACAAGGCCGCTCCTTTCCAAATCTTCTTGCTTCTTTCTACGAAGGCGCTCTGCAGCTTCTCGCCATTTGTCACTGATTTCCCACGTCCAGCCGTCCCCAATGCTGTTACAAATGGGCAACCACCATAGCCAAGGAACGTTGCCCATAACACTCCTCCAATTCATGCGCCAGCCTAGATCAAATGCGTTTGGCAGCTTTTCGTCGTATTGTTCGTCAAGATAATCCATGTACCTATCCCGTTCTCTTTGTCTCTCCGCAGAGTCCCAGTCGTACGCTCGTCGTAATGAGCTTTGTGCAGGCGACATTCGCTCCTCCCCTTCTTCGGGTCGTAAAACTCCAGGTAAGGCGTTGGCGTGTGTCTCGATGAGCTGATCGCGCATATCGCGAACCTGCTCACTCAGAGTTCTGTTTTCGTGATCCACATAAGTGCGGTGCTGACTCAGATGTGACGCCATCTGCTGTCGCAAGGGGCTCAAATATCGAGTCGACTCCAAGCTCTCAATCGTAGTTTTTCCTTTCAGCGTCAGGTGGATATGCCAGGCTGTGAAACCCCCCACCACCAGGCCGATGATACCGGAGAGCACAGACAGCAGAATATAATTGACGGGCATAAACGACTCTTCCACAGAATTGTTCACTATAATGGCTTCCCAGATCCATCGAGCGCTGACAGCAAAACATAGCCAGCAGAAAAGGGTCGTATATATCAGAAAGAGCAAGAACGGCTTGTAGTTCCTCAAACCAACGCAAGTGGCGAGCCAAGGACAGTGGTGGTCCATCTTCAAGACACATCTACGACAAGTTGAGCAATGATGTGCCCGATCGGGCTTCTTACATTGGCACTTCTTGCAATACCGCATTTCTCCAGAAGCCTTCACTGTGAGTGAACTGTACGATGTCGGCTCTGAGGTTGGTAGGGACGAGTACCCAGCGGTAGTATTTACAGGCGAGCCGGGGTCTGTGAAGACAGCTGTAGTGTAGGACCAGTTCAAGAGGACGTACAAGGCAAAGCCTAGGAATGCAGAGATGTAGCCTATGTTTGCGCTGTCAATTCAAGTCCGACGCCTTGAGATATGGTTGTTTCATACCGGTTGCTCCCACTAGCAAGAAAGACATGCTCGTTTCAACCCACACGGCCCACGTCGTCAGCCCATAGACAAAGGCCAGTGGAAAATACGTGAGCACGTTGCAGCAGTACCGTTCACACTTGCGAAAGAAGGACTTCCGTCTCCGTCCGGGAGACGAAAGCTGCGACGGTGACCCTAGCGTAGCCATCGTCGATGAAGCGATCGTCGAGGAGTACAAGTTACGCAGTGGATAGTCCTGACATTGCCAATTCCAGGCTAAGCGAGCAAGTGCGCAGAGGCTTCCGGGATACAGCGGGACAGGAGCACTTTCGATGTCTCCGAAAAGCCAGGTGAAGAGGGCGTAAACTGGGAGTTGGCCGGACGTTCAGCGCCTCAACGTCAAACGCGTAAGATCGACAGTTCGGCGCCACATGGATGTCCGCATGATGCATGTCTAAAATGAACTCAAGTCCGATTTTAGACAAGCCAGCTCAGCCTTCTTGTACCATGCACGGTATAAAAAACAGCCACCATAAATTGATAAGCCCCCATGATGGAGCGACGGGCTATTTCAATTGAAATGCGTATGAAGAGGACACCAAGCTTTTAAAACCATGCTGGAACAGGCAGCATAAGCAAATAAATAAGCGCATGCAAAGGTTGACTTCTCCGTCGAGGGAGGACTTTTACGCCTTCACTAGGCACATCCGAAGAAAAGAGAAAGTAGCCAGTTCTTACTAGAGACTTCCTGAGACATGATACAACGTCTTGCTAGCAGGCGGAGCAGTTTTGCTGTTCAACGCTTACCCGATAACCTTCTCATATGGTTGCCAATCTTGGACAAGCCGCGTCCTGCCTGACCTTTCTCAGCGCCGAAAGCCGATCTGAGTCAGGCCCGAATCTGTGTGCGCACGACATGAGTCTCTTTTAGAAATTTCGATGTCTCAAGGACTTCGTCGCGCATTAGAGAAAGCACCGAACGTATCTATTTAATTTCAGCATCATGTCCGCACCTCGTGTTGGCGTTGGTGTGTTCGCTTTCAAGCGCAACGGCACATTCATACTCGGGAAGCGGAAAGGGAGTCTGGGCTCTGGTGAGTGTTGCGTTCCCTGGCTAGAATCGCAATCCATATGCTTAAGCATCTGTTAAAACGTAAGGTTGACAATTTCTACCTAGGCACCTTTGCTCTTCCCGGTGGCCATCTGGAGTACGGAGAATCGTTCACCGCATGTGCGGCAAGAGAGCTGTGGGAGGAGACAGGCATCCAGATTAGCGAGGAGAAGATCCATTACTTGACCACTGTCAATAGTGTTTTTGAGAGCGAGGGCTTGCACTACGTCACAGTTGCTGTGGGATGTCTCCTCGACGATGATGTCGAGCCAAAGGTACGTGGACGCATTCGCTACGCTTATCGATGCATTGACGCCCGTTCCCATCGAAAAGGTCATGGAGCCAAACAAATGCGAGTGTTGGCAGTTCATCACTTGGCCGCAGCTTCGCGAGTACGCGGAGCAGGATCTGCAGGCTTCGGATAACGATGTGAAGATGTTGTTTAAGCCAATGGTTCACTTCGTGACGCAAAGAGGGTTCGATCCGTTCAAGGCTCTTATGAGCATGGAGGAGCAGAACTAGTCCGCCACATTGCACATTGCACATTGAGATTGCACACTGCACAAATGCACAAGAAGCTCGCTCGGACTGAGCAGGGTCACGTGACGGTGTGGAATTGTGAGGCAGAAACAGCTCCTCCTTGGTTAGAACCGAACGAGAGCGGCGGCGGGATCGGTTATGGTTGTGGAGCTGAAGGGCTGGGCAGAATTGCTGTGCGAGGCTGAGAGACGCCCAGTGGTAGCGCAACGCTGGACAAATAGACGTGGCTTTGTAACAAGGCAAGCAACAATCGGACGTCTGCAGCGCGCCGCAGGCGTTATGCCGATCACAGTCGCATCGTGCTCACCGCAAACTCGGTGAAGCTGCATAAAACACGGCCTTGCGCCCTTTCGCAGGACCGCAGCTCATCCCGCTGTTCTCCTCGTCGCCCATCACGGTCGGAACGTCCTACACGGCCGTGGCCTCACGCATGGGTCTCGTGACGAGGATGGTGGTCGTCATCCCACTCTCCGTCCACACGATCAGCCCCGGTAACGCGAGAAGATTGCCATCTTGGCCGTATCTTGCAGGAAACGCACGTACGTAGCGGCTTTGGCGATGGATAGCGACATTTTCAACCCGGCGCTTCACCCCACACACGAAGTTCTCTTGGCCGATCCTGAGCCATCGCCTCGTACCGCCTCAGTCCAGGCCTGGCGAAAAACTTCGTGCTCACATGGAAACGCGCGCCCTCGACACCGTCGATGACATACCCCGGCGATCGAACATCTGCCGTTTCGCCCTGAATCGAGCACAAGAAGCAATCCGTCTGCGCCATGCCTTGCTTTTTGTAAGCGTCCCGAGGCCCTCCGGCGGATGAGAAATACGGTTTAGTCGTCGATTGCGCACGCGGACACTTGCTGAGTTGACACCATCCAGCACTCGGCTAACAGGCACCGGCCGTCGTGCCAAAATCTTGTCAACCATATTTTTTTTCTGGCTGGACTAGGTTAGTCCGAATCATACTGGGACCCTTCTCCTTTGGAGCTGTTTCTAAATTTCCAGAACGAATCTAATTCCTTAACTCCGCCGTGCCAGTCCCCGCCGTTATATTCTCGCCTGATTTCTGGCCTCCTCGGTCGATGTTTTTGGTCTCCCCAATTCTTTTTATCATCCTGGCCAGACTTTCCTCGGCCTCTGCTTTTCGTCTCTCACCGTTCGTCCTCCAGAGCGTCACGCCATTTCCGACACTCGCAAGTTGAGCCTTCAGCGGTTTTTTTCGTTGACTTTTCTTACCCGTCACCGACATCGGCCCCGTCTCACATGACCAGTTTCTTTGGCACGTTGTTCTCCGCCATTACAAGGCTTCATCCTCCTGTTTAGAGTGCTGCGGCACTCGAAGGTCCTACGGACACTTCACTGAACGTCAAAGACTGCATCGCACGGATCCTTTGATCCGTCCTACCGAGCCATGATCCCCACACTTCCACGTCTGTCCGACTACGATGTATCTGCCCTCCATGGCTTCCTTCCGACCGACCCTCCGTGCGAGCACTTGCCCGATGCCTACTATAGTAGGTGGGAGGCAATTGCTCAGAATCTGCAGAGTCTGATCCTTACAAAGAGGCTGCGTAGCGTGGTTGACAAACTGCCGGTGCTCTTCACGGACAGGCTTGGCTCCCTTGCAGAGTGGCGCAGGGCATACTCGATTCTTGGCTTCATCGCTCACTCATATATTTGGGGAGGCGATACTCCGTCCGACAGAGTGCCGCCGAGCGTCTCCATCCCATTGCTCGAGTGCTGCAAGGTACTCGAGCTTCCACCCGTGGCCACATATGCTGGGCTCGTGCTCTGGAACTGGCGCCCCTTGTTGATTGAGGAGCCGATTGACAATCTAGAAAACATTTTTACTTTACACACCTTCACAGGATCGTTAGATGAATCATGGTTCTACTTGGTATCTGTCGCCATTGAGGCTCGAGGAGCTCCTATAATCCCGCTGATGATGGATGCGATCTCTGCGGCGCGTTACAACGATCAAGAGACTGTCACAGAATGCCTACGCAGCTTCGCGGAGCGGCTAGACGAGCTTGGTAGCTTGCTGCAGCGCATGTATGAAAATTGTGACCCTCATGTGTTCTACAATCGAATTAGACCGTTTCTAGCCGGCAGCAAGAACATGGCCGACGCTGGTCTTCCAAACGGTGTCATTTTCGACACAGGGTCCGGCCGGGATGAGTACGTTCAGTATTCAGGCGGCTCAAATGCACAGTCAAGCATCATACAATTCTTCGATCTCGCGCTTGGCATTGAACATCGGCCTACTGGTGAGCGCGCCGGTGAATCATCGTCTTCAGAATCAGAAGGTTCACGCCCGGCAACGAGCACAACAAATCATAATTTCATCATGGAGATGCGAAAGTACATGCCAGGACCCCACGCCCGATTTCTTGAACATGTCGGACGGGTTGCAAATATTCGGCAATTCGTCTTTGAAAATCGTGAGAACCGGGCGCTCTCGACTGCGTACGATGCGTGCCTAGCCATGCTGCGTTCCTTCCGTGACAAGCATATCCAAATGGTTTCTCGGTATATCATTATCAAATCACGTGAATCTAGAAGTCATAGCCGGTCTATTTCGCCCCAGCACAGCGTGCCGAAGCGCATGAATCTCGCCATTGGCTCGTCTAGGCGCGTCGCAAGTGACGACAATCCGAAGAGCGGAGGCTCGAGAAAGCTTCGAGGAACTGGCGGCACCGCACTCATCCCGTTTTTAAAACAGGCGCGTGACGAGACGGGTGAGCCGGCAATTGACGCTTGGGCGAGGCGATTACTTAATAATGGACCTGGACCCGCTGAAATGCACGTAATTGATGGGCCTGTCATGGAGGGGGCTCGACTGACGAAAATGGGCGAGCATGCCAGCGGCGACCTCGAGATCGTCGGTCTTGCTGGTGTTTGGAGGGTGGATGAGAGCGAAGGAGGCATTTGCCACTGGTAGAAATCACAGAGTCCTCTAAGGGGCTATCATCTTGGGCGGACAAATCCAAAAGTACATGAGAATATTCTTGAAGGGCATGGCGTTGGTCGCTGATTGCAAGAGGGATCGCTCTTGATATCCACATTTCTGTTACTTTACAAAGTCCTTCAGCAAAGACCATGGAAAAGAAACGAGACTGATTTTCTCGCTGATTACTGCTCTATTCCATAGTGTTACCATGTAGTGTGCATCCCAATGCGGTTTGGCTCAACTTGGTTTACGCCGAACCTGGATGCGCATGGCCATCTCGGCGGCATTAATTACTCCGCCTGCTGCACAGAGATTAGATTTCCACCGCAGTCTGACTGGATCTAATACGAGCTTTTCAAGCTGCTAAGTGCAGTTCATAAATGATATGGGATGTTTTTATATAACATCTCCTGTTCCGTAAGAAGAGGCACCTCAAAAACATTCAGCGCTCGCCACCGCAAAGGTTCATTATCACTATTTCAACACTATTCATCCACCACCATGCCAGCTCAGAAGAGGGCCTCCATCGTGATCGTGGGTCTACCTTGGAACGACGGCCGCATGCAGCAGCGTTTTGGAATCGATCCGATGATCATCAAAGAGGGCATTGAGGAGATGAACCGATTGATGGAGGAGAATGGGTTTGGAGAGACGTGTGTCAGCGTGCAGTCAGTTCGAATGTCGCCGTCCAAACTATCGAGCAGCGGCTAAAAGACACGTGCAGAGCAAGCGATAAGACTGGGCTGGACGAATTCAAGAACGTCTTCAAGGCACGGAAAAGAGACGCACTCTTCCTTGGCGGAGGGCTGAGGATCGGCGGTGGGTTTGAGAGCTTCAGGGAAGAAGTCATCGCTGCGGCAAGGGTATGTCTTTCTACCGGACCTTTTTGGCCTCAAAGCTCACCGTTTTCTCTCAAGGAGATACAACCGGACATCAATGTCGTCCAGGTCAGTCTGATGAAAGGTCCTCAAAGCGTGGTGGATGCAGCCGAGGAGGTCGAGAAGTCGCTGGAGAAACAACCAGCGTAGGCCTACTTTCGATGCGATGGAACAACGACGCTGGGCAAGGCATGTGGTGGATCGTTGGTACATCATTCGCACTGTATGAGGATGGCCCCCATTCACATTGTACCTGGTTATTGTCACTTCTGCTCGGAACGCTTTCGTAACTGCTTTTCAAGCACCCGCACTCTCTTCGCCGCGTCTTGGGCATCCTCGCTGTCCGCACCAAGACACACCGTGAACATGTCCAGCGCCTTTCTCGCCGCCTTCACCGCCATCTCTCCATCCCCTGTGTGGTCGCAGATTTGAGCAATCTCAAGATACATGTTCGCCACGGCCGGGTTTTGCAGGCCCTCCGCCTTCGTCGCGGCGACCATTTGAAGTCGGACGCGCAGACGCTCGGCCTCGCTCTGGCACAGCGGGAGCGCCAGGCCAAGTTCGCGCAGCTTCCAACGTCGCTCGCGCGACTCGTTTGCGAACGTCCCCGCTTTGTCAAAGTCGTGGCAAGCGCGGCACCGGCACTCGAAGCCGTAGTGCATCAGCTCCCACCGGCGCATCGACACGTCGTAGAACGGATCGCAGTAGCACACCGTGATCTCCTGGACAACACGTTAGCCTGGACAAAAAAAAAACTTTTTGGTCCACGTCGGACCCCTCTCGTGACCGACCTCGCCTTTGGCAATGTTTCTCGTCGCGTGGATTCTCTCCACGCCTTCCCGCTCGTCCCAAGAGAAGCACGCATTCGGCACGCACTCGTGATTGAATCTGCTCGCGAGCTCGAAGATCGCCGCCCCGTTGTCCGTTTCCATCGCGTTTGTCATGCAAATGCTCAGGACGCTCTTCTCTTCGCCCGTAAGTGCCTCGTACTGTTCTCGAATCCTCCTTTTGTCGCCCTTCTCCAAGTATGGCGCCGATGTGGATGGGTAGCGACTGGCATCTTGTCCATGTGCGCTGGCCAGGCTCATGTACACAGCCTTTTGAACGTCGCCGAGCTTGTCGTACTGAGCTTGCACATCTGCCGCGAGATATCGTGACCCCACAATCCGCAAAAGGGGTCGTTCGGACAGCACGAGCTCGCCTCTGGTGATGTTTCTTATAGCAAAAGCTCCGATCCCTTTGTCCTGGGTTTCTTTGAGCGCAAAGGGAAACTCCGCAGGCACTTTCGCCAATGTCATATGCAGAGAATCCATCATTCCTCGGGTCGCAAAACGAACTTGTCGAAGCCTAGCTGGGTAGAAATATGTTCATTTTATGTACTTTCCGTCGCAAGCACGCGGAATCGCTTGTAATCGGGTGTAGCGCTCGTGTCACGAATAATCACGAATTCATGGCGGGGGCTTAGCAGCAGTGAAAGGCAAGCGAGAATCAAACGACAAAGGAAAGGCCCGGGATAATTCTGTTGAAGCGCCGGAAGATATGTAGGATCAATGCAGCCGATCTCAGTCGTAGTGATGAACAGAATTGACATATGGTGCCTTTCATTCCTATGTCCAAACACTTTGGTCAATCCTAGAAAGTTACATTATTTGCCTACAGTGAGAGGAGTAGCCAGATCTCCGCAACATCGAGGTAAATCACTGAAAATAGACAATATTCATCACTCGGAAGGGTACAGCCGCCATAAAGCTACCTGCCAAAAATTTGGCTGAGCGAAGCTCATTGAGTCCATGCTCTTCAACTGACGTTCCCTTTATATATAAGTCGGTATCACAGAGTTTGCTGCTTTCCTGCTCATGAAAATTGAGCATGAATAAAACAATGTGCATGTGACCATGCAATATCTGTACAGAACGTATCTAGGATACAAAACTCCGCGCACGCTTTGCTAGATTCCGGATACGTTGTAGAGTAGAGTTTCTTTAAACATCGGCGCCTTGCAGAGTTTCCAGAAGTTTGAGGGTATCGGCTCGTAACCTTCCTTTCTCTGCTGCTCGCTGCTCCGGAGACTTCCGCGCAGTCGACACGATACGGTGATCTAACAATTCAGCAGTTTTAGCGACTCTACGTGCTCTAGACGGAGCATTTGATGCTATCTTACCTTGGTGAGTTTCGTCCATCGAATTAGGGTTCCTTAATCCAGGAGGAACAGCATCTTCATCTGTGTGAGGGGTCACAGGTTTGAAAAACTTCGTCTCGTCTTCTCTAACGATGTCCCACTGCTCGGGCTCCTCATTATAAGATTCAAGTTGCAACCGCCTAAATGTGAGCTGGCGATAACCCATTCTGTCTATCTTTCTTTCAATGGCTCGCTCCACGAGATCATAGTCAACATCTTTATCACTCTCCCCCTCTAAGAGATTTGGTCTCTTGGCCAATTCAGCCGCTGCAAAACGGGCTCTTATGCGGTTTTGGACCTGGTGCTTCATGCGCTTCTCCATCAGCTCAAAAGCAAGGCTATTCGGTCTGGTATCCCACTGGCTACGAAAATTATATGATGTCGTCGGCTTGATCGGGATTGAGATCATTACATAAGGGAGAGAGATACCATAACGGGCCTCCACGGAGCGATCGCACCCTGCTTTCCTTTTCCTGATTGTCAATTGTGGAATGTATCGAATGCGTACAGGCTTCTTGGCACGCATCTCTGTTGTCTCTGTGATATGGATATGGAGATCTTTGGCCAATGAAGTTTCAGGCCGCAGCAAGGACGGGAACAGCATGCGTATCTCTTCTCCGATGTCTACCTCCACACAACCCGGTTGATCGCCATGAGCGTTGATTGCATCATCGAACTTCTGGAAGATGACTCCTAACCTCGATCTGAGCGACTTGAAGCCTAGCTTCATGTTCCAATTGTTTTCATCGCTACGTTTCACGTTAATCTTTCGCGGAATCTCACCGCCCGGCCAGGGTGTCAGCAAACGGTAGAGAAATTCCCAAGGGTGCTTCTGAGGGAAGGTCTGCAATTCTTTCTCAGTATCAAGGTCGTGGCGCGTGGTGTCAGGTGTAGACTGCAAGCGGACGCCTTTGCCGCTTGCAATGAGGCTTATTGAATCACCAGAGTCATATTTCACATGCAGCCTGGGTTGTGCATGTCTCAGTCGAGTCAATCGTGCCGACCGGGAAAAGGAACTGTTCCAAGCAATGCTCTCCAGTAAAGTTGCGGCAACTGAGTCGCCAGTTGAGTATCTGGTTCGCGCGAGCCATTGAAACATAGCCTGGAGGACGCTGTTTGTTGCTGGCGTGTTCCACATCCGGGCCCTAGTTTCTAGCGGAAGACCCGAAAACAACCACTGACGATGCTTGTACTGGAATCCTATTGTCGAAGTCCTTCCTAATACACGAAAAAGCATTTCGCGATACGCAGGATCGAGATCTTGTGTACTTTTCTTCTCAACAGCATTGCGAACGACGTTTGCTGTGTCATGGGCATTTTCCTTCCACATACTTTCCTGCCTCGCTCGCTGCAGAAGCTTTCGATAATAATGCGCTTGCGCTTCTTGGTTTATGAAGCTGCCTATGCTCCTGAAGAGTTTCCATTTTCTGAAAAATTTCCCTTTGTTGCTTTTCGTCATTTTCGCGGCAGCAGCCCTCAAAGCTGTAAACGGAAGCTTCTCCACCTCGTTGAGAGACTTTTTGAAGGTTGAGAGGGCTTCTTCTGGAAGCTGTTGCGGTAGAAGGTGATACCTCGAAAGCATCCTCACCAGCTTGACCGGGAAGCCATGATCAAACCAAAGACTCTTAATTTGTCTCAATCTATAGGACCGCGGCGAGTTCGAGTTGTTTCTGCGCATTTGCCCGGCCCTTTTCCGGAGTTTGAGGAATGTTTTGCACAATTCCTCAAAGCTTAAATTGCTGATAAGCTCGATATTCGGCACAGGCAAGCCGTCCACTCGAACTTCGTTCGGAGTCGAAGATTCTGCAGGTTGTGCTACTGAACGACCTGAGCCACGAGGTAGCTCCATCTTCCTGATATTCGCCAGGGCCTTCCGCCGCGCCGCCTTTGCCTTCTTGATGGCAATGTCCAAATTTTCTTTTTCCATGCTCAGTTCGTCTTGGCTCATCGTAGCCAACCTTTGGGTATACTCATGCAATTCTTCTTTACGCCCTTCATGCGTTGATGTCTCCGTTTTGTGACCTGCCTCGTCCATCTTTGTATCCCCAGTGTTGAGAGAAAGCTCAGAGTCTCCAGTTGCGTGTGTGATGGGAACTGTCACTGCGGGTGCATTTGAATCGGCAATTGCCTCCGAATCCATACTACCATGAGCTGTCCGTTGCTCTACCCTCATTTGCTGTTCATGCATGATGGCATCCCGCAAGATAGTTGCAGACCTGACAGCTTGTGAGGCGTCAATGCGATGCGTGACATAGAATGATGTCTTGGCCTGTTTTGGTGTGAACTTTCTAACCAGACCAGATCGTGATTTTCTACCTGACAGAACAGATCTGAATGTCCTTTGGGTCCTGCGTTTCAAAGGATAATACATATTGAACCGTGAGTAAGGAACATCGATCAGAGTCTTCATCTTGTTACCCTCCTCCGTCATGCTGGAGATGCCAATTCCCCTCTCAGAGAGGACGCCAAAATATCCTGAGAACAGTCGCGCTGTCCCATCAGATTGCTCATCGTTTGAAGCTAAACCTAGCTCTACAGGCATAGCATCAGTAGAACTGGGGATGGTGCCAAGACTGACGATCTGCGTGTGCTTGTTGAACACATGATTCGTCTGGCACAAAGCAGTCTCACCATCCGATTTAGCGATGAAAAGCTGAATACGGTCACCAGGCTCCACAGGGCTGCCCAAAGCTTCGTTGATATCTTGTACATCCCGCATATACGGCGGGAGTAAGTGCGAGTCTCTTAGCTCCGCTGACTGCGGCTCCAAAGTTATGGCAGGGCTGATGGAAAGGAGTCCTGCTTTCTTGCCCCAGCCACCCCCACCGCTCATGACGCGATGAAGGCGGCCTCCTTCTCCAAGGATTGCCGTCAGATCAGCATACTCTTTGGACAGCTGCTGTTCCACAGGGGAAGAAAGCCTTGATGAGCCATCACTCGTGTCCTGAAACAGGTGGCCGTTGGCGAGGGGAGACACGGAAGGAAAGGCAATCTGTTGGTGTTTCAAAGATTCATAAACACAAGGCTTGATTATGAGCGCCCACACAGAGACAGGACTAGAGGGCAGTTCACCAGACGCAACCATGTTGTTGACTGCACTCTCGAGCTCTGATGACGCGGGAACCACATCGGTCTCGCCATCCCCTCGCCTTAGCTGGCGAATGATGTTGCCCATACTCGCTTCAACGATCCGCGGTTCAGTTAGCGGTCTTAAAGGTGCGAACACAAGGGTCCTTATGTCCTTAGGCACAATATGGGCAAGTTTGATGGTTGCTGTCAAGTTCTGGACGCTGCTAGTTGCGGTTTGTATTAGAGATCTGCTCGGGTATCTCGTCCACCTCGAGATATGCAAAACGTTTTCCGTGCCAGTCTGGAACACTGTGTTTGCAAGCGGGATCTGTACCTCATAGCTCTTAGGCGGTTCAGTATCCTCCCGAAACCAGCCCTTACTAGAGCATTCAATTTCAAATCTGAGCTTGAGCACTTTGCTTCCCACGGTCTCAGTGCTGGTTGCAACAGACCTATCCCTACCCTCCTCCACGGTCTGCTTGGCACAGTCTACACTGTCTACAAGCGCATACGCAACACCTTCGTAGCCACTTGCCGTTGTGTGTTCGTCATTGAACGGTGCGGGCAGCTTGTCTACAACTGCGACGCCGATGATTAACTTTTGTGGCAACTTCTGACGGCGCTGGTAAAGCAAACGATGAGCTAGTGCAGCAACAAGCTCATGCTGTTCGCAGTTTGTAGTCCGGACCAGGTGCTTTGCGTAACCTGACGTGAAGAGCAGGAGAATATGTCTCTCGCATGTCTGAATTCCATCACCTTCGAATAGAATCGGCGCGAAGGAAGGCAGGACTTTCAGAAGCTGGCCTTTAATGACGTCCATATCGTGGTTCGTTGACACACGCGGCACAATGACAGTACCTGCACGAGACCACGTGTTGCGAACAGGATTCCTGGGTCTCCGAATCGACAAAACAGGCGGTTCGGATGTTGAGAGTCTTGTTTGCTTCCCCTCCTCTTGATTGGCGCTTCCGTGCTCGGTCTTATTCAAGATCCCTTTATCAGGCTCCCCAAAGACCTCGCCTGCGCGTTCGCCTGCCTCCGAGAGATCATGTACGGCCACTCCAGTACTAGGCGCAATTTGCGCGTCAGGCTCAACGCTGCTCTTAGATTTACTCTTAGCGTCTGCTCCAATTCGAGCCCTAGGGACCGCACGAAGTCGCCGCACTTGACGCCTCTTGATTCGGCGGTCCAAATGAATATGTTTACGTATAGTAAAACTAGGCTGTTCGTCCCTGACAGGATCTACGATTGTTTCTGACTGATCACGGCTTTCAAGGTTTGGCTCCGCATGGACGTCGTGCTTGCTGAGCAGCCTGTTTTTGGTGGAGATGTCAGCCTCTGTGGCAGGTGAAGAGGAGTCAGACTGCTCTCGCAGCGCTGAGAATACGTGCAGATCACGTCTCGATGAACAGCAGGTTGGCAGGTTGCTGCTGCGCCAAAGGAACATGTAGAGGCGACGAGATGAGACGACGAGAGCATTGGAGCTCGTGCTGTCGTGCAGAGGTGTACGACGCGACCGGCAGCGTTGGTATCGGTGCTGGTCTGTATGGACATGTTGCGAAATTAGGGGCATACGGCGTGTCGTCGCGCGCAACGTCGGACGCGCCGAAGAATGCCATGGCAGCAGCAATGGACTGGCCAGCATCACCTTGCAGCGGTACACAGCATGCTCCGAAAGGGAGTGATGGCGATGTAGGGCGATGAAGGCAATGGGCTTAAGCTAAAGCTTGTTGAAGAGAAAGAAAGGACATGGCTGTTCTGGGAACTGATCTTTCTGCTTGAAAATTATTCGCCGTCGGTTGCCGTTCTCGTCCTCCGGCGGCGCCGCACCAAAAGCAACCGCCGCCAAGACCAAAGAGGCTCAAGCCGCAGCGTCGGCAACCCTAAAAAAAGGCGACGTAACCCTAAGGGTTTGGTGCCCGCCACAGAGAGCGCCAGGAGATCGGATCCTCGACTGCACAGTCCTGCGATCGCTTTGATACCGCTGCTCTGTTACGTCCGCTCCTTCGTTTTCTCTCCCTCGTCTTCGTTTTCTTTCTTGACACACGTCGTCGATTCCCTTTCTTTGCCCATCTTACCCGGACACGCTCCGCTTGTCGGTATGTACACATCGCACCCTCACGCACATGCATACGTATACACCTCACGAAGGCCCCCTCGGCCCCGTGCACGCTCTTACAGCCGTTCGCGATGGTCGCCCTTCCCCGGCTCCGCTGCTGAATTGCCACTTTGACCTTGAACACCTTTCCTGGCTGCAGAGGAAGCGGAACAAAGAGGATGTCCAGAGATCTCCCAGTAGCGTCGCCCTAACAGCCACACCTACCCTTCCCTAACCCATCCCTACCCTGAACCATCCATCTCTATCTGTTCTCGGCAATTAATAAACCGACAGTGACAACTGCTGGCCTTCACCCTCGAACACGCTGTACTATCGCGGGCACTGCTCTCCCTTTCATACGCCACCTCTTTATGACGACAAGATAGCCACTTCTCCGGGCTATTCCCCTACACACCATGGCTGGGCGGGCGCTACGGCGCACAAACCCAATCACCATCGCCCTCGTCACCTTCGCCGCGATCCTTTCGCTCTACTTCCTCCTCTCTTCCACATCGACAAACTCCTTGCCGCTTAAAGGCGTCGGTCAAGCCGCGACTGCGCTTTCGCCGCCCTCACTACCCTTCCGCAAGGCAAAGAATGGCAAGGGTGCCGCCTCGGGCGCCGGCACACCGCCCGTTGTCCACTACCATATGAACAACCTGACGACATCATCAGACCCGATTGCAAACCGCGAGACGGTGTTGATCTTGACGCCACTTGCTCGCTTCTATCAGGAGTACTGGGATAACCTCCTCAAACTGTCATACCCGCACGAGCTAATCAGCCTGGGTTTCATCATCCCGAAAACGAAAGAAGGTAATGCGGCTACCGCCGCGCTGCAAGAGCAGATACAGAAGACACAGCAGGGTCCCGTCAAGCGCCGGTTTGCCTCCATCACGATCCTGCGCCAGGACACAGAGAGCCCACTCATATCGCAGGACGAGCATGAGCGCCACAAGCTTGAGAATCAGAAGATGCGCCGTGCCGCCATGTCCAAGGCTCGCAACTCTCTGCTCTTCACAACTATGGGCCCGACAACGTCGTGGGTCTTGTGGCTGGATAGCGACATCATTGAGACACCCCACTCACTCATCCAGGACCTGGCCGCCCACGACAAACCCATAATCGTGCCCAACTGCTACCAGCGCTTCTACAATCCTGAAAAGAAAGCTCTTGATGTCCGCCCATACGACTTCAATTCCTGGCAGGACTCTCCCACCGCCCAGCAACTCGCTGCCCAGATGGGGCCGGATGACATAATCATTGAGGGTTATGCTGAGATGGCGACATACAGAAGCCTGATGGCCTACATGGTGGATGAGCCAGGCAGCAGCCTCGACAAAAATAAGGAGGTTCCCTTGGACGGTGTCGGTGGTACCGCCCTACTCGTCAAGGCTGAGGTGCATAGGGACGGTGCCATGTTCCCTCCCTTCAGCTTCTACCATCTCATTGAAACGGAAGGCTTCGCCAAAATGGCGGCCCGATTGGGCTGGAAGAGCTACGGGCTGCCGAATTATTTTGTGAGCATTCCCCACTTCCTTTCCCCGACGCTATATTCCATCTCTAATACGTATTTCGTGGTATAGGTCTATCATTACAACGAATAGATTTTACACGTATTCCTAGTCGTCTTGCATGGAAATCCGGCGTTATTAGGTTGAGGCGTGATGGCTTGTTTCTCCCTCTCAGATCAAGGAAAATGCTCGCGTAATCATAGACGTGGTGGGGAGTTGAGGGACTAGCACATGGGAAGGCTTTCAAAAAGGAGGATCAGGAATTGGATGTAGTGCACAATGTGAAGACCCAGGACCGCATCCTCTCTGCCACATATCGCTCCTGCTTCTGCTTCTTGTTGCTATTCTCTTTTCTCCAAAAACGCATTTATAGGTAAAATAATAGGAGGATAGGGAGAGAACTGGGATTGTAGAATGGGGTGCTTGCTTCGTATCTCGAACCAAGCATAGCTGACGAGAAGACAAAACCGGCCATCCTGCAGCTTTAAAAGCGATGTTATGGCATGTACATATAAAACATGAGGAGAGTGAAAAGCAAAAAATGACCAACTTTCTTTACGCCTCTTTGGGAGGAGCTATTTCTTATTACAAGTCCGTATTCTGCCCTTGTTGCAAGGTAATTATACCATGATCTAATCTACATTTGCGCCCTCCCGCGGTTCCTTAACCCAATGTCCGGCTCGCCATTCCAAACACGAGACGTGAAGAGTTCACCCTGGTATCAGTACATAGCGCCACGTCGTTAATTCATTACACAGGTCCTGTCATCTCCATCACAACCACGCGGCGTGGCCTAAATGGGGCCCGAGAAGACAAGGGCGCCAACGTGAACTACTACGCTTTCAATTCGTACCGCTCGTTTCCCTGTAGCTCATGCGCAGCGTGATACCCGGGCAGCTCGCTGGGCAGACCCTGCCGACTCCAGCCCGTCCCCGCCGTGCCTCTGTACCCCTCTTCAGAGACCGGAGCTGCGTCGACCGCCGCCGTCGCAGTGGGCGAAACCAGCTCCGCGATCTTGGGTTCCTCCGAGTCGCCCTCGAGCTCGTAGCGGCCTCGCACGACGGACCGGGTCAGCTCTGCAGCGCGCCGTCGCCTGGCGCGGCGCAAGAGGAAGAAGATGCCTAGGCCGAGGATGGCGAGCGCGATGACGGCGGCGAGCACCGCCGTCACAATCACGTACCGCTTGGCGAGCCCGGCACTGCCGTACGACGCGTCGTCGGAGTCGTGCGGCGCAGACGCGGTGCCGCTCGCGTTGGCGTTCGACGGCGCACTGCCTGCCACCTGCGTCGTTATCACCGTCGGGCTCCCGGACGAAGGCGTCGAGGTGAAGACGGTTTGGGAGAGCCCGCTCGTCGCTGCTGCGGCATTGCCTGAGCTGGTGCTCGTTGCGTCTGCGGATGCGCTTGGAGGGGCACTTGACGCCTGTTTCGATTTCATTCCATCCCGTCAGCTTTGGGGTAAGAAGAAGTTGTGAAGCATGTGTGGAGAAATTGGTAGTCCAAAGGTAACCGGGAGCATTGCAACGGTGAGTGTGGTGTTTGTATTTATGAGATCCATTTGTTCTATACACGTTTGATGCAAAATACTACAGATTGGTCCTTACATTTCAACAATCGATCTTACAACATCTCTCCTTCGAACCGGTGGAGGCTACGGAAAGAGCGGATGTAAAGAAAAGGGTCTTATAAACGGTACCTTACCTCATCCGCAGCACTGCTGTATATCGTCGAGTATCCAACTGTGGTTGTTACCACGGAGCTACCTATCGAAATGCTTGTAGAGAGAATGGGAATCTCGACTATAGATATGGCGATACAGGACCCATCGGTGCAGCTGAGGGGGGTTGTGGTGCTGCTTGTTGTCCCAACCGTCAGAACGGACGACGCCGTCGAGGTGATCGTCTCGGTCCTCACTATCGGATTCGTCGCTACGGGAGTTGAGGCGGCCTCGGTAAGTGACAAGAGCTCCGACAGCAACAGCAGCAGCAGCGCCAGCAGCCAGAGCGGCGAAGGTAGCGGTGGTCGCAGTTGTTGGCCCTCCATCATCGTAGGCCGTCACAGGGGGGAACGAGGCGAGTTGCTCAACCTCCAGAGTAGCATTGCACCGACGTCTTTCACGAGGGGCAGAGGCCGAGGGTGGTAGGTATGTGCAATACGAGGTCGGTGCCCTCGACGGAAGCGAGAGAGGAGATGCTCTTATTTTTCCCCCTCCCCCCCCCCCCCCCCCCCAGCGACAAGCGACACGATGCCCATTGCAGGACGGTCGTCTGCTTACCCGTAGGTGATTGCTGCGATCGTCCCGCGAACACCGTCAGCGGTCGAGTAGAATTCGTGGAAATCAGCCCATCATCCAGGTTTGGAAAAGCCGCGGGATCGTCCTATTCTTCTCTATACGAGGTGCGAGGGGTGCACGTTCGGAGAATAACAAGAGAGACCGCCAAGCCGGGGAACTTGTTCATTAATCGTGTTGAGAGCCCTTCTCCTGCGTCTGTCGACTGCTTTTCCATTTTTTCCTTTCTTCGTCGTTCTTTCACCATTGGCGAATGACGGCCCGATGATGAATGGAGGTGAAGAGTCTCCATCCGACACTCTTCACACGGTTCTTAGGCCCTGCAGCGAATTCTACATTCAGAACACGTTCCAAGGGGGCGCTTATGCAACCTCAATCTCCGTCTCAGCACAGATCACCGCAGAGTCCCATTGCTATTCTCGATCTCTCATCTTATCTAACCCACATACAAGCATGTTTCATGTAGTCCTTTTCCAAACACACGCCCGCGCATGACGACCATCAAAATGCTTTCCAGATCCAGGCATATCCCGGCCCTTAGCCTAACCTCGCCATGTTTGAAGTGGCTTGGATGTGTTAACTAGAGGAAATCCGCTTCCCTGTATTTGTGGTCGCACTAGTTTGCTCACCTTTGCCAACTAGTTCGAGCATGGCTATGTGTCAGACTCAAATATAGCATCGTCTTTGTTCACCGTTGCATTGTGAGGTGCAGTCGATCTGCAGACTACTAAAAGGATTCGACAAACTAGACTGTCCATGGCCAATGTTTATTTGGCGCGAATAAAGATACCATTTCGTTCATGTCTGTCCTTTCCTTGATCATTCAGCCTCTTCTTTCCTTGAGCAGTCGCTTCTTGTCCGGCACCAGCAGCGCGACCTCGGCCAACATGGTGCTGCTCTCAAACCTAGTCATAGCCTCTCTGGGCTCCAGTTATGCCTCCGGCCCAGGGATTGCTCCTCAATTAGAACCCACCGACGCGCAGCGTTCGGGAAACAACTACGCACACCTCCTCGCACAGAAGCTGACGGGGTCGATGTTGACGGACTTGAGCGTCAGCGGCGCGACCCTCACCAACATGCTCAACTCATCGCAAACAAGTGGCTCCACAACGTTTCCACCCCAGATCGAAGGCGTGCCTGCGGACTCGGATTTGATACTCGTGCTTGGTGGCGGAAACGACATCAACTACGTAGGTGGTCTGGACAACGACTCAAACTCGACAGTCGACGTAGACAGCCTGGCCGCTAAATACGGCACCGTGCTTGACGCGCTGCATGCAAAGGCCGCAGACGCCCACATCATGGTCGTTACCTATCTCACAGTGCTCGGCGCAGACGTCATCCCCGCAGGCGAAGATGGCGCTAACGTGCCCTTTAATGCCTCCCGTGTGGCCTACCATCAGGATGTGGCAGCGAAGCTACACCAAGCAACGCTGGATGTCATCACAGGCCGAGAAGAGTGGGCAGAGGTGGTGGATGTCGTCGAGCCAAGTTGGACGCACGGCGTGGGAGCTGCAGAGCCCTGGGTCAACGGCGCGGATGGCAATCCGGCAAACCATCCGCGGGCTATTGGACATGTCCAGATCGCAAACATGCTGTACAATAGGTTGCAGGGAGAATCGGGGAAGAAGTTGAAACGGAGGACCAGAAGGTAACAATTTTATGATACCCATATAACCATGTCTTCATCAAGGACATGATGCTGTACCTGTAAATAAATGCATTTGGGCTAGCATAGATACAAACTGCATGGTCTTTGTTGATATTTGTGCTTTATAATGTGTGAATGGTTCACCTTGGTGTAGGGCTGTGTATGGTGATAAATTTATGCTTTCACTATAGCCGTCCGCTATGATGTCATTATACTATTGTCGTTGAAGATGTAGTCTATGACTACGATAGACAAGTTAGCTCAGTCTGGGGAAGTAGGCAGTCGAGACGGTGAGCCTTTTGCACAAATGATGAAAGCAAACCCAGTTTCAAAGTTAATGACGCTTGACAATTGTATGGAATAGCACTTTCGGCACTTCCTATCGCCTCATCCGACTTTAATGTTGCAGTAGTTTGCAAAAGAAGGCCAAGAGCTGTGGATCGTTTGATTGAAGACAACAAAATAGCTCGTCTTTCACCGCAGGTGTCTTGTGTGGAAGGAGTGTCATCTCCAAGGCAGACATGCTACACAACAACGCGAAGCTTCGAAGGCAAGATGAAAAAAAAAGGAGGGATCATTCAAGTAGTTCAAAAAGCAGAAATATGCTATAGTGCAGAGTCCAGCAACAATGCGGGATCGAATAGGGCGGGAGCTTCTCATCGCTAGGCGAATAGCAAGCTAAGTACTACAACCAGAGACGAGCTATTTTTAAATCTGCCCCGTGGCCCGGCTCTGTAGATTCATCGAGCATAGGACATTTCTGTGACACTACTCATGCGCGGAGGTGTGATCTGAGACGAAGTCCAGAAATCTCGCATGGAGAGCACATACATTGCACTCAGGTACTCTCGTGCTTCGAAGTTCGGTACTTTGAATGCTCCGGTTCTGGAGCGGATGTGCTGAGACGATCCCACGATTCAGAGGGGTGCTAGTATATAGATTCCCATACCGTGAAACACAGAGCCTTCTGCAAAGGCGATCACGCAGCGAGTAAATGTCCGCGCCCGAGAACGGATTGGTTCAAAAGAGGCCATGACTGCGCGCTCGTCGTACAGGTGATCCGGGTTGCATAGCTGCTCTTGGTAGTGTTTCTGTTCCGATCTTATGACACATCAGCGGATGGTAGCGCGTCTGTACTAACAGTGATTCCGTGTGCGATGTTCGGGGGGCGCAAAGGCGTGTCCGTATGACTTCATCTCCCGGCTGCAACCCTGCCGAACAGCATGCCCGGAGGGGAGACGTGGTAAACGAGCAGGACAGGCAGTAACAGGTCACCTCGCAAGCGGTGGAATAGACGTGTAGCATGCAAACTCAGAGCCTTTCGTGGTGCGACGCAGGACGGCCAGAGAGTTACGGCGCCCTCGGCCGCGTGAACATGAGGCCAGGCACCGATCATCGGCAATCGCGCGTGTGCTCATTCGCCCGCTCACCCGTTGCGATTGCCCTTATCTCTCCGCTAGCGTGGGTTTCCCCAAACACCCACTTATCTCGCTTTCTTACGGCTCGATGCTATCTCAATGCACAACAGATGGATGCACGGAGTGCATGGCGCGGCCCGGAACCTCGCGCAGCCAATAGCTGCTTCTGTATCAGCATCCCAACGACTGATTAGGTAGTCCAACGCCCATGACGACGTGCCCTTCGATGACACCCCGCGTGTTATACATCCGCCGTCCGCGTGATGATGTCTCGCGACAGCTGAATATATCTCTTGTTGTTCTCCATCTTCTCTCGTGACCATACTTCTTTCGCTGCTCGTGTTGTTTTTTCTTTCCTATCTCTCGCTGTCGTGTGCTTCCGTTAGTCTGCTGGAACCGATTCCTCCTGCGGGACCCAAGGACCAGATCTACCCAGCGTTCCAGCCGTCACGACAACCATCCACCGGAAGAGGGACTGTGCGACTAGATTCCGTGCAGCTTCTGAGTACACTCCCGTCTCAGGAGCGGTGTTGGGGCGTGATTTGGCGTCAGACGTACCGCTCTACGCCTCAGAGGCTGAGCTTGAGTCACACGCCAAACGTAGATATACCGTGGCTCGCCTGAAAGACGCTTCGCTTCCGCTTCCTCTATCGCCTGCGTGGGAAGAGCGGCGCTGCTTGCAACGGCTCTACTATGTCTTTACAGGGCCTACTCTCCGTAGCAGGCGCTTTCGAACCCCAACTTCCACCACATTGCGAGCCCGCAAACGCATTTCTTTACCGACTCTCTTCGACGTTTCACACCTGCGTTCCCTCGAACCTCGCTCTCGTGTCGACACTTCTAGGAACGTGCAGCATAATAGCATGGCTCTTCGCGCAACTGCCGCAAATCTATAAGAATTTCAAGCTACACTCGACGTCGGGCTTGAGCGTCTTCTTTCTTGGAGAATGGCTCTTGGGAGACTTGTCGAACTTGTTGGGTTGCTTGTTCACGGGGCAGGCGACATGGCAGATTGTCATAGCATCGTATTACTGTTCTGTAGACTGCATGCTCATGGGACAATATATATGGTATGAATGGTTGAAGCACGGAAGGCCTCTGAGGAAGGTTTGGTGGCCTAGAAATAAAGAGAACAACAATAACAAGGATGTGATCGACGGGATCTCGATATACAGCCAGTCAACTTTGGGTGACGATTCAAGCTCGGTGGCCAGCAAACCTATCGACACGCCTATGAAGGGAACTCTAAGGCCAGATGATATACGGGGTCAGTTTCGCATGCCTAGATACTCCGCTTCCCCGGCAGAATATTCGCTTTCTTCTTCGCTGAGCTCCACGCCACAGAGGGGTCTTCGCATACCGGCAGGCTCATCGCCAACACCTTCACCAAGAACAGTCCTCTATATCTCGCTTCTCCTCGCGGTAGTAGCACAAGCTTCGCCTTTACATGCCGCCCAGGGGACAAATGAGATCGAGTTTACGGACCCTGTCTCCATGGCAGGTACCGTTCTCTCATGGCTTAGCACACTACTATATCTCGGATCTCGCCTTCCCCAGCTGTACAAGAACCACAAGCGGAAGTCGACAGCAGGTCTCTCTCCCGCCCTCTTCATTGCCGCGTTTTTCGGCAACCTCTTCTACAGCAGCTCCATGCTCGCAAATCCAAATGCCTGGTCCGACTTTGAGCCGTACGGCGGAGGTGGCTGGGTCGGCGAAGAGGGTAACAACAGGGCCGAGTGGGTCGCCCGAGCCACACCTTTCTTCCTCGGTGCTGCCGGCGTCCTGATTATGGATGCATGCGTCGGGCTGCAGTTCCTCGTGTTCGGCGAGATAGCACCGGAGCCGGTCATTGTAGTCGAGGAGCGGAAGGGCAGGAGGTGGAGGTGGCGCAGAGTCAGCGGCTGGATGCGAGGTTGGATGCCTTCTGTGAGCGTGGCAGGCACTCCTGGAGTTCAGTCACCCATTCTTAGGCCTCATTCTGGGAGTGATGTCGGCGAAAGAGATCGTTTGTTGATTGGTTCTTCTAAACAGCAGGTCTACGGATCTGTATGAATTGACAGCATGGAACGCGATTCAGTACGTTTGAGATTTCAAACCTTCGTCGGTGCATAGCATACAGGCGGGGCATGGGCATGGCGTTTGGTATTGAATGTTTGATCAGATAGACCTCAGGGATACAGGAGACCGAATAGCATGTTGTTGATTCAATTAGCACTACAGCAGTGGAACTTAAATCTTACTCTCCATACTGAGCTTCGCGTAGAACTCTCGCTTATTCGTTGTCTATCCACAGTATGCTTGTTCAGGCACTCAAATCCGTAGAGCTTCTGTACAAGGTTTGTGATATCGTAAGCTTGTTAAGAAGTCCAGGTGCGCAACTTTTGAACAGGCCTGGTGCTCTTCAAGCTCTAGTCAGTGACTTTAGTTAACAGAACTGGATAGATGTGCTAAGGGTTGTTGAGTGGTGGAGAATTGCCAGATCAAGCTCTAGAATAGCTCGGCCAACATGCCATCTATCAAAAAAGGCCGGAAACCAAAAACCAAGGAACCGAGCGGACAGTTTAGACACAAGCAGCTTCAAGAGAGCCGTCATAGTCTGACAGCACTGCAGCTATTCACGAAATGTAAATATCAACAAGGCTCGAAGATTTGAAGCTAAATCAACGTAAGGCAAAGAACATCCTGCATGTGGCTCAATCAACGTCTCCAGCCTATCTCCGAGGTCTTCTTCGGTGTTATCGAAGGAATCAGAGGGCTTGACAGCTTTTATATCAAAAGTTCCAAGCGAGAAGGCATTCCAGGGTCGACATCCGCAATCAAGGCAGCTCGGCACAAATCGCTAGAAGAGGGCATCCGGTTGTGTAATCGACTTTCGACTAGCGACAAAGCCTTGAAGAGCAGCATAAACCGCTCTTGGTGATTCTCACGTGGACAAATTGAACGGGACGGATACGTGGATGTGAACAGGGTCATGCCCAGGGACAAGATCGCAGCATTCCAAGTGCGTCGATGTACAATATTTCTGTCGTGGTCGAAAGAGGTCACTGACGACCGGACGCTTCAAGCCAGGATGCTACTACTACAACCGCTGAGAATTGGCTCACATGATCTCGACTTGACCAGACCGCTCCGCAGAGCGCTCAGCCCGTCCACACGTCTGTCTGGCCTCGCTTCCATTCCCCTCGACTGCGTAATGAACGGTACAAAACGGGAGGAAAACTCGTCCGCGGATGGCCCGCCGAGCGATGGCTGAGATGTGGACTTCACGCGTGCCTCACGACGAGGTCATGTACCAGCACGTACACAGAGCCTGCAGCGCGTGCGCTCTAAAAAAACATTGGAAAAGAAAGGAAAAAAAAAAAAATAAAGAAAAAGAAAAAGAAAACCACACGCATTCAATGCGTCAGACGAGGTACGGGTAACTCAGGTCACGATGTCTCGTCACGTGATTACGAACCCAGCTCCGACATCTCCGTCGTTTGCTAAGCCTTTCCCGTTTTCGACGAACCCCCATCGAGATCTGTCTGAATCTTTCTCTCTCTCATCAGTGACAAGTCCAATGCCGCCACGAATACCGGTGCCGCGGCTGCAAGGCCCCTTGAGCCTGCGCATTCGGACCTCGAGACCCGTCCCGTCGACGCTGCTGCCGCTCGTTGCGGCGCCGCCGCAGCCGCAGCCGCAGCCGCAGCAGCAGCAGCACCGGTGCGCGTCCATCCTCTCGGACCTGCGGGACGTACGGGGCGCGTACAACAAGCGCATCAGGAGGGGGCGAGGCCCCGCGTCGGGAAAGGGCAAGACGTCGGGCAGAGGCCACAAAGGTCAGAAGCAGCATGGAAAGGTGCCGGCTGGCTTCAACGGCGGGCAGACGCCGGACGAGGTGGTAGCGGGAAGGCGAGGCTTCACGAACATGTACGTACCGTCGCCGCGGCCGGCGACAGGAGGTTTGCCGTCAAGCGAAAGGCCGGCGCGTTTCTGACGGTCGAACACAGATTCTCGCTGGAGATGTCGGAAGTGAACGTGGACAGGATACAGAGCTGGATCGACCAGGGCAGACTGGATCCCTCCAAACCGATCACGATCAAGGAGCTGTGTAGCTCGAGGTGCTTACACGGTGTCAAGGACGGAGTCAAGCTACTTGCCAGAGTGGGTCTTCTCTTCTAGCGTATGGCAGCGCCAGAAAAGCTTACAAAATGTGCAGAATGGGGATCAGCTCAAAACGCCCATCAACATCATCGTCTCGCGTGCCTCCGCCGCCGCCATCCAAGCCGTCGAGCGAGCCGGCGGCACCGTCACGACCCGCTACTATACTGCCATGTCCATCAAGCGTGTCAAACAGGGTCTCAGCCACCCATTCCTTTCCCTCATGTCGAAATCGGAGGACCAGTCGTGGAAGGACTACCAGTACAGGCTGCCCGATCCAGCCGGCAGGAAGGACATAGAATACTACAGGGACCCCGCTCACCGCGGATACCTGAGCTGGCAGCTCCAGAAGGGTCAGAGTCCAAGTTTGTTCTGGAAGACGCCTGGCTTCGGTGAGAAGAAGACCAAGTCGGTCGCGAAGAAGCAGGCTGCGGAGAACATGCTTTGGTGAGGACAGCAGCTGGACATGTAACATTAGATGTATTAGACGCAAAATGCAATAGCTGGCAACACGTAAGTCACGGTAGCAATCGGCGGTCAAACCTGTCGCCTGGGATCTTCCACGCTGCTTCAAACGTACGTGGCATCGAAATCTGGCACGAGGCAACTCGAAAGAGTTGGCCCAACGTACATGCACGACCAGGAACATGTAGGCAAATCTGCTTCGCGGGAAGCGAAGTTACAAAGTGGTTCTCCCAGGGTAACCGCGCCGCCGTTGCGGTGTAAAAAACAAGGCAGAGAGAATGATTGGAAAATGCAGGTCGCACTGGGAGCTACTCTTAGCCTTTCAGACATGCAAGTGGCTGAAAGAGACATCAGACGGGCTAATAAAAAAAAAAAAAAAATTTCCGGCCCACAGCGAGGTATGGAACTGGGCAGCACACACGAGCAAAAGTTGTACAGTCTACCTCTTTGACTCTACCCTTTTGCGGTCAAGAGGGCGATCACAAGGTGTCCAGAGCAAGGACGGGATGCGGCAAAGAACAATAGTCTCGTGGGTCACGTAGAACTAGGAAAAAAAAAAAGGGGAGGGGGGGGGGAGAAGTTTGCAAACAGTTTGTCGAGCTGATCACTTCGTGTCATTTTATTGTTCTGGCGGTCTGCGGCAAGCCTACAGCACTTTTATCGGCCGCCTGGGCGTTGCCTGAAGTGACGACGTGATTGTGGCAATGAAAGAAAAGCCCTGGGCAATCCGTGGCTCGCATCGACAGAATGGTTTAAGAAGCTGACATCGTTAGTCCCGTTGCCACGGTGGGCCAATCACGGCGGCGTTTTCTGTGGTTCCTCAACTGCTGGTAGCGCGAGATCCGAATCAGCCTCATTTAGAGTCCATAACGCTACGTTATCCATGCTCGTGCAGAGAAGGATGATATGGGTGTGTGCGTGTGTGTGAGAGATTATCGTTCAAAGACGCACGGTGTTTGCGTCAAATGTCCAAAGCAAATACCTTGAAAGGTCAACGTGACACGGGGAAATGGAAAGGAAAATTCCCCAAAGTTTAGCTTCGGCGGATGGCTCGGTTGATACCGTCATGCCTACTAAAAGTGAAGGGAGGGCGTGCAAAGAGATCATCCTTAATCACAGATGGGCTCGTGGCGATTTCCGAAGCCGATCGCGTTGAGACTGCTGCATGAACGGAGCTTCTGATCCTGTCCCTGTGCATCTGAGTAAGAGAAGAGCGGCCGAGCGGCACAAGAACAATACGCAACCCAGCCGTAGTTCATCTGGGGTGTGGAAGGGCAAGCCCTTTGCAGCGCAGATCGGCCTACGAAGGAGGCATTTGGAACAAGCAGCTGCGTGTCTGCGCGTTTGCTTCTCGAGTCTACCGAGGTGGTTTGGCGTGGAGACCAAGAGGGGAAAAAAAAAAAAAGATGGTGGTGTTACAATCAAGGTCCCAAAATCAACAAGAAGTTCGGGGTTTGGCCCCGTCTCTTAGCCCAAAAACCTGCAGGACAAGGAAGTTCGAAGGTCGAGCGAGCATCGGAACACTTTCGATCTTGACCCGCGCAGCTTTGTGCTTGCTCCGCGCCGCTCGCGGAGAACGCAGGTCTTGGAATTCAGGCCAATGAAGGATAAACCGCAAGCGACGATTTGAGGCATATTTTTTTTTCCCTGTTGACTCATGCGCGCCTTAAAGCACCACTGATAAGTCATACGAGCAAAAGAACGCGAACAAAGACGTTGCCAGGCAGCGGAGTACAGGTGTGGTACGAAATCCTACTTGCATCTCAAGTGTGGACCAATGAATGTGCATCCACTCGATTCACGTCGGTCTGTTTCCAAGCAGAGTCGGGATGCGGTGTCATATGGGATCATCTGCGCCTCGAAATGTCTCGACTGGCTTTAGCGGGTGCGCGTCGATGAATGGTGGTAACGCTGGACGACTCGTCGCACATCATGATTCACGGCCTGGCCCTCCCTTTCTTTTTCTTGTCAGAAAGGCTTTTGCGTGCTGGAAGTCAGGCCGAGTCTCGTCAAAGGAGAGACAGCACGCCCGCGGGCATCCAAAACTGCAGTTTAGTCCGCCAATAGGAACGGCGAGCTGCGAAAGACGAAAAAAGGGTGAACGGCCATCTACACCACGTGCATGACCGCTTCGTACAGGAAGCCAATTTTTTTTTTCTGGGGCCGCGTGCAAAGCCAAAAAGTCCCATCGTCGGTGGCCGCGACCTGCCGCAGACTATGTGTGCTGAACGAGCAGGCTACTTCTCCAATCCTAGCTTAACGAATGCTACTTCGTATGCGCCACAGTCGGCGAAGCAAGTGTGCGAATCAGTACCCACGTCCGACATGGGCATTGATTGGAATCCGCTTCGTCCGTTAGAGACATATTGGGTGCATGCCTAACCGACGCCTGGATAGAAGGGTTTTGGAGGAAATGATGAGATTCTACTTGGAACTCAAGCGAAATAGGAGAAGACGGCATCGAGTCGAATTTTGCTCAACACGGACTCGTCGGGTTCGAAGCCGGTGCGGCTGAGGCAGCCAACCAAAGGCGTCAGAGTACACAACTGCTTCGAGCATGATGAGATCAGCTTCGTCGATGAAGTCATCCGATGTGAACAATGGCAAGATACAAGGTAAGAGCTGGTAATCCTTCCCGAGGAAGCGAGATCCAAGGCTTGACCTTTTTCTGTTCCCCCCTCTGCGTTTATCTTTACCCTATTTTTGTGCATTGCCGCAAAAGCCTTTTTGCAGCATCCTGGCGCTTGGTCATGGCCTCGCTCCGCGGTGTACACATCGAAATAGAGCACCGTCGGAGCAGCGACTGGCCGTGGCCAAGCCGCGTAGTCCCAAGGGCAGCGTAGATCGATCCTGATATAGGCCCAAAAAGGGACAGGTTGCGGTGGTCTCGCCCCCGGTCATGGCTCCACGACGAGCCGATTTCACAATCCGTCAGACAAAGAGTGGTGCATGACGGCGACGCCTGGAGGCGGCCAGAAGAAAGCTAGTGGAGCGAGCATAGCGCCAGCTGGTCACGGCGAGCAAAGGCGCGAGGACGTACGTTGTTTGCGTGCTGGGTAAGACGTCTCAGACGTGTGCTGGGATGCTTTTGCTGTCGCGTTGGCTCTTGTTCCCCCTCAACGCGGCCCACCCACGAGCGGCCAGTCAGGTCAACCTAATTACCTGTCCTATGCCGGCCTAGCGTTCAACGCGTCTCCAAGTCGCTGGCCCCTTGGCGATGGTGGAGACACTAAGACTGTATGCGCAGCTGCCGAAGTCAATTGCTTCGTGTGTCGACCGTCATTCACGATGCTAGGTTTCGTCTCCGGTACCACGCCTGCCTGTTCTTGTATCACAGATCGGTGCTCAGCCGTATTTCTGAGGCAGCGCGCTGCAGACCGGTCATTGGCAAATTGGACGTACGCTTGGCCCTTGGTGGTCGAGACGCAAATGCGGAGGACGTCCGGGAGGTTGCTCCAGGCGAATGACGTTGGTTCGCTGGACGTCTTGGAAACAGTAATTTACCATGCCCTTCTCATCATCACAAGGAGCACGCCGGGACAGGAGTCGAGTACAGCTTACTGCATGCCGCGCGCGCATCGCCTGGATCATAAGGAGCCAGTGTCATGCTACCCGGTGCCTGTGCCCTCACATAGCAACCGGTGCGAGACCAGTCGAAGCCGTACCTGTGGAGGGTGGGGTGCAAGCGGGCAGCGCAGCACAGCAGGACGAAGAGTCATTGCTTGCACGCTTTTTTCTGCGGCACTGCGTGACTTTTACCTGGCACAAGCCAAACGGACGGAGTACTTTCTGGGTCGATCCACCCAGAAATTAGCGACAAGAAAAAGGCAGAGCCGCCCCCCGGCCGCCGTCATTGGCGACTGAAATCATGAGCCGTTCGCTTTTCTGGCAGAGGAGCGGGGGGGGTGCCCGATGGGGGCACCCCAACTGAACGCAGTGCAATACCGGTGTTCACCAGAGTCTAAATCATGTGGAAAAAAAAAAAGAAAAGAAAAATTACGTAGTGTTTCTGGCGGTTGCCAGGCGTGTGGCATTTTGAAAACAGTTCTTGTTTTGTCCTTGATCAGCGTCAAAAACGCCATGGACGGCGTTCCGGAGTCTCACTGAGAAGGGAACCGGTATTGGGTCTCCCCTGGCGGGAACGAGAGTCCACTGTACAGTCGCCCACCGTCCCCTTCCTTTCTCCTCCCCCTCGCTCGGCGTGCGTCAAAGAAGGGTGTCTTGCCTGCGACGAGCAGTTTCTCAAACTCGTCGCCATCTCAGAGCCAATCACCGCCTTCCCAGTTTCAGCAAGGCACCTGAGCAACAGGCCGTCCGGAAGTCGCTGTGTCGACCCAGGCGCCGACTGCTCACATGGCTGAGGTGTCCTTGAGACATGCAATGACCGGAGCGGAGCAGGGAAACGTTCGACTGCTGGGCAGCGAGCAGGCGACTCTTGCTCTGCGTACGGAGGACGGCGTGCTGGATGGCCCAGCCCAGGCCAGGATGTGCGGCTTGGGATCAGTCCAGCAGTCAGACGGGCTGCCAGTCCGCCAGGCAAGCAGGCGGGCGTGCGTTCGTGCGTGCGTGTGGGCAGCGAGCAAGCCACCGACTGGCAGCGTCAGCCGTCGCCCATTGGGCGCGTTTCTGCCGGAGGCGACGGCGTGTGATTGGCACAGCCAGCTGATGCTCGCTGCGCTGCCGGCGTTGGGGCTTGGAGCCAGCTCTAGCAAGAGTTCAGCAGGAAGAGGCGACGATGCATCCGTCCATCGATCCATCGACCACCATCCCACACGGCCATCGCGTCGCCTGCCGTCGAGATCAGCACGGAGAAGCTCGCGCTGGCCGAAAAGCAACCGTGAAGGATGCCGCCATGCTTGGACGGGATTAGAACGGCGTTGGCACTCGCAAAACGCACGTCGCCACACGGACGGGGGGGGCTTTGAGAATGGATGCGCGTCGTATTCGGTGCCCATCAGCAGTCGTCGGCATCAATGAGGCCCAGGCTAGGCGAGCATCAAACAAAAAGTCGTGCCGACGTTGTGCATCCGGCGCCGGAACCCTTTGCATCCTGAACGTTGCCTGGACTCCAACGTGATCCACTCCCTTCTTTGGCCGCTTACTGCTATTCGCGGCTGCTGCGCAAGCAGAAGGCACACGACGCCCGCCGCTGCTTGCTGGCGCTGGTTCCTTGCTGGTGTCTGGCTTTTGCCAGGGCCTTGCAGAGTGCAGCGAATCGAGACGGTGGCCTGCCTCAAATGACGACTAGCAAAAAGGCGATCCACGGGCGGCGCTCCAGCACCAGCAGTCTCTCTACTCGTCGTCGTCGATGGGAACCTATGCTGGCGCCATCGCAGGTGATCCCATCCGCTCTGGGCTAAGGGCAAAAAGCAGGCACAGAATTCATTAGCTTTTGGCGCGTGCCAACACCGAAGCGCCGAACCAGCGCGCGGTTTGAGCGGCCTTTGCCTCTTTCTTTGCTGCGCGCTCTTTGACCGCGAGCTCTGACGAGAAAGGTTTCTCAAGCGGCGCCCGCCCGGCCACGCACAGGTTTTAGCGAGAGAATCCGTGTGGGCCATGACTTGTGTTTGGTCACCACCGTTGCCCTTTTGCCCCATACGATCGTAATCTCAGCTGGATTTGCCGGCTGTGTTGCGTATCGCCAGACGCAACGCACTCTTACTACGTCGTCGTCCCGCACAGCCCAAAGCTGCCTAACGACGATGCGGAAGACACACCCACGCACACACGCGCACACGCACACGGCGTGTCTCTCCGTGTCCTTGTCTTGGCCCTTGATTGCGTAGCTGGTATGAGTTGCCAAGCAGCAGGCAGCCTCACGGACGACGACAGCGTTGCATGGAAAAGCATGGCTGGGGGGGGAGGGAAAGAGACGAGCATGCGCATGTACGTGCGAGGACGGGGGCGCGCGAGAGGTTCGCGGACGTGTGCGATCGTGCGGGTGCGTGTGGGCGTGTGTGCGAGTGCGTGTGTGCGTGTGTGTCCTGGATGGGGGGCAGAGCGTGTGTGTGCCCACTGGGCCAGCGGCGTTGCAGCCAGCGCCCGGCGCTCCGTCCTGCCAGCGCTGACATCCTTCCTGCTGCGGCCGGCCCACTCGCGCCAGACCTTCCGTGGCCTTCTTGCTGCGTTGCTCTATTTGTCTTTGCGTTTCCTTTCCTTTCTTTACGGCGCGCAATAATACACGTCCAACCGCCCCCGCCCCTGGTCCCAGCCCCAGCCCCAGCAAACAGCCCAGCCCTTTGGCTTTAGTTTGCATCCCCATCCGTCTTCTTCTTTTCGGCCTGCCAGAACGTCGACGAACGCTACTCTGGTTTCGTAACGTGGCTCGTTCCTCCTCTCTTCTCAATCATCCGCCCCATGCCACTAGTACGGAGGCCGTCCCCCTGCAGTCCTGTTCTAGCTTCTCACAACCTGACTTCAACCGCGACGGAGGCGCGGGCGCTTTGATTGATCGGATCCATGCTTGGAGCTCCTCTTTCCGTCCGTGATAGTCACCATCCACACTTTTTGCTACCGATGACTTTGTGGAAGCGTCAAAACACTTTCCATTCCCGCTTTCAGCCATGCGTAGTCCTGATTTCTTAATCTCCCCTTGCAAGCGTCCACACCTTATCCCTTCATACTCCGCATCCGTGGCGTACCGTAGCCCTCCTTCTTTCGCTATCCGTCCATACATACATCCCAGCGTCGGCTCTTTCTTACTTCCATAATCCTCCCACTTGGACGTACCCGGCTCGCCGTACACAAACTCCTTGTCTACCTGTCCTTCCCATCGCCTCCGTCTCCTCCTCGGTGTCCTGTCTTTTTTTAAAGACTCGGCCGCGTCGCCCGCGAACAAAGTCATCGTCTGTATCGCAGTACATATGGTGACCTGTTAGCCCCCCCCCCCCCCTCCTTCGGACTCTGTACACAGACGAACTCAAGTCACTTGTATCTGCCCCGTCCGCAACTCTTCCTCACAGAGTTGTCTCCCAGTCTTTGACAGACTTCATACGCCACACAAATGTCCTAGGCTGGCCCATCCACTCACACTCAAAGTCCGCGTCCCCTTCACTCTTGCATCGCCATGACGGAACTCATGCCACACGCCGTTGCTTCAGAGACTCACCTTCAACCTTGGCCGTACTCTAAAGCCTCACACCGAACGCTACCTCTGCCGCCCAGCACGTACGAGCAGCAGCAGCAGCAGCCTGTGTCAAAGCAAGCCTTCCTGTACAACAACGGCCCGCCAACACCACCGCTAACGTCGGACATGAATGGCCTAGCACAGTCCGCACATCGTGGACACCAGCTTAGCTATCCCGTTCGAACACAGGTCCCAGCAACACATGCAGCAGCCACCGCGGCTCAGGAATCTCTTCCGCAAGCGTCCAATGCCTACATCAAGTCGAGCACGCCGGGCATCTCGAACCTAGCGCAGGCCGAGCCCCATGGTCGACAATCCCCTTCTCACATCAACACCATCTCGACCGCCTTTAGACTGCCAAGCTCCATCCAAGCACCGCAAGCTAATCTTCCCCAGCTGGCTGCGGAGGTGAGTTCAACCTGAGGCGACTCGGCCGCTTCACCGAGACTAACCTGTGTTCCTTCTCAGACCGCATGTCTGTTCTGGTTCGAGAGCAGTGCAACGATCGCACGGATCGAGAAATGGACACCGGGCTCGCCGGTTCTACCCAACGCCCTCAGTCCCACCGCGATACCTTCAACGATGTTCCGCAAGTGGCTCAGCACACTTCTCGCAACCACGCAGGTCTCACCAAACGTCATCATTCTGGCGCTCTTGTTTATATACAAGCTCAAGGGGTTCAACCAGCACCTAAAAGGAGGACCGAACAGCGAGTTCAAGCTGATGACAGTTGCCTTGATGCTCGGCAACAAGTTTCTGGACGACAACACGTACACAAACAAAACTTGGGCTGACGTTTCCGCAATTCCCGTAAAAGACGTGCACATCATGGAGGTGGAATTTCTGAGCAACATGAGATACAGCCTCTTCACATCGGATGAGCAGTGGAGCGCATGGCACAAGAAACTGGGCCGCTTCGGTACCTACATCGATCTGGCGAACAAGGCCAGGGAGGCGGCGGCACTGCGGCCCACCCTCCTCACGCCCACCACTGCTCACTTTCCAAACGCATTGCCCTCACCGCCTCATCCGTACTCACAGCTGTCCCCACAGTTCGCCGCTACGTACTCTCCAAACCACCTACCTCCAGCGACCACTCCTGTTCTTCTTCCGCAGCCTGGATCAAGCGCCATCTCGCCGATCGGGCCATTGCCTGAGCTGGACCCACGGTTTAGCAGAAAACGAAGTTACGACGAGGGCTTGAGCGAGCCTCCTGCCAAGAGACAGGTTCCAGCACACTACCACGAACAGATGTCCAACGTACCTGTCACCACGCTCTCGCAGCCGCAACCCCAGGCTCTGCACCCTCCCGTCCAGGTTCCGAGCCTGCCTGTGCAGCACGTCAGTCAGATTTCTCAGATTCAACCTGCCTCGCAACTACCGGCCCCAGGGTCTCGAGCGATGTCTCTCGTGTACCAACCGCCGGCCTCGCAGCATTTCCAGCCGCAGGTGACGTTGCCAACCTCGATGGCGCCTCTTCAAACTTCGGCCCTTCCCCAGCTGCCGGCCCTCCATCCGGATCACGCTCGCCAGCTGAGCCCCTTCACGGCAGGATCGGCGACCTCATCCCCGGTCAACTCGGTCTACACGCCAACTGGGCAGATGCAGCAGCGGCATTCACCGTCCTACTTCCTTGCGCAGCGAAGCTCGCCGTATCGGCCCGTTCGTCAAGTACAGACACTCCTGGCCCCTCCGTCCTCTACGCCACTTTACAACGCTCCAAGACTGGTCAGCCAAGATCAGATGCAGTACCATCCACTTGGCAGACCGTTTAACGAGCGCCGCGTCGGCCACCTGCCCTACCTCGATCACGAGGCTTGGCCACAGCATCACCAGTATAACCAGTGGTCCGAGGTTATTCCGCCTCCGGCACCAAATTTCCACGCCTAACTTTCCAGGCTCATTCTTCTGTACATACGAACCACCTTCTTGCGCCTGTACATAGCTCTCATTTTGAGTCGGTATTCTATTTCATTTCAGCATGGCATTCGGCGTTTTGCAGGGGTTGTCATCATTCGGTGGAGTCTCGCGTGCAGGCATACTACCAACCATCAGCACCACCACCACCACTACTACTACTACTACTGCTACTACTATCACAACAGCATCAGCGAGGGCGTTTTTGTGTTGTTGTTTTTTTTTTGTGTTCATCGGTCGGACGGGTATTCAAAGTTGCACAAAGAGTATCATTATCTCCCAGGGACGCTGCCGGCTTGATGCCAAGCTGGCGAGATATACTACCTAGATGTAGAACAAAAAGACCTAGAGCAGGCACACGTTTAAATCACAGGCGTCAGCAGCCGCATTCTGTCGGCTATTCGACATCAATTCCTACTTGTGCGAGCATCTCTTGTCTCGTGCCAATTTCTTTTTACATATTTCTTCCCCTTTCTCTCCGCTGCAAGTTTCCTATTGTCCTCGCGACTCTTGGGGGTTTTTTTTTTTTATTTTTTTTTTTACGTTCGTACTCGGAAGTCGAAAGAGAGCAGAACGTATCGAGCACGTGAGAAGCCCCTGCTGTGAGTCGCCGAGGTTCCATGTACGTGCCTCTTCCCCCCATGTTATTCTTTCCCAACCAAACCCGTATTTGCTAACCTCTTTTCGGTACCATCTCATGTAGTCGGCCTTGGACCCGAAAAGCATCTGGACATTCTGCGAGAGGAAGAAAAAAGGCACGCTCCGTTACCACCATTATTTCTTCAACCTTTCTCTCCACGTGCCTGTGACTGTTCGAAGCTCCCTCTTTTTTTTTTTTTTTTTTTTTTTTTGTTCTTCTCCTCCCCTTCACCCCCGTTGGCTCGGTGATCTCGATTCGACTTCGTTCCTTGCTCGAGGAAGGGACAAAAAAGAAAAAGCAATAGTGCAAGCAGCTACATCATTCAAAGCCATGGCGTGGCCGAGATGGAGCAACGGCAACGCGTACACGGACTTCAGGCAGCTCATGGCCGTAGTCAAGATCAACGACACCACGTACGAGTCGGCCTCGCCCGCGTACTCGCCGGGCGGTTTCACGCGCGCATTTGGCGGTCACGTGTACGCTCAAGCAGCGTACGTGGCAGCGCAGACGGTGAAGAAAGGATTTGTGTTACATGTACGTATGTAGGAATGCGGACATGCGGGCTCCTCGGCCACCCACCTACTCCCCTTTTCCCCCCCCTCCCCTCCCCTTCCCTTTTCCTTCGCCGCTCTCTCTGCATCATGGACCAACGTTCATGAGCGACGGTGGTTGATCAACGTGGTACGAAATAGAGCATCACTGGATGGTTCACGCTGCAAGGAGACACCACGAGACCGTTCACGTACCGCGTCGAGACGATCAGAGAGGGCGGGGGATACTGCCAACGCCAGGTGTACGTGACGCAGGATTCGACAAAGGGCGTGTGCTTCACGTGCATATGCTCCTTCAAACGCCCGGAGCCGGACCTCAACAGACGCGCTCTCAAAGCCAACTTCAGGGAACAGTATGCCGCCGTGCTGGCGGGCAAGAACCCAGACGACCATCCCGAATGCCCCGGCATCGACTCGCCTTACTGGTGGAAGGTCGAGGAAGAGCGAGGTTGGATCGATCCGTTTCCAGGGCTGAAGACGAGGAAGGTGGACATGACGCGGTATAACGAGGGGAAAGAAGCGTTGGACAGGAGGCAACTGATGTACTATCGGGTGATTGGGGATATGCCGAAGGTGGCCGATGATGCCAACTTGCACGCTGCGGCCCATCTATATGCCAGTGATCGCAACGGATTGTTTCCCGTAAGTGGCCATCTTCGACTTCTCACCCTTTCGATCCCTCGAGTGAAAACAGGAGAATAATACTGAGAGAGGAAAAAAAAAACGAAACAGATAGCGAATTTCTTGGACCTTGGGGATAATTACTCGGCCATTGCGTCTCTCAATCACACATTCATCTTCCACGAGGAAGCCGCGGGCATTTCGACGATCAACGAAGAGACCGGCGAGCCGTGGAACTTCATCAGCGAGGAGAAACTCGACCACGTTGGACACGGGAGGGGCCTGGCCGTGTGGAGGTTTTGGCGAGAGGACGGTCTCCATGTCGCGAGCGCTTTTCAGGACGGCATGATGAGATTCACGCCCGAGGGAAAGGGTGCTGCAGCCGCCGCGTTTGAGGGCATGGTGAAAGATAAGTCCGAGAAGAAATCGACGAAGTCTGCGAAGCAGAATGCGCCCAAGGAAGAGAAGCTGTAGAGAGCAAGCTTGGCGAGCACCTGAGGGAGTTTTTAACCGACTGCCTGATCCCTTAGGCTGGGTGATAGGGGCGCCATTTACGTTGGTAAACCGGCATGGTAGTAGAACTAGAAGGACTATTTTGAGCGTTACAATGTTGTCCTTAGAAATCCAAAGACTTTTTTTCTTTAAAGAAAAAAAAAATTCCGTGCGGAACAGTCATCAATACGACATTGACGGATGTCGGACTTAGGGATGAGGTGCAGGGATAGGAGTCGAGGACATGACTGGTTGCGCGTGTCGATATTCCAGAAGAGGAAATTCCGAGGCCAGCATATGTTTGAGCAACCAGAATTTTTTTTTCTTCTTGATGAGAAACAACTAGCTCCAGATGACAGCGGACGAATCCGAGAAAGTCCGATGATTTTAGTGTGATAACGGCCCGTCGTAGCTGTTACGAGCATGAAAGAGCACACCGCCGGCGAAAACGGCATCGGGAGCCGCCCCCGTAGGTAGCGGAGATATCAAACCTGGGAAGCCTTATCGCAGCCGTGGTGGACGAGAGTTCCATTCGTCCATTTCGGTTTTCTGGGCGTGCCGCCGCTGTGGCCGAGAAGGAAAGCGATCGTGTGCGTGGAGCAGCGTGCGCGAGTATGTGAGCGTGAGTGAGTATGCCAGCTTCGAACGGTTTGCACCCACACATCCCACGCCCAGCTCTTTTGCGCCGCACAACGAGCGGGGGGTGAAAAGAAGGCCGGTCCAGAAGCTGAAAGCTCAGGTCGCCCGGCCATCACATAGGAAAAAGGGAAAACAGTGGTAATAATAATAATTCTATTAAAACCGCAGACAGGAGTCACGCGTGGTGCGCGAATTAGAGCCAGGAGGCAGCCTCGTGCCGGGACACAGAGCGCTTTGAGGCTGACAAGCCATCGGCCAAGCTAAGCTTCAAGTAGGACGCGAAGTCCGCTCGCGCGGAAGGGCGAGTGCTTTTTGGGAAACTTTTTTTTTTTTCCTCTTGCTCTTGGGCCCAGACGGACGAGCAGACAGCGTGTCCTTCTGCGCAAGCGCCCCCCCGACTGCCTCAGCAGTGGTCGACAAGTGAGCGGGATCAGACGCGAACCGCACGGAAATCGGGTCGTTTGGCCAGCGGCAGGAAGGAGTCAGAGCCCGGGAAGCGCAGGAAAAGGTTGCGTGCGCGTGCAAGCTGCGTCGTCTCTTTGGACTGATTTCGCTGCGTCATTCCTTGAAAAAAAGCTCCAAGATCTGGTCCCTGACCAATCACGAGCCCGCGCGTTGCTATCTTCCCTTCCTCATCTTGCAGGCCGGGCACCTCATCCCCCGACCGAACACCATCATCATCGTCCAAACGTCCTCGTTTGGTCTCTTGACCTTTCAATTGTCACATCTCACTGCCATTGAGATGGCTTCCGCTGCGACAATGCGGCCATTGAGCCTCTCATTGGCCCCTCGAGCCCTCCCAGCTCAGACACTCAGAACGTTCTCCTCACGAGTGTCAAACTCGTCATCCGCGGCGTGGGCATCGCGGCCGCGGGCATTGCCGCGTCCAAGCTACAATAACGTCGTTGCCAGACAAGCAGGGAGGAGATGGCAGACGACCGAAGCGACGGCGCCTGCTCCCAAGCCGAAGCCCGGCAAGATTCGCAGATTCTTTCGCTGGACGTGGAGGTTGACATACCTCAGCATGATCGGCGGTGCGGCCTACGCAATCTACGGCCTCCACGAGCTGAGGAACCCCAATGAACAGGAGCCCCCGGATCCATCCAAGAAGACGCTGGTTGTGCTTGGTATGACTCCTTCCTCCCGTCCAGTCCCGCTCGGCACCTGCCGTTCGTGAAGCGCAATCTGAAAGCTGACCATAGAAATTCTTCAGGTACTGGCTGGGGCTCCGTCTCGCTGCTGAAAAATCTTGACACCGAGAACTACAATGTCATCGTCATTTCGCCGCGCAACTACTTCCTCTTCACGCCGCTTCTGCCCTCGTGCACAACCGGCACGATCGAGCACCGCAGCATCATGGAGCCGATCCGCTACTTCCTGAGGCACAAGAAGACTGCAGTCAAGTACTACGAGGCCGAGGCGACGAAGATCGATTACGAGAAGAAGATCGTGTACATCAACGACGAGAGCGAAATCAAAGGCGACGTGAGCAGCACCGAGGTGCCGTTCGACATGCTTGTTGTTGGTGTCGGCGCCGAGAACGCCACCTTTGGTATGCTACCCCGTACTTCAATTCAAGCTGGCAAACGCTGATCGTGAGTCAAATACAGGTATTCCCGGTGTCCGTGAGCACGGTCTCTTCCTCAAGGAGGTGGGCGATGCTCAGCTCATCCGCAAACGCATCATGGACTGCTGCGAGACGGCTACCTTCAAGGACCAATCCGATGACGAGATCAAGCGTCTGCTCCACATGGTCGTAGTCGGCGGTGGTCCCACGGGCGTCGAGTTCGCAGGCGAGCTGCAGGACTTCTTCGCCGAGGACCTGCGCAAGTGGATTCCCGAGATCGCGGAGAACTTCCACGTCACGCTCGTCGAGGCTCTGCCAAACGTGCTGCCCATGTTCTCCAAGCAGCTGATTGACTACACGGAGCGGACCTTTGATGAGGAGAAGATCACCATCCGCACCAAGACCATGGTCAAGAAGGTCACGGACAAGTACATCGAGGCGGAGTCCACTGGCCCCGACGGCAAGAAGCAGATTGAGCGTATTCCCTACGGTTTACTGGTCTGGGCTACGGGCAACGCTGTTCGCCCCGTCGTCAAGGACCTCATGTCCCAGATCCCCGCCCAGAAGGACTCGCGTCGAGGCCTTGCCGTGAACGAGTACCTTGTCGTCAAGGGCACGGAGAACATTTGGGCCGTCGGAGACTGTGCCATTGCCAACTATGCACCGACTGCCCAGGTTGCCAGCCAAGAAGGCGCCTTCTTGGCCACGATGTTCAACAACATGGCCAAGACGCAAGCCATTGAGGATGAGCTGAAGCAGTGCAGCGAGGAGCAGGAGAAGGCGCCAACTAAGGAGGCCAGAGACGCCGTCTTCGAGAAGATCAAGGATCTTCAGAAGAGGCTGAGGAGGGTGAAGCAGATGGGTCCCTTCGAGTACTCGCATCAAGGCAGCTTGGCATACATCGGTAGCGAAAAGGCCGTGGCTGAGTAAGTTCCTTCCCATCTTGTCCTTGCGCTGGAGACGAGCAGTGGGCTAACAAAAAAAAAACAGCATCTCGTGGTGGCTCGGCAACATTGCCAGCGGTGGCACTCTGACCTACGTATTCTGGCGCAGCGCCTACGTTAGCATGTGCTTCTCGTGGCGCAACAGGACGCTCGTCGTCCTCGACTGGATCAAGTCCAAAGTGTTCGGCCGTGACGTGTCGCGAGAGTAAGCGAGCATCACGCAGAGTTTCAGACTATCGTGTAAGAGTATGGGAACAGGTCCAGGCGAACAGATGGGTAGTAAAAGAAGTGCAAGTTGATGGCTAAAGCCTTGGACGGGTCATGGGACGGCCGCACCAACATTCAGAGCGTTCTGAAATCTAGACGTCGCGTAATAGACTGGGTGGTTTAGGATGTGGTGTATATTTGAAAAAAAATTCTTTTTCTTAATTTATCTTCTTCCTGCTTCTTTAGCCAGCCAGACCAGCTAGCTCTCTTACTCTTACCGTAGCAAGGCTCTGAATATACATAATACAGCCCTTTTTTTTTAGCGTCGAAGCCAACAACGAGAACAGTCTTGTCTTTATGTGTCGAAGCAGCATCCTGCCGTCATCTTTGCGTGAACCACTTGCGCCGAGCCTACGATTTGGCCATGACGCTGGAGAGTGCCCCGAAACGTTGCCGCACAAACGCCGCTTTAACACGAGTCAAAAAGTTTCCACCGTCGCTGCGACGGCGCTATGGAAACCGCGTCTGTCCCGCGCAGGATGTCGTCCGTTCTGCGTGTCGTATCGTATCGCATCGCATCGCATCGCTTTGCCTGCACGATAACGCGACGGGAGGCGGGAAGCGCCGGGGCGACTCAATTGTCTCTGAGCGAAGAGCGAAGGCTGCAGCGGTGCCGCTGGTATTCTCGATCCCTCGCTCGTCTGAGCGGATGCCGGGCTTACCGACTCTTACCCGTCCATTTGCCTTTCCTTGCTCTTCGTCGCCCTTCGACAGCTCGAGGCTAGCTTGCTCGAGCTCGCCGTCGTTTCGGAGCTCTTTTCTTCCGCCTTCAATCTTACCTTGCTCCTTTTCTTTCGCTTGCCTCTCTTTGTCTTGCCGCCTGTGTTTAACTTCGCCATTCCCGGACTGATCGATGGACTGCCTTGGCTCTGCTTTGTGCCGAGGGAGGACGAGACGAGCGGCTCGGCGTTGCTGGAAGGTGTCGTTTCTGCCGTATGAAGCGGCGGATTAACATGCAAAGTCACCGGTTGGACAGATACCGCCTGCATAAAGCTGCTCATGTTTTCGGCCCTCTCAGCCTCTTCAAAGAGCTGCCATGGCGGCAGGAACCCACGCCCAAGGTTTGTGAAGGCGCACTCGTACATATGCAGAATGCGTAGCAATCCCTTCTTCCAGTTATGGTCACGGTCTATTGTGATGAGCAAGTGCATATCCTCTGGATCTAGATCGTCTATCAAGTACAAGTCGCCCAATGTATCCGCATTAGGAACGAGCTGTATGGTTGTGCCCAAGAATTGCTCGTAAGCTGAGAAGTTGAAGTCGTAAAAGTAGTCCGAGGTGCCTAGGATGTCGACTTCGCAGCTGTGTTGCATCGGGTTGGAGATCTGGATGCCGCACTGTTGCTCAATCTCGGCCAGGGCCCTAAACACAGTGGACCAGGGAGTCATGCACATCCCTGCGTCCCTGAAGGTCTCGTACTCGAGGATATCCAAAGCAACCTTGTTCATGCCGCCAGATAAGTCCACGTTATCGAAGCGTATGCCGTGTAAGGTCTTGGCGTGATTTCGAATGAGCAAAGCCAGAGCATTGTCTTCTATGACAGCATCGCCAATGACGAGATGGGCCATTAGGGGCAGTCTGATTGCAGGCAAAAGCGTTTCCAAGAAGTCACTACTGCCGGCAAATTTGAAGTTAAATAGGTTGAAGATGCGAATGCTCCGTATCTTGTTGATGGAGTGGGCGAGGTCCTGACTTGAGCTCCAACCCTTCGCAAGGCAGAAATTATCGTAATCATGGCAGTGGGAGTCCGGTGCGATCAGTGTGAGATTGGTTATATACGAGTTGATATTAGCATGGAATTCGGCCATCGTACGGAAATTGGCCCATCCGTAACGAGATAGTATCCAGCGACTTTGGATCCAGTAGGCTTTCGCATAGCGCTCTGATGTCTTCGCAGCAAGATCACGACAGGTTGCACGGAGGCTAAGTAGAGTGTCACGGTTTGGAAGGTAGTTGCAGATACGATCAACGATCTCTGCGGGCAGCCTATCCAGGTACGGTTTTCCAAGTCCTGGCAAGCTGCATCAGCTTTCCCCGCTGTCGTGTCGTTTCCTACCCTCCCACTCACCAAAAGTCAGTTGTGTTTCGGCCACTTTGTTGCCAGCAGTCTCAGTACACTCCGTGGCCATGTTTGATTTCATACAGCGACGTCACGCTTGCGGCACACAAGGACAGAAGATGAAGATCTTCTAACAGATTCTTAGGGAAACAACCCGAGAAAGGAGACGCAAACCAACTGCGAATGATGCGGTCCGGATTTTGCTCATTGGTAAGAAAATGAGACACTTAGTTGTGCTGTCGCAGATTGGACGACGTCACACCCTCCTTTCGATGACGATTGTGATTTATTACGTAGAAAAGAAGAGGGAGCCCGGCCGCGATATTCGTTTCCGCGACTTACGCTGTGCAGGTAAAACTATTCAAGAGCAGATGAAGAAGATCGTGTGCTACGTGATGGATAAGGATGTTGCACCATGTGGGTTACTTGCGGGGTCTGGAAGGATCAAGTTCGTCATAACTTACTCGACACATCACATTTCTTCGTTGGCGCCTCCGCCCGCGTCCTGTTCATTTTTGCTGATAAGGAATCATGACGTGAAATATGAACGCTAAGACTGGACACAGCCACGTAGTCGTAATCTTCATTTTGCGTCGCATATATCAGGCTGACGGGTGATTAAGGCTGCACGAAGACAGCACGAGCCTCGGGAGTCACGCGATTCTGTGCGGAATGACGAGCTGAAGTTGCCATGCTACAGCGGCCAATTTTCTGTATGAATCAAGCGTTTCTGAACAATGATCTGTTCAACGCACGTTTAATGGTGCTGTAGCGACGTACGTTTAATACTTCACCACGTTTCTGAACCCAGTTAGTTCCACTCGACCCCGCCAGGTTACTAGCGTCATGACAATGGTTGCGGGGACAATCGTGCTCCGAGTAGTAGCAGTTTGACACATGGTGCGGCCTAGCATCACTAACCAGCTTGAGCAAATGTGTTTTTATAGCCGAGATGGCTGCAGCGTTACGGAACATGGCCATTTCTCCTGGAGATCTGCGGCGCGATCGTTGGGGCATATCTCACAGACATCTGGATCAACCACAGTTCTTGGCAACGACAACGAATATTGTGTTTTAGATGCGAGAGAGAGAGAGAGAGTAGAGAGAGGGAGCGAGAGATCCCCCGCGTGAGATCGACAAGGGATCAGTTGGAAGGAAGTTCGCGCCAACTTTTTGTATCCTGCGAGGGGATTCAAACTGAGTCATTTTGTCAAGTCGCAACCGGCCTAGGGAATTGTGTATCGTGGAATGAACAACATGTTGATTGGCGGAGTCCTGTCGCTCCAGCGCAATCCCATACGAGCTCTGCTGCTGTTGCACGGAATATTCATCGTTTGTCTTCACCGCGATTTTCCTCTTTTTCTTTTCTTTTCCTTTCTTTTTTTCTTTTTTTTTTGCAAAAAAAAAGGAAATGGGATATGCTAAACATCGCTCATTGCCGTTTGCGATCAGGTGTGCCAATGCAAGGTAGGCGAGTGGTTTCGCAGTAGAGGGACTGATACGGCGTGGGTTGTGCTCAGAAGTCATGGGTAAAGTGAAATATGAAACGATGGATAGAACTAACTGATCGCATGATCGGCTTCCGTGCCGAAATCCGGGCGTTGATCAACCGTCGCAGTGCTCTCCACGACACTTTTCGTTCGAAGCACATGCAATCTTCGAATCACTGTGGGATCTGGTTTTTTCCCATTGGTCTCCACAGATTTGTTCCATGCGGGATTCGATTTGGCTCTGCCTTATGAGGCCTAGTCGACATCTGTCCGTTCCCCTGGAGCGACGTCGTCCATGTGCGTCGGTGCTTTAACCTGCAGAGGAGACGGCACGGAGACCAAGCAACCCCTCACGCCATGTTAGATGTCGATTGGATTCTCTGCGTAAGGCTCGGTCAGTCTCCCTGTTCCGGGTAACATACCGACATCGTCCACGCCACCTGTCGAACGCAGAGCTGTGGCCATTTGGGGCATTCTGGTTCTTTCTAACCGTACAAGGTATCAGACGCGGAAATGGTACAAACCCAGGACTCCATGCTCGATTCCTTCCGCTATGTTCGCCGTTTTATGCGCATCGCATGTCCAGTTTTCAAAACGAAGGCTTCGAAGGAAGCATGCTATCTTGCGGTGTATCGTTTCATATTCCATTGATCGTACTGTGCTATCAGGTCCCCAAGATCGTAATGCTGATTTTCGCAGTTGTCAACATGACGTTTTTTTCCTCTTGTAGGGGTGATCGTTTTAAACTCCACATTGCTCTCGAGACAAGATTTTTATAGTCAAGCCAAAAGTCAACTCTGTGCTCATCCCTGCCCCGCCCGTCAAACTAGCATCCATTATTTCTGGCTCTAGTCGCGGGATCTTCCCCACAATCCCGAAGAAAAGGCAAGGGAAGCTAGCAATTGCCACAAGCCTTATGATGTTATGGGTACTGCCTGCATAAGGGGCACCGTCATGGGCTTGACCCTAGCCTTAGTTGTAGCTATGCGCCGGCAAACCGCCCACCGATAATGGATCGGATTGTTCCTGACCGTAGCATCATTGTGATCAGGCTGCGGTGTTTTCAGGTAGAAATGGTGGGCGTCGCGTGCATCTGACAAGTATCAAGCGAGGACCCTACTTTCCCAATGGTCTGGTACGAACTGGGGAAATGAGTCGCATAAGAGCCTTCATCCCATGACTTGAAGTTTGTCTCTTTACCCTGATGCGATTCTGTTCTGCATCTACAGCGCTCCATGCTCCTGAAACGTTCTAATATCGCTCAACTTCCACAAGCTAAAGCATACTCATCGGGAAGGTCAAGTGTTGTTGATGGCATGCAACGCTAGGCCTTCACGGTTGATAACTTAGGCCCCCTTCTCTGCGAGTTTTGGGATTCTATAATTTATGAGTCGGATCCTTAGTTACCCATTTCATCTCATATATATTTTTATTGCACAGAGACACAAGTCCACGGCTGTTGATCCAAGCTTTCTTCTATCAATATGGTGAGGACAATCCCGTTGAGTGTCATCGCAACGTAAGTTTGCCTCCGCTGCTTCATAAAAGACAAGCTCATCCTGGCTTCATTGTAGATGGCCACCACCAAACTATGTGGATCCCGTTCGACGAGGACCTGGAGCAGTGGTGGTAACCATAGCATTTATGGTCCTGGCTAGTATTGCCGTGTTCTCTCGTCTCTTTGTACATGCATTCGTCGTCCGATCCGTTGGACCCGGAGACTTCTTTATCATACTAGCTTATGTGAGTGTAATGACGGTCTCTGGATCACACAGCTAACAAATTAAGCTATCGACTGTAGCTATGACATCACTGGAGATAGTAGGGTACGAGCAATATGATTGGGGCCGCCACATCTGGTTTGTTCGAGCCAAAGCTGTTTAGAGTGTGTGCTGATTGTTTCCTCTAGGGACGTTCCCATCAACAACTTCTCTCGCTCGATCTATATCTCTTGGTGGTATAGGATCGTCTATTCTGCAGCAGCGTGTTTCACAAGGATGGCCCTGTTATTCTTTTACTACCGGTTGACGGAAGGGGGCCACACCGCGAAGCTCTTCAGACGCTGGATTCACTTGGTTGCGCTCTTCTCGGCAGCTGTTGGTCTTGCCCTCGTCCTAGCCACAATATTTCAATGTGCTCCAATCCGTGCCATGTGGACATATCCACCTGTACCAGGAGCACGATGCATTAACGAGGGTATCTGGACCTTCGCTTGCGGCATCGTCAATACCATTGCAGATATAAGCGTGGTAGTGTTGCCGATACCGATGATTTACAAGCTGCAACTGCCCCTGCGTAAGCGCATTGGTGCTATTCTTCTTGTGAGTCTTGGTTTTCTCGTTTGTGTTGTGGCCGTCGTCCGAACATACTTTGTATGGCTCAGTCTTGTCCACAGCTACGATGAGACATGGGATGGCTTCGGTGCTCTTGTTGCAGCCACAATAGAGATACACGTGGGCCTTGTAAGTATCAATTCCACCAGAGCTGGTTTTCAACCATTCACACGTCTAAGATGTGCGCCTGCGCGCCTGCCATCCGGCTAGGAGTTGTCAAATTCATTAAACCTAAGCTTTCTTCTCTTCGCCGGACTGCACCATCGGCGCCCTTGTCGCCCAGAACCCTATACACGAAGATGTCTACGATTGAGACTTCTATCGACCTTAAAGACCAAAAAGAATCATCATGGAGCAACTCAGGCACATTTTTGGACACTCAAATTTCGGAAATCTTCGATAGTGAGAAGATTAGAACGACGAATTCCACGTATATGGCACCTGATTCCTGGAACGTCGAGAACACCGAGCAGGAGAGAGGCCCATGGTCTAGAACAAAGCTGTATTCATTACAGACAGATTCTAAACAAAAGTCAAGCATTGAGGTGACGTCGAAGTTTAGAAGACAGAATCTGGATAATGAGGAGGAGGGATCGAATTACTGGAGCAGCGAAGGAAGAACTCCTGATGTGGCTGTCAGACAAGCAACTATTAACAACATAATCCGAGGCAGTAAGCCCGTCCAGCCATCTCATCTAATCTCGAACAACCTGTTTAGCCCTCGGGTTGGGGGATCCTCTTCAAATCACAACAGAGAAGGAGAAATAGCGCCCGCTCCGGAAGAGTCACCATCAACCTCGACATTGGAGTTCCAGGACGCAAGTTCACCTGCCCAACAGAGTCGAGCATCGTCTCCGAGACAGAAACGACATGATACGTTGCAAATACCCGAACGAACGTTCAAGCTAGCTCGAGAACGCTTATTCAGTTCGTAATTCTCGAGATGGAACCGGAGTTTTGAAGGCGCTTATCTTTACACGGACATCCTGCAGTACGTTGCTACGAGCGATACGCTAAGTGCCAAAATGCGTTGATATGTATGTACAATAGGTCTGTATCATCTATAATGGCGGAATTCAACGTGATGATATCAAGTATTGTTTCAACGTCTTTGAACTGTCCGTATCCGTCCAGTACTGTGTAGCTTTTTCTAGATGTGTTTCTTCTTATTACATTGCAATATATAGCTAGCACGTTTAGGCGCATGGGCTGGGACGACAAAGAATTCTATACTTAGAGACCGAAAATCGTGGAAACTAGTCACGAGGCCGCTTTTGCCCCAAAAGCTTTGTCTTAAAAGAATATGCATACGAGTGACTATCCTTGGGGCCTAGTGTCGAGAACAAAGCTGCGCGCCGTAATGCTAATGGGCATCTAATCAAGAACAATAGTGTATACAACACGTTGATATGATCAAGAATGGTTATTGAATGTCCTGTTTCTCGTTGACCTTTCTCTTAAAGAACACAGAAAGATCCCCTAAATCAACTAGTCGAATAATAAAACATGATAGACATCCCAATTGCATTCCGTCCCGTGTCTTGCTTTCGATGAAATCTTTGGTACAAGGTCTTCTGTTCTACAATGACGGCAGTATCACAACTTACTCCTCACAGCTTCGAGGCGAAACTTAATATCCTTCAAGCCTTTGCTTGCTGGTTTCCACTCCTCAAAAAGCCTCAACAGCTCCTCCACTTCTTTTCCCATTGTTTCCCTTACAGCCCTTTCCTCCAAAACCCCTCTCATCGCCCACGGTAGGAAGTAGGGATTCGAGTCTTTCACACTTGAAGGGCCTTGTAAAGTGCCCCAAATCACCTGATCAGCCCCTGGAGCTGTAGAATGATCGGCAAGAGTGGTCTCAAGGGCGTGTTGCACAGCTAGGTCATAGATCGGCATGTAGTTGTGTAGAGTAGAGTGACCTTCTCCCGAATAGAGTGATCCGGCAAGAGCAGGGGATAGTTCGCGGATGAGACCGTGATCTGGAAGGCCTAAGTTGCGGAGCTTCAAAGTAAAACCAATGAGTTGAGTCAGAAAGTCGGATGTGTGAAGGCGGCCGTCTATGAAGACTGCACGATAAATATTTGGATGAGACAAAGGGGCGAAAGTTGATGACTGTTTGGCTTGACGTTAGATAATCTGTGTGCAAATTGGAAGCGAGGTACTTACTTCGAGACTGACAAGCTGATCGTCTATACTACCAACGTAAACGATTCGTACACCAGCTTTAAGAACTTCTTCCACAGCACTTCTGTACATCTCACTGACTTTGCTCTTAGGATCCGCAAAATCAAAAAGTTCCAGTGCAGTACCGCCGAACATCCGTGTCTTATATTCAGCAAAAGGACCTAAGCTGATACCAGCCATAGCGCAGATACCAATCTTAGCGTTGCTCACACATCCAAAAGCAATCAATTTCGCCACAAGCATCACAGCAACAGGCACTCCCTGCGAGTGGCAGGCAACAAGTATGAAGTCTGCCCGCCGAATGTGGTCGATCCAATTGAGAAGAAGCTTCCAAAGCGTGTCAACGCGTTCCGATATTAGGCCTTCGCCCTCTAGCGCAACTTTCTCTATTTCGCACTCGTAGCCTCTTTTCTCCGTCCATGACTTGATTGCTTGTGCCGCGCAGTTCGAGAAGCGTATCGAGGTACCAGTCGGCTGACCCAGTATCTTCTGATATATCGGGCTGGGGAAAAATCCGTGCACACCGATGGCTAATGCTTTCTTGATACGGGGAGGATTTGGCGTTAGGTGCAAATGGGGACCCGGGAAGCTATTGGAATCTGACACGAATAGCCGTCGAATCTGTGCCCAGATTGAAGGCTGCTGAATGAGCGAATATGTACTGTAAAAGTCTGGAAGCAGGATATTTTTATCCTCCTTTCCAACCTCTTTTGCCTGCTTTGGCTGTTCCTTTGCACTCTTCCCCGACAGTGCAATGAGTTTGCGCTCTTCAAGTTTTCGTTCTGGACTTGCGGAAGGTGTTATTTTGGATGGAGTGTTCGACTGCTTTGGCGAGTCTTTTACATATTCCCGTCCCCGACTGCGCAGCGGTCTCCCTTTCGCAGCACTCTTTAAAGTCTGCTCTTGTTGTTCTTCTGTTTCGTTAAACTGAGCAGCTTCAGGATTCGACTGTGAGGGCGTTCCTTCCACGGCAATTTCTCCAACCTGTTTGTGACTGTTGCCTTCATCTTTCGCATCCGATTCCCGAGACCAAAATGCCCACCCTGTCGATTTCCGAGGTTGCGTCGGCTTGGTCTCCATATTTGCATCTGGTCTTTGCGTGGCAGCCTCAATGTCTTTGGGGCTCGAAGGATCTCTCATTGGAGTGTCGCTCAGGGATTCTTGATTCACCCCTTGTTTTCGTTCTGAAGGCTGCCCATTGGATGCTGGAGGACGCTCATCGCTCGGAGAATTCTGCTGTTTACTCCAATACCAAAACCAGGAACTTCGTTGCGATCCCGCATTGACTTTTTGCGTACTTTTTTGACTCTGCTCCTCGCTCATTGGTATTGCACCAACCTGTGTAGACATATCGTGCGTTTGGTCGAGCTTTGGCAGCACTCGCTCCTCTGCAGGTGATTCCGGAAGTGGCTTCTGTTGCGCGTCTGCTGATATCTTGTCATCTTGTTCTTTCGCAGACTCCAACGTTGTCCCCTCCACATATCCATCGGGTCTAGACCACCAACCAAACCAACCACTTACCCCGCTTTGCTGTTGCTTTGAAGAAGCCTGATCTTTGCTCTGTTCATCGGTCTTTGGGGGATCTGGGGGAAGTGGGGCTTCAAGCGCCATTTCTTCAACTGATTCTTCGCTGACTGCTGTACGTTGTTGCTCCACAACATTCTTTGTTCTGTCCGATACCACGCTGAGATTTGAGGTAGATGCGGGCAGTATATCCCCTTTGCTTGCCGACCGTATGCTTCCCGACATGTATCGTCGCGGCGACTGCGTAGCTGTGGAACTTAGTCCCCGCTCGCATAGTTGGCCTTGCGAAGTCTGCTCGTAAGTTCTGGTAGATGATACGCCTACAGGGCTGGCTGGTATACTATCCCGTGCCACCGCTGCTACTGGCTTGGCCTTTCCTTTCCAGCTACCATACCAACTAGCCCTGTTCTCCAAATGCTTCTGGACAGCGGACTCATTGGACTGTCCCCCAACAAGTTGTGGGGAGCTCTGCGATACGTGGGAGGCTCCTACACTTTTTAAAGTCGGTTCTGCAGGAATCTTGTTGACTTCGGGTACGCCAGCCGTAGACGTTGTCGACTCTTTGGACTGTGACGCGCCGGCGGCTGCATTCTCTCCTGCGACCGTCTTCTGCTCATTCTCCTCTTCTGGATTATGCTTGCTCTTCTTTCTCGAACCCATCTGTATACGCTCAGAAAAACGCTCAACTAGTTCAAAAGGTCGCTGTCCGCAGCCATGTTAGCGCTATTGCAGCGGGACACATCGAAGTTATTGCGTGGGTCTGTGGGGAATCCGAACCTTAAACATGCGGCGACGGCGGCGACCGTGAGGAGATGAATTCTGCGCAAACACGGACGCCTAGTGGCGTAGTCTATGTGCGGGACACCGGTGTGATATTGCTAGGGACGTATGGTCCTAAGGTCTGGGAACTTCGTTCGACGTGATGGCCTGTGAGGCCCCGAGGTCCAGGCACGTTCACTATGACGATGCGCTCGCTGGGGTCGGGTGAGCCAGACTGGGGCTGGAGTGCGGCAGCAAGGCTGCAACTTTGTGATAAGATCAATCTTATCTTAGCGTGCACTTCAAATCTCTGTGTTCCATCTCCCACCACCAATCTCCCCGCACGCTGTGGTATATCCCCGGATATTTGGCCCTACGTTCGATTAAGGTTGGGCTGACTCTGGCTCCCTGTCTATATGAAACAATGTCTTTCTCCGCCATACGCAGCATGTTTGTACCCCCTGCTGTGATTCCCAACTTCAATTCTCTTCAGTTGCTATACGTAGTCTAAATCAGTCTATGATGATTGTAATTCATCACCTAGGCATCTCGCAGTCTGAGCGCATAGTTTGGCTGTGCGAGGAACTGGGAGTCCCATACCAACTCGTCAAGCACATACGAGATCCTATCGCATCTCCAGAATCGCTTACAAGCCTTCCCGGGAACAAGACGGGCAAGTCGCCGTACATTGAGGACACAGATACGGGAGTCTCTTTAAGTGAGAGCTGCGCTATCTGTGATTACATCATATATAGGCATGCCGGGGGGAAACTTGCGCTTCAACCAGATGACATTCACTACCCTGATTATCTTTACTGGTATGTTTTTAGGCCCTCCTTCCGGCAGCGTGGCAAGCAGTGTGAGAGGAATGCCAAGTTTGACGCCTTTATGTCTCTTCCCGTATGTCTAATAAAGCACAAACAAATTTTTAATATCATGGTCTTAGGTATCATTATGCCAATGGTACCCAGCAGCCTGCAATGATGACTTCCATGTTCCTCTCCCATGTTCCTACCGATGCTCCCATCAAACAAGCTGTTGAGCAACGTCTCCACGCTATGTTGAAGCACACTAACGACCGTCTTGCTACGTCTAAATGGCTCGCTGGCCCTGAATTCACGGCTGCGGACGTAATGAGCGTGTACGGCTTGACAACACAACGATATTGGGGTCCACAAGTCAGTCTGAAACCCTATCCACACATACTAAGGTGGTTAGCGGATTGTGCTAGCAGGGAAGCATATAAGAGGGCGATGGAGAAGGGCGATCCAGAAATGGAATGTCTTGTAGGAGCCGAGCCACCAAACGTCAATATGTTTGAAGTCGGTGGAACTAAAAGTGATCATTGGAAAAAGAAGCTGAATGAGGGTCAAGCGACTCTCTAAGCAATTAAAGGATGGGCTATGATTTTCGTCTATGTGCGCCTCCCTGCCACGACTTCATACTCTTTATACGTGAATTTTGGTGATAAGAACCCATGCACATTAATTTTTCTGTTGAAAATTATCCAGCAATAAAACTTCTCTGTCTCACCAATAGAAACGCCTAATCACAAGGGCACAAGTGATACTTCTCAATGGTCGGGAAGGCTCGTGTCACGTGATGTCAAGATAAGATCAATCTTATCTTAGCTCCCTCCACCTGAATGCCTGGCCGTCCTTAATAAAAATTTCGAGATCTTCCGATCGAACAAAGCGTGTCAGCAGCGGTCGGCGCACCACAACGACCAGCCAACATGGCGATTCAGAAGAAACACGGCAAAGGTATGACATATCCTATGAGATTTACTCCCCTTGCTGCTATGTTGGACATTTGAAGCTGGTAGATCCTCGTACTTACTCTCTAAAGGCCGTCTTGATAAGTGGTACAAACTTGCGAAGGAGAAAGGATACCGAGCCAGAGTAAGCAAGCAATGAAAGCCTTTATCACCAAAACTTATTTTAACCCCTTGCAGGCCAGCTTCAAACTCATACAACTTAACAAGAAGTATCACTTCTTGGAGAAGAGCAAAGTCCTGATTGATCTTTGCGCCGCTCCTGGATCATGGTGTCAAGTTGCAGCGGAGGTCATGCCTCCCAATTCTCTCATCATTGGTGTTGATTTAGCGCCTATCAAGCCTATTCCGCGAACGATCACCTTTCAAGCCGATATAACAACAGACAAGTGTCGCACGACTCTACGACAACATTTGAAGACGTGGAAGGCCGACACAGTGCTCCACGATGGTGCACCAAATGTCGGAACGGCCTGGGTACAAGATGCATACTCACAGGCAGAACTTGTGCTCCAGTCGCTGAAATTGGCGACCGAGTTCTTGATTGAGGGAGGAACATTCGTCACAAAAGTATTTAGATCGAAGGATTACAATCCACTTCTCTGGGTTTTCAACCAATTGTTCACACGGGTCGAAGCAACAAAGCCTCCATCTTCACGAAATGTCTCTGCCGAAATTTTTGTCGTGTGTAGAGGGTACAAAGCGCCAAAAAAGATTGATCCTAAATTCCTCGACCCACGTTCTGTCTTCGCGGAATTGGCAGAACCGGCACCAAACAATGAAGCGAAAGTATTCAACCCAGAGAAAAAGAAGAGAAAGAGGCAAGGCTACGAAGAGGGCGACTGGACTCAATTTAAGGAGGTTCCTGCAAGCGAATTCATTCAGACGACCGACCCAATCGACATGTTGGGCACGGTGAACAAACTCAGCTTCGAACAACAGGGCAACGGTGATCTTGCGCTAGCGACGCTCTCTCGATTGCCACAGACAACACCCGAGATTAAAGAGTGTTGTGCAGATTTGAAAGTTCTAGGAAGAAAGGAATTCAGGATGCTACTGAAGTGGCGTCTGCAAGTTCGGGAAATCTTTGGTTTGTCGCAGAAGAAGGAAGCACACAAAAAACCCGAATTGAGGGAGCAGAAAAAAGACGATGAGGAAGAGGAGGTGGCAGAGGTGGAGTCCATGGATGAAGAATTGAAGATCCAGGAAGACCTTCAGCGCATACAGGAAAAGGAAAGCAGGGCTAAGCGCAAGGAACGGAAGAAAAATAATGAACGAAAGCAAAAGGAGCTTGTTAGGATGCAAATGGGTATGGAGGCACCTATGGACATCGGCCTTGAAGCGAGCGGACCACAAGGCGAAGATGCTTTGTTCGCTTTAAAAACTGTTGAGAAAGCAGGGGTAACGGCGCAGCTTGCAAAAGGAAAAATGTATACAGTCGTACACGACGAGAAGCCTGAGGAAAAGGAGGAGATTGAGATCGGTAGCGACGAGGACGGAGATGACCTTGAACGCCAGCTCGACGCTATGTACGAAGAGTATGTGGAGCGTAAAGCTGCACGAGATGCAAAGTACCGTGCTAAGCGGGCGCGTACAGAGCATGAGGATGGAGAGTGGTATGGGTTTGAAGAGAACCAGGATGATGAAAGCAGTGACGACGACGTTGTTGAGGACGAGGATAGTGACGTTTCTTCGGATGAGGATGAAGGGCCATCGAAGCCTTTGATCTCGAAGCTCGAATCGGAATCAAGCAGCAACGGCGCTTTGACCAGAAGGGCACAAATGTTCTTCGACCAGGAAATCTTCAAGAATATCGACGGTCTCGATGTTCCCGAAGAGGACGATGATAGTGGTATTGAGCTGCAAGATGATTCGGACGAGCTGAAGGATGGTGCGGCAGTGAATGAAAAAGTGGAGAAAGAATCGGATGGAGACGAGAGCGAAGACGAGATGGAAGCGGAATCGGATTCTGATTTCGAAGTCGTCCCTAATGCTCCTCCTGAAGAAGCCGACTCCGATGACGATTGGGATGATGAGCCACGATCCAAGACTAAGGCCTCCGACAAACCCAACATCGATATCATCACTGCTGAAGCCATGACCCTTGCTCATAACCTCGCGACAAAGAAAGTAAGCAAGCATGATCTCCTTGATGATGGCTTCAACAAGTATTCGCACCGAGATGTCGATGGCCTCCCAGAATGGTTCCTAGACGACGAGGCCAAGCACTCCAAAATTCAGAAACCTATCACCAAAGAGGCTGCCGAAGCCATCAAAGCTAAGCTCCGCGCCCTGAACGCGCGTCCGATTAAGAAAGTCGCTGAGGCCAAGGCGCGAAAGAAGTTGAAAGCCGCACAGCGACTTGAAAAGTTACGAAAGAAGAGCAGTCTACTTATGGAGGACGAGGCCCTGAGTGAAGGAGATAAAGCAAGAACTGTGCAAAAGATGCTAGCCAAGGCCGCAAGAGCCGGGAAGAAACCAAAGAGAAAGGTCAGTGTGGTTGTGGCTGGAGGCCATAACAAGGGCATTAAGGGACGGCCGAGGGGCACCAAGGGGAAGTATAAGATGGTCGATGCCAGGCTGAAAAAGGACGTAAGAGCGCAAAAGAGGCTGAAAAAGATGAAACGATAGATAAATTTGACATTGAATTAACTGGATTTTGGATTGATCGCTGGGACCCCATTAGAACTGATACTTCGCTCACGCAAGAGATGCTTTCCAGCCCAGAGGCTTCATTTTGCGAGCTTGTCGAGGTTACGATAGGAGACGACATGTTTCTCACTGTGGCTTCCAGTTCGTACCGCTCGTAACTCGCAAAATATTTGGAAGGACATTCCGGACCACCGTGAATATGAAAGTACGGTAGACAGAGATTCTCACTTCGTTATGCATAGTTCACTCTCTCTTAATGTTTAGGATTGTCTTTGGGCTGTTATCGATGCAATCCCTAGTGGCTTCGCATATGTTATATCTTGCTTGATTGAGTCTTTATGTCTGTTTTTTTTTTTTTTTTTTTTTTTTTTTTTTTTTTTTTTTTTTTTGATGATGTTGATTCTGGAATGATTAGTAGAATACCTGCGAGTGTAGCTGGCCAGGAAGCGTAGCAACCCCACAAACACCTGTGAGGGACGCTGCGCAGAATGTCCATGTGCCAGAAAAAAGATCGCCTAGTTCTGTGGCAACATCTCGATAGGATAGAAGAGACACGCTCAAGAAACTGCACCATGCCAGCAGAATGGAATGACGTGACGTTGCAAAACCTAATTTACCAATATCCGCTAGCCCACCTCAATGACCATTAAAAATTATCCCGTATCTCTGTTCTCGTAAGAAGATGTTCTGTCTCGCTTGTTCATATAGCGGTTGGACGTTCACTCCAGTCCCATCCAGAATCAGCCTGCTCGGCATCGTTGTCGGATTCGCACCCCGCCTCGTCCATCAAGCTTAGCAGGCCAAGCCAAGGCCCATTACTACAAATATATTCTTTCAATCCAGGTAGCGACGTACTGTGGGGCCCAATCCAACCTTGCCTGTGGTACGGATCTCCGCTGTCGACAATGCAGTCGGCATCAAAGTGATCTAACGATAGGTATTTCGGAACAGCTAGGAGGAATCTGCTCCAAGTACAACAACTGAACGCAAAAAAGACTTCACGAAAGGACAAAGATCTTAAGGTTGTCGCGTGGTTGCGAAGCAGAGTCCATAGGCTTTGATCGGTCGTGGTTGCGCCAATCAATTCCAAGCTCTTGAGACAAGGCATGCGAGCCTGGCCGAAATCGACGAGCATATCAAAGTCATCCGTTAGGCTAGTTTGAATGCGTAGTGTTAGGTCAGTGAGCGACGCTCCAGAGTCCAATAGATTTCTCAGCCGTGCCAACAATTGCTTCAATTCATCTTCTGAAACTCGGCTGGCGACTACTAAACGTAGTTCCTTGAGACCTGAGATATTGGATGTCTCTATATCTCGGAGCAGCGTGCGCATGATAGCCCTATATTTTACACTATCTTCATCAGTGCTGTTCTCGGCAGCCAGCGTGTACCACCCATCCAAAGTTATGGTGACGCTGATCTTTCGAAGGGAAAGAGCTTTTCCGGTGCCACTTGAAGCAATGGTGGATGCTGCCGCGAAGAATAGCTGCGAGGCAAGCGTTCGGGCCTTGAGGATTGAACTGCGGAACACATGAACGCCATCCCATTCCTCCTCTAAATCCTCGCTTTTGAATAGAATATCATCCTTGGGTTTCAACATGTCCACGTACCACGATATCTCGTCTAAAGTGCCATCACTTCGAACATGAGGTGGATCAAACCAACCTTCGTACCACGGTGCCTCCCGCAGAGTATGCAACCGAGGAAAGCGTCGCAACAGGTCACAAAACGACGAAGCGAGCGATTCATTTTCCACGAGTTGTGACTGACGTTGCACAGCAGAACGGTAGCCTTGGTACACATCGTGCACATTTTCTGGCCAACGCGTCATGGTGTCGTATGCCTCGCGGAGCCACTGGTCTTCTCTCGATCGTTCTTTCATCCATGTTCGCCGCCTCTCAGCATCGAGCATGTTAAAGTAAAACTGTCCTCGAAACGGTCTGACGTCTACACATGACAGCCACGACTCTTTAGACGGAAAGACAGGCAGCAACCTTGGGTGGAGGACAAGTTCTTGCACATGCCCGCATATACTTGACTCGGCTGCGAGGTCATGAAAGCTTTCCCAGCGTTTCGGCTCCAGCGATAGGTGAATTTCGCGGAACAGATGTGGGCGGGTGGTGTTTGCTAAGGTCCTCGACACCTGATGACATGCGATCAAAGTGGGGCGGGGACAATACTGAAAAACAGTATCAAGCAGCTCTTGAGGCAGCCTGTCTAGGCTCGCCATTGCTCAGAGTAAAACGAGGCACGTAAAAGAAGATTAAACACATATGCAGAGTATGGATTTAAGATTGAGTTTCGCTGTTGTTATCTGGCTGCCGGGTTAGTGGTATCGCTTCTGGGTATGACGGAGGGAAGTTAATTTCTTGACCGGTTTGGGTTTTGGTGCTAGAACACTGCGACCAATTCGGTTCGTTTACCAGCTCGCATTCTGCTCCTGCCGATAAATTCTGATCCTTTTTCTGCATAAGGCGCTTCCAAGAACGGGAGAAGAGTAATGAAGTTGCTCGTAGTGTCTTGTCGAATATCGCTGAGTCCTTTTTTAGGAAACATTCTTACAGCGGCGTGAGCAGCAGTGGAGTTAGGGGAATAAAACAGTACGAATTTCCTTCTTTTGATATATCAAAAGAGGAGCTCAAGGAAAATATCGCGAGCTCTCTAACTTTACATTAAAAAATTCACACAAAACCGCCGAAGCAGAGAGTCTGCAAGTCCTACCAATAATGCTTCCCAAAATGTCCATCCAGCCATCCTACATCTAAAACACAAATCACGGCCACATAAATTCATGAAAGATCATAAACACCAATGTTGAAAGCAAAAATACCACACTTAACCCATAGGATTGACCTTCACCTTGCCCACAACTAGCGGTTGTGTGCTGGCTTCATCGCCCTTGACCGGTGTGTTCACCCCACTTAGCGCTGGCGTGCCCAGTGCCGTCAGAGGGCTTACCGTACCCGTCGGTGGAACAGGGATTTTGATGTCTTCAGGGCTACCTGGAATAGCATGCTCGGGGACACCAGGAATGTGAATGCGCTTTGCGACGTTGTTGTATGAAGATGGTATGATCTATTATGGGTGTCAATATGCGTACCGAAAGGCTTGAGGACGGCGACGTTCAACAACTTACCTCGATGATCTCGTTCCTCGGAAACTCGAGTTTGGGGATGTCTGTCGCGTTGCAGGCCATTAGATACCCATATAAGACCCGCAATACAGATTCATGGGCGATGATAAGCAGATCATTCTGCTCACGCTCAAGCTCCAAGATGATAGGCTCAAGACGCACAGCAAGGTCATGATACGACTATTGGTAAGACAAAAGTTAGCATTTCTGTCCAAGCTCGATACCACTTTCATGACGTACTTCAGCCCTGGGGTATCGATGATGATACGGGTCTTGCTCATGTTTCGCGACCTCAAGCGGAAACTCTTCCCTAATCCTTTTCTCGCTCATCTTCTCGCACACGCCAGGATTCATCTGACTTAATTGACTCCTCTGGCGAGTTTTGTAACCTAAACTGCCTAGATATTCTGCCGTCTCGACCGTCCTCCTCCTCGTGCTAGTCCATACAGTCAATGGCTTCAACGAATCATCCGGGCCTCCGGCATCGATGATGCTCTGTCTCTCTTCTTCGCGATTCTTGATCAGCGTATCTCCCATCTTCTTCGCATAGTCACGTCCCTCGTCGGACAGCGGCGCGTCCGCTTTGTACGATTCCTCCTCAAGAGTCGTGCCAGCGCGTGCGAAGTAGATCTGACGAGACTTGATGTGCAGATTCAGGAGGTAGAAGACAATTCTCTGGGAGAGGTAGCCGAACGCACAGTTATTTACAACAACGCGCTCGCCGGCATTGATCATCTTTATCCAATGGAGATCACGCTCTTCCATGGTCTCGAAATGCGGTATTCGCGCGTTGATGCGTCGAAGATAGTCCTTTACCGCGTCTTCGGGAGACCAAGAGGCGTAATCTGGACTGGAAATCTTAACGCTGCGAACGTTCTCTTCGATGATTCGCTCATCCGTGCAAGCCGATTCAATGAACAGCGTAGAAATATTCCTCTTTGCGAACTCTTTGGCGAGCGACCTGCGACCGACAGACAGAGGGTTGACCGCGTCGTAAATGGCCACTTGCCCGTTCTCATGTTCAAGGAACTGATAAATGTCCTCTCTACATTTCTTCGTGATCTTGTTGCGTAGAAGCACAGACGATGGCGAAGCGTTGACGTGAAAGTAGTCTTCAGGAACGTCTTTGCCGGGGCCCAAGGTCGCACGCCGATAGTCGCCGAGGTGGAAGACGTGAGTCTTGACACCGAGCCATCTCAGATAGCGTGCGACAGCAACCGAAATGTGGGTCTTTCCTCTGGCAGGAAGGCCAACAGTAACAATTACGATGCGTCCGGAATGAAAGAGGCGCCCAGACTCGGTGCTATACAGCTGGGCGGGCGCGAGCTCCTGGGTCTCCGGCAGATCATGGATGGCGTCTACAAAAGTGCTTGATCTCCTCCGAAAACGTGGTGAATTTGCCGCTACCTCAGCGGTGCTGCACGAAAGTCAGTATGTGATTGTTGAAGTCATGAATCACAGGTCACGGGTATTATGTAATGCTTGTACTGTGCATTCTTGCCTCCCCTGCGGTCGATCGAACAGAAAAAAAGGCAGACATACAGAAGAGTATCCATGGCTCATGTGGCAGCCTCTCTGACCCTCTCTTATGGATAGTCACAATCAGAGCACACGAGCACTCTTCGCTGCAGGCGTGGATAAGAATCTCCGCAGCCGTCCCGGTCTTATCGACGTGCGGCAGATTGACAGGTTCTTCGTCCGGTAAGCCGCTTCGCCAGAGTCTCCAGAGAACAAAAGCGACACGGATCCACAGCGAGAACTAAAAGGGCTGGAAAGCAAAATCTTGGGAGACGAGAATGGTTCGGGAGAGAGAGAAAACAGAGGCTGCAAGTTCTGCGTTGTTTTTTTTTCTGGTTCTACGATAGCAGATCCAGCTCGCCGCGAGGGCGAGACGTGAGAGCCGGCCAAAGCCCAAGCCCATGATGTCGGCCGTCTTGCGCTAAGTCCGTTTTGGGCCATGAACATTTTCGATTGTCGCCAGCTGCCTTCATCATCGCACTCGACGCTTCTAACCAACCGTCGCATCAACCTCCCCAAGCTCATCCCTCCTCGCACCTGATCCAGGAGGTATCTCTTCGTGCGTTTGCCTCCTCTCCCTTGCCCGTACTGCTTCTCTTCTCCTCCCTGGTTGACCTCGCACCGATGGCTACTTTTTCGCCTGAAAAGAGCAGCGACGTGCTCTCGTATTTCACATCCAATGCCATTGTCCAACGACTCTCGGATGCCTTCACTTCATTCCAGGAGAGGAGAGAGGCGCTTGGTCTGTCGAATCCAGGCACCGTAGACAACATCTCCAGAGAGGTCGATCGGGATGTCTTCCTTAACAACCAAGCCTTTTCGGGCCTGCGGGCTGAGATCGCAAAGTCCTTCTCCATGTCGCCCATGTTCCAAGTTTCGCATTCTCTGTCGATGGGAAGCCAGACATTGAGCCCGTACAACTTCGCCGCCATGTACGGGTCGCCAAGGGTACGTTTTCGACATTTTTTCTTCATCGTGGCTGGATGTAGCGTAAGGAAAAAACTAAATCTATCTCCAGGTGTTCTGTCAAGGTAGCATCGACAACGACTTTGCTCTATCCGGTCGTTTCAATTGGAGATGGGCTTCTGGACTTGTCACCAAGACATCGGCGCAGATCGCTCCAGGACAGCAGAGCATGTTCTCCATCGAACAAGATTACCAGGGCGCCGATTTTACTGCGAGCGCAAAAGCAATGAACCCATCGATACTAGAAGGAGGCGTCACGGGTATTTTCGTCGGCGACTACCTGCAATCCATCACACCACGATTGGCCCTTGGCCTGAATGCGGTCTGGCAGCGCGCGGCCATGAATCAGGGTCCGGAGACGATGATCAGCTACGTTGGCCGATACAAGGGCGATGACTGGATAGGCACCGCGCAATTGGCCACTTTGGGCTCTCTGAGGTTGTCATACTGGCGACGGTTGGCCGAGAAGGTCGAGGCTGGTGTTGCGCTTGATTTGGCTGCTGCACCAGGCATGGCTTTGGGTCCTGGCATGATGACTCCGCCGCGAAGAGAAGGTACCGCGACCATTGGCGCAAAGTACGATTTTAGAGCCAGTTCTTTCCGTGCACAAGTCGATTCGCAGGGCAAGGTAAGCTGCTTGCTCGATAAGAGGATCGCACCGGCTGTTCAGGTCACTTTCTCTGGAGAGATCGATCACGTCAAGGTATGTGCATCACCATCCATAGTTTTAGGAGCATCACTCTAAACATCGAAAACAGAGCACCTCCAAGCTCGGTCTTGCCGTTCAGATCGAGAATGCGCCAGAAGAGCTCATCGAGCAGCAGGAGCGTGGCATTGGCAGCAACGAGCCAGCTCCACCATTCTAGGCACACTCGCCTCCATTATAATCTCACCTCATTTCCCTTCCAAACGCCGTTGTATTACCACGCCTTGATCGAGCTTTTTTATTAGGGGCAGGGGTTTGTCAAAGAATCTAGCAAGGACGCGCGATCGCATGACGTGATGGCTGGACTACAAAACTCGTTATATCTCTCTGTGTCTGATCTTTGGTGTAGATTCCGCCGTTGGCGCGGCTGTGGAGTATATAATCTTATTCGCGCATGTTTGGGCGTCGCCGCTGTGCACATGTTCTTGCTGGTCGGCAAAGCGTTGGCAAAGGGTCAAAAATTCACTGCGATTGTACATATAGATCACACGAGCATTTAAAAAACAATGAGGGATGGGAACATCTCTTCTGCTACATGCCTTTCTCGAGCTGGACAAATTGCTCAGCCAAGCACCGGCATCCGTTTCGTAATATGTTCTTTCCAGATCTAAAAAGCACACAAGTCGAGAGAAGAGATCTATTTGTACAACGGCAACTGTGGACCAGATGCAGAATTTCAATGTTCGCCACGCCTTCCAGGCTTTTACCATGCACGAATCATTATGCTAGCTTTGAAATCGTCCAACGAACCCCGATACCGTACTCATCCATTTGCAAAAAAACCCATAGGCCTCAGCATCATAGGGCAGGTCTTGCGTTTCCTCCATCCTGGTTGCTTGGCTGTGTCAACAGATTGCTCGCCTGCTGCTGCATCTGCATCTCCTTCTCCATCTCGATCATCTGCTGCTCCTCGGCATATGCAAGCGCCCATGGCACACCTAGCAACAAAAGCGAAGTAGAGACAATCCACAGCGCCTTGCCGGAAAAGGCGAGGCCTGATTTCACCCATGAAGTAGTAGTGGAAGCGGTCGAGGAGATGAAACGCCGTTGGGTTGGAGGAAGCATGTCCTGAAGAGCGATCAGACGATCGTACAGAGTCTCTGAGGAGATGTCGTCGTCGCTGGCGATGGAATCGACGTCGGAGCCGTCTGAATCTACAAAAGGTTAGCCGACAGAGGAAAAAAAGTGAAGGTTTACGGTGTCGTTCATCACGCGATCGCGTCGAAGATAACGGGCGAACAACGAGAAAAAAAAAGGCGTTTACATTCTTCTCCCTCTTCTCCGAAGCTTTGTCAAGATGCGAAAAGGGCGGCGCATACCTGTATCTGTGTCCCAATCATCTTCTCCGCCGATAGGGCCGGATTGGCCCTGAATGAGTTCCTCGTCGACGACCTCCTCGAGCTTGACCATTATGAAGTGAAGATTTGATTATGTCAAGATATGGGATGGTGAGCAATGCACTTTTGAAACGAGCCGCGTGTGATGGCAATGCTCGACAGCGACGGATGGGATGGGAGCACGAGAATCGAGGGTGGAAGTTTTCCAAAAGAGGAACCGATGATGAAAGATATTCAGGCACCAAGGCAGAAGTGACCTAGTTCTCACTGGGCTCATTCCCGAATTGATAGCAGTGCTCGCTGGTCGGATGAACTCGACTTTTTGGGTCTTACGAGAGAATAAACAGTGCTGGATACCGCAAATCTCATAGATATAGTTGAGGCTTTTCAGTCGAACGTGCGTTCCAGCCGGTCATGTCTGAACATACCGCTGGGGGCTCACAGTGCCCACGCTTATAAGTAACACCACCGCAATCCCCTCTTTCCCGAGGCAAAGGAATTCATGCGCCAGCTTCGCTGATCTCAGGACCCATAGTCTCGTTAAAATTCGGACCCATCTGGTAGATAATGTATCTGGTGTTGTTACAATCTAGCGGTCCGTTCTCCCTATCGATCGTGCAATTTTCGCTCTTGAAAGTTGCTCCCAGCATTACATTCCCGCCCGTGAGATCCTACCGCCAAGATCTGCGTTCCTGGAAGAGAGAATGAAAAAGACCCGAGGAGATGAATGCTACCAGCCGGAGATATCTGATTTAATTGGCTTGCCGCACGGTCGGACGTTAGCCAGAAGCCAAAGAAGTGGAAAACCGAGTCGCAACGTGGTCGCTATAATCGATATGGCTCGTTTGTAGTTTCATTCCTTTAAAACTCGGCAATGAGAACGCCAGGAACGGGATCGATAAAGCATTAACAAATATGTGACTTGAGAGCCACGATGCATTTCACGAATCCAATGAGAGATGGCGCAGCTGGTCTCAACTTGCCCCTTAGAAGCCTGATCCTTCTCAACAGCGAGGGACCAATAAAGCCCAGTTGCGAGCCTGCCCCAATAGCCTACCGCTGAAAAGTATCACAGAAATTGAATCTACTAGATTTCAGTCTAAAGAGGAGACCCCGCCATGGGAATCACGATCCTGAACCTTCCTACAGAAGTTACTGAACACATAGCGTCGTATCTTTCACGAAGCGACCTATACAGCCTTCGGCTTGCGCATCCCAGGCACCTGCCGGAACTGACCCTGGATCGGCTGCGTCAAGTGCATCAGTGGAACGCTGCCCCGTTTTCTTTACAGCTGATTTCGAGCTACAAGAAATGGGACGCGGCCCCCGCGTTGCGTCGAGTCCCCAAACGACACATCCAGGTCTCAGACGAGCAGGACCAGTCTCTTTGGCGTAAGCTCAGATGCACTGCCGACAGTCCAAAGAACGGTCGCGATCTGTATTGCTTCTGCGTACCGTGTGTCGCCCGTCGCGAATATGTCAAGGACATCACGGACTACACGGTCACGTATTACTGCCTTGTGAGAGGGTTCGGAACGACCATTCACCCCATGCGTCGAAGAAGCTGGGATCGGGCGCTGAAGGATCTGTCAGTCCACCCGGTGTTTTCCCCGTGGATCACTTCGGTCTGCGTATGCCCGCGGCCTTTGTGGCACAGTAACATTAAGACGGGCTCGCTGGGGATCGATCATCTCGGCCTCGGAGAGGCAATCTGTCGCTTCCCTAGCCTGGAAACACTGTGGATGTATGAGGGTGTTCGCGACGAGCATGAGGCGGCCAATTCGTATGAGGTACGCTCCGTGATAGCGGAGATGGTTAAAACGAGCACGCCTGGCCCAGCTTTGAAAAATTTGATCATAGCTGAGGTTCGGGTAAGTCATGAGATCCTAGCCGCCGTTATCAGGAAATATGAGTCCACGCTTCGACACGTGTGCCTGGACGGCCTAGCGCTCGACGACGACTACTTCACCAGAACCGTGCTCAGAGCGCTCATTCCTTGTCGACTCGCGTATCTGAAGCTCTTCGGGCTCCGCGCAAGAGAGTCTAGCGTTGTACCAGGAAATGAGGAAGAAGTCCAAGGAGCAGAACGGGATATGGGCATAATCCTGCGACATCCGAGTACGGAATCGCTTCCGTTTGAAGTTCGATACTTTCGCAACAATCTCTGGGAAAATCCGTACATGGTCCAGCAATCGATTGTGGTCAACGGGGAGGATGTTTGGCAAAGCTCGCGAGGTTGGCTATGTGGGCTCAAAGAATGTCGTAGTTATCACGACAGCAAGTCCCTAGTATCTCGAGCTGATTCAGCGGTGGAGGGGCATGTAGTCAAATTCAAAGATGCCTCCGAGAGTTTCGAAACAGAGAGCGTGGTGAAATATAAGTCGGGGGCGAACAATGGGCTCAGAGAACTTCCGCAGAGTGGCTGGATAAGAATATGAAGGCCTTGTTTTTGATGGCGAATGTCATGCATAAAACCACGCGGCTCATACAGTCGCAGGATGGACTCGAGCGTAGCTTAGAAACATTTTGCGATTTAGGTTTATCATCAACGTGTCATAACAAGGTATAAAGCAAAGCCTGTTGGAAAATCGCTACGCCAGACAACCGCAGCTGCGAGTAGCGTTGAAAATCGTCATGCCCAAGGATTCTCGTCCATCGACAGCCCGTTGCCTTGGCCGGGATGTCTTCTCGCCTGCTCAAACTCGTTCGGGTCAAATTCTTCGTCAGCGGGTTTCTCTACAATCTCAGGTTCCTCATCAAAGACTGCAGCTGCGGCACTGTTGTGGTCGACTTGTTCGTACCACGGGCTATTGCAAGCCCAGCGGACAATCAACTCCTTCGCCTGTTCACTCATGCTGTAGTAGCCTGGGTTGTCCCTTGGCGTGAACATGTTCATATGAGCCCAAGTCTCCGCGGTGGCCTTGTCATTGACCTGAGGGAAGAAATATTTCTTTGCGTCGCTCTTTGGGATCGTGCAGAACGTGCGCTCAGATCCCACCACGGAGCTCGCCCACTGAGACTTGCCCTCGACAGCGCGTCCGAGGGTTGTGTACAGGTTGGCAAAGCCGAAGCCCTGCTCTTCCTCAAGCGCGATGATGCTCTTCAACCGTTTGGTGAGCTCTTCGCCGCGAGCCAGGCAGCCGACAAACTCGAGATGCGAAGACGCCCAGCCCCAGCCTTCGGAGATGCCGCCTGTGATGGCGTCGCGCTTCATGTACGCCGCCGCGCTGCCGGCCACCAAGGCACCTGCTGCGCCGGCGAACATTGCGTAACGGCCGTACTTCTGCCACGCTGGTACGGCCGCCGCGTCCGCATTCGCAGGCAGCGCACCGGCGGACTGAAACATCTTGCTGCTGTTGGCGGCCGCCTGCGTTTCGCCCGCCGCCTGCCCGCCCCACCCAAACGCGCTTGCAACGCTGTTGTACGTGTTGTACGCCGTCGTGGCCGCCTTCCAATGGCCCTCTGCGCCGTGCGCCACCACGCCAGGAGCGATGCCCAGGTACGGCGTGTCGAAGGCCACGATGCCCTGCACGTACGGGAACATGAACTTGTTGGGCGAGTTGTCAAGCAGTCCCGAGCTCGAGATTGGCTGGTCCTGCTTAATCGACAACACCGTCTCCGCCGCTACGATGCCGCCCATGGAGTGTCCGACGAGGACGGTGCGCACGGAAGGGTCGATGGTGGGCGACGGCGTGCCATTCTCGACCTCGAGGTCGATCACTTTGTTCTGGAGCCTTGACAGTCGTTGAGCACAAAATCCTCTGCCTTGCCGGCGACAAAAACGCTCGCTGTGCCTACCATTCTTTGAAGCGCGCCACACACTCCCTCAAGTCTCCCTTCGTCTCGAACTTGGGGTACTGCACTTGTACGACCTGGATGCCGGGCAGCGCGTGGCTCAAGATGGCGCGTAGATGGGACGGAAAATTCGCGAAGGTGTCGTCGCCGCCCTGCGCACGGTCATTGTCAGTCTATTGCAACTCCTCTCCGTCGTTCTCGTCGTCGTCGTCGTCGCCGACAGAGATGCGGGGCAGACGTGCCTTGAAACCGTGGATGAAGACCAAGAGCAAAGTCTTCTTCATTTTGAGTGCAAGCCTGAGCTAGATTCGCTCATGATACGGAAAAGTTATGAGGCGTGCATTGTCGTAGAAGTACGGCCAAGGCTGCTTTTGGGCGACTGTAAATATCAAGGTCGCAAAACGTTGAGGTCATTCCTCCAGCTCTCGCTCGACGCAGCACCAATGGTCGTGTTCGCCGCTGAGACATCTTCAGCGTTCACGCACACGACAGATGCATGTAATCATATGACCTTAAGCAATCTCTCAAGACAGTACGCTGTCCAGATAGGCTCCATAGCTTATAATAATGGGATTCTGTTTTGATTCTACACCGAATATGATATTGTTGTACATACTCGCGACAACACCGTTCAAAGCTGGTTGAGGAAAAGAGCAAGTTGAGCACTGTTCAGCCATACGCAATCACTAAGTTCACAAAGTAGTATGGCGCTTCACATGCACAAACAAGATTGAGCTTCAATGTTTAGCTCTGACACGACGCACTCCTGGAATCTCGTGATAGCGCCGTGCGCACTTCTTCTAGATTCGTCTCTAAGTATACTTCTTGGGTATCCGTTGTATTGTCTTTCCATGTATCCAACTGTACGCGAAGAGCGAGAACGTGTTTGTGATGGGAGCCAGCCCAGTGATCAAGTCGCCTTAAAACGATTCAAGCTCCCAACATCTCTCGCGTCGTCGCGTCGTCCACTAATCTCTATCATAAGACAAAGGAAAATATTGCAGAACGCTCACCAACTCGGTTAGGATCCTCGAGTTCAGAAAAGGCTGAACTTTCTCTTCGGGCTGCCGCCTCCCACGCCAGCCGAGGAGCCTTCAGCACTGTACCCTGAATCGTGGTCATCGTCACCGAAATCTATATCAAACACTTCATCTTCCTTCTTCTCCATGGCGTTGCCTTCAGGAGAGCCCTCTTGCCACGCCTTTTGCATTGCGCCCCTGGTGTTCCACCTGAGCGTTCGTGAAATGGAATCAAACCACTCCGTCGGCCGCGAGAGCACCGTCGGAAAGGGATACTGTGACGCAGCAATGGTGACATAGTCGCCCTGCCTGAGCTCGATGCGACCCTTGCCGTCAAACGCGCAGTACGCGGTTGCACGGCTTCCCTTTGGCACCGCGACACGAAGGGCCATTGAGTCGTTGAGAAGCATCGGCCGGAAGGAAAGGGTGTGCGGGCAGATGGGTGTGAGAAGGATGGCGGGAATGTCCGGGTGGACGAGAGAACCACCAGCCGAAAGGGAGTAGGCAGTGCTGCCTGTTGGGGTAGAGAAAATGCAGCCATCTGCTTGAACAACGGTGAGAAGCTCCCCGTCGCCGTACAACTCCAGGTTTGACACGTAGGGCGACGGCCCACGATCGATGACAAGCTCGTTCAGCACTTCGAACTGCTCAGCTTCAATGAACTCGGTGGTGCCGGGTGCTGGAGCGCGATAGACTGTGCAGGTGAATCGCATTCGCATGTTCACCCGCATGCCTTCGTCGCCCATGATGGCGTTGAGCGACTCTTTGAATTTGCTGTATTCAAAGTTGGTCAGGAAACCCAGCGATCCGAGGGAAAAGGACAGAATGGGCGGCACGATACGCTGGAACAGCCAGCTGGTGTAGAGTACGGTGCCGTCGCCGCCCAAGGTGAGGACGAGGTCGAACTTCTCTGGCGTGGACCAGCACAGGTCCGGGGTCCAGTACCTGAGCATTTTTTCAAACCGAGGGTTCTTCGCAACGAGACCTGCAGCGTCGAACCGCTGCGATCGCCTAAGCTTGGCATCGACGTAAACGTTGACGCCAATGTCATTACCATTTCTAGGGGTCTCTAGCAGCCACTCGGCAAGCTCCCGAGTAAGGACGACGAGCTCGTTGTCCCGCGCCTTGGTGACAATCATGACGTTTTTGACGGCACGTTTGATCGGCCTGCGCTGGAGCTGCCTCGATACCTCGCGCACGCCGGTCGCCGTCTGCATGAGTTTGCTGTGCGACATGGACGCATCCTCCTGTAACTCAAACAGGACCTTCTCGATGTCGACGGCGTCGTCAAAACGCCTGTGGAAGAAGCACGGCGACTGAAGTGCAGCGAGTCTGTTCGCCATGGTCGGACTGCTGGCATCCAGATGCAGGTCTGCAAAGGCCTGAGAAAGGCGGCGCGATCGCGTGCTTGCCCCACCTTCACCCTCCGGTTTGACGATGTTAATGTTGCTGCCATTGCTGGCCATGAGGGACTGGATCGTCGAAGAAACAGAGAGCGCCGAGTTGGGCGGGGGTCTGCTCACGAGAGCCTTCATGATTGTCTGGCGAGGGATCGAGTCGATCGACTGAGCGTTCTTGCGGTGCGAAAGCTTGCGCTCGATGTTGAGAGGGGGGGGCTTCGAAGCCGTGCGCCCCGGAATCTTTGGTGGAGACGTACAGACAGTGGGCGCGGCTTCAGAATCTGCTGCTTGCGTGTGGAGAGGGTGGTTGCCGGAAACTGTGGAGAGGGATGCCGGCGCAGCTAATATTCCGTCTCCCTGTGCGCCATCGCGATGCTTGTCTGCAGCAGGGCGTCCGTTGACGTGTTGAGCAGCCGGGTCGGTGAGAGGGACTTGTCGAGCGGTCATTAAATCATTGTTCGCGCTGAGTTCCGGGGCTGGTGAATCATCCTGCGCCCGGGTGATTGGGCTGTTCGTCCGCGGGTCTGCTCCAACGGCGTTGTCGGTGGTAACGGGCATAGCGGCTAAAAATAATTGGATCGGGGCCCTTCTGGCGGGGGGATCTGCTGTGCCTTTGGGAAGGAAAAGGATTCTCGGCAGATCTCGTGGCGCCTCCGCTTTCTGTCGTCCGGCGGCAGAAACGAAGAGTTGCGAGGGGGCGTACGGGCGATTACGTCGTGTGCCTGCGAACAAGGCACAGCAGTCCGCTCAACACAACGACGCCGCGCGAGGGAGGGGGAGTGAAGATGCTGCGTGGGCGACCAAGGGCAGTCGCCTGGCCATATGAAGTGCAGGCTCGATGCCTCCTTTCGAGTGTTTTGTCGGCGAGAGGCCCAGAAACGATGGCATTGTCCGTGGCTGGCCCGCAAGCGGACGCGAGACGCAGCACCTCGACCCGCCGATGTGACGCGCCGGAAGACAGTGCATACGGAGCCCGTAATTCAGGGAGGCAGACGTCAAGCCTCGCTACAGCGAAGGACGGCGGCTTGTCCATGCCGTCGCGTAGGCCTTGGGTGGCCAAAGTGGGGCTGCTCCATCTCGACCGTGTCACAGATGTTAGGGGGTTGAGGCAAAGAAGAAATGTGCTGGCTGGCGCCTATCGCGAACCTCAAACTCTGGGTCTGTCAAACATTTCGAGTAATTGGCCGGCCCCGGATCCCTCTGAAAACACGTGCCTTCGTAAAACCTCCACAGGCTTGCTTGCCCGGAGAATTCATGACAGGCGGCCTGCGGGCTCCTGCGCGTTGAGACGGGGTCCCATTGCTGGCTGACGCAGTCCATGTCGGAGTGACCGCCCGCAACGCGTTCCTGTGATAGAATCGGCGAGGGAAAACCGACCAAGGCACGGTCGGGACGTTGCCGCAAGAATGGCTGAGCAGTAAACAGAACAAGAAGAATGCCCTCAAGCTGGGCCAGCTAGGGTTCTGCTCTTTGCCGTTCCGTCCTTGACGTTGGGGACGACGACGACGACGACGAAGACAGCCGCCGCGGCGATCTTCTTGCCACGTCCACTTGCACCGCTCGATGTTGGAAGGGATCGAAGGGCACCATCTGACCTTCCTTTGTCGAGCGCGCGAGCGACGAAAATACACTGTCGCCGTCTGAGGTGTACGCGACCTTGCCCCGTGACTTGAGCCGCATTATGCGTTTCTGCAAAACGTCAACGCGCTGCGAGTTGCGCTGTTTGGCTATCTGCGGTGCGGGCCCAGGATGTCGCGTTTCAAACAACAGGTGCGAGGATCGAACATATCCCGCGCGTACACCAGCCGAAACCCCGATGGGAACCAGTGCCAGCGTAGCGCGCCGTCTCATGTCTTCTCACGTCTCTTGGCCAGGACAAGAAAAGGCACTGGATACATTCATAAGGTTGCTATTATGGTCAGATCGGACGGCTCATGGCCCTGCAATTAAGCCATCACTGACCTCAAGTCACAGAAATGAAAAAGGGGAACGTTAGGGAGACTTGTAGCTCTGTATGGAATGTTGTTGTGGTCATTGCTCTATCTTTCAAGAAACAGGCCCCTCTAGCTAGAAATTTGAAACCCTGCCACTTAGAGCGTCTTCTCCGTCAGGAAGATACCGTACTTCTCCCTCAGCTCATCCATAATAGGCTTGTTCAGAGCAGGATCCATAGGCGCCAGTATTCCTCTCTGGCTGATCTGACCATTGAGCACCTGCAGCACAGCAACGCCACATGGAACTCCAACAAGCTTGGCCATGGACGAGTAACCGTTCGGGTCACCGTTGTCGCAAAGAGTGGATGTGCGGGTCTCTTTGCTGCCATCCTTGTGTTCAATCTCAAATCTATGTTGAAGCATGACAAGATCACGCTCGCCTGGGCCGTATGCCATCTTCTTCTCCAGGACTGCGCACAGCGTGTCCAGTGGGTTGCCCTTCTTGACTACGACGTCGTCGCTGAAAAGGCCGATCCAGCTTAGACCCTCCACAATCCGCTTCTTCTCTGCATTGTCTGCGATGAATGTCAGCTTGCGTGTAGAAGTGTTCCACGTCAAGGCGACGTACCTGCGAACTTGGTCTTGCTGCTAATCGCCCACACCAAATCGTCGAAGCTGTGTGAACTCGAACCCAAGATCTTGGCCGTGCATTCCTTCCACGTCAGCTTTGTGTCGTCCTTAAGGAAGTCGAGCTCCTTGTCCGACAGGAAGCCAATGTCTACAAGCGTCTTTACGAACTCAGGGAAACCAGCGTATCTGAGCGTTCCGCGGATGATTGTCTGGCACTCTGGGATCGAGTATCGCTCGCGGTAAGGTGTGCTGTCACGGTTTGGGTACGCGACAAATGCATAGCCCTGGTAGCCAGTGTGGTACGGCTTGGCTGTGCTCATGAGATCCTCGCTCGAGACTTCGACGATTTTGCCGTCCTGGTAGTATTTGGCTGCGTTCTTCAGAGCGAGAAGCACACCCCTGCTGCTCCACGAAAACTTATATCCGAGTGGATTGTCGCTGCATTCTGCGGCCGGAAGGCCACCACAGTACGACAGGAAGCTCGTGATCTTCCCGCCTGCTTTGTGGACCTCATCGATAGTCTTGATGGCGTAAAGATGATCGATACCGGGATCCAGACCGATTTCGTTCATAACGGTGATACCTGCTTCCTTGGCCTGAGCATCTAGCTCCATCATGGCAGGCGACACATAGGACGTGGTGACAACATGTTTCTTGGCCTTGATGGCAGCCTTGATCACTGCTGCATGATATGTGTATGGAATGAGCGAGATCGTGACGTCGTGCTTCGCCACTTCTGCTTCCAACGCAGCGCTGTCATTGACGTCCAATGAGATAGCAGAGGCTCCCTTGAAGTTCCCGGCCAACTTCTTCGCTGATTCCAAGGTTCGGCAGGCTACTGTGACAGCGACATTTGCCTTGGTAAGAACCTCGACTGTGGGTGTAGCCACAAAGCCGGAGCCAAGCAAGAGAGCACTCTGGGAAACCATATTGTGTATTGTGAGATTGTAAGAATAAAAGCTAAGTTCTCGGGTAAATCCTGATCCCCGGGCACTCAATTAAGCATACTCTCCGGTGTGAGTTTAGTGTCAAGCACGAGAGACACCAGCCAGGTATGACTGTTATAGATTTTTCGTGCCAGTAACCTTTCTTCACGCACCAGTTGGCCGATGATCGGAAGATGTAATGCGCCGCTTGCACCAATCAGGAAATCTGATGAACCACAAAGGTTTGCGCCTTAAAGCCTGAGGCGAGACAAATTCTTGTCTGCTATCACCACGGAGCCGATGACTTAGACGGCTATTAATCGCCGTGAAAAGGGTTGCACGTCATTTTGGCTGAGCGCGAGCCTTGAAAGCCATGCCCAGCTCCGAATACACCGCCGTGACCGGCGGTGCGCTCAAGCTCAAAGGCGGCAATGTGACCAAAAAGAAAAAGAAGAAGTCGAAGCACACAAACACTGATGATAACGACCAGAAAGCGCCGGCAGCCTCTGGATCCCAAGGAGGTGATGAATCTGGTGCACGCGACGCCGTTAGGAGCGAGAGCACTCTCTCGAAGGGCTTGCGCGAAGAGGAAGACAACCTGCGACAGGAGATCGAGAACGAACTAAGGCAGTCCGGGCGATCGAAGACAGAGGCCGAAAAGCGGTTCGAAGAGCGGAGACGCAAAAGACTGGAGGAGCGGCTGAAACGCGATGGTGTCAAGACCCACAAGGAACGCGTCGAAGAGCTGAACAGGTATCTCAGCAAGCTCAGCGAGCACCACGACATGTACGTCCACATCGCCCGTACGTTCCTGCGTATTGCTAAGAATGTGATCTTTAGGCCGAGAATTGGACCTGGCTAACAGGTTCCGGAGCGAGCGCTCCGGCTTCGACGATGCTCGGACGTGCGAAGACGGACAAACGCTGGAAGGCACAGGGGCGGGAGCAGGCTGTCGCAACTTTCATCATTACTGCATTTGCTGTGGCCTACGCATTGGAAAAGGAGCTCTAGGAGCAGATTTGTTAATCGGACCGGGCCTCGCGCTTATTATTTTTTTTTCAAGGCCCAAATCTTTGGCATCGTGTACGTGGCGATTGACCAGAGGCGCTATTAGATAGAAGACCCCTGAAGTTCTACTCGAACATAGCTACAGCGACACTAGTATGGGAAATGAAACATGTAGTTCCGCAGATCCCGGCAGCCGTAAGCTTTGGAATGAACAGAGGGCAAACGCAAGTCAGCCGTCCAGGCAGTTTAGCAGCGAACAGACGCAGATGCGCCGATGAGATTGCGACGGTCGCTATCAACGCGACGGCACAGATTCGAGCAGGTTTGAATTTTGTCCCGGACAGTAGTTCCGAGCATGCGTTCCTCTTCCAGGCGTTCGCTGTGCGATTCGCTCCTCGGCCTGGTTCGGTGAAGTGGTCGGCAGGAACGCTGGCGGGTTCCGCTGCGCCAATCGCAGGCGAGCGCCGGATGGGTTCGCGACAAACACGAAAACCACGTCATCAGGCCCGCGCACATGCGGGAAGGCGATTCCAGAAAGGCGATTTTGCAAGTCTCTGCTACAACGTTTTCAAATGCTCGCCTTTACAGGAGAACATGTACGACTTGAGGTTGCGGATGTGCACGTGGCAGCTGCGGCGAGGCAGCGATGACGTCGAAGGCTAAACACATTTCCGTTTCAGATGTTGTCCTTCACCACGACGAAAAAGAGGCAGACGTGATTCACTGGCCACGTCAAAGATGTGCGGCGGCATGCAGGCGTAAATATTCGACGGAACGCACAAAGTGACTCGACTTGCAACTTTTTACGCATGCGCAGCCTAGTGCTGGCTCAAAACGCGAGTGCGTTGATCTTCCACCGCCTCGCGTGCGGTGACTACCCCTGCACTCCAGATCTGGCGCGTGGATGTCGCCAAGTCACATGACTTCATCCCACGGAGACCGACTCTGCCTTTCGCAAACACCAGGGCTGGCAGACGACGCGAGCTCAATGCGTGAGCGTCGTGGTCGATGCGAGGTTCCGAGGCGACGACGGCGACGGAGAAATGAAGCGCAAAAGGGGTGCGGCGCTGCGTCGGGATTCATCTGAGATCGACTGGCTTGGACACCATCTTTTTAAGCCCGGACGGTTCCAGAGGTTCCAGGGGGGTCGCCGACCACGTATCGAACGCTGATTGAGACGTGTGACTTTTTGCGATCACCAGTGGTGGCTTGTTGCTCTTACGAAGCCGCCGTCATTCCATGGGGCCAGCTGACGTCGCATCCCTCACTCAGGTCTGGAGCGCCAGGAGAGAGAAGAACATGGCGATCAAGCCGTAGCACCACGGAAACGTTAGGGCTGCGCCCGTCGCTCATCCGAACGATCCATGATTCTCCGTTCGTGTCGCAAGGCAAATCGTGCTGTGCGCCGGGCAGTCCACGGCCTTCGTCCATGTCTCACGGGGTTTTCCTCTTCCCTCGTCTTTTTCCCACAGCGGCAAGCTGCAATGCGATCTTCACGTCGCAACAAGCGGGGCCACCACGGACCCGAGAATCAGGCAAGTCTCGACGGTCTGCTTGCGCCGGCGTCGCTCTCGGCTTCGCGCGCATCTCTAGCGCACCCAAAACCCAAGTATGACCATCCGGCCATCCCAGATGGATTGGCAACTCGTGCTCCTCGCTTCACCGATACCACGACCCGTCCTACTGGGAGCGGCCGACGGGTACGTACTTCTTTACCACCGCAATCGCTATCCGCGGGTCGTTGAACTTGGCTAGTACCCTTCTATCGCAAGCGCCATTTTTTTCCCTTCCTGCGGGAGAGCGCGTGCGCACACGCAGACGAAAGATTTTGCGCAATTCCATCCGCAACGCCCTGCGATCACCCGGTGTCACAGGCTGGTTGCGCAAATGCCACAGGCGCCATGTATGATATCAAAAGCACAATGTCTTGTCGTCTCTTGCCTCCCTCCCCCTCTCCTCTCCTGTCTGTCCGCGCTGTTGCGCGTGCGTCTTCTCCTGCCGTCACCGCATGTATTTTAGCCTCTGCTTTGCAAACGTGCTAGCTTAGCTCCCTGCCGCAACCCCATGCGAGTGACCTTGATGGTTTGCATTTGCGTGGCAAGCTGTTATATAATGCAGTCTCCGCAGTTTGATCGTGCGCCTCCCTCGGCGGATCTGCGCTCTCACCACACGTCTGCGCCAGCCAACCGACCAAACCCTACGCGGGTACTGAGATGGTGATAAAACGCCCCCGGGCCGTGGCCGCAGTCAGTGTGCCAGGCGTCGAGAAGGGTTTGACGAGGGCCTGACCACTGCCGTCGCCGTGCATATTTTGAGCGGGAACCACTCGGTAGGTTACGATTGGTCGGCGTTGCCCACTCACTCGCAGCGCTTCGTGAAGAACGAATCATCGTCGCCCAAGCTCATGCGGGATCTGAACGCTATTGAGCGACTGCTACGGCTAATCTAGCATGGCACGCTCTCGACCTGCTGGCTGGGCAGGGCGGCGTGCAAAAGATGAATTCAGGACGCGGGCCCGTCTCTTGTCGAACGTTTGCAAACCAGCGCATTGCTTGTTCCAGCCCTCGAGGCCGAGCAAGGCGCTTTGGCCGTATGCAGTAGGCGGAGGGTTGCGCTCGCCTGCTCGGCGCCGCACCTTGACGCTGGCGGAGGCGCACTCCCGGTCTGGAGATATGACGACCATGGCCAATTGAACTTGTAGCGTAGCGCAATGTGAAGACATGTGCGAGATATGCGCCGCTCCGGATACTTCCTTTGGGTCAACTGACTGGCGCACAAGCTGGGCCGTGTACCCTCTTGATATCCGGCTCGCATGTTCGGCGTCCATAATGTCTGAATGCGAAAATCACTTGTTGAGCTCTGAAACCGTGTTGCGAACGTATTCGATCATTTGGTAGCGTGCTTTTGTGCGTTGTTGCGTGCGGTATCAGGTGCAGGTGGTTGGCTCAGCAGACCTTCGTCTTGCTGCGACACACTCCACTCTTCTCCAAACTCAACCTTCTTCCTTCTCCTCTTTTCTCGCCGCGCACCACCACCCGAACCCAAGACCCGTCTTTCGCTTGTCTTGCTAACATCCCGTGGGTGGACTCTGCGCTGCCAGCGCCTTTATCGTGTGCTTCTTCCTCTGCTGATCTTGGTCCTTCCAGTGCGATTCCGCTACGAAGTGCTGGCTCCGCCTTCTGCTAGCCAGCGTCCAGGGCCGAGAAGGGCACCCCAAAGCCATCTCAATCATCACTGGTATGTAATTGCCCCCTTGTGCATCGGCGACCAGCCTTGATGCCATCTTTGGCACTTCCGACTCACCAGCGCTGAAGTACGCACTCGCTGGCGCTCCCTTCCACCACTGTGCTGTGCTGGTGACGGAGCAGAAGGCAACGTGCTCACGACGGCACCCGACCGCCGTCCTCTGCGTTCCAAGGCTTCAAGGCGTAGAGATACTTCATCGAAATCACTCCATCTCCCTCTCCGTCTCATCCTCCCTCGCTGTCATGGACGTGCGCAACCTGTTGACCGCCGAGACCCAGTCCCCCCAGTCACGACAGCCCCAGCCCAGCGTCGAGACCGAACACTCTCAACAACACAACTTGCAAGGAAAAGCTATGAATGCCGCTCATGGACACAGCCATCAGGCTGTGGCACAGCCAACCCAGCGAAATGCCACCAACCGTGCCGCTGAGAACCCCTACACAACGGGTGGGCCTCCTAAGAGCGTCGCTTTTGAGCTCATCCTTCCAGAGGCACCGCAGCAGCGGGCTCGCTTGCCCATGCGAGTCAACATCTACCCTCACGATGCAACCGACTCGATTGTGACCACCGTCAAGAATTTCTACGGTCTTTATGACGGCAACGGTGTCAGCTTCGAGGACAAGGAGGGCAACACCCTCATCGCCAGGTATGAAAACTTCCAGAACCGCATGACAGTCTATGTCAGAGTCACAGAAGAGTATTCTGCGGCCGGAGGTACACCACGGCCTTCGTTGTCGCCCAAAAGACCACACCTTGGACCTCCGTTCGAGATGGGCAATCCCATCCAGGATGAGGCATATGGAAACTCTAGACCCTCATCCAGAACTGCCAGACCACGCAGTCAGTCGCCTTCTGCACGTGGTAGGCGGAGTGTCTCCGTGAGTACCAACCCGAAGTCCCGCTCAAGGGCAAACGCCAAGAGCAGGACTGGTAGCACTCAAGGAAGCTTCGCGGATGGCCAGTTTGACCGTGACATGAGCGACAGTGATGGGGGCAACGCTTCGGTCACAAGCTCACGCAGAGGGAAGGTTGCTGAGGTTGTCAGCGCTGACATCAGTGTTGAAAATATTGTTGAAGGAGGGCGAAGAAAGCGTGCTCCATTCGACAGTTCGGTAAGCATACTCGCATAGCTGTTCGGCGCGGTGGCAGCAAAAGTACTGACGTGAAAACAACAGGAGCTGCCTCTCTTCGTGCCCTCGCAAATGCCTACATCCGTTTCTTCCGTCTCCCCTCAGCGACGAATTGGTCAGCCAAACTTTGGCTCGCCATATCAATATTCAAACCAGCAGAGTTTCTCCTACCAACAGCCTCTGCCTTCGCCACAAAGCAAGGGGTACTCGGATGGGCAAGCTGGTCATCCTGGTGCGACCACGCCAGGATATGGTAACCGAGAGCTACGCCAAAGACAGACAACGTATAGCTCTACGAGATATAGCACAGGCAACGGTGTGTTGCCAACGCCAGATCCTACAATCGGCAGTGTCATATCTGATGAGGACGTCGCCATTCAGCTCATGCGTCTTGGCGAAGCCTCCAACTTCTCCAGCCACGGCCGCACCTCTACTTCTACCCTTGATGACGCCTTGAGCGGCAAAGCTGAGGCATCTGATTACAGCGATGGTAGCGATGCAGATGATGAGGACCTGCCACGCGCCGGCTACGCCAGCGACGAGTATAGTGGCGAAGAGCTTGACGACCGTCACGATGTGTCGCACGATGGCATCGCCGACAGCCATGGACCTGTCAATGTTCACCCGAACAAGCTCATCAAGACTCAGTTCAACGGTGACAAGCGAGACGGTTCTGCTCCACGCAAGCTGGCGAAGCCACCACAGCCAAAAAAGAAGAAGAGTCTTGAGAGCACAAAGGCACCTATGTCACCAACTTCGCTCCCAGCCCAGTCTAGAAAGGCTTCTATTGCCTCCCTTACATATGGTCCAGACGAGGAGGACTTGTCCGCTAAGCCGCGTTGCCAGCGCTGCCGCAAGAGCAAGAAAGGCTGCGATCGCCAGCGCCCCTGTGGACGATGTCGCGATGCGGGAATCGGCATCGAGGGATGCATCAGCGAGGACGAGGGGAATGGTCGCAAGGGTAGATATGGGCGCCACATGGGTGTTCCCATCAAGAAGGAAGTTCCTACTACGGTGGCTGACTTGCAGCCTGCGATCCCTCAGGTCGTTGCACACCAGCAGACGCACACTCAAGCCCATCAACACCTACCGATGGGCCCGCCAAGCTTGATTGGCGTTAACCAGAAGAAAAGAAAGCGGTAGTTGCGGACTCGGATACGCGTAACAGCCCCAGTGTTATTCTATCCCCCAGAAATTGGATTCCCACGATGCATGTCTACTTCCACAACAATCACAACCGTCACAACGAGAGACGAGCTTGATTAAGCTTTTGCAAACTCGCTAGCTACTCGGCACACAAGCGCACAAGCGCACAAGCTTGAAAAGCCCCCTTCACAATACACGCGTATAGCCCTCCACCAACCCTATTTTAACGGCCTTTTCAACGCAACCAAAAAAACCATGATGAACGAATTTCCTTTCAACGAACAGACTGACTGGACTGCTACGTGTGAGTGTCCGCACAGCTGCGTCTTCTTGTTTCTCTTCTTTTTTTTCATTTCTCTTTGTATGGCCTTAAAGTATGGGAGCTACTGTTCTGGGGTTAAAGGAGTTGCGAGAGTGCTTGCCTCCTTGACTTGTCCTCTGCTTCTACGCTTATGGACGAATGTCTCCTTTGAGGGAGGTATCACGGCTACTAGTCTAATCACAGCGCAGCGTCACCGCTTGTGTTGGATAGTCTAGGTGCCGGGACTTGTTCATCAATCACCATCACGCTCAGGACATCACTTGGACTTGGAAAGTCGGCGCTATTCACTTGACAATTTGGTTTGAAGAGGTGGGGCTTTTAATAAGGACTAGAAAGGGGGTGGCGACCGGCTGGGCTATCTCTTATATCTAAAAATGAGGACTGTTACATCAGTGTGGCAGAGGAGCGAGGAGAGAGGTGTGGAAGGTGTGGAGCCAACAGACAGGTAAGACGACGATGGTGAGGGTGTTGAGCGCAGGTCAGCCAACAAGCATTGTCTGGTTCCATCTGCGAGAGTAAAGAGGTGCGGCGTTTCCTCATTGTCTTCATTTGCTTTGGACTTCGCGTAGTTTCGATGACAAGTGCTACTATGAAAGAGGCGGGAAGAGAGAGTGGGAGGCGTGGATATGGGTCGAACTGATGGATTTCCAAGAGTTTAGTTTCTTGTGCTTGCTTGTTTGATCCTGTACGTATGCTCATCCTCGTTCGTCCGTCAGTTGCATCTCTTTGATAGGAGAAATCCGATGATATATGCCAGACCCTTGCACACCACTCCTGTACATTGAGTCTTCCTGGAGACGAGTGTGGTTGCTCTCGACCGTGCGATTTGCATGTGCGCGGAGAGCAGTTGGTGGGACCGAAAACCAGAAGCGTCAGGGGTGGGCATTTCCATTCATTGTGAGGGCCCCTGACCCTTGACTAGGCGGAAACTATGGCGGACCAGAATATCCGGTCGCACGGAAGCCTTCAATCTTAATGGCAAGAGCGCCAATTTTGAGTTTCGCGCGCTCTTCCGAGCAAGGAGGAGAAGAAGCCATCAACAAAAGAGGCCCGCCTTTTTGCCCGAATATTTCCTTCAGCATCAGCTTCTTTCAGCGCCGAAGCGTGCAAACAGGCTACTGTGCGCACTGGTTGGCCGCAGCGGGGGAAAGCGCTGCCAGTCACGGCCGGCTATTTACGGCAAGGCTGAGCCAAGCACAGCCTGATCGGGACGGCACGGCCGGCGCGCATCATTGGCCCAGCGGCTGGCCGTTTCGTGGAGAAAGTGGGGTTTCAAAGGATGCCTGGCTGAAAGGGCCGCACGCACCCCTCGTATCTGAAGGGGGAAACGGGCTAACTGCTTGGGTCTCGAAGCGCCGTTTTGAAGGGCCGAATGAGTGTCTCTTGGTGTCAGGCGTGCACATTCTCAGCCGTTCTCTTTCGCATCGTTCCTGTCTTCCCTTGGTGCTGGATGTGTGTTTGCGTACCCGATGTTTCACGTGCCCGCACTACAGTCGGAAAGAGCGTAGCGACATTGCTTTTTTTTTTCTTGGTCCTGTCACCGTTGCTCCTTCCGCGCGGTTTCTTGCTCCAGTATTCTGCAAGGCAGGCGCGGCCTAGCGTTATTTCTGGGACGGGTGGAAGCATCGAACCTGCAACTGAAACGCGTGATTGGGCGTTCGCCAGTCCAACTCGACCGGTCGGTTTTGTGTCACGTAGTAGCGGGCTCGACTTCATCGACCACGGCTAAACCTGCGTCTCAGTTCAAGCAAAACGAATTGACTTTACTCTTCCAATATGACCGAGACGTCAGAAGAGCCACCCGCGCCCCAGAGCATCCAAGCCCGCATCGCAGCCCTGCGACTCGAACAAGTTGGTCGTGCACCAAGCTCCTCACCCGCCACGTACGAACAAGCAAAGAAGTCGAAACCGCCTCCGCCTCCCCTTCCCAAGAGGACACAGACCGCCAACAATCCACCAACCACAAGCTTGAGCCATGGTGTAGGAAACACGCCTGCCGGTCCGAGGACGAATGGCAAGAATCAACCGCCACCTCCTCCAGCGAGCAGAGAAGTGCTTCCCGCACCGGCGATGAAGAAGTGGGAGGGAAGAGATGCAGTACCTAGCCCTCCGTTGCCACCTCGGCGACCGAGCGAGAAGAGTGTGCCAGGTCTGCCGCCAAGGAGACCTTCCGAGCAGAGCATTGGGCGCAAGCAGTCCGTGGAGAGTATCTCGTCCGTAGCCTCCGGTCGATCTTCCGTATCTGCCCTGTCGTTAAAGAGCTCAAACACAAATGTCGATAGGCCGTATCAAAGGGTCCGGGCTCCGGAATATGACCCTGCAAGTTTGCCCCCTCTGCCTGAAAAGAAGGCTACGAAGCAAGATGAGGTAGCTTCGAGGGTGCCACTGAGACCGACTGTATCAGCGCCCAGTGTGAATAAAGTCAATGGGAACGAGCCACCGCCGCTGCCGGGTCGGCCGCAGCTGCCACCGCGAACAAACACGGTCGAGCAGCAGCCCACTCTGCCAGCAAGGCCGAAAAAGAGCATATTGGAAATGGGCTTCAACAATAAGCCGACGGCACCTCCACCTGTTCCCGCCGGACGGCCAAGTAATGGAGTAGGGGTGAATGGATTTGCGAACGGAATTGCGAGTAAACTATCAGACAAGCTGAGCGGGCGCGCTCCCTCGACCGCTCCTCCTCCTGCTTCGGAACCTGTCTCAGGACCTGCGGTGGGAAACGCCAATGTGGTTGAGCTGAATACTGCGACGTTCGACGACGTTGTTCTACGATCAGGACATCCTGTGTTCGTGGACTTCTATGCGCCCTTCTGCAAATGTGAGTTTTGAGAGGACTAGGTCGGAAATGGAGGACTACGCTGACGACTACAACACAGACTGCAAGCAGCTCGACCCGAACTGGGAAAAACTTGCACAGAGCTACCAAAATTCGAACGTTACCATCGCGAAGATCGATTCGTACACTGAAAAGGAGATTGGCGAGCGCTACAAAATACAAGGATGGCCGACCATGCTCCTCTTTGATGGCAAAGGCGGAGAGCCCGTTAAGTATCCCTGGAACTATGAACTGGAATGGCTACACAAATTTGTCAAGCAAGAAACTGGAATCACACCTGGGGCGCCTCCATCGTCGAGCTCTTCGTATCCTACGCCTCCGCCCTCGAATCCCTCCTCGCCGCCGCCTGTTCCCCTTGCGTCGCGACCCAATTTGACAGAATTGAATAAGACCAAGCCTAGTGTTGCTGCGGCTTTGGCGCCACCAACAGCTGTCTGCCTCAAATGCCGTGATTTTTCAGGCCCAGATCAACATGCCACTCGCTTCCCCAGACAGTCTATACCCAATCAGGATCCTAGATGGTTAGGTCCGCAGTTGTGTGATCCCTTCCCAAGTCACACTGACAAAGCACGAGCAATATTCACCTGGTTACATCATAATATCGATTACAACGTTGCTGCTTTTTTCTCTGGCAATTTGCAGCCTTCGACGCCTGCGAGTACGATCGCCACGGGCCTAGCTGTATGCGAAGGATACGCCGGTTTATTCACTGCATTAGCTACTGCTGCAGGCTTGGAGAGCGTAGTCATAGGAGGGCACGGAAAAGGTGAGCCACTTCTTGTCCCCTTGTGTAAATCGTCGTCAATGCTTATCCATCATAGGCTACGGATTCGAATCGCTCCGTCCCGGGCAGCCGCTTCCTCGCCGCGATCCCACCGGACATGCTTGGAACGCTGTCCGCATCGACGGCGGCGTTTGGAAGCTCATAGACCCATGCTGGGGAGCTGGAAACGTCAAAGGCCCTGGGCAGCCATATAATAAGGATTTCACGCCTTCGTGGTTCACCATGTCTAATGACGAGTTTGGAGAGCGTCATTTCCCCGAAGACGAGCGTTATTTTTTCCGCGAAGATGGACGCCCCAAAATCTCATGGGAAGAATATATCATGTTCAGCGTTGGGCCAGAGGAACGCACTGTGTTCACACCGGCCAGGACCGAGCATGGATTCGACGAAAAGAGCTTCCTGCCGAAGGCGAATGATATCGTCAAGCACGATTATGCGGCAGGACCGACGATACGATTTCAGTGGACGAAAATTTGCCCGCACTACGACATCGTCAAACATCATGGCCAGCAATTCTTGTTCTTCATGAAAGTCAACGGTGACGAACAGCGTGTTGCGCAGACGGATGGGTTCCACTACTGGATCGATGTGCGAAGGGAGGAACTGCCGAACCCAGGAGAGGAGGTTACGATTCAGTTCATGCAGAAATACATGTTAAGCGATGGTCAATGGAGGGAGGGCAGAGGGTTAACGGAGCAGGATCTCAATAGAGGCATGGGTGGCAGAGCTGGGTGGAGGAGCTGGAGTTGGAGTTATCTTGCTAGATGGAAAGTTATTTAGGCGTGCTGTCATGATTTGGACGCAAACACTCTATAAGAAGTGGGATGCTATTCCGATACCCCAACCTATAATGACATTTCAACCGCTTTGATGAGATCTTGTTCTCAAATGTCTATAGCGTTTGAAGCTACGTAGAACATTCAGGCTCGCATTGTGAGCGCCAAGGTCTGTTTACGGGGCGTACTCTGAAGAATCGTACGCTGATCAACGAACGCATAACTCATAATCTCGTCGCGAAGAGCAGATTGTGATCTTACTCGTTGACTTCTCAAATCGCATGTGGGGCACCTGGAAAGTCGGGGTTGGACGGCTGCATAGCAACTTGACGACTTACAACTTTTCCATTCTCATTTCCATCCCTGTAATCCCAAGCAGGCGTATTATGGGTGCCCATTATGGCCAACCACTAGCGAACAGCTTGAAGACTGGGGAACCAGCGGTCAAGAGGACTTTTGGTCATCTCTGGTACTACCGTACCTACTAACAAATACGTAAGAATTGAAATTCACCTAGCATGAAGCAGAGGATTTAGCAATCATGTTGTGCAACAGACAGAAAAACGCTTAGTCAGGCTGGATCAACCCAGACAATAGCACGGCAAGCGTTCATACTGCAAGCATGTTCACAACACGATCACAGGCTACCAATCGAACATCTCCGTATGAAGACTGATCTCGGACGCTTGCCCATGCAACACCTTTGTCTGCAGTCTTGCTGTCGCGTTGCTCACGTCGATCTTGAGACTATCAGGGCCGCAAGCAATGACAGCGGTTGATCTCGTGTCAACACTTTGCGGCAGCAGCTGGTGAAGATCTGGTCGTCCCGCATAATGCTTCCGCAGTCCTTTGACCTGTTCCTCTGAGTCCACTGCGCAATCGGTCATTCTCCCTGCCAGCCCTTGGAAAGGATCGGATTCTTTTGGCTCCGTGACGTAAAGATGGATGCAGACGCTGCCTTCCGGCGCATCTCGTAGAGCCTGGTGGACTTCCTTGCTCACCCACGTGAAATGTTCAGAACGTCGCAGCATCCACAGCACACGCACTCGCCTTGTCACACAGCTTTTCTTGCGCATGGCCCTGATCAAATGCAGCAAGTAGGGCAAGCAGGCGCTGATACCATTCCCGCCGGCGACCAAGACGACCTCCTCTGCCCAGTTTTCGTAACGCCGAGCGACAGTGCCGTACGGCCCCTCCACGATTGTCGAAAGTCTTGCCTCGGAGGTCTTCTCCAGCCAAGACAGCAACTTCCTCGTAGAACCGCTCTGGGCTCGCACAAGGAACGTCATTACGTTTCCAGAGTCCTTCTCGCTTTCGCACTGCGTGCTCGGTATAGAGGCAATAGTAAAGGGATGGTTGTCCAAAGGGTTGAGCTGCGGAAACCGCAAGAACACGTGCTGTCCTGGCCGCCACATCCAATCTTCAGGGACGAAGACTTCCAATTTCACCATGTCCCCCGATAGACGATATGCCACGGTCGGTAGGCCCCCGAACCAGTTCTCCGATATTTTGAGAGTCGAGGTCTTCCAGAAGATACGGCCGAGAAGTTGGAAAAGCCAGACGGCGAGAGCGCCATAGAGGTAGTACCACGAATCACGCAAGTTTGCGAAGTGCCAGAAACAGAGACCAAAAAAGACGATTGCACCCAGGATATGGCTGTATGCAAAGGTTTCATAGAAACGTCGTCGAAGGGAGGGTAATGAGAACGCCACGAGAAAAAAGCAGATCGCGTACGTCGGCGTTCCCGTGAACTATATGCTTATCAGCGGTGCGTGCAACAACTGAACTTGGAGAGGTGCACACCTCGAGCGAACCTTGAGCGTAGAACTTTTTCCTCAAAAGTCCTTCCTTGCTTTCCTGGACAAAGAATGGAATTGCGTGCACGGTGGATAAGAAGAACATGATCCATCCCACCCATCGATGTAAAGCATTTAGTTTCTCGTGACCGATGCCCGTTAGCATGGTCACTAGGTTGACCTTGCCTCCCAACGCTATGATCAAAGGTATTAACGCAGCAGCCATCAAGCCAGCGCGAACGCCTAACGGAGGGGAGCCGTACAGCCTGCTGCCTCTGTAGTAAGGTCGTTGAGTGAAACTCATGGCCGTCGCAACTATGAAGGAGACGAGAATCAATATCAAGACGCCGATCGATGGCAAACCTAGGTACACTCCAACTCGCCCAGATATTCTACGGTAGGATACGAAGCGGATCGCAGCCTTGAGTTTATGCTTCAGCCCAACAGCTTCGCTACACGCTTTTCGATCGGCCTGAACATGAAGCAATCTGGCGAAGACAAAAAGACCAACGATTCCAACATAGAACCTGAGTTTATTGAGCTTTTTTCCCCTTGTTAAATGGGTTTCCCGTACAACCTACCATGTGGTGTACCTTCCATACTCGAATTGTGACGCCCAGCTTATTTGCTTTTGCGAAGCGGTGTGCGCTTGTTTGAAGGCCTAAACCATGCTTAGCTGATGTTGATGCGAGAAGAAAAGGTTTTGTTGTTACCGCACAGGAGTCATTCCTACATCTAGGATCTGACAATGGGAGATTGACAAACCACTCGGGCACGCTCGTGCCTGTGTCCCCGTGCATTGCTCAAGTTTGTTCCGTAAACTTCAAGATCGACGACCGTCCATGAAGTCTGCCTTCATGGAGATATAAATGTGGTCGTGTAGGGTAGCGTCTTGTCCATGACTAAGCCGTAGCTTTGGATGCGATAGCAAGGTGGGTAACTGGCGCAAATGGCCGCAGACTGCTGCATTTCCATCTGTGGACCTGGAGTTCAAAGAACGTACCGAATTGGAGACACCAGGCCGACATTGGCAGGATTTCCGCTAGGTAGGTCTAGGTCAGGCATACATAAAAAGAGCGCATACCTCTGAATATGCTAACGTACTCTAGTAGATTGTACCCCTCTATCGCTGCTTGAAACAGCAGACTGTATGTGGTTCAAAGCTTTCGAATCATGGAAAATGTCTCCATTGGCTATTGATAAACTATTCTTTCCTGAAGAAGGATGACTACGATTGTCGAACTGCATGAGTTCGAAGGTGAAAATTCAAATGGAACACTCCGGGCCCATGAATGATCATGGCAAGTAGCTGACGAGAAGCCCCAGCGGCGCTAGTTGTATATGGATCCTTTTAGAGAAAAGACCACCATGTATAAGAACCTGATGTGCTCGACGATGCGTGCGTTAAAATGCAAGGGAACAAAAACATGGTTCGTAGTTGGTTGGCGCCTGAGCTAGAATTCTCGGTTCGCTCATCGTTCTTACACTTCAGCAAAGGCCGAATATAATTCTTCGCACACAGCATTGTTCGCCCGATAACCGGACATACAGGCTTTTCCGTTCGACCTCGCGTGAGGCCGAGAAAAGTTGTTGCTTGGCCTCCTGAGCGCGCTCGTTTTCATTGGACCATGTTGGACTTCTGGACGTAGTGAAATCTGCTCAAATGAACTCGATATCTGCAGGTAAACGACCTGCCTTGCACCAGGTGGATCGAATCCGACTGTAGCGATGATTAAAAATCTCACAGAGAACTCCGTGCGCTTGAAGAAATTTGCGCAAAAGGCCGGTGGATCTCACGATGTGGTATTGAAGTTTGGTCACCTCAACGGTATTGCTCATGATCAAGACTGCCACAATTGCGGGCCTTCGTAACTTAAAAAACTCGGCATAAAAGCTAGTGTTTTCCTTCTCATCTCTTCCGCATTCCAATAATCTTCTTTCAAAAGGCAAGAAAAAAAAGAGACTGAATTGTGTCAAGTAAAAGGCCGCAAGAACAATGTCTATGTCTATGAGCAACATGGCCATGGGCACGTCATCGGCGATGGCATCGATGACAAGCATGACGATGACTGGTACTGCAACCGCTTCGAGTGCTACATCCACTGCTATGAAAATGAGTATGGGTGGGTCGTGCAAGATCTCGGTATGTCTTTCCATGCGATCAATCTCAACACTCCGAATTGTTCTTATGCCTTGGACAGATGCTGTGGAATTGGAACACCGTGGATTCATGTAAGAAAGTGGAACCTCGAACTCTTGGAGCAAAAGACGATTGACACTGGCAGGTTTCATCGCTGCCAGCTGGCACGTAACTTCGAAGGGCATGTTCGCCGGTTGTTGCGTCGGAGTTATCTTCCTCGTTGTCGCGCTTGAGTTCCTGCGTCGGTGTGGCAAAGAGTATGATCGTTATCTCCTGCGTGAGCATCAAAGGAAACTTGCTGTCGTTGGAACAACAACTTCCTCACCATGCTTTTCCAATGCTCACGCCAAGAACAGCACCGCATCGATCGCGAGTCGATGCGCACCAGTGATGAGGTTTAGACCAAATGTACTACAGCAAGCAGTAAGAGCGCTGGTCCATATGTTGGCTTTCGCAGTAGCATATTTTATTATGCTGTAAGCCTAGTTCTACCCCTAGTCCACGTTCGTCCGCTCACGAAACTATTCAGACTAGCTATGTACTATAACGGCTACTTCATAATATGCATTTTCATTGGGGCTTACATTGGATTCTTCATATTTGGATGGGAGACTGTCTCACTAGGGTAAGGCCTTCCCATTATACCAGATTTATTTGCAACCGAGATTTAACACCCGATCCTAGAGGGCCGCAAGAGGAAACGACTGTGTGCTGCGGATAAGCTTGAAGGATTACGATTGATACTCTCGATGAGGTTGCAATGACATCCGAATCGTAGAATCACAATGTATCGCAGATGCTCCTTGAATTCTGTCAAGAGGTTTGATACTAGCATTTTCACTGTTCTCTGCTCCAAACGACTGTTTCTACTGTTTCTCGGCGCTCGGATTCCATTTCGCCCGCGCATGGCCGAGATGCCCGCCGCTAGGGTCCGAAATTTCTATATAAAACCTACCCTCCGCCAAAGCTCATTGAGTCGGGCCCGATTTTTGATGATGCACAAGCTCATCGGACTGATTCTGCTTCTTTCAGTAGAAGGAAATTTTCCATGTATATTAAAGGAATATGTTTGGGAATCAATGGACATTCACATTCATCAAAATCTCGCGTTCTCAACATCCCCCTCTGTCTTCTCAAAATATCTTCGAACATAGTCAATATTCTATCTCATGTCTAATATGAAAGTTCTAGTTGTCGGGGCATCAATTGCGGGCCCAGCCACTGCGTACTGGCTCGCGAAGGCAGGCGTGAAGGTTACTGTCATCGAACGCTTCCCAAATGTGCGTACAAATGGACAAAGCGTCGACATCCGCGCTGCTGGAGTAACGGTAATGCGTAAGATCCCAGGCATGGAAGCAGCTGTGAGGGCGAAGGCAACGCAACAGGAAGGGATCCACTTCGTTCGTGATGACGGCAAACCTTATGCGACAATGTACAAGACAGGAGACGTCAATCAGCAGTCATTGACCTCAGAATTCGAAATTTTTCGTGGAGATCTAGCCCAAATTTTATTCGAGATGTCCAAGGACGACGAGAACATCGAATACATCTTCGGTGAACAGGTTACTTCCATGCACCAGGCAACCAACGGGCTCATGAAGGTTGAGTTCGCGAACGGCCTTGCGCCCACAGAATTTGATCTTGTAATAGCTTGCGACGGCGCGAATTCAAGGACTCGCGCTTTGGGCCTGAAATGTGGGGTTCGTGACCACGTTGAGTCCGTGAATTGCTGGGCAGCTTACTTTTCGATCAACCAAGATCTTCTCGGTGGAAGTAAGATGGCACAGCTGTGGAGCACAACCAAGGGACGTCTTGTGGCTATCGGACCTGATTCCACGGACGTCAACAGGATCGGTTTGTTGCGCATACACCCAAGAGATGGCTCGGACGCTACTATGGCGTTCAGAGTGGCTATGAAGCAAGGGGATTTTGAAGCCAAAAGACATGTTGCTCAAGAGTTCGCAGGTGCTGGTTGGAAGACTGGCCAGTTAATCGAGGCCATGATGGAAGCAAAAGACTTCTACGCGTCGGAGATAGTACAAGTTAAGATACCCACGTTATATGCTGAACGGTTTGTGCTAGTCGGGGACGCAGGCTACTGTCCAAGCCCTTTCACTGGAGCTGGAACTACCCTTGCACTTGTTGGCGCGTATGTGCTGGCGGGAGAGATCTCCCAGAACAAAGGTGACCTTACTGCTGCACTTAGAGCGTACGAGGAGCGTATGAGGCCCATCGTTAACGACTTGCAAAAGATAGCCCCAGGCGTTCCAATGCTGTTTGCGCCACAAACAACTAAGGGTATCTATTTGCGAAACTTACTCTTTGCGTTTATTGCTTGGTGCAAACCGTTTCTTGGATGGTTTGGAAAGGTCTTTGGTGGTTCCCTTGGCACAGACAGGTATAAGCTTCCTAACTACGAATGGAGAACGTAGAAGTTGAGGATGGTGTTGGAAGCTGATACTCCACAGCGTATTTTGTTTCATGACGCTATTTGTAATGTGCAATTTGGTGAGCCACCAGGTATCGTGCTATCATAATTTGAAGTCATCTTTAGCTAGTATGATCAAAACAAAATGTCCATGGGATTCGTCTTTTGGTCTTAGAAGCTGTTTAAGTAAGGAAAACAAGATCCCACTTTCGGTTGGTCAGTCGGTTCCATTGCTCCTCGACGACTGTCGTGACGAGCGCTTTCCTCCGACAGATTGAAGGTGTGACTTGATCGTGATCTACCAGTAGAAGTTTAAGCGTAAGTCGACCGCCTCTACTCATCCTCTCCTTCTCCACGCCAACGACTATGAACTTGCCTTCAAGTGGAAACTCGAAATCTTCCCTAATACCTGGCCAGAGTCCTAAGACGTGATTTTTTCCGTCACTTATCCTTGCGCAGAACTCATTGTAATAGTTATTGGGCCCAAGCGGCTCGATTCGTAAGGTGGCAACACTGGTCCAGAAACATAGAAGACTAGGTGTAATATTGAGATGGCCTCTCAAATCCACTGGTATATCGTCGCTGGTTACGTCTTGTCGGGTTTTATCGAGCCATTCGTGTTCTGCATCAGGTGGATATTGTACAATTCTTCGAGTATCACCCTCGGGATACGGCCCGGGTGGGTCTTCTGGTATATCAATGCGTATTGTTTTACCACGTTCATCCACTTTAAAAAATCGCAGTCCAATTTTACCAATTGCTATGGAACGATGAAGAGTCTGCAGGCCGACTTGGCCAGTCCATCCGAACCATGACCACGTTGGAAAAGGTGACGAAATGAGGTTCCCTGAAGCATTTAATGCTGTATGAGATTCGCGTCTCTGTCTAGAAGATCTTGTTGTAGTGAAGACTAGACCTTGTTCTAATCGACTCTGGGGTAATCCCCAGAAGAATTTTTCACCAGTATACGATTCGATTTTGTTCAGAATGCCCATGAGTCCATGCAGCCGGTCTGCTTCTGAGCTGAAGCTCCGACTCAAGTAGTTCCGGAGCATTGAAGAGTATATGTCCGTCCAATGTATCCGCATCGGTTGTTCAAACAATGCATTGAGCAAATTGTCCCCGAAGTAGTGACGAAAAATTTGTCGATCATCGCTTCGCTCCCAAAAACTTCCTTCACACCAAGACGACATTTGGCATTGCCAATAAATTTGCTCTTGCGTAACTATAATAGACTTGCGTGATAGCATACCTTCTTGAAAAGTCCAACCCCTTGAGCTCCACCGGGCGTTTTCCAGAAAACCTCCACCATATGATCCGTATGGAGGATCAAGCGTTTCAGTAAGCCATGTCCCATTGAATTCAAAGGGCTCATGTTCACAGCGGCAATTTGGGTCATCAACACCTGGCAGGCCAGTACTATCGGTTACGCTCGAGTTGGACCCGTTGATAATTGTGACAGCTGCCTGCTCGTAAATTGCGTCCATAACAGGTAAAAACTTTGCTTTGTCTAGCTGATCATCCTGGATTATGCACAGCGAATCGACCCACAAATATTGTTCATTAAGAGCTGCCGTTATTTTCATAGCGTCAATGATCACCTTCGGTACAATTGAATCATTAAGCCCTCCAGGCTGACGGTAGCTGTCCAGATTGCTTCTCTTCAGGCAGTGTGGTTGCGGACCGCCCCAGCAATAACTTAGTGCCGCATGTGAGACAAAGCCGGTGGACTCAACAAGACACCGATTTCGAATATCAATCAATCGTATATCCTTGACTCTGTTCGTTCTTATTGTACTACAAACCGAGCCATGATTTATTTCACATGTTTCTTTCCACATTCGAAGAAGTGATAGCTGAGCTTTTCGCGGCCTGATTCTTGAATCAAATGGAGGGTAGGATGACCATTTCTCAATGGGAAGATGTGTGAGCAAGTCTGTAAGTCTTGGTGGAGACTCCTCGCTATGCTGTAAGTTGACGAGATATCGAAATCCTTGTCCCGCGTCGCGTGCGTCAAAATATATGCACATGCGCACTAGGATTCTCTCATCTTTCGAAGAATCTGAGTAAGTTCTTCCTTGTTCAAAGGTATGAACATGTTGACTCTCTATGCCAAGATAAGCCTTCGAGCGCGCGGCTTCCGGAATGGCCGAAAGGACACTTCCTTGCCGCCTTTGAGCGAGTAGCCAGAGCCATGTACAGATCCAGCAGTTGCCAAACTGCTCTATAGCTTCATTGAGTGGGCGTCGAAGCTTAATACCACACGAAGGAGAAGATCCGTCAACGCGGTCCAAGAGACCGAGCTGAAGTACACGGCCTGCCACATCAGGCGTGCAAGTCTTGCAGAGTGCGCGTTCGATTCCTGTCTATATTTTGATTAGCATGTATAGGAATGTATAAACTATCTATCTTGATGGCCGTATTTATACCTTTTCGAATGTTTGTTGAAGCGCGTCCCGTATTTCGGCTGCCATTATGTGAAAGGTGGGGGCTAGATTTGTTGTCGGGAAAGACGGGAAATCAAGCTGGAAATTGAAGAGGGCAATCAGCATGCGATTTCGCGAGCGTAAAGAAGTATGGCGAAGCCAATTGCACGATGCTTCGTCTCGATAAAATTTGAAATTCTCTTTACTTGAGCATGAGGTATAGGAATTCACTTAATGTAGCCCAGTAGGCGCGGTGATAAGAATTGAACTCCAGTCATCACGAGGCTAAGGGTTTTCTCAGCATAATCAGATGTCTCCAATGCCAATACATTATGATACAGAGCTGTTTGAAAAATTCTAAGACACCAATTTAGAGCCATTGCGTGGAGGAGCTTATTAGAAGGGCCCTTTCACCTCGCCATAAATGCATGCTATACCATAAGTCAAGTTTGTCATCAGAAGATAGAATCGATAGAGCAAAGGAGAGACAGCACACTTCAACATTCAAAAGTCTGGCGATCGTCAAAAACACACACACCCTCAGAGTTATATATTTACTTAGATATGGCTTTGGCTCACAGTGGAAACCAATTGTTGACATTTTAAGAAGGATGAGTACCCTAAATGCATCCTTAATTGGAACTTCACGTGGGGTGGGCCCCGGCTGCTATTCGTAAATATTGGAACAGCGAAGCACGTTAACGCCGGTTGCAATACGGGTGTGCGTTAGCGAAATTGAATAAGACTACAAAGGAGGCAAGCCCTCTCTACACACGGGACACTGTAGCCTGTACCTCATAGCCGCCTCCAGACATTTTGTGTGGAAAATATGTCTACACGGTGTCATCATATATAGCCGTCTCGACACGATTCCATGTACAGATGAAGTGCCTGTTTCCGCAGCTCCACCTCCAGCAGGCACGATTGGAACTTCTATATTCTGCATGCAGATGGCGCAATCGAAGATTCTCTTGCTCTTGTCCTTACTTTCCGCAGGACGCGTCGCAACAGGCGATGAAGGCTGCGATGCCGGTGAAGTGGTGAATCCAATGGGCATCTTAGACTCCTCGTCATCTTCACGCAGGACAGGATGGTAATCATATGCTGGTGGCAACCATTTCTTCGGTACGCCGATGCGTGGTCCTAGAACATCTTGGATAACGAGGACCCAAATCTGCACCCACAACCAGCCCACCAAGAAGGCAAACACGCGTCTATCCGGCTTAACCCATAAGACATTGTTCCTCATGCAATAGAAGTAGCCGATTGGCAATATTCTCAGAACACTTTGTCCAATGACAAATCGGTATAAGAGTGCCTTTCGACAGTTCCGCATTATATTACGATATATCTGTGGTGTCCAAAGTGAGAGGTACGCGAATGCAAGAACATTCATGTAAGCGGAACGTGCTGTAGGATACCATGATGTAGCATGGAGGCTGAGGAAGGTTATCCCAAGAAGTAGAAGATAGAATTTGCCGTACATAGCACTTAGTTCACGGCGGCGGCGCGCAGCGTCTGTTTGTGGCTGTTCTCCTGCTTCATCTTGTTGCTGGTTCGGGAAGATAAGAGGCGTGGCGCCGGAATTGATCCCTTGTCGTGCTGTCACCGGAGCGGGGAGAGCGTCTGTTCTGCCATTCAGGGCAATATTTGTATCTGTGGTTGCTTGTTGAGGCGGAGTGTTCAACGCAGATGCTTGCTGTCGCTGTCGCTCAGCTCTTCTTCGCTCCTGAGATTGGACGCCCCACACGTCAAGTAAAAAGCGCATATCGAAGAATGTCACAGCAAGAAATGCAAAAAATGCCGTAGCCAGCAGTGACGTGAATGCCGAATCAACCAGCATGCCGAGAGGCAGGAAAGCCATACCAACGAATCCGTCTCCTAGGCTAAGCATTCCAACGGTGTAAAAGCTGATTCGACTACGCGTTGACGGAGTCGATGAATGTTTCATCTGTATCATCGTGAGGTAGATCTGACCCGCTAAGACGAGGATGTATAGAAGCGTATAGTCAATGCTGGAGCGGATGTAGATCTCTAATTTTTCACCGGTAAGATGATCACCTTCGACGCGCGCATATTCAGGTTGACCCTTCGATTCAATGAGAAAACCACAGTCTGGGGAAAATACCAAAGCAGAGAGCCTGAGTTGTGGAGGCTTGTATGGACGAGCACCTTGAGGATATCGTAATTCTTCTTCCATTTCACTGATCACGTCCATTGGAGCAGTGGCGAATTTTCCATCGGATCCGGCTAGTGGTAAGGCGTGTTGATGAAAATAAGCAATTAACTCGCAGTGTGGTGTATAAGCGTCTTCAGAGTGGCCCTCTGGTACGGAGGAATATGGATGGAGGTTAGGTAGCTCTAGACTCTTCTGTTTCCTGATCACCTTCTCGAGCCGTTGGACTATGTTCTCCTTTAATGACTTATAAACCGTCTCGGTAAGCGCCATCTGTGGCAAGGCCCACATTCCTGCAAACTTGTCGCTTGTGGTTGTGAGGAATACTTGGCCCGTATCCACCAGATGTGTGCCATACATGACAACTGTCCAACCATCTCCTGAAGAACTCTTATCACTCAGCACAATCTCCGCCTTGATATTCTGTATTTTTATGCCACCGAATTTGCCGACATCGCCGTTCTCCGTGAATTCAACTCGTAAGTCTCCTGATTCTCCCGTAACATTTCGCTCAAAGCGCCGCGTAAAATCGGTCGCATCTAATGGCAAAAGGGCCGTCATATTGAGCTTCGGACGTGGTATCGCTGAATCAGCATGTGCGCGAACCCAGCTCCCTCGTACGTGACCAGAGATGTTTTTCCAAACTGGAAAACCCCGTCCCTTATTACCTTCCAGGACCAGGTGCGCGTCCTCGTCACCCCATATGTGAGTAATATGCTGCCTCGCCCTGCTCTTCACCTCGTCCAACGTTCCCCATGCGAATCCATCTTCATGTCGAAGCCCTGTAATATTTAACCACTTGTTTTCCTTTGGATTAAATGCGCCATAGCTCGTGGTATTGACAACGTGGAGCTGCTGTGATTCGCGTGAGATCGTGAGATCGAGCGTTGTGTGGCCGCCTAGAGGTGTTGCTGGTGGATCCGGGAAAATCCAGAGGATAAAGAGGATCACGAGGAACACAGGCAGTCGCGAGTCATTCTGAACTTGAGGCATCACAAAACACTGGATTGGCAAAATACATCACTACACAAAAGCGATAGCTCAGTGATGTGTGGGTAGGATGAAGAGCGTTGGGTATGACAACTTACTACTATCGCCGAGGTATCTCCGCGCTGCGCTGGACCTCAAGTCGTCTGCCACGGATCACTGCGTGCGTCACAAATGAACCAAATTGTCTACACATGCACAATGCAACTCAAAAACTCACAAAAACAATCTATCATTATCGTAATAAGATCACTTAAATTTCTGTCATAGCAAATTTGAGGCAAGCGGTCGACGATGTCGACACGAGCGCCATCACAGGTTCGGCAGTGTCGTGATTCGGAGGGACGTGCGGTGAAAATAGTCGGTATGTTCCGAACATTTAAAATCTCTACGGTCCTCGCCCTAGAAACGCTTTTTTTCGTTCTTTTGCCCATAATCTTCGCAATCAAATTGGTCAATGTTGAGCGCGAATTCCAGAGCTGGAACTTGCACTAGCGAGGGCGACCCCTCGATTCGTCTGTGCCGACAACCGACGCACGAGTTTATCGAGCAGCTTTCGCCGCGGTGCGCCCCAGTTTAGTAAAGATATGAAAGAGTCTGTTTCTAGTTAAGATATCAATACTAAATCTACATCTCATCTTTTGCAGAATCTCTACTAATCGGTCCATTGAAGCTTGCACGTGAACTATCTACAGTTAATTCTGAGTTCCAGAAATGGTCGCAGAGACAAACGCATACTTTTATACTCATCCCCCTTATCCATCATGTATACAGAAGGGAACTCTTCCTTTGCCAGACAATATAAAAGACACAGAGATACAGGTGCGAATCAAGTCCGCAGCACTCAACCCTGTCGACATTCAGCTCATGAATCTTCCAATCTGGAACCTACCATATATGGGGTTTCCAAAAGGCATTGGTAAGGACTTTAGTGGCGTTGTGATTTCTGCCGGGAAGGACTCGGGCTTTCAAAGCGGTGACGAGGTCTTTGGTCTATTTATGGGTAGTGACAGAGGGACCGTGGCTGAAGTTGCGGTGATAGACGTGAAGAAGGGTGCGGTGGTGTTGAAGAAGCCCGGAGCATGGAGCTGGAATAAAGCCGCTGCCTTACCACTTGTCTGGTTAACAGCGAGAACCAGCATCGCGAGCGTGGAACCCTACATTAAGCCGGAGTCTAAAAGACTAGTCGTTCTGGGGGGGAGTTCTGCAACGGGAATGTATACCGTCCACCTTGCCAAGCAACGTGGCTGGACCGTTTTTTCTACGTGTTCATCTAGAAATTCGGACTTTGTCTCGTCAATGGGTGCGGATATAGTGGTTGATTACACGACCGAAGACGTCCCCTCGCGAGTCCGGTCCTTCACTCCAGACGCAATCATCGACTGTGTCGGCGGAACATCATGCCTGGGTATTGCTCCACGCTACGTAACCATAGTAGGCGACAAGACTTCTCGATCTACTATGGGAGGTTCAGCTCTATATCTTACGACACCACGAATGGTATTCAGGAAACTGTTGGGAATGTTGGGCTGGGGTGAGGTTTACGACGCCATCATTCTGGACCAGAATCCAGACTATCTAAAGGAGTCTACAAGTTTGCCCATTGAAAAGATCTACGTGGATTCAGTCTTTGATTATGACGATTTGAAGAAAGCATTCGAGCGGCTGGACACTGGCAGGACAAGAGGCAAGGTTGTGATTGAGGTGGACAAATCGTAATGTCCTTGACACAAGCTAACTAACGCGCTACCAGCGCCACGCTAAATAGAAAGGGGACCAACATGGGATGATACAAAGTTCCGAGACCTTATTATGTTCATTCTGTTGTGTTGAAGTAGCAGCAGCAGGCACTCACTTGCTATGTACACAGTTTGTTGATACAATACAAAGGATAGTCTGATTCAAAATGCACTTCTCAAGAAGCGCATCTTCAAGATCCCCATTTTGACATACTCTTCTTGTGGTCTTCGTGGTATCATTTGCCATATTCCCCGTTCTTCGCCGTCAGTCATGCAGATCCCCAATCGACAAAGGAAATGGATTGTACTGCTCAAAGCACGTGATCATTCGATTCTATTCCTCAGTGGATTGATGCGCCCAGGTATCTGAAATTCGTTTCGTACTGTTGTACAACGTGATAGTAATGATGACGAGGATGGTGATGCGATTATCAAATCGTTTCATGCAAAGCTGATGACATGGAGCTCGTGGACGTTCTTGGAGGACTATTGAGTTACAGATCATCAGCTTAAATCTAGTTCAGCTCACGCTCAGCAATGCACCGATCGAGAACGCTATGGCCACCGTGCCAAATGTGCTAATCAGGGCACGCAGGCCTATTGCTTCTGAGTTGTCTATATTGTCAAATGGGCTTCCGCCGCCACTATCGACGTTGCCTGATCTTTGAGACTCTTCTGCCGCATAGTTTATTGATGTTGTTGAGGTGGTCGTTGATCCGGTCTTAGTAGATGAAGATATTGAGGATGATGTTGAAAGGGGAGCAGTTGGTGTGTTGCCGATCATACCATCTGACGCGGACGGCATCGGCCTGGATTGCGTTGTTGCTGATAGAGTTTGTGAAACAAGCGAGGATATTTGAGCAGTACTAGAAATTATTGATGCAGCTGGCGATGCGGTCGACGGTGGTACCGACATGGTCATCGTGCTTGAGTACGTGATAAACGTGTTCGGTGGTATTGTGTTCGAAGCCGGTGTCGCGCTGCCCCCTTGTGTCAAGCCAGTCGTCTTTGTAACCACGTCCACATTACACAGCAATTGAATGGCCTGTCCAAGTAAGAAGAGACCAATAATGCTCGTCTCTGACACATCATCGTTTTGGCAATTCTGGTTGACGAGCGCGTTAATCTGAACGAGACCATTCAAGCACGCGCTCGAGCAGGTATGCGCTGCGTTCGTGAAATCGCTCACTTTGCAGCCTGGTATGGTGGTTGTGTACGCAGTTTGACAGCTCGGAGACAAATTTGTGATCTTAGGCGTGAAGTCCGATAGCGCAACTGCATTAACAAGTGTTGGCCACGACAGCAGCAAGTTGATTATCCGTAGTCGTCTTGGCTTCGCGCTGCTTCTTTTTCTTCTTCTCTCGCCCCCCATTTCGGTTCGCTTGCAAGTTTTGTTGTACGATGCGCGCAAGGGTTGCGTGATGCGATGTTTCTTTATGTCTTGAGAGGTTTTTTTTGCGGTTGTACAGGTTGAAGAGAGTCAAAAAGCGAAGTCTGAAGTGGGGAGCAGCTGAGGTAGCTATGATGGAATTGTGAGACACGGCTCGTTTGAGGCCTCGCGCGGACAACCGGCTCACGATTTTGCTGTAGGTAGCTCTAGGGTAGTTGTGCAGCTATCTTTTTGGCCTATCGGTGTGACGAGTATCGCAGAGATTGAAGAACAGTGCAAAAGGGTGGAGCAGTTGCTCTGGAGACACACTGATAGCAACCACGAACGAAAGATCTCAGGCCGAAATGAGTTCTGATCGTGCACGGGTTGACGAAATAAAGAGGAACCCTATGAAAACTTGCAGCCGCCGCTAAGGATACAATAATGTTTCTAATGCGTCTGGAATCGACTGGTTGGGGATGGGTCGGATGTTTCACGGGCTATGAACAGAGAAAGGGATGAACGCCCGGCGAGGAAAAACGTTTCTCAGAGGCAGTACCAAAGCAGATGAAAACGAACGGCGATGCCAGCTCGCCTGCAGAAAGGACCGGCCAAGAGCGAAACGGAAGGATAGTGAGGTTCGAAATTGAGAGAAGAGGTACCAGTGAAAGGGAATGGTCAGCAAGGACGGGGACACTTCGAACGTTTCCATATAAATAGCCTCCGGATGAGGACTGCAACATCAGCCAATCACTACGTGTAGTCCACGCCAGACGATAGTCAGCCTTTCTTCTCCAGGCTTGGATGTGAGGGCTTCACTTGTTGTAATACGAGACGCACGCTCACGGAAGCTCAGGTTTCCATTCGAGACGTAGCCGATGTGGGTGACGGGGTAGCGACCAGTAGAACGCAAGCTCCTGCCTCGGCATCAGCTAAAATGTGCAAAAGGCTTGTCGAATCATGGTGATGGGCGAGCAGTCGTTTGCACTGAAACGCAGTGAAGTCTCAGAAAACTCCACAACAGCCAATAGGCTTATCCGTTCTCTGAAAGCAGATCAGGGCACAAGGTGGGCTTAGCGCCAAGGCCTGTCACTACGTATTCAAGAGCAGTCAGACGGCTAGACCGAACCATCTCCTGCATATGGAGTTAGCCATCTCATGTCTGTTCGCATATGTAGAATCAATCGAGAATATCAACTTCCGTGAAGGATTGTTGTGACGCAACAGAGACACATGTCAAAATGGGTGTCACGTGATGATTTGAGATCTGTTCAAGCTACCAAGGAATTTCAGAGTAGAGAGAGCTTTGGGATGGCAAAATCTGCTGGCTTGCCGATTTTTATTAATATGCCTCGCAATTGATTCTGACCTAACACCAAAGGCTGTGCTCTCCCTAATTGCCAAGAAATACCTAAGAGTTGAAGTGGAAATGTGTGTTATGAGGTTGTAGCTGAAGCCGATGCAACAGTCTAGTCAGCATGCAGCGGGAAATATCTTGAAGTACGGCCACCTCGTGCAGTTTGCCCTCAATTTTGTGTGGTGGAATCATTGTCTCCTCACTACTCCACCCTGCAAGGGTGAGAAGTTCGGTGATTTGGGATAATCATGGACCGAGATCTCCCAATCAATAAAATATCAAGCCTTCGTCTTTGTACACATCCTTGACATTAACGATCAGATATTGAGGCAATTTTGACGATTCTATTCGCCGTAATGAGGCTCAGAGATGGTCAGCTGATTTCTTGGGAACTCTTTCTTCGTGATAACTAATAACAGGTCAGGCATGTGGCTCGTTGCCGCAGACAAACACATCGAATATGCCGAGTGTATATACTCAGTTGATGAAATTGCAGGTGGAAATGGAATTAGACTTCTGTGCCCAACTAAACGTATTCGCTCACGAGGTGACACCCTTAATTGCCCGACCCTAACTCTAGACGTGAGATCCGAGTTCGACAATGTCATTTCAGTAGAGGTGACACACTGGAGTGGCGAGGCAAGAAAGAAACCAGAATTTGAACTCTTTCCTGACGGTCGGCCGGATGTAAACGCCTCTATTTCAGATCACGATGGAAGGAGGGTGGTACGTTCTGGAGATCTTGTTGCGACTGCCCAACAGAATCTTGACAAGTTCGAGATGAGGTTCACGACAGCGTCTGGAGAAAAGCGTATCACGGCACTTCGTGACCGGAGTATTGGTTTTGCATATTCCCCACCACCAGGCAATATGAAGGAAACCGAAAGCATCTCGGCCATTGATCATTTCGTGTTTACACAAACGGATCTTGCCGTTGGCGAGTCTGTCCACGGTCTAGGAGAAAGGTTTGGCGCATTCAACAAAGTGGGTCAGTATGTCAAGTTATGGAACGAGGATGGGTAGGTCCTGAAATTAGCTTTGTCATCCTTAGACTTGAAGCTGAACATAACACAGAGGTACTTCTTCGGAGCAAGCTTACAAGAATATTCCGTTCTGGCTTAGCTCACGTGGGTATGGCATCTTCATTGACACCCCTGATCTTGTCGACCTCGAAATTGGTAGCGAAAGATCATGCCGGGTGCAGACCGTGGTCAAATCTCAGCGACTCAAATGGTACTTGATCTACGGACCGACGCCAAAAGAAGTTCTTACCCGATACTCGATCTTGACGGGAAAATCCCCTCTGCCTCCAGCTTGGTCATTTGGCCTATGGCTCACCACGTCATTCACGACCAGCTATGATGAGAAGACCGTGGGCCAATTCCTCCAAGGCATGCGAGATAGAGACGTTGCCCTCGAGGTTTTCCACTATGATTGTTTCTGGATGCGAGCGTTCCATTGGTGCGATTTTTCCTTTTCTGAGGAACATTTTCCTGATCCAGCAGGCTCTATCAACCGCCTGAAAAATGCTGGACTTATGAAGAAGGTTTGCGTTTGGATAAATCCATATCTTGGTCAAGCTTCCCCTTTGTTTGATTATGCTGTGGAGAAAGGTTACCTTCTGAGGCGTACAAATGGAGATATTTGGCAATGGGATCTATGGCAGGCAGGAATGGCTATTATCGATTTCACGAATCCTGATGCCTGTACATGGTATGTCTCGTGCCTGAACAAGTTGTTTGATATGGGCGTAGACTGCCTCAAAACCGACTTTGGTGAGCGTATTCCCACAAAAGATGTGGCGTGGCATAACAGAGGGATGGATCCAGCCCGTATGCATAACTTTTATGCCTTCATGTTTAACAAACTCTGCTATAATGCAATAAAGGATAGAAAAGGAGAGAACGAAGCACTTCTCTTTGCCCGGTCGGCGACGGCTGGCACTCAACGATTCCCATTGTGCTGGGGAGGAGATTGCGAGTCCAGCCCAGAGGCTCTTGCTGAATCGATACGTGGGGGCTTGAGTCTTGGCCTCTCAGGCTTTAGTTTTTGGAGCTGTGACATTGGTGGCTTTGAGGGGAACCCTGAACCGTGGATCTACAAGCGTTGGGTTGCTTTTGGGCTGCTTTGCTCTCACTCACGCCTACATGGAAGCAATTCTTACCGAGTGCCTTGGCTCATCGACGGAGATGCTGAAGGTCCACAGAGTGCTACAGGCGTTGTCCGTGGTTTTGTAAAACTGAAGAGAAGGCTCATGCCTTATATCTATGCGCAAGCGAAGGAGGCCGCAGAAAACGGGTGGCCGTCCAGTCTGCGTGCCATATGTCTCGAGTTTCCCGATGATCCTACGTGCTGGTTCCTCGATCGCCAATTCATGTTCGGTAGCCAGCTGCTTGTGGCTCCAGTTTTCACTGAGAACGGGGAAGTTGACATCTACTTGCCGCCAGGCAAGTGGTATAGTCACTGGACCGGAGAAGAAGTAAAAGGTCCAGGATGGAGACACGAACGCCATGCGTTTGACACACTCCCATTATATTGGCGAGAAGGAACCGTGCTCTTGCTTGGCAATGATGGCACTGCTGGTGACAGCTTTGACTATGACTGGTTTTCCAGTTCTGGAGAGATTCGACAATACGGCACTAAACCCGGAGATGCTGCAACAATGATTGATAGCAGCGGTAAAGAACGTGGTAAGATTGTCATTGGCGCGGATGGTAAAATTCTGGGAGGAGACTCTTTGAGCGAGAGATGGTCTCGTTAAATGTTGCCTGAGCATTTCTTCCAGCCTACACTTCCAATTTGCCTCTAGCAACTTCACGAAAATGTCACCTAGTCTTCAAGCCAAAGGCTTCCCATAATTCTTTGCCTATCAAGTTTCAAGGAATTGCTCACTGTCATCATATTGCCTTCCTGCTAAACTGGATATATGATCTGCGAATAGCTCTGTAACCCCTCACTTAGTTCTCATACGAGATGATAACACAATCAACCTCCTTATGTGACCATTGCTTAAGCAGCTTCAGTTTCAGGGGCCTTTGCTTCTTGCTCTTCCACATGAGTCGAGACGGACTTCTCTTTAATCCCAGTAAGATCCTGTGGTAATGTGCCCAATGCACGCTCCCCAAAGAGTAGATCGATCTCTTCCAAGCTGAGCTTCTTAGTCTCCTTGAATGCAAACCAAATTGTAGGAAACGTGACAAGGATGTTGAAGGCCGCAAAGATGAAGTAGAACTTGAACTTGATACGTCCAAGAGCCTATTCTGTGTTAGTAGCGGCCCGTAAGAATCAAGCCCAGTACCAACCTTTGGTGAGATTTGTGCCCAAAACGTGCTGACTAGCCAATTACCGATACCAGTGGCAAAGGCGCTTCCCTTGGCTCGGATAGGCATTGGCATGACTTCCGACATATAAACCCAAGAGACTGGCCCGAAGGATAGAGAGAATATAACACTCACGAGGAACAAGAAGGCGATTGCAGTGTACTGTAGTCCATCGTTGTGTACCCCTGGCTTGACTCGAGAGCCAAGACCTGCTTCAATAAAGAGTGCAATCGTGATTCCAACTGTTCCAAAGAGAAGCGGCTTCTTGCGGCCAACGCGATCAAGAATGAATAGGATAAAAATAAAGTTGGTCAGCGGCCCAACACAGTTGTAGATACCTGTTACCAAGAGGTTGCGATGTCCTGTAATTCCGAGGTTCTCGTACATGATCGTCTGGTAGTAGCCGATGACATTGATTCCGCTCATCTGCGTAAAAACCTGGACCAGAGTAGCCTGGATAAGACGAGAGCGCCACTGAGGAACCGTGAACATTGGTTTCCATCCTGGAGCGGTGATCTGCTTTTCAGCTTCAATCGTGGTTTTGATCTCATGGTATTCACGCTGTATCCAATCATCGTTGCTCCCATTATAATGCAATCGACGCAGCTAACACTATCAGCTTTCCTGACTTGTCACAGAAGAACATACTCACCACACGCATGGCTTCATCACCCCTGTCATTCTCTATCAGCTGTCTTGGAGACTCGGGGAAAAACAGAAGCCCCAAGATAATGATGATGCAGGGCACGACCTGGAAGGCGAGCGGAAATCTCCAACTGAACGAGCTAGTACTAGGCACATGCGCAGAACCATATCCAACCCAGGTTGAGACAATAAAACCAACACCAATCATCTGCTGTGTGATACCGACCATCAATCCTGGACAGACGGGCACACGTTAATTAAAACGTCGCTTCTTCCATCTACTCACACGTACCTCTTACTTTTGGGTGCGCACACTCAGATTGATAGATAGGTACGCTCATCGACATCAAGCCCACCGCCCATCCCGTAAATATTCTTCCCACTAGGATCATCGCAAGATTTTGCGCGGCAGCTTGCAAAACGGCCCCGATCAAGCATATTATGGCGCCAATCTGAACCGTGTAGCGCCGCCCGACTTTGTCCATTGTCCACCCGCCCATCAGCGAGCCGAAGACCGCCCCGCCTGAGAAGACGGAATTGATGGCGCCAATGATTGAGCTTGTCGGGTCGGTGTTGAAAAAGCTCAGGAAGTTGGGCGACTGTATAACGTCTGTCATGACACCTGAGTCATAGCCGAACAGGAAGGAACCTGTCGCCGCAAAGACGCAAAGAGCGGCGTTGAACCAGACACCCATGGTTGCGGCTGTCTTGACAGATATCACGCTGTGGTTGCTTTGCTACAACACTGTTGGGACGAAGCGGGCTAAATAGTTTTTGGGTGACATCTGAAGGAACGGGCGTTCTGTCCTCGTCTCGCCATCGTCCCTCCCAAGCTTTTTTTTTACGCATCTCGCGTAGGCAGGATGTCTCCAATCAGTCGACTATTTTTGTGTTCGTTAACCCCAGATTTTCATAGCTACCCCAGGTTTGACTGGTGAGAACAGGGATGACGGAGCATTTTGACCCGAACAAACCCTACTGTTTCTCCGAACCCATGTATGCTGACTGCGGTGTGAGCAAAGCCGATTGCAAACCATCACTCCACAACATGTCTATTCTCGCTACCACGCATTGGAGGAATGGAGCCGCGTGATGCTCCTCGGCTTTGTTCCGCGAATAGTATGCTGAGTTTGAAAGCATGAAAAAACGAAGTAACCTTGCGGCGAAACCCAGTCCACTTTTCTTGGCTGTTAATTGGACGTAGGAAGATCTGTACTATGTTACCGAATCGATCTCATCCCATTCCACTTATATGACGTCTTCTTGATCCGCTTCCTGCTTCGCTCTGCGGATGTATTTTACATTACCAGAACACCCCGAAATCGCACCTTGCCCTGAACCATGTGATCCATGGCTTCTTGGATCTGATCCATCCTGAACTTTTCGATCATGCATTTGACGCCCTGGACCCTAGCAAACTCAATAGCCTCCTCACTGTCAAGGGCATGCCCCGAGGGCCAGCCATGGACAGATCTTCCTCCCAGAACCAATGGAAGACTGTTGATGCTAACATCGCCAGCAGCTGGAGGAAATGACAATTAGCTTCGATAAAAAATGATTGCGATACAGCACGTACGAGCGAGAATCAGCAATTTTCCCAACGGCGCTAGCCCATTGACGAGAGCTGACATGACCTTTGCGTTAGGAGCTGTCACGACAATCAAATCTGCACCTCCAAGCTTCTGTAGCTCTTGGGCCGTGTCGGCTTGACTTCCGTCAATGTAATCGGTCGCGCCGAGCTTGGTAGCAAATTCCTTCTTGCTGGAGTCCCGTGAAAGTGCTACGGTCCGGTATCCCATCTTCCGCGAGTATTGGAGTGCCAGATGCCCAAGACCACCAAGGCCTTGAATGGCGACCACGCCTCCGGGGACGATTTTCATCTGCCTTATGCCGTTGAAAACAGTCACGCCGGCACAAAGCAGGGGCGCGACTTCTGCAGCGTCCATGTCCGTAGGAATCCGTACGCCGGCCTCAGAGCGAAGGGTGCAGTACTCGGAGTCTTGATCTGATCAGCACATGCCACGATTCGGACCAGGAAAGAACTCACAACCGCCGTCCCTTGTCACACCGTTCACAGCGGCATTCTGGCAGGTTTGGAAGAGACCTCGATTGCAGCTCTTGCACGAGCCGTCGTGTCCTCCATGCCAGCCACCGCCAACACGATCGCCTTCCTTCCACCGTTTCTCACCGGGCCCGACGGCGACCACATGCCCAATCACTTCGTGACCTGGAATCAGGTCCTTCTTGGACAGCGGCCCAAACTCTCCGCTGACAAGGCCATAGTCGCTATGGCAAATACCACATGCCTCAACCTTGACAAGAATCTCGCCTTCTTTGGGTGGCGATATTGGGACGTCCTTGATTTCGAGCTTCGCCTTGACTTCTGGGGCGACAATGGCCTTGCAAGATGTCGGGATACTGGAAGCCATTGCAGTATGTGCTACCACGGGATGCCGTTTGAGTTTTGAGCCTGAAGTTGACTTGGGTCTACGGAGTAGATTACGTGGGGCGTGTTGGACGTTACGCAGAAGGATGTATATTGATCATGTAATGTAAACCTGAGCTCGTTCTCGGGACCGAAACAAGACGTGAAGAGAAAGAGCTGTCTAAAGCGTGGTCCGAACGTGTCGTCGTTGGACGGAGATGGAGCAGTTTATATACAGAGTTTCTAAGACTACCAACACTAACATCCTGATTGGGAACAACGTGCGAAACTCCGTGTCTACACGATGTTTAGCCTTTCCGTTCACGATTAAGATGGCCAATGATCTGCTCCACCCTTGGGACGATAGCACGGTGTTGTCGAATCAGCTAATGATGTAATCATAGCCCCTCATTAAAGCTGGCGTTTGAGTGGGACGGCACCGCAGTTAGCTTTATCTTCACTCCGACACTCCTTTTGGTTAGCATACTGCCCTCTGAAGAATCCATTACATCGGCTGGACGTAGCGAAGAGAAGTTTAACTCCTGGTAGCAAGGGTTGCTACCTAGCTTGGATTTTTGTGTACTTTTTTCTGTTGTGTAACTCACAACACTCTGCTCGCCACATCGGACCCGATGAGTTCTTTCCGGCTACTTTTACAGTTCCCTGGGGCAAAACTTCTTTTGAGCAGGCTTGAAAATAGTTGTGCGGTGAATTTTTTTTTCAATATGTATTAAAGTGGAGATCGAATATCTGGTGGCATTTATGAAGTCCTGTGAGGTTTTGTGATGAATTTGAAAAATGAGCATTATCATTTGTCTAGGGTATCAATAGTGCTATTTGAAATTCAGAACGCCGCCAGTAGATGCACACTGTTCACCTATCCCACGTTCCTCCATAGTACATGGCAACGTAACTGATTCCGCATATTACCATGGCAATACCGGCGTAACTCGGCAATTCAAACCAACGCTGATGTGAGGCAGTAACGGGAGCTGGCACACTTGGTGATGATGACGATGATGTGTTTGCAGCTGGGGCCGTTTTTTGAGGCTGATAACTTAGATCAGCTGCTTCGACTGAAGCATCATCATGGCCGGCAGGCTGCGCGTCGAAAGTAGGTGGCATTTGAGGAGCAGTACTAGCAGAAATTGCAAGATCCAGTTCTGAGACCAGGGCCTCAACGCGGGAAAACACGGCCTGCGCTTCTGAAACAATCTCCAATTCTTGCTCTACGGATAACAGCGGCTCAAGCTCGCGTAGTCTTTGCTTGAATTCTGCCCGTAGCTCCTCACCATCATTTGGGCCTGGGAAGAACCACAGGCTCAGACCCTTCGCTTCAAAGGACCTGAGCTCGTCCACAGTCTTGGGCTGTTTTGATCTCGACTTCGATTCCGTGCCGGCCTTGGTTGACGAAGAAGACAAGCGTGCCACGGGTGACCTCCAATTCCAACCCGATGACTTCTTCTCTGCTTGACTTGATGTCTCGGTAGCGGCCGGGCTTTCATGCCGACCAAGCCAGAAATCCTCGCCAGCATCGCAAAGTAAGCTTCGGATGTAACGTCCACCTGAGAACACGGCCAGATACATGGTCCACGCGTATGCGATGAGCAAGTGTGGTTTTGAGCGGACTTGACTGTCAACATGTGCCTTAATTGCATCTGCCGCCGCGCATCGTGCATCGTCCTCTGGTATACCACAAACACAGCGAAGGTACTCAAGGTCGTTCTTCAGCCTTGAGCTTCGCGCTATCCCCATGGGTCTTAGAGTGCGCAAGGCAGAGATGAGCGGATCGTCGACGCCTCGCGATTGTGAAAGAGGGTGTGGGTATGTCTCCAGGCTATCCCAGGTGTTCTCGAGACTGGGCACCTGGCTCAGACTGGTAATATCATCCCATACCGACTCGAAGGCCAAAAATATCTCTGCGATCTGTGTGATGCCGATCAGGTAGGCGTCTGGTTGCGCAGCATGAGGCGGAAGGCACAAAGGGAGGCGAGAAGAGATCAAGCGGTTCAAGGCAGTGTGTTGATGTCTGTAGTCCTTGTCAGCAGAATGTCTAGGGTCTCCAAGCTCGAGATACCGTACTTCGTGGCATTGTTGATCAGTTCTGAAAGTGGCGCAGAAGGCGCCAGAGAGGGAATCTCAGCGCCAGAAGGCATCTTGAGCAAAGCACAGCAAAGCACGAAGAAGCAGGCTATGTGATCTACACGAGGGGAAAAGAGATAGTGGGAAGTGAGCAGGAGGGATGGCTTTTATGGACGTATCTGGGGAATGACTGGTTGCACGCGCCAAGGGATACTGAGCCTTTGTACCAGTTGTGACGCCATGTCTGAGGCCACATTCATCACGGGACAGACACAGGCGGCCGCATCTACCGAGCCATTGTTTGTCTGCCTAAACTTCTAGATGGTTATGGAGGCAGCAGGTAGCATGCGCAATCTTCAAAGTCGTGATGCGAATGATGCTTGCTCTGGCAGGCGGCCCGAGTCACCCGGTGCTGTGCTGCGGTCAGGCCCAAGACGTGAACCTTGCGCACGTGAGCTACAGTGCATCAGAGGTCCTGCTCAAGCCTTCAACATCGTTCTTGGATCGCCAGGACCGCCTGTGCTCTTCCTGAATAGCTGGGGGATCGCCTGTCCTCGTCTACTTGGCTCGTATCACGCAGGATGCGGACCTCGTTCTCACTAGAGAGGACGCAGGCGGACGTTTGGTGGGCGCGTTCCTTCTCGGAGCAGGTTGCCTCTGGGTATCACAAAGATTCTGGACAAAGAGCTTTTGTTCGCTTTATGACAGATCGCTGGGTTCAAGGCCGATACGGGTTCCCCAAGCTGATGCACCACTGCATCAAGCCTGAAGTCCATGTCGTGGTAAGCTTCTTGGGTATTCTTGGGGATCACGATCAATCATGGTGTTTTCAGACGGTGCGCAAGAAGAATGACAATGCGTTTATCTTGACTGATGAGTTTGACTCATGTACATATCCTTGTCGGGTTGTCTCTTCTTCACTAACCCTCATCAGAGTCAAACCGTCTTCTTCAGTGATGACAATGCCAGGACGCATAGGTTAGTCTGCCTGACCGTATAAGTTCTGCAGTCAGCTGTCCGGTGACAACCAACTGAACGATGGCACCAATGGCAGACCCGCTCGCCCATCGCTTCGGATGTGCAATCTACAAATTGGATCTCCGTTGAACGCTGCAAGAATCTCGCGCCGATGATCCTGCACACTGCGCCGCTTCTTCGTTTTCCAGCCGTACGTTAGTGCCCAGCGTGCATTGGCTGAGCAACGCAAGCACGAACAGGAAGACGTTTGCGACCTCTGCCGATCTCGATTCAGCGTCACCGGAAAGGTTTCCCTTCGAACCAGGCGTGCGCACTCTGTACCCAGCTCACAGTCGCATCCACGGAAACGCCTGTCCCACGCCCCTATGACATTGTGATCGGACGCAAAAGTTTCTCCCGGACTGCGTCAGCGGTTGGTCTACCACAGACGTTCTCAAGTCTGGTAGATCTTCACGGTGCATGAGATCTGCCAATCACGGCTTGCCATTTTCCTCACATCTCGCATCGTGCATCGCCCTCAGCTACGCCTCTCGTCCGTCCAAGCTCCCAATAGCTCGTGCACGCCATTTTCCGTAGCCTTGCAGATTTCTTGTCCTTTACCCACCTTCGAAAACGGTCAGCGGGACGGCCCTTAAAAATCCTTCGCCAGCAAGCATGGACGGGGATCCAGGTTGGAACATTCCCTCAACTTTGTGCTCCATCCTATTGGCCCGCCCTGCCCAGCGTGCTTTGTTTTTTGCTTCAAGAAGGTGTTGAAGCAGCTACTAGACATCGACTTTTAACTTGGCCCCGTTGGGCCTATCCTGCACGATGGCTCGAGATGAAGCTCCCGAAGGAGAATTCTCGATATGGAAACCTATCAAGAAGAGCATATGGACACTATCTGGGGGTTATTACGCCGCAACTTATATCCCAGACAGCCATGGTTTGCCGCCTCCTGTGAAGCGATTTACACGCCCCTAATCACCGACAGATCCTCTTGGAGCTGCTGTTGCCGAAACAGTCCGTCACGGACCGTTCTTCCTCATGATTCGCGACATTTGGGTGTGCATCACCATGTTCACACTGTTCCCAGGCGTCGTAACGCCCTTCTGGAGTTCAAGCCCGGACGACGAGTTCTACATGGGCTCATACAGAAATGTCGCTGGTGTCTGCTTGCTAGGCTTTGCTAGTTGCTTTGGCGTTCTTCTAGTAATCGTTTGCATCCCATTGTTCATGTTCCTTCCAGGTCCTGTCAGCGCGCTGGTGTTTGTTACCGGTCAAGTTCTCTTACATCTCCTCTGCTTCCCACTTCAAGGCCCTTCGCAAGTGTGGTCGAAACGACCTGAGGACTCAGAGACAATCCAGAAGCATGCACGCAATGCCAACGAAAGATGGTTCTTCCTAAATGGATGTTGCGTGTCCGGCTATAATCTGCAGCAAAACGTAGACTTGTTGTCCCGCACCTTTGGAAGACCTGTCTTCGCCATCCACAACCGTACGTACGGCGTGTTGGGTGATCTTTTTGAATGCATTTTGCAAAGGTCCTTCAACCTGTTCACCGAGGAGACCCGCGTGTGTTATGAGTATGTCAAAGCGTACTGCACAGACCCAGAGGTCAAAAAGGTGGTCTTGATTGCACATTCGCAGGGCTGCATTATGGCCAGTCAAATCTTGGACCAGCTTTACGTGGATATACCGGCGTCAGCGGTGTCGAAGCTCGAGGTAAGCATGGCCTAAAAGCTCAGAATGAGGATTGCAGCTTAAAAGAAATTCTCCGTTGTGTTAGGTATATACATTTGGCAATGCCGCTTCCCACTTCAATAACCCCCTGCGTACCATGTCACAAACGCCAACGATCGACGCCCGCGACGCGATGGACGGCCTCTTTTTACCAACAAAGGAAACAGGCACGAAGCCTAAAGTGAAGGAAGTGCTACCCGAGCGGATCATCCCCTATATCGAGCACTACTGCAACAGCGAAGACATGGTGACCCGTTGGGGAGCGCTCTATTCCGCAAAACAAATCCTGCAGAACCGCTTCTGCGGACACATCTTCATCAACGACGGACAGAGCGGTCACATGCTCAACCAGCACTACCTGTCGAAGATGTTCCCGATACCCGAAAAGCGTGAAAAGATGGTCAACGGTGTTGACGAGGAGAACGGGGCTGTAAATGGGCGCGTTACGGGTCAAGTTCCCTTCCTTGACCGTGTCATTCGACTCGACACCGCGACTGTCACGCAGCGCAAACAGCAGGCTGTGCACCAGCTCGCGATCATGCGCCATGACTCCGCGCTGCAGGACTATGACGACCACTCGCACTCAGCGCTCAAATCGGCGGTGAACGACATCCACTGTTCCATGTCCGCATCGGGCATCACTGAGCAGGACTTGGATGAGAAGCTCAACCTCAGGCTAGGAGAGGGGAAAATGTTGACAAGCAAGGACTTGAGCGGTGCGGAGGGCAGTCGGATCAGCGTGGTACACAATCATACGTATGATGACGTCCCGTCTGGAAGGACTGTGAGGCAGCTGAGCCGGCTGTGGAGGTACATGGACGGGGCGGATCCAGACAGCAGACACTGGGTCAAGTGACTTGCGCGCCCTCGTCACCAGAGAATCTGAACGCGTATGATCAAGAAAATGACGAGCCGCTCAACCCAACCCCCCCCCCCCCCCCCCCCCCCCCCCCCCCCCCCCCTTTTCCCCCCGCGACGTGCTCGACAAACAATTGTTCCCACTGAAGAAATCCAAGGGGAGAATACCATATTCCAATAACACTCCAGTAGTGATAAAATCAAATGTTTCTCATGATTCATTCTCTTCTATCTGTGGATATCTGGCAATCGAATCCGCCCCAACCGCCCTCTTTGCAAGCCCTGTAGAAGAAAGAAACGCCCGTCGCTATGCAAGTAGTAAAGAGTGATCGAAATACGATAGAGTACAGAGACGACGTCGTCAGCGGAGCCCCGCCCGTCGTCAAAGGAAGAGCCTCGTGGCCATGCGTGCCAGCAGGAGGACCAGCAACGCGCTCACGACCCATATCGCCGCGTCCAACTTTATGTCTTCGGCGTCGCTGTGTGCTCGCTGTACGGCTGCCTGGCTCGGGTTTTGCACCGCAGCCCGCGCCGTGACGCCGCCTGGGGCGCTGGCGTCCGCAGTCCGGACGGGCTGCTGCGCGGGCGTCGCCAGGGCCGCTTGCGCTTCCTTGCCTTCGGCTTCGGCGCCGTCGCTTTTCTCCCGTGGCTTGAGGTCTTCTTTGTACACGAGTCTCAGCTCCTCCGGCACGTTGTCGTTCCTCCTGTCGCCGTCGTCCTTGTCGTCGTCGTCCCGTTTCGCGTCACGGGCCTCTTCGTTCTGCTTCGCGAGCAGCTCCTGCTCGTCCAGGATCGCCTTGTTGCTTCGCCCGCACACCTGACACGTGAACGACCTGCTGGTCTCGGCCAGCCTCCTTCGCGTCGCGTCGTCGCTCTCGACGCCGCCGACCTGGCCTTTGGCCGGCGCGTCCATGTGGCTCCTCAGCGCCAGAATCGCAGTCCTGATCCCCCATGCCGGCTGCCACGTCTCCTCGTGGAAGCCCGAGATGCTCAGGCAGATCTCGCGGTTGCACTCGAAGCGCCCGCTCGGCGTCAGGAAGCGGAACGAGGGCGGTCGCAGCGGATACTGCGGGGGGAGCGTGATGCGGCCGTGATAGATGCCCGCGCTGAAGGGCGAGTCGGCGGGCCCCCGGAGCGTGAAGTGCCACTCGAACAGGTCCGAATCGAGCGGCGCCGCGTGGTAGTCTGGAGAGGGGTTGGAAGTCAGCTCGGCGGCTTCGCGCACTGCGCTCCCCCCCGACGGAAGTCAGCGAACGTTCGGGACACACCAGGCATCGTGAGCGTGCTTACTTATGCGCTTGATCGTGGGCGACTTCTTATTCAGCCCCGTCGCTGCCATGGTGGTGGGCGGATGGGACAAGACGTCAGGTTGTGTTCGACGCGCTGAGGCGCTTGCAGAGCGCGGAGCAAGGCAGCAGTGAAAACCTGTGTGCTCGGAGAGACGAGTTGGTGAGGATCAGATCAAATCAAGATAGGGATAACTCGTGGCGTTCTCGAGATGGCATTCGTCATCAACGTCTTCCGGTTTCGAAATGTGGACAGGTAGACGAGCCACTGCTCAAGACTGCCCACCACTGGCTCATGAGCTCTGCGCGTGGTGAAACGCAAAGTCAACGCAGCTGCCGTTGCGAAACGTGGCAAATGTCTATGAATTCACACGAAACATCAATAATTTCCAAACGGAAATCCCAACCCTCATTGCTCACTGTTAATTCGAGACCATTATGCCGGGAGTCTCTCTCAATAGTTAAGTTAGTGCGAATGCACGACAGGACTGGCGTATGGAGAATACTGATCACGTGCACTCGCCGCTCAGCATCCAGGTGTCGACGAGTCAATGCGTCAACGTGACAACAACTCAATGTCGAAGAGTGTCTCCAACTTGCCATAGTAGAGCAAATACATGGATGCCAACATCCACAAGCGTGCCGGACGGAGATACACAGGACTCCACCGACGCTGAAGGTTAAAGGCCTTTGAATATGCAAGTTCAGGCTGCGACCTGCCAATGTGAGTAGAGAGGAGCACCCGCGAATGAACACGACATTCCTGCCACTTGCTCGCCAGCTCCCAAAGAGATTCCTTAAAGCGGCGACCCGCAGGCATCGTGAGAGATATAATGGTCAAGCTCTCGCTACTCTCTCCCTCGAGCTCTCCCCGCACCAGGACACGCATTCTTCATCTTTGTTCAACACTCAGCTTCTGCCGCCGCTTTAACTCCACGGCTTGGTTCGCATTTGCCTTGCCACGTCACGATGGATTTCGACCACTCAGACATGAGCGCCTTGAGCGCCTTCAACCCTTTTTTCGAACTTCCGGGGCCTGCGGACCAATTGCTCAACTTGCCCGTGCCTGATGCGGAGGCTGTCTTCGCAGATGCAGGGTGAGTGGCCAAAAAAAAAAGTTACTGACTGCAAAAAAGGGTATCTGGCTGGCATGGCTGCCACCTGTCTGAGCCTTCGCCTTCGAGTATGTGTGGCCGGTGGACTGCTGGTTTGTCTTCCGATCAGACTTCTGGTTTTGGCAACAACCATGATCCGAGCCCGTCACCAACAGCGGGTCTGCACAAAGGAAGCTGCGACTGTCGATATCCTTTCTGTGGACAGCGTTTTAGTCTACGAGATGATTTAGAAGCTCATTTCTGCGCCGCGCATCCCTGTCAAGAATGTGGGCTCAGTTGCAGCTCGATTTCCGACCTTGATCATCACGTTGGGGGTTCTGGACATACCTGCTATGTTTGCCCATACGATGGATGTTCCAAGGTATATAGTGCACACACGAGCCTTTTGCGGCATGTCAAGACACAGCACGAGGATCTTCCAGGGTTCCCATGCATTTACTGCAAGAAATATCGAGGAAAGGACGCATTCAAGCGAAAAGACCATCTTGCACAGCATTTACGCAACTACCATCATATAGGAGAGAAGGAATCCGGGGCCAGACTTTCGTGTCCTCATGATGGATGCGACAAGTTCCGCGCCGATGCTTTCAAAACTTTTGGTAATACATGGTCTCCCAGGTGGAACTTCCATCACACCATGACGCGAAAGGAGTTTATGGCGCACATGCGAAAGGTGCACTCAGAATCTCCCTTCCAGTGTTCTGTGGCTGGCTGCAATCGGCGCGGCGGCAAAGGTTACTTTCGATTTCGTGATCTCGACAAACATCGGCGGAAGGATCATCCGGACCTCTTCACTGAGCCGGCAGACAATGACGAAGCGCGTCTACAGTCCACACCGTTTTACTTCCATTCTTTTCTACCGTTTCAACCTTAATTCGGTCTGTCCTACACTTTGAAGACCATAATCGCGTCTTTTTCTCCTTAGCCCCAACTTCAACGTGCTCCAACAGCAATGCTAAGCCCCATCTTCAACGTGCTTCAACAGCAGTACTAAGATGGTTTGTATTTTCGGTCTTATTTGCTCTCCGTCTTAACTATTAATTTCTTTGCCCAAACTAGAAAAAGATGAAAAAGAAACCGCATAAATGCCAGTAACGAATGTACGACACTTGTCTTATTTAGCCAGAATGAATACAACTGTCTCTTTTTCGGTTCGTAAATAAGTCGCTCGCCAGGAACCAACATCGTGCACACGAAAAGTTGTTCGACATACAGTACACAAGGCCTAGTTATACACCGCTATGATTACATGCTGCCCTCTTCAGACGCCCCTGCTGGAGAGTGCATACCTCTTCTCCCACTCCATCTCCGCCACCTCGGCAGCGGGAGGCAACCATCTGGGCTCGTTCCTGTAGTGCCTGTGCACATGCGCGTCCACTCCTCCCCTGTCGAACATGCCCATGTTTTCTTTGCCTGTCCATCCTTTGATCTTGCGGGTTCGTCCTTTGCGAGACGCGGTCCCCTCGCCGCTGCCCTTGCCGCCAGACGAGGAAGACTTGAGAGCTTTCAGCAGAGCCGTGGCTTTAATCGGCTTGCCGGCGTCCTGCTTGGCTTTAATGATGGCCTTGAGCTCGTCATCTGAAGAGGTGATTTGCGCACGCAAGTAGAGGAGGTCCGAGTTCGCTTCTAGCTCTTTGATGACAGGTTCGCGGGGCTCGTAGTGCCACTTCTCAAGCTGCAGCGCCTTGCTCGTTTCTGCATCCACATTGAGACGTGCGTTCTCGCCCTTTGCAAGCAAGGCTTGAATATCCAGACTCTCGCCAGGCGGGATGGCAACAGGGTGTGATGGAGTGATACATTCCATATCAACCTCCTTCCTGAGCACTTTGTCCACATCCACGGCTGAAAAAAAGGCGCAGCTTTGTGGCAGATCCTCGATGCCGAGCTGCTGTGCGAAAATGGCACGGGTCCACAGATTAGAGATTTGTAACGCCATGGCGATTCGATACTTGTCCTCCTCTCTGCAGAGATATCGGATTTCGTCGTGGACTGTGATTGCCAGGCGAGCGCTAAGTCCGCAGACACGAATGAGATAGTCCATGGCAATGATAAGGAGATGCAGGTAATCCACGCCAGAAGACTGAATGGCCCAATTGATCCTGCTCGTCAGAAAACCGCCGCGCGAGATATTCTTCCTCTGCAAGGCTTCTGTGATTCCTGCACCGAGAACGGGCGTTCGAGGTCGTGGCTGCTCGGCAAAGTCTTCCAACCTGTTAAAGACCAAGGATTCGGTGCCGCCTCGCCAAAACGATCGTTCGTGCAACGCCCGTCTCATCGTCTTTCGCCCCTTTGTGTCTCGGTACAACCGTTCTGCCGTGCTCAGTGCCTCTGCCTCCTTCAATCCGGGGTTGAACTGCCTCAACAGCTGAGTCGCAAACTTCTGTCCCGCACCATATATGCGTCCATAATTAAAGACTTTAGCGTCGTTTCTCGAAATACCTAGGATGGAGGCGGTACGCGAGTGTAAATCCGTGCCGAGAGATTTGCTACCCTCTAGTGTCATAAATCCAATTGCGCTACCGCCGTGTATCTTAAATTGAGCATCGCCGAGAAGGGAGGCAATCCAAAGTTCCTGGCTGTCTACATCGGCGCCTACGAAGCAGTAGCCAGGAGGAGCAGTGACCATGCTCTTGAGTTCCGAACCCACGCGATTTGATTTAGCATTCGACGCAGTAAGCCAAGTATTTTCCACTGCGCGACGAGTGATTGTGCCCATCGGTATGATCTGAGGGAGGATGAAACCAAGGCTCGTCTTCGTGCGTCTCTTTTTGGTCTCCTGAGGCTGTTTAACCTCATCGGCATATACAAGCATTTGTCCCATGATCCGGTCGCGTGCAGAAATCCAATAGCTGCAACTGGCGTTCATCTCAAGTGCCTCCTTCGCATATGCGTATTCTGAGCTGAGGACGCCCTTGTCGAAATATGACAAATAGCCCTTAGCGAGCGGGTTCACACAACGTGCTTGAGGACCGTCTTTGTGCGGCAGCTTGAAATAAAGGTTCGCAGTGTCGAATCTCAACTTGGTATTCTGTTCTTCTGACATTTCCACCTCCGTCAATCCCTTCTTATGCAATTCTGCGGCCTTCGAAGCAGGCACTCTGTACGTCCAACCATGGATGTCAGACCACACAAGCGGATAGCCATCCCACGACATGCGGAGAAGTAAGGGCGCAATACGCGTCCGCACGGTGAGATTCATGGGCGAGGTAGCCGTAGGATGCAGATCCTTGAACCACTTTGGCATACCAGGGAGTTTCTGCTTCGCTGCCGGTCTAGGCTTCTTCCCATTCTTCCCACCAACCATCCTAATCTCTTGACCTGACCAATCTAACTGTGCCATCCAGGGATCGCGCTCGTATTCTTCTGGCTTGTCCTTGATTTCCAGGGCTCTGTTCGCCAACTCAACAAGCCGAGCTGTTACCCCATCCGAGAGTTTGTGGTATGTGGCTTCTGCATTCGAAATATACGCTTCCCATGTTTTGTTCACGGGTAGGATTTCAGATGCAATATGTCGGAGCGCTGCAAAGCTCACGGGGTGAGGACATGTCTCTAGAAAGGCAGGAAAGACTTTACGATAAACCCTGTGGGTTATGTCCACATCGGCGGCACAGTAATCCAGCAATTCATCTAGACTTTCCACAATACCGTCGCGATCCATTTCTCCAAAATGCTCTCTTTGCTCCTTGTCGAGCGTAACACCGCAGTGGAAACGAGCAACATCTCGAAGAGAATTGATGCTGCTCTTACCAACCCACAAGTCTTCTTCCTCGTCGGTAAGAGATCCAGACTCCAGCAGTATAGCTAGATCAGCAGAATCGCCCGTTTTGGCAATCTCATCCCTCAAATCGCGGTCTTTACGGTGCTTCATCCAAGTAGGTCTCTGCCGCGAGCACATCCCATTGACAGCCACATGCAGGCTCATTGTGTCAAGGTAGAAGTTGGCGGTCTGCTCCAAAGCATACTCCTCCGCAACACGAGCGCGATCGTAGCCAATATTGTGACCCACAATGATCCTTGGTTTTTTGGGGTCGCCAAGGGGTATGAGATGCCGGTCCGTATCCGACTCGCGTAGCAACCAAGGCGATATCCATGCGTACCATGCAGTGGCGCTGGCAGCGCAGGCCATGCATGCGAAATTGGTCTCTTTCCACATGACTTCCGTATCAAAGGTTAGAACGTCCTCATCCGGCGCGTCAACCGCTTCCGTGCTCCCGTCAGCTAAATACTTTGTCCAGCCGCTTCTTTTGATCCACTTCCGCGGTCGGGGAGGCGTGTTTGCAAAGCTGTATTTTTTTGCCAACGACAGGTACGGCTCTGAAGCATTCATGCCAAGGCGGTAAAAGTGCTCGTCCAATGTAGTTCCTTGTAGCGCGGGGACGTCGAATGCGATAGGGGGGGCATGGTCTGATGTCTTGCCAAGTAAGTCATGTCTCGCAAGATGATCTCGTGATAGGTCGATGAGCTCTTGTGGTGGGGCATTGGATGTCGCACAGCGGAAGACCTGATTGTGAATATGGTCGCTGAGCTGCTGGACGTTTATCTCGTTGAAGCGAGCCTTAGAAGGCACTGTTTGCGCGCTCTGCGTTAGCACTAGCCTTGACGAACGGCATGGAGCCGCAAACGATGGACAGCGAAGAGAAAAAACATACCTGAAAGCGAGCTGCACGTCTTTTCCTCACCATCTCTGCCACTGGTATCCGCAGCGTATCGTCGAACCTGCGCAAGAAGAGCAAAAGGGGGTAGCGTGACCTCCAGGAATGCGCGATGCTTTCGCGACAGACCAGCGATCAGTTTCGCACGTTGAAAGGGCTGCATCTCTGTCGCATCAATGACTGCTGCGAGCGTTCGTCACCTCATCTTCTGCGCTATCGTGACGGAGATGGAAGCAAGACTCGCAGTTCGCAGCTCAGCATAGAAAGGCGAGGAGTAGACGGAGACGAGATGTAGGGAGTAAGATGCCAGCGGAGGTCGCGAATCATTGGCGAGCGTGAAAGTGGAGCTCCGTCCAGCCCTACAAGTACGAGAGCACAAGACGAAGCGCCACCGACGACCGGCGAGCCAAAACTGTGTGGACCCTGCAGTGTGTAGAGTGCTGGTGGCCGACCTCGACCTGCGGAGACGGCGGTGAAGCCGATTCTCTGCTTCTTCCACCAGCTGCTGGTTCGTGGCTCGCTCGATCGTCCTCTCTCCCAGCGGCCATCTCCCACCGTCCGTCTTCCCCTTTCCACAGCAACTCCCTCCCCGCCTCAGGCCCTAAGGGGTGTATATTGTTTGCTCTTCTCTGTGCAGCCAACCATGCCGCCATCGCCAACATTGCCGCCACATGCACTGTCCTTCGTACCTCCCCGTCCACGACTCGTCTCGATAATACGTTCTATAGATCCTTTAGAGGACACAAGCATTGCTGAAGATCCCCCTCGTCCGCCTTCACATCAAGGATCCCTACAGGCCACCAGTTCTTCCAACACGTCGCCCTCCTCGACCTCGGCGGCGCCAGTAGAGTCACATCCTTCATCCCAGTCGCTAGTTTCCAATATGCCGCCACGTAATAGCTCCCGACTATCTGAGAACAAACGTCCTCACAAGCGTTCGGCTTCACAAGCCGTGGATCTAGATGACGAGGAGGCCGATGCTGAGGCTCCTTCTACATCAGCAGCTGGAACCAGCAGAAAGCGGCGCAATATAGATACAGCCCAAAGGCGGAGAGGGTCAGGGCAAGGCGGTCCAAGGAGTCAGGGCGAGCCGATAGTGATTGAGGATCTAGATGACGTTGATGAGGACAGCGAGAAGGATGAGGAGGCTGAGAAGATGAAGGAGACTCTTCAGAGGCAACGAGAAGAGCAAGTCAAAGCAGCACAGGAGTCGGACAAGGAACCGCCAAGGTTGAATAAGCTGCAATGTGTCATATGCATGGACTCCTTCACAGACATGACGGCTACAAGCTGTGGTAAGTTGCCTGCAAACTTGATTCCAACTTTCAAAGAACTCCTCTCTGATAATGCGAATCCTGTAGGCCACATTTTTTGCCACGAATGCCTAATAAGTGCTCTGAAGGCCAGCGAAGCACGGAGGTTCATGGCCACGGGAATACACGGCAAAAAGAGTCAGTGCCCCGTCTGCAGGACGACTCTGAATCGGAGTAAGAAGGGCGATGTTATCCCACTACTGATTATGAAGCAAGGGCTGAAGACACAGCCAAGAAAAATGAAAGACGGGTAAGGAGCACATGTGAAGCTGGAACATAGTTTCCAAAGTGATTAAGACCGTCGAAAATCCACATGGTCGAGAGAACATAGACGTGGGATAACCAGGGTGCTCGAAGTTCGAAAAAGCCAGATTTTCGAATTCTGTAGAGAGCCATGAGAATACTCATGATGCAAATTCGTCAGAGCATCTCATGGTTGCTATACAAGCTTAGGATGGCTTTAAAGTGTGCATGAAACATTTCGAAGAACCCATTTTTAGGAATCTGTCGCAAATTTTTCAAGCAGCTTCCCATGGGACTATTCTACTCTTTATACGCGCGCGTCTGACATGCATCACAGCCGTGAGAGAGAGATGAGGTACATGGCAGATGTTTGCAAGCAGATCTTTAGGCTCATCATGATGTTGTAAATAACGCATTGGCTATCATAAACTACTCTTCAGATTATCAGTATCATGTTGCGACTTCCTTCTGTTCTATCAGGAAGCCCTCAAACCGCTTACGAGCCCATTGCGAGAGCTCTCCGTTACGCAAAGCCTGAAACCATTCTGCTCGTCCGTGCTCTCCCACCATACTCTGGAATAGCTTCATGCGCGCCCGCACGCTGCCGCCAATGAGGTCCGCTGGAAGCATTTCCTTCATCGAGGCGTAGCACAGTGTAGACAAGCGGTCCTCCACATTCTGTATGATCCTCAGGGTACACGGCGCAGTTTCGGATTCGATGGTAATTTCCTTCATGACGACTTGCACGGCGTCGAGGAAAACCTCGGCAGCCGTCTTGCTGTAATCAACAACTATGCCGGCGTCAGAGCTGACGATTGCCATAAGACCGTAGATCTTGTCTCTTGCATCGTAGCATCGATTGTAATGAAGCCGCTGCACGGCTTGAAACAAAGAGGTACTGTTGCGCCCGGTCATGGCCATGCTCAACAGGAAGTCTGCGTGAGGGGGCACGTGGTGCTGTCCAAAATCATGAAATACCTTCCCAGGATTCAAGTCGCGTATCTCTCGCACGTCGTTCACGAACCTTGTCAGATCAGTCCACGAAATCCTGTCGACACCGGTGTAGACGGTGATGTCGTGGGCGAGGATGAGCTCTTGTACGATCCACAGTCTCGACCAGTACTCGTGCTCGAAGAACGTGGCGACTTTGGGGTTCGGTTTAAGGGTGTACAGTGTCTCCCCGGAAAAGGTCGTCTCGGATTTTACCCAATCCTGCAGTTTGCGACCAGGTTGCGAAAGCCACTGGGCTTGCAGTATGAAATTGTGTGCCGTGTTGCTCGACACTCCGAGCCAGACAACAACCATGGACGCTGAATGATATATGTCTGCCATCAGCAACACTTGGTGATTGCGTTCGGATATCGTGCTCTGATCAATGCACAGTTGATCGATCCAGAGATCCCTTGTAAATGCGTCCCAGCGCTTCTCGCTGACTATCTCTAAGAAGTCGAACAGGTTACTACGGACTCGGAAAGGCTTTCCATTAATCATGATTAATTCTGTCTCGTTTGACGAACCCCACGTATAGGATAACGCCCAATAATTGATATCGTCCGCTTCATGATTGTCCAAGTCGACATGGCGAAGCTCTCCTGTCAGAATACCATGTACGGGTGTACCTAGTCGAAATAGCCGTATTTGTCGACGAGATGTATCAAGTGGTTCGTAAGTAAAAGGGGTCGTGTCCTTGTATAGGTTAGAATCTTACAAGGTAGTCACTTGTTCGGCTAATGAACCGGAGGAGGCTTATAGAGGTAGAGATCACGCGCAATTCGATGACATCGCTGCCATGTGCTTCTATCTTTCGTTTCGAGGTCCATTCATTCATTTCTCAGTCGCGAACTCTGCTCTCTAATCTTGGATCTAGCTCATAGCTAGACGATGCCCATTAATATACGACTTGGTAGTGTCTGGCAGGTTCGATGTTTCCGAGATGAAGTGTGGCAGAAGGAGCGTTGAAACGCGACGGAGGAAATTAAACCGTTTTCCAAATTGTTCTTGCTACAAACATCATGAGACGATAAGAAGATAGAAGAAGCGATTGATTCCAATACTTTAACATGCTCAAGAGAGGTGGGATGTTCTTCAGCTGCGCACGGACGCAATTTGATGGTGCTTTGCTAGTTTCCATTACCCATCAACGAACCCTGAACTCCTCAGCACGCCAGTCAGCAAGACAAGCTGGTTGGGGGCTGCAGATTTGAGATACGATTCTCACTCAAGATACACGGCTACGTGTTGCGATCGAATATTGTGTCACTTTAGAAGTGACTCTATGCAGCAACGAACGCAATATTAGACTAGTCAACGCTTCGAAAGCCTCATGCTCTGTAGCCTCATTAATCAGATATGTTGGTCGCCATGGCAATCTAGTTCAGTCTACCGAGGCATATTCATGGATTTTTGGACATTCTGGACGGCAATAACGGAAGTAGGAGATTGAACGAAGAGCTTGGAGCAGCGCTTATGTCCATTTTTCAAAGATCCAACTCATATGACAAATTGTGCACCAGGGAGGACGATTAATACGAAAAGTACTGCAATGATTCATAATCGCGAACAAATCTCGGGTCAAGAGCTTATCCAATTGCGCAACGATAAGACATCCAAGCGCTCGTTTAACAATTGACTCAAGGTCTGGATAGAACGGCTGCTTATGTAAGAGGCCGATTAGCCGACCCCACTTGGCAATGCCATGGGAACACGACTGAGCTTATATATAAATTTCGGCCGCAGTAATCTCCTGCATGTTGGAAATTTCAAAAGTCCAGAATTAGAAATAACGCTGTCAAAAAACTATGCTCACTGTACATCATCTTCAGCGCGGTCAATCTGAACGCATAGTTTGGTTATGTGAAGAGCTGGGGATTCCGTACGAATTGAAAACGTACAAACGCAATCCAAAGACATACAGGTCACCTGACGAGCTTGCCAAATTGTAAGTCCGGGATTTTATCGTTAACAGTATCTTGTACTCATGAGTTAGACATCCTACGGGAGCGGCGCCGGTCATCCAGGACGGCGATGTTTTACTGGCTGAGACTGGGGCAATAACTGAATACATTTTGAACAAATACGGCGAAGGGAAGCTTGTGGTCGGACCCGACGAGCCCAATTATGCCGATTACCTGTATTGGCTTCATTTTGCGAACGGGTACTTCCAGCCCGCGTTGTCCAAATACATGACGGCAGAGCGAGCAGGCGAAGACCCCCAAACTAGCACGAATCCATCCATGTTCTTCATCAGGCGAGGGCGGAATGTGTCCCTCCAGATGCTGGAGGACAGATTGAAAAACAACCAATGGCTGGCGGGGGACAAATTCACGGCTGCTGATATCATGAACGTGTGGTGCTGCACTACAATGAGGTTGTTCGCGCCCTACTCTCTTGAAGGCTACGACGGGATTCTCGCGTGGCTGAAGAGAGTTGGCGAGAGACCTGCATACCGAAGAGCCATGGCGAAGGGAGATCCAGGGCTGGAACCGCTGTTGGGTCCCGAGAAACCAAGTTTTCTGAAGCTGTGAGGTTCTGCACGAGGCGTTTCTTTTTGATCAACGTGGGGGCCTGTTGTCAAAATCTGGCAGAGAATCTGCAGACGGCGTGCGCTACTCTCGACTCTGTTTAGTACGTTTGCGGCTGCAACGCGGTGCTCCGATCGGCCGTAAGGACTACCTAATCTCGCCTCTCAGGCGTTTCGAAATCGATGACTCAAACGTAGCATTTTTCCCGATCTCGATTGTGTCGACTGACTGTGTGCTTTCCTCTCTTTAGTTCTGCTCTACGCGTTCAACAGATTACTTGCGTCTCAAACGGACAAGGTTCTACCATGGACGCGCATCTCTTCAGATCTCAAGATCAAAGAAGCTCTCCTCAAAAGCTAGAATAGTGGACGTACGGAGAGAAGAGCTCACTCGCACCAGCAGAGTGGATCATGGTAGGGCGCGGCAAGTCATCATCCGCCGCTAAATCCAGCGAGACGAGAAAGCGCCCGTTGCTCCAGACCCTTCCAAGACTGCTGGTACAAGTACGAGGTGTGCGGGGGTTTGGTGGGGAATGGAGGCTGCTTTAGTTCTTCCCCTGACGGGTCGGATGCATGGATCGTAGATTTTCTTTTTCGGGCGACTGCACAAAAAAAAACCGACCAGGCAGAGGCTATTGGAGGCTTTCTCGTATTTGCCTACGGCTTTGATATGGTGTGAGAATTTTCTTCACTTTCGAAACGCGTCGGCAGATTGCGGATGCGTGAAGAATGGAAATTTCGACGTCTACGATCACAGTGAGAACGATGTGCCAGGAGATCGCATCAAAGCATGCCATTTCGTATCACGAATAGTGTGACATTCCGATTATGTACAGGTATCCCCACAAGAACATGTTAGAATCAAGGTCAGTGTACTCGTTAGAAGTGGACATCGTGACGAAACGCCCGTTTTTCATCCGTGTTCCCACCTCCCGTATCGCATTCGTGGTATCAAGTAAACACACACCGCATGGTACCAAAAACTACGCCCTCTGTGACCCCAACTTTTTCAGAGCCCAAAATTACCATCCAACCCAGGAAGACCAAAACTATCCACGCTGCTGGGACTCATCTCCGGAATTAAGATACCGTTGTAGCTATCGTTACTTGCGCAATTTGTCAAGTCCGGGAACTCCTCTCCGCTCGTCAAGCTTTCGTCGCTGAAGCTGAGGACGCTCTGAGGAACCGTTGAGGTGTTGTTGATCGCCCACACGTCTGGACTCCAGACGAGATTTGCCTCAGCTGGGGGTAGAACAGAAACGTCTGCGAGTGCTTCGATCGCCGGTCCTCCATAGATGCCATCGTAGATGTTCATTTTGCCGCTATCTAAAGACGACAACAGGCGCTCCCAATCTGCAGGGTTGACGTCCTGTTTTCCAGGTGTTGAAGTTGACGCTGGGTAAGCCGCTGTGACCGAAGTCGAACCTAGGGGCAGAAAGTCTAGATTCGTGGGAAGCTTGGGGACAGAGCTATTCGGTCGTGAAGGTTGCTTTGGCGGGCTCATGCTCGGTTGCTGGAAATCCGGGGACATGGACGGTTCACTCCGGGCTTGGTGCGGCTCCGATCGTATGCTGGACAAACTTGTGCGAGAAATGTTACCGGCTGGAAGGCTAACTACAGGAAGTGTGGCGCGACGATCATCAGGACGAACGTTTTTGGTGCTCGAGCTAAAGCGCGACACAATTGCTCGGAAGTGCTTCTGGGCCGAGCTCATGCTGTCCTGAGCCTGCGGCAGATTGCTGTCGGAATTGTGTCGCGACAGGACTGGTGTTCGTTTCTGCTCAGCGCTTCCCGGCATGTGCTGCATAGTCAGCGCTGTGCTCACGCGCCGAAATTCGACAGACGCCTTGGACGGTCGTCGGTCGAGAAGATGAGCAATGACGGCCGTCAGTCTTTGGTTCTCTTTCAAAAGTGTGCTCCCGCGTTCAAGACCCAGGCTCTGGAATAAGAGGCCAAAGCCTGCGCTGACAAGAAGTTCGTTCTTGTTGAGACAGAACGAGAACGAGAGATTTCGTTCGCTTAGAAGTTGAATGATCTGCACCGTGTGCTTGGAACAAGAAGCGAGAGCAACCTTGGCCGAGCTCGATATGTGGTTTGCTGCTTCGGAAGCACATACTGCAGGCCGATAAATCAAGGATCTTATGTAGTGGTATGCTAAAGACTTTTTGCTCACAGTCAGTGGATAGTCGTCGTTAAACGCTAGTCGGATCAACATACCAAAAGCGGAGAGCGAGAGGATATGATATTCGTACTTGGCTTGTCTTGAACAAACTGAAGACGCAAATGCTGAGGTAGGCTTTTCAACCATTCATCTAGTTCGTCGGAGAGGGCTACAATCGATCGAAATGAAATGGCATATGAGTCTTTCGCTGGATAGAGAGTGGAGATGGCCTTGGCAAGAATACGCGAAACTTTCATAAGGGCCAAAGCACTAGACAGCTTGGTAAATTCGCCTGGCAAGGTTGGTAAAAATCCATCTTCGGTGATGTACTCGTCGTCGGCGTCGACAGGATCTTCACACTGCACGTCTTCGTCCCTCATGGAGCGAGGCAAGCCGAGCTGCGCGGAAGTGAAACTGAGGTGTGTTAGTGCAAAGCTTATCGGCGTTGGAAAACTGAATCTTACCAGTCCAAGGTATACATAGTCCAAAATAGTTTCTTTCTCATTTCGACGGTCAATGTGCCAAGCGCAAATCTCTTTTGTGATAGGTGTAGGCCAAGACGCTGCGACAGGCCCGAAGCGAGGGCCTTGTATTTCAGCATGCCGGAATAGTCACCAGATTGCAGAGACGCAATTTGCGCCAGCAGGAGGCACTGAAGCGTCGTAAGGTCATTCTCCATCACGAAAGATTCCACAGCCGCCTGCCACTGTGCTGTGAAGGATGGAATTTCTTGATGGAAAGGAACATCGCTGGACTGGGCAGCGATTGCGAACACCAAGTTCAGCTGTGCGAGATGCTGTTTGTCCGTCACAGAGTCCGGACTCGATACGTACTCCTCGTAGAGCTTCAAGAACGTAGGCCGATGGAGAATGGGATAAAGAGGAGCCCATTCTTGGAAGAAGATGTTAACCAGCTGATCCGACACCATCCGCGCTGGAGCCTGGAAGCTGACGCTTTGTTGTCTCGCCGTGCTACGAGACGCTTTCGATGGGGAATCGAAGAACGCGCCAACGCTGAACTCAGCAGACGGCTTGCCGAACTCCTGCAGCCTGCTTTTGAATGCCTCGATCATGAGTCTACTGCTGGATGTACCCATAAAGCAGGCTGCTGGGTTGTCGTCAGCTGCCAAAGGCGGCGGTTGTTCAATTTTAAGGACGTCGTCCTTCGCCTCTGGCGAATCCCTTGTTGATTCAGGCGTGGGTATTGTTGCCGCAGACTTCCGTCTCTGACTGGGCTGAGGCGAGTGTGCATGTATCCTCGATAGCATGTCTATTTTCTCGTCCTTCTCGTCCAAGAGTGCCTTGAGTTCCCTCACTTCCGACTCCAGGGATCGCACTCGTTCTTCAAGCGACTCAGTGTAGCCGCGAGGGAACGCACGTCGGGAGAGCTTGTCGCTCGTTTTGCACTCAAACCCGACGTTAACGCATTGTGTGCAGCTTGGGCGGATGCCGTCGCACCGTATCTTCTTCGAACGGCAGCGATCACTACGTGAATAAGTGCTTTGTTATGACGCGCAAGATCTCGATCAACTCACCACGCCTGTGCAATTCTGGTGGTCTGCGCATTCGTGCCCACCTTGATCACTTTCATCGGAAGTATGCCGGGCATGTTGACGGCGTGCGGCTCGATGAGCTATGTGTGCAACAGTTGTATGACCAAAGTAACGTCCCAAAGGACTGAGGAGCCTCCGGCTTTGACGTCGTTCACTTCCTTCGCATCCGGCTTCCTTCGAGAGGAATATGCGCACCAGGAAATCACTGCCTCGGGTGGAACGGGCTGCTCGATCGGTCAGGATTGGGTTGCACGTCGCACGCTCTCCAGGCGAGCGCAGTGTGAATCGAGGCGAGCTCGGCGTCGGGATTCTGTCCGAAGATGGGAAATTCTTGTGAGAGCCGGTGCCGTTGACAGAAGCTCTTGCGGAGAGACGACTTGAACTGAGCGCAAAGTGCTCCGTCGGGTCGAAAACGAAGAGATGAAGGGGCGAGAAACGAGTCGGGGCGTGAGCAAAGACGCAACAACAGGCGTACGACAGAAACGACGGGGGACGCTCTGTTGGGGCACGCGCAATGCAACGAATTTGAGTGATTATACTCCACATGGTTTCCACCTCCCCGACCGTGCGCTCAGCATTAACTAGTAAGGTTCGTCCTGCGGGGGTTCTGAATCGTGGAGGGATGCGTCGAAGCCACTCGCCGTCGTCCGCCAATGACGATCGCGCTTTGCTGAACTTCCGTTCTTCCAGACGTGGTCCCGCCAACCAGCTCGCGGCCGTATCTCGGTGGTGTCGTCCGGAGCATCAGGAGGCCTCGACGAGAATGATACGGGTCAGCGCTTCGTCAGCTGCAGACCGTCGTCTCCTGTCGTGCCGTATTCAACAAAGATTTTCTGCCATTGTGCAGCCATCCTCTCCGCGTGATGCCGGCGCAGACTCTCGTCGACTCCAGCGAGCGGATCCGATGGAAATACACACATTCTGGCCAGCGCTGCTCGCGCCTAATCCATTGGCGGATGCCGGCGGCCAATCAATCCTGCGGCGTGTTTTAATTCCCGTCGGATGGTGCCCATCCAGGCCTCCTCGCGGATTTGCACCCGCACCTCGCTCCCGTCTCGAGCTCGAACTTCGACTCCTGCTGTGGTGTGATCTGTCAACCCCTCATGAGTCTGTGGAGTAAGCAGCGGACAGATCTGGGGAAGAACTGAGGCTTGACATTCGCCCGTTCTCGCCACAGCTGCTGCACGCCCAATCCTGCCAACCGCCAACCTCTCGTTATGCGACAGTGCCGGTACTCAGACCACCTCTGAATTGTCCCAAGGTCCCCATCAAGTGGATCCCGCTCCGACCTCGTCTGTGTTGCGTCGATAATACGAGTATTCGCGTATCTAGCTTACAACGTGCTGATATGGAAGGCGACGTAAAGTCATCATCAGGCGGAGCGGTCCCCAGCCTGCGGTCTATTGCAGAACGGATACGTCACGGATGCTGCGGCCGGCACATCACCGCTTTTGGAGGCGGAGTCAGTGCAAACCGCGTCACGAAGGATCAAATGATCGACTGTAGCTGAGGAGCAGAAAGAGATCTTGGTGTACCCAAAAAGATTTAATTGGGTCGCATGGGGTTGATCCGTACTAGTGGTAAAGTCCCAGCTGTGAGCAAAAATCTGGGGTATGGAAGTGCAGTTGGACCACCTCCGCATCACGACCCTGTTGCACATTTCGCGGTCCCTGTTCCACGATTCCATACGTGACGGAGTAGCAGCGGGAGGACTGCTTCCGACGCTCATGAGCCCTCCGAATATGGACTGGGTGAGTAAGGCGGACATTGTGCAGTTTGGGTACGGCCTACATCAATGTTATGTCAGGGCTGTGAGACGATGTTTGCAAATCCATCTCAGTGTATCCTACTCATCCGGATCATCATGTACGGCGAGCCAGAGAGGCTCGGCTACATTCAGCTGGAGCACTGCATGCATACCTATGTGGTGAATAGGATATAAAAGCGTAAACCTTAGCGCGACTGCTCTCTCCTCTTCTCTTCAGGTATCCCTCTCCCCCCCCCCCCTCCCCCGGGCTTCTAAAGCATGAGCAGGAATGGAAGCCTGGACCTCTTCTACACATCAAGCTGTGATTCGCCATGGGCATGAGCTTGTCCCGAGGAGACAAGGAGACGTTCCTAAGCTAGTAAACGACGTCTCTCGCTCGGCAGCTTGGATATACATCAAGAGAAAAAAAAAATGTGCGGGAACACGGTTCGATGTTTTACCCCGAATTGCAGCTCTGTACCGGCCTACGAGAGAATGGTTGGACTACTCTGAGCCTGCTCCCATTCCCCAGCTAGTTTGCTTGAGGAAGGGATCCACATGGTCTCTCTGGGCGGATCCTGAATGGATGTGCTTCCCCAAAACTGTCCCCAGTCTGCGGATTTCTCACGCGATATCCAAGTCGCCAAGACGGTCTCTCGGCCTCACCCATGGGTCTCTCGCGTATTCTCGAACGTCCATGTTCTTCTTCCACCCACTCACAGGTTGGATCCCAAAATTGGCCGTAAGCTCCACCTGCTATTCGTGGCGACCTAGTCAGCTGACGACCAGCCCAGCTTTGATATGGAAGAGCCACAACCACGCACCATTACTACGTGGAAAGGCTGTCATACCAGTCATACTCCTCTTGATCTTCATATCAGAATCAAATGAGAAACACAGAATAAAAACATGCCATAACGGACAGATGCTATGTGACGATCTCAGCTTTGTATACTTCATTATCGCGTAACCCGTCAGTGCGAATAAGCAAACAAGAGCTTGCCTCCCCTCCCGTCAACGCCAGCATGCTCAATCTCAAATACCAGGACGAGGTTTGACTAGACACCTAGAGATACGAAAAGGATCTGATCGAAAAGATCGTTGTCATCGTGGCACTACATTTCAACGCCACTTCCCATGCAGCCCTTTGCTAACGCCGTTTGTCCGGTTACGCACCGAGACACTATGCAAAAGCAATCTCTCATCAGCACGCCTGCTAAATGGCAACAACAGATAATGGGTAACAGAACAAGCAAAGTATAAACTATCCGTCATCGTAAAAGCGAATAACGGATAAAACTCACTTCGCCTGCGCCTGCGCCTGCCTCACAGCTGTGCTCCCCATGCTACCAACTCTCCCGCTCGTCTTCCGCACGCCTGACGGTGCCTTTGCGTGATTCGCATCGGTTGTCGCGCTTCGTCTCATGGGGTTGTTCCTCGTCTTCGAAACGCCAATCTCTCCTTTGCCGCTGCCGCCGTTGCTCACTTTACGGGCCTGCGGGCTGATCGGATGGGCATTCTCGATATCGCTTGTCTCCTCGACAAAGTCCCACTTCGTGGTGGTCACAGTCGTTGTGGACGTGCATGAGACTGCACGCCGCTTGTCTGCTGAGCTTGCAGTTGGGGAGCGAGAAGCTCTCCGGGCAAGCATGCGCAACTGATATTCCTCATCAGACTCTGAGTCGCCCTGCATTGTCGAAGTTTGGTGTTTTGCGGAGGCAAAATCTTTGTCCGGTCGCACGTAAGGCTCCGAATCACCGGCACGGTATCGTGACGAGTTTGCTCCATAGACTTTGGACGTCTTTCGTGGCTGACCTGGTGTGGGGGCCGGTAGGTTCTCATTGTTTGCGTGAGAAGAGGTTGATTCTTCATTGACCATGATTTCGCCCAAGGCTGCGCGTTTTGCGCTGCCGTTTGGTGGCGTATAAGTTTGGCCGTTGCTGACGAGACGCGTCTTCAGGCGTGTCGGAGTCGACGGCTGTGATGGAAGATGGATCTTGGAGTTGTCATCGTGCCACCATTTCTTGAATTCATGCTGATTGAGGTGCAGCCAATGTTGCTGAGGACCAACAACCATGCCAGGTCGCATAAATCGCATGTAAGCAATGAGTTCATTTGCAGTGAACTGGTACCTGTAGAGCAGATAGGCACCAATGAGGCAGCCCGTGCGGCCAAGACCAGCTTTGCAGTGCACGGCAATGCCCTTTCCTCGCTTGGTGATCATCTCGTGAGCCATGTTGATGAACTTTCGTACCAGAGACAACGGCGGACACGTGCCGTCGTCGAAGATCATGTCAATGTGCTGAATACCCAATGCAGTGAAATACGAAGCAGAGTAGAGTTGTGAGTTGAGCCGCACAACCAAGCCAATGTTGCGCTCCACGAAATGGGTCAACACATTCTGGAATGGCTTCGGTATACTGGCTCGCTGGATTTCTGCGACTGTCTTTGGCAACGACGCCCATTCTGCAGAGGCCGGCGATATCGAATGCACTGGCGTGTGCTGTGGCGATGCGAAAGCGAGGAAGTTCGGCGATATCCAGTTGAAATCGCCCATGTCTACCCTCTCGTACATCTCATATCTATCATATCTTAATCAATCGACGTAAAAGTGACCCAATATGCTGTAAACTCACTCTTCTAGATTAAAGTCTTTCAGATTGAAGAGACCTTCCTCTTTTGCTCGCCAGACACCGTAGACAACGTCCTGTATGCTCAATGTATAATCCGCCTGGCTATACCCAGCGTCTCTGAAGGGCATGCATGGAGGATCCATTTGCGCAATCGGTGCCAGGGCCAAATGGGGTGGCCAGTTCTGGATGAGCACCATATAACATGCTAATATGCACGCAGCATTTGCGCGACCTGTTCAAGCGCACGTCAGCACGATACCTTTCGAGGCTCGAAGTTTGGATTGTTCATACTCCTCGAGTCCGCATCGCTCCAGAACACAACCCCTCGATCTGTATTCTTCGGATCCGCCAGCACCTCATGCAGTGTCACCGCAAAGCGGTACAGGTGGCCGATATGCAATGGACCGAAGTCTGCATGGAAGGCATTGTACAACAGGCTCTTGTCAATCGAAAAGTAGACCGGTGGGTTCGACTTTGGGCTGGTAGCAGTTGGGCCTGCCTGCGCTCGGGACGACCGCTTCGTTGGCGATCTGCTTTGCGACCTTTGCGGGTACGGAAAGGGCGTGTGTTGGTTCGGGGGGTGAGTGTAAGAGGCGAGATAGAGTCGGTCTATCCATTGACTCAAGGTTAGCCGCATACTTGAAGCATGAAGCCATGCTGTGCAATGTACTGACCTTGGATGTACTCGATGATCTGGCCGTAGCTGGTCGCCGACTGCGCCGTCGCCAACGAGCCTGCCGACATTGCGATGCAGAGGAGCTTATAGAAGCTCCGTACCTCGCAACGAGCTGTTGAACGATTCTGTATGATATAATCTTTCCGTTCCGCGTACCTCTAAAGCAACGCTGTTGAAGCTAGAGGAGATTGATGGTACTCGCTTTGCAGCAGGATACAATTGTGCCACGGCTTTCACAATCGTTGGCCGCCTTCCTGCGGGTCCTGGACCGAAGACTTTGAAGAATAGTAGTAGTGATGAGAAGATGTTGGGGTGGGGAGTTGGAGAGAATGGAAGAGAGAGGGAGAGAAAGATGGGTTTGAGGGTTTTGAGGCTTCGGGCTTGGAGTCGAAGTTAAAGGAGATTATTGATGTTGGTTGTTGGTTGTTGTGATGGGTGGCGCCTCCCGCACGGATTGTTTTCCATAGCAACGGCCGCACTTTAGACGCACCCCCCACTCAGCGCCTCAACTTTCCTCGAAGCACGGCTCGGGCACGTGCCATGCTGCCCTCTTTTGAACACTGCGCCGAACAATCGATTGGCCTGGAGTTCTTCCTGTCCATGGCATCCTGGCCCTTGGGACCTGAGGTGATGCGCTCGCTGATGCATGTTCATACATATATATGTTGTGCGCGCAGCAAGCGTTCTTGCGCCGGTTGCACGAAGCAACTACTTTTCGTGAGCGCAAAGCGCACGTCTTGCAACGTCAAAAGCATGCCATGCCGGAGTGTGTTTATGTGTGTCGGAATGCCCTTTCTCCCGTAGAAGATCAAAGATGTTTTGGAGATCAAGTCGCTTTTTCTAATTCTTGCTTTCGAGCCGACTTGACTTCTGCTTTCGACGTTTCGTACCATGTTTCGTCGCGCTGTCGGACGAGCGAAAGCCAGACTCTGCTGGCATGGATAGCTGCGCTCCCGTTTGTCGCCCGACTGCCATCACAACATCTTTTATCACGACCATCACCCAAACAGTATGATACGCTGCGGTCGACAGGAGGGCTGGCTAGCACAGCCCTCCTCCGAACTCGAGAACTGGGCCGTCCTCAATGGAGGATCATTCAACGGCGTCAAGTGTGCTGTCGCAGGTGGAGACCGCGGATCTGGCTTGCTCGCGATCAGAGACCTCAAAGGCGGCGACGAAGGGCCATTGCTGGTCGTGCCTCGCGATTTGGTCATCTCGAAGGAAGCAGTGGAAGTAGCTGCCAAGTCCGATAAGGATTTGAGAGAGCTGTTGGAGGCATTAGGGGAGTTCGTTCAAGTGAGTCGCTAGATATACTACATCCACCCAACGAAAAAACGATACGCTCCCACACGCCACAACCAAGGCTATTCTGTGGCCTGCGCCATCTAAAGAAACGCAATCAAACATTTTATGCATGCCACAAGTATCTAAATTGTGATTGGGACGGGTTTCCAACTCACTACCGCTGTCAGACGCGTTTGTTGAATAAAAATTAGATGAGTTTTGAATTCTTTGGAGTCGAAAAAATCCTCACAACGAACGTCCCAACAAGGTAAAAAAAAAAACTGACTGGACAACCGTAGACTACTCGAGGAGCCGTTCTCACGTTCCTTTTATACACGGCAACCGTGACAGCGGCTCGTAGGAGCAATTATCAGCTGGGCTCACTCACGCCCTTTAACCAGTAAGTGTGACGACGCCGACGTTGAACACGTTACAGAGCGCCGCACCGCGCTTGATGCAGTGGCACACGCTGAATCGTTGACTAGATACATAAAGTTCCTACCGGACGAACTGCTCCCCACGTTCTGGACGCCTGACGAGGTCGCTCTGCTAGATGGTACTTCGCTCCAAGCGGCCCTGGAGGCAAAGCAGAGGTCGCTCGAACGGGAATTCGCCCTCCTAGCAGAAGCTACGCAGGATGTGCGGTGGTGTCAGGACTTGTGGTGGGGCTCCTCGCCGGATGCCTCGCTCAACCTCAGCCTGGACGACTGGAAGGCAGTCGACGCCATGTACCGGTCGCGGGTCTTGGAGTTCCCAGGGATCGGCGACGCGATGGTTCCATGCATCGACATGGCAAACCACGCCGCTGGAGAGGCGGCGAGTGCGCTGTACGAGACGGATGGGGCGGGCAACGCGATTCTGCTGCTTCGGGACGGGATGGACGTCAGGCACGGCGAGGAGGTCACGATCACGTACGGCGATCGGAAGGGGGCTTGCGAGATGCTGTTTTCGTACGGCTTCATTGACGAAAGCATGGAGGATGCGAGGGAGCTGTTTCTCCCGCTCGAGATGGACGACGACGACCCGCTGGCGCGGCCGAAAGACCACGTCGCCACCGTCGCGCCCGGCGTCAAGTTCTACAAGGACGACGAGACGGGCGCCTTGAAGTGGCGCAGCGAGTACGTTTACCTGATGAACGTGAACCAGGAGGACGGGCTTGAGTTCGCCTTTGCCCAGACTGTGACTGGGGAGAGAGAGCTGCAAATGCTGTTTCACGACACGCCTGTCGGCTCAACCGCCGACTTGCTCAGCGCCCTCCAGAAAGATCCCCAGTGGGACGTGCACCATCTGCGAGCGGTGGTCAAGCTCTCGCAACTTGTGGAGCAGCGACTGAACATAATATCCTCGCTCGAGAACGGTGCGCTCACAGAACGCCGAGCGAAGCCAACTGTGCGGGAGAGGTGCTTCGAACTCGCGCTTCGGTTGCGATTTCTGGAGGGCCAGCTCCTGATGCAGGCCTTTGTTGCGCTGGAGCAGGAGAGGGACGAACTACTGAACGACAGTCCGGTCGTTAGGGAGTACCTCGTGAAGCAGGCTAGCGGCGATGGGAGCCAGCAGCAGCATGCTGAACTCGAATTGGACGAAGACTTTACATGAGACAAGTCAATTAATGATGAACCATCAATGCATATGCAGTCGGGGGCCTTTTACCGAGTTGTGCTCCACCATCTCTATTTTCTTACCCGTAAGCAGGGAGCAGTCACGTATTCGTCAAGGGGGTTCTTCACTCCGCAGCTCCATAGCGGCAGTTTAACAGGTAGTACGACAGGATCCAACAGAAGCAAGCATCTTTAGACGGACGTTCAACATGGTTTGTACTACTATCACACCGGCGGATGCCATTTGCCGAATAGCTCGAAACGCGGCGCAGCCAGTAGGCTTGCCGTCCCAGGTTGCTGCGTGACTTTGACACCCTATACATTTGACGATGACATCGAACCGCCGTTCCGACGTCCAACGACGCGCGACGTCTCGCAGGACGCAATGCGTCTGTATCAAGCCGTTTTCGGCACGCTCTACGTGAGGGGGGGGCCTTAAAGATTGGTGAGCCTGCGGGGCTTTTTGGTGATCGTGAACGCAGGAGCCGCCTCTCACCACCTTTACTGGGCGAATTTCACGTACAGCCCGTGGCTAGCGGCCCGGCGTGACGCAAAAAGGCTTATGGATTTGCGTTGACATTGTCACAAAAGCTAACCGCACCGTTGTCGGACCCGCAGGTACTACAATATCTTTCCGTCCTCGTCGGAGGCAAGTGCAGAAAGCGTCTATCGACCTCACACCATCGGCACCCCACCGTGCTGAAGGCCGGCGTCGTAAAGCCCGTCGTCAAGGGAACCTCGACGAAAGACACGGCAGCACCATAGCGCACGACAGAAGTCTCTCCATCGTCGACATTGTCGATGCGACTTGCTAGGCAAAAAAGAAAAGAAAAAAAAACAAGTCGTACCACAAAGAATCCACTTTGCGTCCCATATCTTGGCAGCCTCATGCACGCGAGAGCCACAACCGGCCAAACGGCCCACTTCTGTGCGTTTTTACGCACCCGCTAGTGCTGTGCCGTGATTGTGCGTGCGAGCATACGCAACGCAATGCCAAAAAGCAAGCACGTACGCACGTATCGTAAACTAACCGCGTTGGAACGAGCGGGGGGCGGCCGCAACTGGTCCTGCAAAACCGGCATAATGGTGTCAGAACGCGTCGTCGGCGTCGCGGCCTCATGTGGAGCGATCCAGATGACAAAACGACGGAAAAAAGAGAAAAGAGATGGTGAAAAAAAAATAAAATGGCTGAATGGGGAAAAAAAAGAAAATTTAACGACGTGTGATTCGCGTGCCGGGCACAAGGAACGAAGGAAATAAAAGGGGAAAAAGTAAAAATGATCAAAAAGATGTTGTGCATGAACAAGGAATCCGTTTGGGACGCGCCCACCCCCTGGCCATATTCACTCCCCAGCAAGAAACAGTAGCGATGCTGACGCAAAGGTACCGACTGCGCGGGCTACGATACGTTTTGAAACGGTGTTGCCGGGGGAGGAAGGGGTTTCGTAGCTGGACGTGCGGATAGAGGGGGGGATGGGTGGATGTCGTCTGTATCACTTGCTTCTTTGGATCGCGTTCTCGTCGCATTATAGAGATGAAAGGGCGGGCACGGAAGTGCGACAGCTGCTAACACCCACCCGCCCCTCTCTCTCCCCATGTCCACCTCTCTCTCCCACCCTCCCCAATCGAACGGCGTCACGGACCGTGATCTCCGACGTATCTAACGTCCTTCCCCTTCGCACGTTATTTTCCTTTTTTCTTCCTTGAACCAGGGGAAAGGGAATATGCCGGGGGGGGGGGCGCCACACCCTGGGAACGACGTAAACGCACGTCCCGCATTCTATTTTTTCTCCACATCGTAGCAGGCTGGAAGAATAGAGAGAGACGAGGAAAAAGAAAAAGCAAGAAAAGGAATCTTGCATCTTTCGCTGCCTCTGATGGATGCTGTGCATGACAGGAGGTGCGGCGAATGTGCCCTGGCAGTAAGGCGACCGCCCGGCTGCGACAGCGAGCGACGGAGAGGTGTCAGAATCGCACGCTGAAGAAGGGGAGTCCCAGCGGTATGCCTTTCGTCGTCTGCTCCCCTTTGCACGCCCTTTCCATTGTAGACCAGCAGCGCACATGGCCCAGCCCGCAGAAGTCGACCGCCCCCTTTGCGCACATGACCCGCGCCTTTGCTCGTACTGCTCGCATCTGCCGAAGGAAGACACGTACGGGCACAGCCTCGCGATGAGCCGAGAGGCCAAACGCGCCAGGAAGGCGGGGAAGGGATTGGCTGCCTTCCATTGCTGGGAGTAACCTCGTACAGCAGGGCCCCCGGGTGGGTCTCTCTGGCGCAGCAGCGGAGGATGAGAACGGAGTACGGAAGTGAGAAGGCGAGAGGAGGGTAAGAGAGAGAGAGGACGAGACGAGGGGGGTTGGTGAGAGAGGGAGGGAGGAAGGGAGTGAGAAGGAGAAAGAGGCAAAGGGAGTTAGGCAATGCGGAGATGTGAGTTAAGACTCGCCAGCCAGCTTCTAATTTTATTTTTTCTCTCTCAACTCTCTCTCTCTCTCTCTCTCTCTCTCTCTCCCCGTCCTGCCCGTAAAGACGGGAACAAAAGCGCACGCACGCACGCGCGCGCGCGCGTGTGAGAAAACCATGATTCATGATCAAAATAACCTCTTCTCTTCTCTATTCCCCACACCCCTTTCCCTTCTTCCCTCCCCTGCCCCTTCCCCCAAAAAGAAAAAAAAAAAAAAAATATGGGGAGAGATCTCTCCAAACCCTCCGTTGAACATCGACGCACGTTCGTTCGAAAAAGTTGGCAACGCCGGGCCCACGCCAAAATACAAAGGCGGGGGAAAAAAGAAGAAGAAGAAGAAGAAGAAGAAGGAGAAGGAGAAGGAGAAGAGCAGGCACCGAGACGGCGAGACGGCCGCGGAGAAAAAGAAAGGAAAAGAAAGGAAAAGAAAGGAAAAGAAAGGAAAAGAAAGGAAAAGAAAGGAAAAGAAAGGAAAAGAAAGGAAAAGAAAAGGCTGGAGACGGACGAGAAGGGGACGTGGCTCCTGGGGATCCGAAAGGCAGTCGCGTACGAGGTGACCAAAGATAAATATATATATATATATATATGTATGTATAAAGAGAAAACGGGAGAAAGGGATGGGAAGGGGAGGGGAGGGGGCAGAGTGGTTGTAAGGGCCGTAGGATCTTTTTCCCTGTCAAGCTGGTCGCCTTTCGACAAACGACCCATCCATGCTCTTCTCTTTTTTTGTTCCCGCTTCTCTCTTTGCACCGTGCATAGCGCCGTGAAGCAAAAAAATCTTGAGCGCCGGCAGACGGGGGAAGAGAAGGGAAGGGGGCCGGTGTGGATTGAATCACGACGCTGGTAGGCAAATGGTAGGCAAACAAAAAAAGACTACGACACGTAGATTGGTGAAAGTCGAGGCTAGGCGTTCCGCCCTAACGCTCAAGTCATCTCATTCATCTTTGTTTTTTTTTTTTCCCTTGCTATCCTATTTCCCGTCCAGAATGACGAATCATAGCTATCCCCTACATCTGATAGCGACCTACAAAAGATGGCCGTGACAAGGATGTCCTAACATGAACGAGCAAATTTACGCCTGACTATGCTGATTGCCCACCGCCATGCAAGAGAAAGACATGTGACGCAGTCTAAATTGGAACGCTCTTCTCCGCCCGAAAACGAATGCAAAGAATGATACAAAGACGGCTGTAGTTGTACAAAGCCCCACTAGGCTCTCTTGGAGCTAGGGGACGACAGAATGATTGCAAAGAAGCGAATGCGGTGGGGAAAAAAAATAAAAGCCCTCAAGGCGTTCATCTATAATATGGCGATCAATAAGAAGTGAAACCAAAAGTGTCAGGCCACACAGGCCGCAATGACAAGGTATAACGGGAGAGTTCGCTGATACACAAGATGCCGCCCTGTATGTCCTAGCGCCGTAAGCTTGCAGAGTCCGCAAGTCATAATTTGGGGTATATTATTGCCAGAATAGAAAACATATGAGATAAAAAGAACAAGGGAAAAATGAGAATCCCCTCCCCACCACGATCGTGTTCCTTGCTCTCGTCCAAATGATGGGAGCGAGAGAGAGGGGGGGGGGGGGGGAAACTAGAGCTGTGGTAGTAGGAATAGTAATACAAGCTTTTTTTTTTTCGGTTTAGCAGTGCACACAGTCGCAATGTGTCCGCGGTGCTCACTGCCGTTCGGTCGATGCAGTGCGCGACAACCGTCCGCGTTCGGGCTCGCCGTCGCGCCTCTTCCGCTGCGATGGAGTGCGGCTGAGGACGCGTTTGAGGAAGCCGGTCTTGGACTCGTTGTTGACGGGCGTGGTTGGCGACGAGTCCTCGGAGCCATTCGACGCCGGTGCGACCTCTTCGACGACGGTGGGGTTTTCGCGCTTGATCTTGCAGAACAGTGTGGAGAAGTAGAATTGCTCACTTTGCGCGTTTTTGAGTGGGATGTGGCGGTAACCTTGCTGCAACGAGTCCAATTTGGCCGTGTACGAGGCAAGCGGAACGCTGCTGGAACTCAGGCTTTGGCCGTCCGGCGAGTTCCACACCGTCCACCGCACGAAAACAAGGGAGGGATATTTGGTTTCGACGGTGAAGGACATTGGCTCGTTGAAATGTGGATCCCATCCGTTGTTGAGCACGATGCGAGTTCGCTTGCGCAAAGGAGAACCGATGCCTGACATGCCGTCGCGTGCCGACGCATCCGTGCCGCCTTCGCCGATGGCGAGACCGTGGGCTTTGTCCTCAGCGATGTGGACTTCGACCTCAATGTAGGGGTTCATGTTGGCGGCGTGACTGAGGTCGCGAGGCCGAGGAAGCTGCTGAGCGGACAAGACGTCGACCGAGAACTTGACGCGCTTTCTCGGTTTCTTGGGCGACGGAATGTCGAAGACGGCAGACCCACCGATGGGTCGCATCTCTTCCGGCTTGAGAACGTATCCGGTCTGATCGTTTCCCGCGGCAAACATGGCTTCGTTCAGCTGCATGCCAAGGTCATACGTCTGCCAATTGAGAGCTGCCATCTGCACCCCGCGACGCCAGAAACGCAGTGGCTCAAAGTTTGTCGAGCCCACACGGTGCGCTGCGGGATAAACGCGCATGAGGAAGCGACGGTTGTGCCTCTCAAGGGCCTCCTTGTCTCGCCTGCAGTGACCCTCGAAGGTGCGCTCGCTAAAGCTGAAGACGTGATTGTAGCTTCGAGCGTCGGGCGCGCGAAAGTCGGAGAATTTGATGCCCTGAGTGTAGACACCGAGCTCTCCGAGGACTTTGACTATGTTGCTCGTCTTTCGTCGACGGGGCTTGTGCTCCGAAACGAAGTCGCTCTCCTCGGCCGAGCTGTTGGGGCTGATGGGCGTTGCAGACGCACCCGAGGCGATGGAGGCTCGCGAGCTGTTCCACAGGCTGCCGTTGAGCTGTGGCGACATCGTCGGGGGGCTTGACAGCGAGTAGCCGGGCGGCATGCTGGTCGGATCGGAGACGGTTGGACGGGAGAAGGGAGAGCTGAGGCCACGTGGGCGTCGCGTGACCGGGGGACCCTCAGGCTTTGCGGCCAAGTCTTCGGACTCGGCAGCCTTGACCTTGATGAGAATCTTGCCTTTGAGCTCCTCTGGGCAAGGCAGAACCTCGGAAGATTCGTCGAGAGGCTGCAGGACGAGCTTGTCGCCGAAGACATTCTTCATGATGTCGGTCATGGTGGCCTGCTGCTCGGGATTGCAGTGCACCTCCAGCGAGATGATGAGTGGGTATTCGGACGCCTCGAACGCGTACTCGTTGATGACCTTGACACAGTCCGCGAACAGGACGCTGCTCGTAAACGTTCGTCCGTGCACGACTATGGGCCGACCGTCGGAGCCGTCCCAGCAGTCGATCTCGATACAGCGGCAGCCCTGAGTCAAAGCCGAGACGTACGCCTCCGTGCTGGACTGGCCGACAACCTGTCGTCCCAGAAGGTAGGTGTTGTGCGAACTCGAGATGAAGTACTCGTTGAGGGGCCGGTCAAGCTTCTGCTCGGTACGCGAAGTGTTGATACCCTTGCCGAGACTGGTCCTGGTCATGAGGTCTTGGAAGGCGGCGAAGTTCATCGTGTACTCCTTGTGCTCGGATGCGACGGGTGAGGTTGCGCCCTTTGGCCTGCATCGCTTCGCGTGGGTCTCGAAAACGTTCGCCCAGTATTCCGGGCGCGCGCTTGTGTCAATGCCCTGCGTGTGCTGAAGGAAGTCCAGGAACGAGCGCTCGTCCAGCTCGGGGTTGCCAGGCTGGCGAATGCTGTTGAAGATCTTCTTGAGGTCCTGTCGCTCCAGCACCGACTTGACGAAGCTCTCGAACTGCGCGTAATCCAGATCCCTCGAGTTGTCCGTGTCGGCGTGATTGAAGTAGTACTTCAAGGTGTGCTCTGAGCAGTTGACGTCCAGCTTCCGGCACAGCTGTTTGGCTCTTTGGAAGTCGAGTCTGGCGTTAGGATCGCCTCTGGTCTCGCGTTTCCAGATGCCCTTGATGCTCCGTTCGTCGCCCTTGACCAGGTCCGTCATGGTGCGGATCCGCAGTCGCTGGACGCGATCGATGGTCTCGGCCCAGAGGTGGCACGTGTCCTCGTCCGGGCACACGATGTGCAACGTCTTCAGGCTGCGGCCCTTGGAAGCGTTCGGATTGGCGTACACCACGGTGAACCAGCGCGACTCCTGGTCGGCAGGGATTTGCAGTTGCTCCAGGTACTCGCGGGCGTCCTTGGCCTCACGCACCTCCTGGATGTCGTCAATGTAGATCTGTTTCGAGGGGCGCTGTGGGTCCCAGAGGATCTTGCCAGCTTCGAAGTCGAAACGGAACATCATCCACTTTCTCTTCTTCTTGGAGACCTTTGTGAGCCACATGCCCTGCTGAAGGGACAGAGGAAAAGCGGGCGCGAGTCCCGAGTCGAGGGAGCCAATGCTGGGCCGGGACGACAGAGTGCCGCTATTGATACCACTGGTTTGGGAGGGATGCGAGGTGCTGCCGAGGCTGAAGTACTGCTCGCTCAAGTCCTCTACGGCCTCGTCGTCGTTCGAGTCCAAGTCGAGATCGGAGATGTCGATGCCGCTGTCTGGAATGCCCTTGTTGCTGTCGCTTCTCCGCCGCATGATGGCGGGTCCCACGGAGACGTCACGGTGCGAGCTCGTCGTCGACGGTCGTCGACGCACGATCTTGTTGTGCGCACCCCGCGACAGCCTCCGGATGAGGCCACCCCGTGACATGGCTACTGCTTCGGCCATGGCGCTGGGGGACATGACAGGCGGCGACGTCGGAGCGCTCGAGGTTGGCAAGATGGAATCCGGGAGCGCCATGGAAGACGGCAGAGAGGAGGACAGCGCCTGCATGGGAAGGATGCCGTCCGGCGAGTGATGGATTGGCACGTTGGTCCGAGGCTGGGACGAGTTGGAGATGAGACTGACCCTCGAGGAGTTGTTGCTTGTTGCGGATAGGGAGGCGACAGAGAATTGCATGGAGGAAGCGACATGGTGCATCGGAAGCGGCTTCGTGAGGGGAGATGCAGCAGGTTCCGAGCGGATGCCGTTGGCACGGTCATAGTCTATGGAGCTTTCGGTCCTCATGTTGAATGGCAAGTATGGGTTTGGGGCGCCCTCAGCGTTGGCAGCGGTAAGAAGAAGGCATGTTTGGTGAAGGCGGCAGAATTGAACGTGAAGAAGCTGCACAGCAAGACCAGCTGGCGGGCGTGCACACCTTGTTCAATTGCTCGCAGTCCACGGGGGGGATGGATGGATATAGGATGGAGAAGGCGACGGACTATGGGAGCCAAGGCCCGGGCGCGGTTGCGCAACGAAGCAGCAGCACAGCAGAGCAGAGCTGCAGCACGCAGTTCGTGTTTACACAGAAGGACCGGCAAGTGCGCGCCGTACCAGGGCACGAATGAAGAGCCAAGGCAGAGGCCTGCTGCAGTGAGATCAGGTGGCAGTGTTGATGCGCCGGTGCTGGACAATGGCGTGCATGCGAGACGCTGCAAGGAGCTGTTTGCGGGCGAATGATCGTAGTAACCGAGAGAAGATCGGGCGAGGGGGGCGCACTCTGTATGAGAGCAAATCGCGACGAAGCGCCAGGCAGGTCACGCTTTAGGCTGGGGATCAAAGATGAGGCGAGCGGCGGGCGCTCGCGCAGGAAGGAAGCAGAAGGGAACGGAGAAGACGCAGTGGAAAGGCCAACGAGGTCGTCGGTACGTGGAACGCGCGGGAGGAGCGACGGTTCTTGTAGTGATTGCGCAGCAGATTGGAGTGGGACTTGGGGGGAGAGAATGACTGGGATGCGAACGAGATTCTGGCGAGGGGAATTTGGGAATGGGGGGGGTTTGTAGGGCGCTGGGGGTGCTGGCAGGGAGAGGATGGGAAAGAAAAGGCGCGGTGGGATTGTCGCCAGGGAAAGGTGAAGCGCGCGAGTGCCGGGGCCGCAGGAGAATTTCACGGCGCGGATCACCACGTCGACCGCAGACGGACGGGGAGGAAAGGAGAGAGGAGCGAGCCGGCAGCAGCAAGGCAGCGGCAGCGCGCAGCAGCACGGCCAGCGACAGTAGTGGCCGTGGCAGCGGGAGCCCGCCAGCGCAGACCCGCGCAGAGATGAGCAGGGTCACGGCTCGCCCGAAGAGCCAGCAGCAGAGAGCCCGGCCGGGCTCGAAAGGAAACGAAACGAAGGAGAGGAGGGAAGAAAAGAAAAGAAAAGAAAAAAAAATAAAAATAAAAAACCGTCAGGCCCGGACCCAAGCCAGGACTGGCCCGGTACCTTTGAACCGCTGTTTTTTATTTTCATTCCACGCTTTGCGCCCTCTTCTTTCCCTCTCGTCCGTACTTCCCTTCTGCGCTCTGGAATGGGCCCCCCTCCTTCTCCTTCCGCGTCTCTCGCTCTATCTCCCTCTCCCTCTCCCTCTCCCTCTCTCTCATCGCTTTGTCCCGTTTAGCCCGCCGACGGAGGAGGAGCAGGCAGCAGCATCCACCGACACTCTCCGATCGGACGACCTTTGCGGGTCGCAAAGGGGGCCAGCCCGTCCGAAGATTGGATGGCGACGCTAGAAAGGGGTAGAAAAAGACGTTTTAAGCTTCGATTGTGATTCGCGGGGGGGGGGGGAGGGTTTGGCCCGTGGCGAAACGTGGGCAGCACCACTAGTATGCCCACAAAAAAAAAATGAAAAAAGAAAAAAGAGTACGCAGAAGAGAGGAAAAAAAATGGAAGTCCTGGCGTGAGTGGCTTGCTCGGGACGATCCACACAGCAGGCGGAGGCAGCACCCAAAGAGCACCCCAAAGAATCCCAGGCATCTGTAGCAGCGTCCAGTCGTTCGACAGGCCCAGACACCTGGTGCATCCACAGCATCATCATCATCATCATCATCGTCGTCATTACTCACATCATCATCACCACGACCGTCGGTCGTCATGATTGTCATTTGATGCTGTTCCTGCCCGGCTTGTGCACGCCGCTCCCTACGCTCTACGTCCCGCCCATTCGACCGCTAAGATTGCAGCACACGTTGTCCTCCAACCCCGGCGCTACAGTAGACACGTACGCCAACGCCTCATCCTCGTTCCGTCATCTACTGTGGTACCACGGCCACGACCGTCGCTGCTACCACTACTTCTCCTCCTCCTCCCTGTCCTTCTTGTGTGCTGCTGTCATGTTAAAAAAAAACGATTCCATCCCCGCTTCTGTCTCTCCCTATCCCGCTCTTACGTGCCTCTGTATCGTATCTCCGCCTTTAGAGAGGTTTTTCCTCGCCATGATCCCGCCCTCGCTGTAACGTTGGTTGTCCAGCGCACGACTCGCTCCCGCCCATCTGGCACACATTACTCGAACAGTCACAGTTGCCACGTTCGCAGTCATTCATCAGACTCATACTCCATCTGGTGGCCATTGCTACGGCCCTGTTTCGTTCCCTCTTCCCGGATCCTGGCCGGTGTCGTTATCTACAAAGGAAAGAAAAAAAAAAGGAACATCGATAAAGTAATGTAAATGAAACCAAGATCGAAGAACAATTGGATAAAAATAAAGAATAATAAAAAATGGGTTTCTTGTGCTCGAAGAAGGCCGACGATTCTTCTGCGCCTTCGATACCAAATTAACCCAAGGCAAGTGGAACAAACCAGTCATCTAAACGCGCAACGCCCGCCACCTAGGCTAACCTGTGGATCTCCTGGGAAGCCAGGCGACGGTCGTTGTTCTCGCTGTCGGATCTCAATGTAGAACCTCAAATTCGCATCGCCATCATTTTACGAACAGACTTCGTCGGACGTCGCCTTCGCACAGGGCCTTCCAGCGCTGCTTCGCGGGCGGGCGACCAACTGCTATGCTAAACCTCCCGTATGCCACCCCCTAGGCCGCACGTTATCTGCCCGCCTGCCTGCGCCAGACCAACCCGCTGTCCTGAATCTCTGCCCACCGCCTGCCCAGCCCAGGAACGAACAAAAACGCCCAGAGCACACTGACCGCCCTCTCTCTGTGCGCTGCAAAATCCCAGCTCAGCCGAGCCAACGGCCCAGGACGCATCCGAGCTACCGGGTGTTTGATGTGTTTTCCTCTCCTGCTCGCATCGAAACATGCAAGTCATTCTGGAAATAGCAAACATATGTAATCATGCCGGGGGGTTGCCATTACCCGCCCATGCATGACGTTCCGCCCGCCCCTTCGCCTCCTTCCCCTCCCCACTCCCCCTCCTGAGGCGGGACCGTACACTCGTGACTTCAGGCAAGCTTTGTGCGCGTTGCCCACTCGCTCTCGCAGTAACAGGACGACTGCGCCCGGCTATCCGGACTGGATGCCACGTCTAGGCGAGGTGGTGCTGCCGCTTTGTGACTCTTGGGCGTCCGCCTCGTGCCGTACACCCAAGGCTCCTATGTACGTCGGCCGCGTAGCATTTTTGGGGCCGTCCGCGCCAGGCACCTCCAAGGCTTAGCGGTCTTCTAGAAAGCTCTGCCTCTCCCAAGGATGGTCCTGGAGATCGCGACATAACAGGACAGACCCGCCCCGGTTTCTCGTGATCCTACACGCCGACCCGCTTCTGCTGTCGTCCTGTACGAAAAGCAAAAGCCGGATCCGTGGCCAAGTTGGCAGGTGGTCCCGCAAATGAATCATGCTACAAAACAGCACGGCGATAGCAAAGCTCCGCGGCGAGGTTACCGTGCCCGTGAGACAACAGAAACCTGAAACCTGCTCCAAGCGGGCTCATGCTGATTGTCGTCGCATATCCATTACTCAACTGTCGACCCAGTTTATATCAAGTCTTCAATCATCGTCAGACACTGGGCCTGATCCTTCTCTTCAACTTGACGCGCATGCTACGTTGGTCCTACCACTGGCCAAGGCTGAGCTGTGCCGAGTACGACGTATACGCGGCACGGAATCAAAGTACCATGTTTTGCTTTCCATGTCAAAGTAGTAAATAAGGCCAAAAGTCTGGCGCGGAAAAAGTCAATTCTGGTCAAGCAAGACCGGGGGACCCCTCTTCGAACAATCGCACTTTTATTTTAGATCGACAATGTAGTGCCGAAACGCGCCAACGGTACGCTACCGAAACGTCATTCGTTAACCTTTTAGCCACCACAAAAAGCGCCCGTCGATAACAGCTCATGCTGCCATGACGAAAGTGGTACCAAGAAGATGAACTTACCTCCTGCGGAAAAGTTCACGCTACGTGTACCACCGCGACTAAACACAAGTGCGCTATCCTCCAAACCCCCTACGTAGCGTGGCTAGAAAGGGACACGAATCATCATCATCATCATCATCATCATCATCATCTACCGTGTCCCTCATCATAGTCGTCATCATGATCATCGCCATCGTCGTGGATTCGACATGTGCCGGCATTGCGAGCGGCAGGTTGTGCTGCCTTCTCGTATGGCGATTCTCCGCACGCAATGCACGAATGGGAGCGGGGTGCTTGCGGTGCGGGCCCCAAGTTGAAATGACAACAACACCATGCAGCACACAGAAGCCAAGAGAAGCACTTTTGACGTACGGACGAGCTTTGTGACGCATCGCAAAGATTGGCACAGCTGACAATCGCCCTGCTGGGACTCACGGCCTTGCGTCTCGAGGCGACCAACGAGCTCGCATGTTCCCCCCCCACAGCTCAGCGATGCCGCTCTCCAACCTTGCCGCAGCGTTCCGAACAAGCGGACTTACTTGTACGGTCAACAGGCGAACGATAACGATCTGACTAGCTAAAACGACTGTCTCCGCGTCCTGTTCTTCCACGAGCGTGCGAATCGTGCCTGGCTGGGCAGCTCCATTCGCAGCAGGAGGACCAGGAGGAAGAGGTCGAGGCACCAAAATCGCTTCCTCGCTCTTCCTCGTGTTCCGCATCGTAGCGCAGCCCCCCTCGCCTGTCAGTTGACGATAATAATAAAACGAAGATCTTTTTTTTTCCCTTCCTGTCTGGCGCTAAATTTGATTGCGCCAGCCTTGTCCAATTTCACCAGGCACAAACAGGTTAAATCCACGTGCGGGGTCCAACCCTGAAGATCGCCAGCGCGCTGGATGCTGGCGTTCTTAGTGGCTTGAAGCCGGCATCTTGCGTTGTGCTTCTGAGCTTGCTGAAAGCGCGCAGAACTTTCCACGCCCTCGGCTCGCAAAAAGCAAACCCCCACGCCTTATCTCGCGTGCCCATGCGCCGGAGATCTCGTGAGCGTGGCTTTTTCCCGGAGCCTTTTCCTTCCTGCCCTGATGCGGCGCAGTTCCATCGTGTTGCTGTTCGCGTGTGCATGCGCTACGACGCCGCACGCACGCACGGAGGACGGCCCGTGCAGCAGGACTACTTGACAACGGATGCGGTGAGCAGTGGTTGTAGAGAGGTCGGGACGGAGGAGAAAGAATGGTCTCCTCGTTAGAGCTATTGGGAGCTCGTCCAAGGGGGAACTGGCTCCGCACGCTGAGACATGGGTACTTCTGCAAACCCCACAATGTGAGGCTTGAGAAGCGCTCGAGGAGGCATGTCGATGCAAATGTGACTGCTTCAATAGATCTTGCACCACATGACCACATGAGCAGCTGTGAACAACCTGATGCAAGCAATATCAGTGGGCTGCAGAACACAGAGCGGTGTGCTTGCGCCTTGGTTCTCCAACGGGCCAGAGGACCAATCCTGCTCGTCATCGCGCTGCTATCGGATCACATCGTCCACGGCCCCCCCCCCCCCCCCCCCCCCGAACAAAAAGTTCCCAAGTACCTGGAAACATCAGTTTGTGCTCACAAACGCCTTCATCCGGGCAACGTTGGAAACAGGCTCTTTCCAGCAGCGCGTCACTCGTCCTCAGCTGACCTCGACTGCGCGCTGTGCAAAGCTACCTCGTTCGTTCCTGATTGTGTTTTCCGGCCGCTGACGGCATTTGCCTGTGGCTTCGCGGGCTATGCTAACCTCCTTTTTGATCAGGCCACGTCTCACCACATGCGCCGCGACCTGGACCTGCAAGCCCCGCTTGAGCGACACCAAAGGCGCCTTCATGGCTAACCTATCGTGGGTTTCCTGTTCTGGACACTCGGTCCTTGCTTGTGCCCATGAAAGCCTCGGATGAGCTTGCATACGTCCACCGCTGTGACTCAGCTCCGTCCCACGGCTCCGTATCGCAAGACGTCACTTCTCGCCGGTCGCATGAGAAATAGCAACGAAATTTCCTTCTGGATCTAGAACCCGACACCGCTCTTCTTGCGCACTTCTGGACGCCCGTGTTTTTTTTTTTTTTTTTTTTTTTTTTTTCATTTTCAAAAAAAATTCCTTTTTTCACACCATGACCGGCCTGCTGCAGCTAATCGGCCACCCGCGGGTGAAATGACAATCTCGAAAAATCATTTACGAAATAGTACGTGATTTTCGCCTGGCACATGGTAGCCTATCTCTCTTCTTAATCGGACAAGCTGCATGTGGATTCTGCCGAACTTTGATTACCCGCCCTCGGTGACCGGAAAGCATCTTCTTCTTACGTCTTGATGTTATTGAAAATCACCTTCTGACTATCTTCGCCCTGCCATTATGCAGGTCGCCCCCAAGGTCTCATCTAAGCATTGCGCCATCTCTGCGCTTGCCAGCACGAGAGTGGACGTTGAACCTTTTCTCATCATTATCCTAGACGCCTCCAAAGTCGGCCATGGAGCTTCAGACATGATTTGCGGCATTTCTGACATACACATGCAGCAAGCAACGGCGACGGCCCGTGCCCTAGAAATGACCCCCGGGAACGAAGAACCGAACCTTATGCGGGTACTAGTTGTAAATCGAAGCACGACTTGCGGGCTCTGCGCACCTGCGAGGGTCAGCTCGCACCAGCCCTGCTGTGTAACATGACCATCATTTACCAGCAAGCTCGCACGAGGCAGTTTTGAAGACGGTCACTTAGGTTTTCGACCAAGCCGCGACTCGCGCGATGAGACTTTAGCATCCTCGGATCTGCTAGAGACCTCAATTGCCCGTTGAGACTAGATCTGCACCAGTTGTGCTTAGGTGTGTTTTCCAAGTCCCGAGCAGATGCATGGCAAACTTAAAGCTGAGGACTACGAGTGAATGAAATGCCAGCCTGGTCTCCTGCTCTTGCACAATCAGTATTGATCTGACTGAGCACCATTGAATCATTCATTTGAGGAACTTTGAACTTTATGTGACTTTCAGACAAGGCTGGCCAGGTTTCGTTCGCGTAACACGCTTGCTGTATCAAACTAAATGTTCGTCGGCTATTGACGAATAACTTTCTAGACAAAGCACTCGTGGCCGCTGTTCCTAGGAAAATTCGAGTTGAGCTTGTTAATAGGGATGGAAATGAAACTAATGGAGAGTAGGAACAATAAAAATCCGCATGGCCCTTTAGGTCCTTCCCTCAAGTGCAACAACGTCAAAAGTGGAGATAATGCAATGATTCAAGGCAGCTGCATAATTTCTCACTACTTCACTTGAGCCGAACAGTAACTAAAGCGCCCTATCACTATCAGAAATGAAAAAAAAAACAGAGATCGACAAGCTGCCGCTTGGGAACCACACATTCTATAAGGGAAGAATGAAGCAGAACCTTTCCGTTTTGAGTCCCACCTGCAGCCTTTCTGTGTTTCGCGCTGTCTTAACTGGGTCCGATTTGTGCATGGATGCGTGATATGTTGGTCGCTGTGTGGGATACCTCTGGCTTGTCGCCACCAATCTCACCGGCTGTGAAAACACTGACGGCGGGAGGATTCCCGTCCCGCTGTGTAGCTATTGATCTAGGATCTCCCGAGTTTGAGGCTGCGTTCGCAGACTCGTCTGTGGCTACTGATAGGGAGAGTTATGTTAAGCCAAGCATTTCTTTTCAACCCTTAGCGATTGAGCGGGAGAATGAGATGATGAAGGCTTTGTTGCTCATCATTGGCAAAGGTACAACCGAAGTGGCCCGAATTGCCGCGTGATTTGACTTCGAACAAACATGAGGAGAATTCCAGTCCGCCGGGCCGGGTTCGTCGCGGAATCCTATCGGTGCGTCCGACGAAGCCCTAGGATGGTCAAATATCTCAGCTAGGCGGTGGTTTGAGGGACGATTTTTTATTTCAATGCGAAGTCCCTTGAAAATATGACGAGAGAAGGCAACGAAGTAGGCATCGGAATCGGGACTTCGTTTCGAGGAGGCTACTGCACTTGAAAGACGAGGATGTCAACAGATTCCATCGCTGAAGGTAGCCGTCACTTCGTCCAAAAGCCTCTCCGTACGTATCAATTGTCTGAGCTGCTGTAGAAGATGAAACGCTTCCAGAGCATGGCTGGGTCATTGTTAATCCACTCGAGCTGCTGATAGGCTTAGTTTGATATATGGAAGGCTAATGACTGCATCTTGGTGTATAGATTAATCATGCTTTTGAATCTCGCCAGGACTTACTTTAATCGACTCAGATTCTGATCCCTGTGTGAATTGATAAGGTAACTCAAAGGCTGTATCTTGACTACGTTCGCCTACAACAAACGCACAGTTGTCGTTTTGATATGGAGCTCCATGGCTCTCAGGTTTTTTAATGCTGTGTCTTACCACTGTTGGCAAGGTGATGGATTCGTTGTCGTTTTCTTCGTTTATCGATGGTGTCGCCAATGACCTCGAAAAGTTTACCCCCTCTGCCAAACACTATTGTTGTAGGGATTAGAGTCAGGCTCCCTTGAGCTTAAGTTATATTGGCATCAAAAACATACATTTTCCGGATCCTCTGAGCATTCGCCCTTGATCGCGAGCGATCTTGGGACATGATCATTCCCAGTGTCGCTGTCTTGTATGGATTGCATGTTGTCATAATCGTCATCGGTCCTATCAACTGTGGTCTGCAAATTCGTATCATCCGAAAGATTTTTTTCGTGATGGCGTAGTTGGAAAAGAGAGCTTCCAGTTGGCAATCGCTCTTTTCTAGAGTTCTCAAGCGCGATCAAGTCGTCACGTCCATGTGGATTGTCGATGAAAGCCTGCGTCCTACTGACGCTCCTAAAACAAGACCGCAGATGTGGAGGAGCTGAAAGCATTTTTGACTCGTAGCATAATTTGGCACTGCTTGAGATGCCTCCTTCTACATTTCCGCTATGGCTGCACTGAGAAGGAAGTGGCTCGAGGCAGGATAGAAAGTGATTTTTATGCTTGTCTCCCTTCGATCTGTGGATGTTGCCTGTGGCATACCCAATTTCATCCAATTGTTTATGTTGGTCAATGATACTGCACGTCTTCGCAATGGTGTCAGATTGTGTCCTCCTATCTGCAGAACTGGAGCGGCCAGATTCTTCATCTAAAAGCATGGGCTCAGAGGAACTAGTACTGCCCTCAACACAACTATTAGATGAGCTATGTTGCTGCGCAACCGCATTCCCTTGGATTTCTTCAAGTTCGCCGCCCATCTTGACGCTAATGTCTGTAGAGCTCTTCTGCAGAGCCCCGTGCAAGAAACCCTCCTTTTCTCTGAAACAAAATTGCTGCGGAAGTGACATAGGCAGCTGTGCAACAGACCTGATCTTGACAGTTCTACAGCGCTTACCTATCTTGTATTTGTCGTCCGGAGTTGTAAAGCTAATTTTAACTGGGTTCGAGAAGCGTAGACCTGCCCAGTCCGGCTGCCGTAAAAGTCGATTTTTCTCCCGTTCATACAGTTCCTTGGATGGTGTTCGTGATCTCTGCTCCTCATGAGCGTGTGGAGAAGATGGTATCCAAGAGGCCATCTTCTCAGTGCATTTGACCTTGTGACCTAAAGGAGTTGGCGGCAGCTGAGCCGATGGAGCAGAGATTACAGAGCGCTCTCGTGAGCCGTTTTGATCAGAATTCTCGCATGGCCTAGCAGTTTCGAAGCTACGAGGCATTGAAGCAGGGCATTTTGCCAGTTGAGTGGTGAATGCATGATTTTTCTGGATATTTTGCTGCGCTTGCGTTCCACTAGTTTTCCCGTAGACTGGTTGACAACTTTTACTACTGTTCACTGAAGTTGCCGCTTTATGTGACAAGAATGAAGACTCTAAGAAGACGATCGAATGCGAAGGCCTATTTTGTACTTGTTGCCTAACTCTAGCGAAGTACTGTTTCTGCCGCTTGGTCAACTCGTTTCGGCTCGCGTTAAGATGACGTCGCAATCGACCGCCCGTCCAATTCATAGCATTTGGATGTTCAAACTGAAGTCGCCATGAAAAGGTGCAAGTTTTTTCATCAATGTACTTGGGGATCTTTATCATCGATGCTCAATTGCACGTTCACGTATCAGGTGACTACGAAGAGGTAGTGGTGAATATCACTCCAAGGTCAGAATTATAGGAGGAAAGCGCGACTCCCGAGAGACGACAGCAGCAGCATGGTTAAAGCGACTGCTGAATCTGTTTAAGCAAACATGGTCAAGACTCTCTTGGCGTTGGTTATGTGAAGGAGAGCCCCAGTGGACTGCTATATCAAGAGCTTTCGTTCTTCATCACGTTGCTAGCCGCACCTTGCTGAATTGACAGACTACACGACACATACTCGCCAATGTGAGCGGCAACACCATCTCATTTTGGATGATCTTATCGACTCTGTATGGTAGACGTGACATACATATTCACGGTCTTCGGATGATCCAACTCGAATCAGAGCTGCATTGCTCTAACATTTGATGTCTTTGGAATCCAAGTTATCGCTTGCCCTGCCTGAAGTTAATTCGCTCCGTAGATTTCCATCCAAGCAACTTGATCCAAGTTCTAGGTGTTGAGGAGTGCCTTGACTGTTGCTGGAAATCTCACTGCATCTAGGTGTCCATGCTTCAACCTCCCAGAGCAGAACAACAACCATGACCGTCTGTAGAAACTCAAGACAGCAAAATTATACCGTTGGAGTGTCTTGCTGACAATTTTAGGACAATCAAGTTGTATCGGGGGTGAAGTCCAAAGGTTCCAATGCTGGACGTTTTGGACTATTCACACTCATCACAGTCGACATTCCACCGTTTTCAAACTCTAAGCTGTGGCTACCATGTCATTTCTCTTCATTGCCGTAGCTAATAGTGCCAAACTATTAGCAAGGAGCGCTATCTTCGCTTGATTGATTTGATTGCCGGTCGGAGCATGCCGAGTTTCAACTACTTAGAACGACTTGCAGACACCGCTTTGAGAAATTAATGCAGCTCCTGCAGCCTCTACTTCTTCCGGTGTTTACGTTTTAAGTTATCCTCCTCCACTTTTCGACGGATTATCGGGTAAGGATTCCAAATGATCGACACCGTGTTGACACCTCCGATTCTCTAGCTCATACGGAACCATAAGACGTGCCTTGTCTGACCGGGGCCGAGGTGACAATCTTATCTGGACGTGACTGCGTGGCTTGCCGTGTCCTTAGGCAGATCTCTTGGGTATACTGCCGATAATCTCGTACAAGGACCATGCTGGCCCGCAAGATGATGTCATTTGTGGAGCTCAGGAGGTTATCTCCTGCCCTCTCGAGCCGCGTCTACGAAGTCAGCACCTGTCTGAACGTTATTGCGGTCAACATGTGGGAGCTTGCTGTCTCAAGCGAGAGTGAAGGGAGGAGGGTTGGAAATGCAAAGAGATGATCAGGGTCCTCTGCTGTGATCGTTCCCGACATGGCAATTCTTAACACCTCTCAGGGACCATGAGGCTCCAAATGAAGCAGGCCCACTTCTGTTGCCTGAAGGCTCTCTTTTGCCATACATATTTACGAGCACTTTGGAGTCTTGGCGAGAACGATTCGGCGTCGCTGACCACTGGTCGTTATGGTCTATGCGAGCAGAAGGAATCAGCACGGATGCTGCTGAATGACATCGGAGGTCCCAGGCGGTTGCTAGTGTTCCGAGGCCTTGCTGGGGTCTCATTCGTCATCTCGACCGTTGATGACGTTGATCACTCTCAGGAATTAAAAATCTTCCTGCGGCGAGCGCATCAGTGGTTTCTCACCACATGCTAGATGCATGTTTTGATGGAGATATACGGCCCTTATCCACATTTACAATCTGCCGGGTATGAAACTTTGCGTTGCGTGGGGGCATCTCCGGTTTTAACAATGTTTTCAGATCCAATCGAAAGCACTGTGAAGACCATGCTGCGGAAAGATTTGCGCAAGCGTTGAGCGACAGATGACAGCCATGAGTAAGATTTTGATTCACTTCAGCCATGTGAACCGCCGCCATAGGTCATTCACGGAGGTCTTCTTCTGCTAGGTTTTGACATTCTGGGAACGGCTACATATCTTGACTTGCTACACCAATCCCGTACAAGTTACTGACCATGTCGTACTTCCGAAAGAGATGACTATCATTCGGTTTGACGGCTAACAGACAATCTGAACATCTAAGAGGATCTGTCAGTCAGGCATTCTCTCCGAATAATGTACAGTACAGCCTTGGGCGAGCCGAGAGTGCCCCAGAGGTACCCGGTTTTTCGTACCCACACCGTCGAAATCCTCGCCAGGGTTTTATACCACCAAACTCGGGTCCAATGCCAGTCCTATCCGTATCAGTCCTGTAGCGAACATATAAAGGCGTAGCTTCCACGGATACTTTTCGCAATTTCATTCATGAACTCATCCTCGTAACACACTTTAATACTGCGCAAATTTGTCGTTCATCCATCATGTCGACCGCTTCACTCCAAGCACCAGGCCACAATCGTCATGTACGAAAAATTAGCGGTCGGGCTACCAAAGAGGAGCTGACTAAGATGATGGGGCCAACTGTTGTTGTGCCCCCAGCCGACTACATGGCTGCGGCGGAGTCAAAGAGTCATGAGATCGCGGCATCTATGGAAATCGCTCGTCATGAGCTTGAAGAGTTCCGTTCAGCAACATCGACGCCATCAGAACCAGGAGAGACCGTTGTAACTGACAAGTTTGCTTTCGCCTTTGATATCGATGGTGTCCTCATTCGAGGAGGAAAAGTCATCCCGGAAGCAATCGAAGCCATGAAAGTTCTCAACGGCGACAACCAATATGGTATCAAGGTTCCATACATATTTGTTACCAACGGTGGCGGCAAGACGGAAGCAGAACGCTGCTTGCAACTCAGCAATCAGCTTCAAATTGAAGTATCTCCTGGACAGTTCATCTGCGGCCACACTCCGATGCGGGAAATGGCGGAGAAGTACAACACGGTGCTCGTTGTTGGTGGTGAGGGCGAAAAGTGCCGCCAAGTTGCCGAAGGCTATGGATTCAAAGACGTCGTCACCCCAGGAGATATTATCAAGGACAATGCCGATACCACACCTTTCCGGAAGCTCACGCCTGAAGAGTACAAGAATTCAAGGGCACGAAACTTTGGCGAGACCGAAATAGAAGCCATTTTTGTCTTCGCAGACAGTCGAGATTGGGCATCCGACCAACAGATCATCCTTGATTTGCTCATGTCGAAGAATGGTCGACTAGGTACTCGATCAGAGACCTTTAACGAGGGTCCACCTGTCTTCTTTTCTCACAACGATGTGGTCTGGTCCACATCCCACGACCTGACCCGAATCGGTATGGGTGCGCTTCGTGTATCCCTTGAAGCTATGTTCAAGGCTGTTACAGGCAAGGAACTTAAGACCACAGCTTTTGGAAAACCTCAAATTGGTACCTTCCAGTTCGCAACGCGTCTTCTCCAGCAGTGGCGCAAGGATACTCATGGCATCGACTCGCCACCAGATACTGTCTATTTTGTTGGAGATACTCCTGAGTCAGATATTCGTGGCACGAACGAATTCGACGAGCGTGCTGAAAATAATTGGTATTCTATCCTTGTTCGCACCGGGGTTTATGTGGAAGGAACTAAGCCTCGTTTTACACCGAAGGCTACAGTCGACACCGTGCTTGATGCTGTGCATCATGGTATTGAACGCGAGTATCGCAATGCTATGAAGAAGATTGCGGAGAAAAATGCTGCATCTGCAATTGAGGAGTAGACGCAGTTTGAGGCCGGCCTTCACTGTCGCGTCTATTTTCTCTTTTGTTTTTTCGTCGCATGGCATATGGAGTCAATTACTTCTTGGGAGGCTTATGGCGTTGTGTCTGCTTTACTGGACTACCCAAACCATGGATTTGAGACTGAATTGATCTTGGAAAACAACAGAGCAAGGAAACACGAGATGTGATATCGTGAATAATAGTTTAGAGAATGATTTTCTATACTCCATTAGATGGTAGGGAATGGTTGAGTACATGTGATAGTCTTCACCACCGGCTATGACTTTCTAGGTAGATTCAGAGATTGATTAAGAGCAATTTCAAACTGCCATGAAGCCCTGATTCTTATATATTTCTCGCCTCTATTTTGCGTCTCAGGCCATGCGAGCCCCGCACGAAGAACATTACATTCAGATATGTGGGCTCTTCACAGGCGTTGCTCGCACAGTCTGGGTGTGGAAACGTACGTCGGTTTCTAAACAGACTGATGAAGATCTCTTTGCATGGTTTAAAACGAGAAAAACGACCCACCTGGGTGCAAAATCCACCGACAACGAGAATTACTGTACCGTTAAGATTATCCTCTGCTACTAAAAGAATAGCATGGCAACGGCGATTTGTCGGGAAATATTCTTCATCCGAACTACGGCAAGACCTGTGCTAAGTAAGCACATGTGGATATTTGTGATGTCATACCCACTTTAAGTTAAGTCATTGCCACTGAAACGGACCAACACTTTCCACGAGGCAAATTTCCGCACGTCGCCTTACCCTGCCATTGATGCTACGCCACCGGTTATGATTCCATATGCTGAGGCTCAAAAAATCGAGAGACGATAATTAAAGTATGGTACTACATCGTATACAGCCATTTTCATCACTTCGTGCACTTGAGGCGAAATGAAGCGCATTGTCACAAAATATGCTTCGAGAACCTCTGTACAGAGCAGCAGTTCGCGTTTGTCATTATGCGAAGAGCCATCAACTTTAAGACAGATATCCATAATAAGTTGCGTTAATTTCGTCTTTTGCAAAAACAAGATCTTCAGTTGAGGGCCTTATGTGTGATGAACTGATCATCCTAGCTTGTTTCCAATAAATCATGTCAGGGCCCTATTCGAACCAGCGTGACTCCTTTAATCAATGCTTGCATCGAGCACATTTTGGGAGTTTCCAATCCTCTTGGATGAAATTTGGATATAGATTGTTAGGAATGCGAAGACTGAAACGAGAATGTAACTATTGTACACTGGGTCGGGCAAAAAAAAAAAAAAAAAAAAAAAAACAACATAAAGGAAAAGAAAAAATGTGTCCCCCGTGTCGTGACTTTACTTGTCGGCGTAGGTCAAATCCAGGCCTTCCAAATCTCCCTTTTCCCTCCACTCTCGCAGCAACTTGAAGAATGCCGGACTTCCGGCTCCGTACGTCGCACCTCTTGCAGTCTTGATATTTGCTTCCATGCCCTCATTGTTATAGTACCCTGGCGTGCACTCCTTCAGGAATGGTTCCCTGAGCTTTGCCAAAGTTACGATGGTTTCGACCCACTTGTCCTCAGCTTCTTGAGTTGGCTCAACAGTCGAAATTCCTCTCTTCTGCGCCTCGGATATAACGTATGCCAGATGCTCCGCCTGCTCGCCCGTCACGTGAAGGAAGTTCGGTGAGAGAGCGGCTTGGACGACGCTGATTAAGAAGCAATTCGGGAAGCCTCTTGTTGTCCAACCATGCAACGTGCAAGGCCCATCAGCCCACTTCTCGTCGAAAGTCATACCGCCGCGGCCGTAAATCTGCATGTTCGTTTTGTGGCTGTACTCCGTTGCAAGTTCGAAGCCAGTTGCCCAGATAATGCAATCAACTTCGAATTCTTTGCCATTGGCTACAACACCCTTTTCTGTGATATCTTCAACGCCTCTGCCCTTAGTGTCCACTAGCTTGACATTAGGTTTGTTAAAAGCTTGAAGGTACTCGTCATGGAAACACGGTCTTTTGCAGCTGGAAGTTCAGTTTTATTAGCTGGAAGTCAGAGTTAAAGAGTTAGGGGATCGTACAGTTGATTGTACCATGGCTTCAATGATTCTGCAGTTTCTGGGTCCTTGACAATGTCAGAAGCCCGTTTACGCACTTGCTCCATCTTTTCAAAGTCGGCGATTTGGCGGTCTGCGGCTGCTTTTACAGGATCATCGGACGGCTTTCCACGGGCGAGCAGATTGTGGAGAATATCTGTCCAACCGTCGTGGACTAGATCCTTCTCGACTATGCCACCATTAACAATAATGTCAAAATTTTCCATTCGCTCTTTTTGCCAGCCCTTCTTTAAGGACTTTGCCCATTCAGGATCCGTTGGCCTGTTCCCACGCACATCAATGGAAGATGGAGTTCGCTGGAAGACATAGACCTGCTTGGCCCAGTTTCCGAGATGTGGAACAATCTGTACAGCAGTTGCGCCAGTGCCAATGATGGCGACTCGTTTATCCGAGAGACCGGTGAGGTTGCCAAGATTGTCGCCGCCGGTGTAATTGTAATCCCAGCGAGCAGAGTGGAAAGAATGCCCTTTGAACTTCTCTATCGGCAAACCCGGTAATTTAGGTCGATGAAGTGGCCCTGCTGCAGGAACAACGTACTTCGAACGAATAGTGTCTCCGCGATTAGTCTTTGTGATCCATGTTTTGGTATCCTCGTCCCATCTTAAAGAGTTCACCTCTGTTTGAAACAGAGCACGCTCGTAGAGACCATATTTCTTCCCGATCATCTCGGAATGGTGGAGAAGCTCCTTGGAATGAGCGTACTTCTCAGTCGGCATGTAATTCAGTTCTTCAAGAAGTGGCATGTATATGTAGGATTCAATATCACATTGAGCCCCCGGATATCTGTTCCAGTACCAGGTTCCGCCAAAATCACCTGCTTTCTCAATCATCTTGATGTCAGTAATGCCAGCTTCAATCAGTCGAACAGCAACTAGTTGAGCACCATAACCGCCCCCAATAATGACCACTTGGCAAGTTGTCTCAATCGGCTCTCGTTCGCCTGAGCCTGGCTTAACCCAAGGATCAATCAGGAAGTGACTCAAATGCCCATCGGCTAATCTGTACTGGCCAAGGCCACCGCCCATCGCAAGTCGTTTGTCCCGCTCTTGTATATACTTTTCCTTCAGCGCCTTTGGATCAAACGGCAGATCGGCAGGTCTCTTAATCTCCTCAACCTTCGCATCTAGATATGCTTTTTCTGGAGTGGGGCCAAGAATATCGACCTTCTCAAGAACCTCAGGTGTCGCCATTTTGACAAATTACTTGAAAATATGAGTCTTTTGCGTTCTTAGGGTATATAATTTCGGCTTAGTTTAAGAGTTGCTGAAAAGTAGCAAAACACACTGGACAAAATCGAATTTGTAGATTTATCGTATGATATTTTGGGAAGTATCGGGAATTCCGTAAGGGTTTCCTCTTCAAAGCAACTGATTTTTGTCTTCAAATACTTCGTTGGCGTTGGATAGATGGAGAAAGCCGCGGCAGGAGTACCTACGACTCCTCTCTTCTGGGTTTCGGCAACATCGTACCTTGTAGCAACAACAACTGGCGGTGCACAGCTTACAAGGCCATTGGACGCTGTGGATTGCATCAGCCATACCCCGCGTTGCCGGATTCTGACAGTGTGGCTACAGATTTATGATTTATGCCTAGCCCGAGGTTATGCTCTTTATTCTCAAAGCGCTACTCCCTTAATCTTCATGGTGGGGTTAAACGGCTCACGTGACCTTCGGAAAATGACTGAATATGCAGAGACCAGAAAGCCGAGAGTCCTCGTCTCATGATTCCGTTTTAACAAGGTGTTCATGAATGACGTTGATTCTTACCTTGCCCTAATAATCCATCGAGATATCCTCTCTTGTTAAATGGCCTGTCAAGATATCCGTCAAGCGTGGAAGACAACGTGGCGTTACACACAAAGTTTCAGCTTACGTCGACTGAAATGACCAGGAGGCTGATAACATGTTAATTATAGAATTTAGCATGAATACCATTATATCCAAGCAACCTCGTTACTCATTTGTCCTTTAATTATCCTTTTTTATCTGAGATTGCGGTGTCTGTAATAGTCAAAGAGCCCATACCTTCAAAGCATTGACCAACCCAAAAAGGAACTGCACATGGCTCCCATGTGCGATGCTATTCAAGATCCGACCCCATCTGTGCTTCGTACGAAAGGGGCAGTACATCCTTGTGATATGCCGACAGCCGACGCAAAATCTGGGTCTCAAGCTTTGTTGGCACGTCTATTTTTCTCGAACTGGAAGTGCTTCTTAAGATGAAGGTGCCACGGGAATCAATTTAGCGTTAATGATCGACCATCACAAGGATGTTTACGACAACATATCTTCATGTGCCTCGGCACTGGAGGCATATGATGGAGGATATATCAACACTCAGATTATGCTATCGAATTTGAGCAAGCCGGCTTCAATAGTAAATCTGCAACCATGGATACAAAACCAAACCCAAAGGATTCTATGAAGAGTACTTGGAGGAACGATAAGTCGCAATGGGGTTTTTGGCACTACCTTTATGAGTGGTTCTCGATCATGCCAACAATACCTGGTCGAGAAACGCCAGTGCATTCGAAGGATGACCCAATTCCTTGGATGTCCGACTGGCAATTACAGAAATGGGTTATATCCCACGCAATCCTACCGCTCGCGCTACAGCAGCTTATAGTATATACGACCGGTTACAATTTCGGACGTCTCGCAGCCTTCTTCTACTACAGCATTTGGTTTAAGGCGATTGCTATCCATGAACTGGTCTTGATACGGCATTTGGGGCATATCTATGGCTTTTTCGATGGTGATAGCCATGCAAGAGATGAGGTGCCGGATTGGTCAGTTGGCAAGGTCATTCGATCACTCATTGCTACTTCAAGCGGCCGTCCCATGATGGCTGTCATGATTAGCTACAGCAAAGCCAAGGCACCGTCATCGATCGATTGGTTCTGGTTGCCTATTGAAATCGGCTTGTACGGTATCATCCTGGATTTCTGGTTTTACTGGTAAGTACAGCATATGGATAGGATATTCGCGGCTAAGAAACTCCAGGTATCATAGACTCATGCATGACGTTGACTGGTTGTGGCGATATCATCGAACACATCACCTGACCAAACATCCAAATCCCCTCTTGACCCTTTATGCGGACACTGAACAAGAGATTATGGACATTGCAGGCATTCCTTTACTGACATATGTAACAATGAAGTACGGAATGGGCATGCCCATGGGTTTCTATGAATGGTGGATAGCGGTACGCCTAGTTCTTGAGGATGTCAGACGAAGAGCTAATGTCAAAGCAGCATATGTACGTGGTTTTCTCCGAACTCTTTGGTCACAGCGGCGTGCGTGTTCTTGGTTCCCCGCCCTCAACCTTGACATGGCTTTTGCGTTGGACAGGTACGGAACTTGTTATCGAAGATCACGATTTGCATCATCGTAAGGGATGGAAGAAGAGCTTCAACTACGGAAAGCAGACCCGACTATGGGATGTTATTTTTGGTACTGCCCGCGATCGAATTGAATGTATACCCAAGAATCTAGACTACAACACGGTGGTAGAGCTTCCGTTGCTCTCGATGCCAAATCTCCCCTCTTCATGATCTATATCATGGTACACTTCAGGTATTAGAGAAAAAGCGGAAATTTTTGCTATATCATAGCATTTAGCGAAGAATATAAAGTTCTATAGATCCATGAAAATGAATTATCATGCCTTTAACTGTGATACGTGCAAATGCGTTATAAGGAAACTACTGATGTTACCCAAGCACCATCTTAAGCCCAAAGTATGCTCATTGTTCGCGACTAAGATGTCACCAGCTTCAATAAAAAATCAAGCACACCCTAATGTGACACAATTCTTTCAAAAGAGTGCTGACATACTAATCTTTGAATTGCACTCCTCGAGATGAGATCATGTTGCAGTGCAGGATGCTTTATGTTGTTCCTTGTTGACTACAGCGATTTGAGTGCATATATTCATGTACATCCATTTCCACCTTTACTAAGCCGGAAATGCTTATTTTTTTTATTTCTATCTGTGAAAGCCTTCGAAGTTTTGTAGGTTTAAATAACCACCTCTGTGCCTCAACTTTTGCGATGCAATCATAGCAAAAGCAGATTTCTCCACAGGATATGTTCTTGTGTGCGATAATTGCGTTACCAAGGCCCAAATTTAAATTTTGATATTTTCCAGTCAACAGGCTGAACATACAATTCCTTAATCATATAACTTCGCACTTTATTACCAGGGAGTAAGTGCAACGTTTTTACCCCACCCAGTAGTTTTCGCAGCCGCCTCTAGTGCAGGCACAATGTCTTGTAAACCAAAAGTCTGTTCAACAGTCTGACCAACGTGTGAGCCAATTTTAAGAATACCATTCTCAGCCATCTTGATCAACTGTTGAGCTTGAGATCTCTCATACATGAAGTTTCCACGCACGGTGATGTTGTTAAACATCAACAACATGTGAGGTAACTCAATGTTACAAGTAAGACCACCCATCAACACACAAGTTCCTCCATTTTTTAATGCTGAAATTCCATGGAATATATGAGCTGGTGTCTTTCCCTCAGACCCAGCTGCGGGAGGAGAAATATCCAAGTAAACATCTGCACCATTGCTTCCAACAGCCGCCCTCAGCGACGCTGCGTCATTTTCAGCATCACCTGTCCAAGCAACAGTCTTCAACCGGCCGTCAGAGACCTGTTTCATTGCCGAAATAAGTTTATCAAGACTCCCTTGGCTACGTCCACAAGCAACCACTTTCGCACCCAAGCTCAGAGCAATGAGAACAGCGGCACCACCGAAGTTTCCTGTAGATGGCGCTACGATGACCGTGTCACCTACTTTGACGCCCGCATCTGCTAGGCCTCCGTATGGGATCATGAGTGTCTGGAGAAGTGGTAGATCCGTAATATTGTAGCCTTTATCTTTCATCAAAGACTCTTCATCGAGAGCATATACACTCTCTAGTGGCACCTGGACATACTCCGCCATGGAGCCATTTCTCCAGACATTACCACTCAGCGCCCGAGCAACTTGTGTTGCTCCAGCATGTAAACCGATTAAAAATTGAATAGCTGGGTTGTCTCGAGCGGTGATAATTGCATCAGTGATCACTAATTGGCCCTCTTTGAGTGAAGTAGAGTCCGAACCTGCAGTCTCAACACGGCCAACGCATGCTTTGATCTCGATTAGCCAAATATGAGAAATGGAAAAATAATAATTGCACGTCTTCTTACCTCCCCCGGGAGTCATCGGAAAGTGTAAAGGGTAGCCTAGAGAGCCGTTGAATACATTCTGGAGATAATCTGATAGATAAAGTGCGAGCACCTTCACAACAACAGTTCCAGGGATTGCGGAAGGTTTAGGAACTTCTTTCACTTCAAGAGGATGGTCGAAGCTATTAAGCACGACTGCACGATGTGTTTGTGCCATGAAGACTTGATTGATATTTCAGGGAACGAAATCTTTGACGGCTGAGATGAATAGGACTATTTCCATGAACTTCAGTCCCCATCTTGGCATTCACATCAATTATATACGTCTCGAGGCTGAACATTTCAACGCGGAGTTACCTGTAAGTAGCCCCGCGCTACAAACTAATACCTGGAATATATGCAGTAAATACGAACGACACTAGACCTAAAGGATCGAAATACGAAATCAACTCCTTGGTTTCAAGGTCGGATATCTTGCATTTATCTGCAGCAATGCTTGGGAAGTACTACCCAATCCAGAAAGACTCCAAGCTCCCGGCGAATCAAAGCCTAATACCTCGATACCATGTACTTTATCATCGCTTAACTTAATAGCGCAAAACATGCAAGTCTACGTATGCAGAACGGGTGACTCTTTGTAGCTACCGCCTCTGTCGCAGACTCAAATCAAGATTAAACATATTGTCCGAACTCCGCAAAATCGGGACCTCCATCAAGCTTTTACTGCATATTCTGGAGTGCAACGCCTCCTATACGATTTGCTGTTAATTCGATGTCACTAAATTCAATATTTTGCGTTAATTTGGCTATATCTGTGTATAACTTAACCATCACATTTCAATCCTGTCACACTCATCACCGAGGCTTAGATTTGAACTCCGAGCGGTTAATCAATAATCAAACTACGTAAAATGGACTTTGACGAATGGATTTGCGTATGTGAAGCGACTCAAATAAGCAACATCAAGGAAGCAAAAGCTGTATTTGAAGCACGCTTATTCAACTACACTGCATCTTGCTAAGTACTTCTAGCCCATAGTTCCGCCCTCTCGATACCATCCTCGCTTTCGTAGGCGCCCCTGACTCTGAGCTTTATTTCAGGTTTTTTCGCGATTGTCTGCAGGACAACGCAATATCGCTCCGTTAGTTTACCCAGTCGTTCAACCTGCTCCTCAGAGATTTCGTTCTCAAAGCTGACATCAAAACTCATACGAATCTCTTTGAAGCCCACAGGCGCATCACGATCAATACCAAGAGTTCCCCGGAAGTCCAAGTCGCCTTCCGCTCGAATGTTCCCATCCTTCAATGGAAGTGAGAGAGCTGTTGCGACAGCTTTCATTGTTACTCCTGCGCATGCAACCAATGCTTCAAGCAGCATATCTCCTGAGCATAATTCGCCACTGACATCAGGGTTGTCGCCGCCGGCCTTAGGATGCAAACCTGCTACGCGAGTCGTTGCTTCCTTGATAGCGGCTCCACTGGAGAGTTTGCACGCGATAGAAGTGTTTGACAGAGTGCCTTGCGCTGAAAGTGTCACAAATGCTTTAGACGGATCTTTTTTGTACAAATCCTTGATTGGTGCTTGCTTTTCTCGAAGCGAAGACGTTGTTACTTTTGCACGTTCGCTCACTTCGTGGCCACAAGCACAAGAAGAGCAGTGCGAGTCTGACGTCGTTGCGTGGGTTGGCTGAGCCATGACTTGTGATCCGGTTACCAGTAATAGCAATATAAACTTGCTCGTCGATAGCAATAAATTTTGTACAATTAGATAGAAGAAAAATTCATTTCGCAAAGCGCAAGTATCTCCATTTCTGAATTCTACTCGATATCTCTTTTTTAATGTCTTGCTATGATTGACCCCGCTTGGCCCTGATCTCCGGAGACCCACCAATCGCGGTCCGATGGAGGCGTTCGGTCGAACGCTTCCACCTGGTTATCAACCGAAAGGTTGATTAACAAATGTTTTTTTTTTTTTCAAGCGATCACCTGGAACCCTAATTCCTGGCGCCTAAACGGAGGGTGGAAAAGCTTTGAATTCAGGGTTGAAGCCTGATTTGAGGACAATTGTAATGTGGACGTTCAAGCCAAGTGTACCGCTAGCCTTCGTCCAGAAATCTCTCCTCTTCTCATGCGATCAAGACCTTCATTGACCGCACTCAAACCGCCGCCCAGGACTTCAACTTCTGGAGGAAGAATGTTGCCACTTGCAAGCAGTTTCTCTAACCAGACCATCATTGCTTCTCCAATAGCCGGAACTTCATGATGGAGTTTGATCGGCACTATATGCTGAGTGACACCTGTCATAGGATCATTCGGCAAACCTGTCAAACCAACAAGATGCGAACTTAAACTTTTTTCGCTGCAGCAAAGCGCCTGTTGTAGAAGCGTGGCCGTCGGCGTTCCAACAGTATCGACGCCAAAGCGAAGTTTGCCCTTGGTCACTTGGCGAATAATATCGACTGCTCTGTTCGTATCATATGCGTCAACAATTAAATCTGCTGGTCCTTCTGAAAGACGAGCTCCGTGTTTTGCAACATCGACTACCTTGATGACGCGCAGGCCCGAATGCTTTGCCAGTTGTGCGAGAACGCACGCTGTCGCAGAGGACCCTAAGATCGGCTTAGTTTTCCTCTCTTTGACAATAATATTTAGGCACAAAGCGAGCTTACCACCCCAAATGACAAGCCAATCTCCTGCTACTGGACGCTCAGAGCTCACGATATTGCTGAAAGATTCCGCCCTTACGTCGATTGGGATTGCGTCGACTGGTACAGACTTCAAAATTGCCTTTAGATTTGGTCCGCGTGGGACATCACCAACCAAGCGCTCGAAATCAACACCCAGACATACACCTAATGTTAATGCCGCAGCGACAAAAGCGACACCGAGCCCGGCGACCCGACTCTTATCTCCGATGCTCGTAGGGACCCTGCAGAGGTTGAAGGTCGGTGCAACTGTGAGCTCCTGGAAGGCAGCTTTTCTTCGATCTCGGTAGTCTGTTGATGCAGATAATACAATGTCGCCTAACCTAATTTTCCTAGCAGACGTGCTGTTTGACGTCAACGGTGTGGCAACAACTTGCCCAACGAATTCTCTACCAGCAATGTATGGAAGCCACGGAATTCCAAAGCCAAAATCCGGTGCTTTCCAGTCAATTGGATTGAGACCTATGTATTGGACCTTGACAAGAACTTCATCTCCCGGATTGGGTTCTGGTATCTGATAGGTGTGGTCGAGCTCATAGCGTTGCCTTTTACCGTGCAACAACAACCGCTCCTGCTGTTTTGGAATCGCGTAACCCTGTGGCAGATGATCATGCTGGAACATCAAGGGTTCTTTCTGTTCCATAAAATCAGTGTCTTCATTCTCCGAATTGTTTTTTGAATCTTTGCGTTTTTTAATCGTTCTGTCATGTTCAAGAATGTTGTCTCTCCGTCTTTTTAAACCGCTTTTTGCCACACTTTCTTGAATAGAGGCAATAGAAGACATTTTGAATTCATCTGTACCAAATCTTTTGAGCACGAGATTGTGGTCCTTTTTGTTCTGTTATGGGTGTGACCCTACCGAAGATCGGCAAGTCCCTCCCGATGACGATTTTCAAGATAGAACCCGAAAATGCATGGGGATATACGAAGGTTTCAATGACGTGAAGTAATTCTAAATATGGCAATCAAGAGATTTCAAAACTTCTAAAAACGAATAAGATATTGAGCCATCGTAGCATAACATTTTGGACATTTGAGCTAAGACATCGCCAAAAATCGGACGAATTGGAAATCGGATATCTCGAAGATTTGAAGACGCTGACAATCGATTTGAACATTTCCACGGTTGTGCCGCTGAGCGTGCCCATTTAAGACACATTTAATAAACCTGAATTTTGGAAATAATAATAACAATAATAATTGAACATCTCTTGATTCGTTCGGACTAAGGCTCCAGGAGTAATCTCGCGTTTATTCAATCAATCTCGTTCCTGCTACCGTACTCGTGTCTTTTCCGGAAATGCGTAACCGAAGGATATGAATCTATCTCTTCTTCACTCATATTTTCCCGACGTATTCCTCGATCGCATATTGTAGTTGTCCCAAAAGAGGCCGGCCCTCCAAATCCAGGCAGCCGAAGTTCAACCAGATCGTGACATCTTTTCCCTGCATAGAGTATTTTGACTGAACCAAATTCTAACTTTTCATTTCACTGTTTTAACTCAACCTTGAATTCGCCGAAAATCGTTAAAGATAGCGCTAACGTGCCTGTTGGTAGCTATTGACGTAGCTACTGTATACTTTGACTATTTCGGCAACCCGGGGGCCGCGCTCTGCCAGCCGTCTCCTGAACATATAATAAATTGCTCTCCATATATCACAGCTGCTGTCTACTCTAAAAAGGTGCAAGATTGACAACAGTCTACGCAAAATTACCAACAATATATCAATGTGACCATAGTTCTGAACATCTTCATACTTAACATTTCTTTCATATGTTTTCATATCGATTATTATCAACGACTAAGTATAAACTAGTGAGAGATTTAACTCTTATATGGCCATGCTGATATTGCTAATTGCAACTTGTGTGAATCTCTGAGATGTTACTTTGCCATTAGACGACTCCCCGCATAAGCCCCTATAAAACGTGGTGCGATTTGCAAGTGACTTCTCTCCCCTAATGACAGTTGTTGACAGACGTAGAAGGAACATCTTATTAGCTACTATCTGTACATTCTGAGTTTCGTTTCAATTCAGTCATCAACGATAGCAATGCATCACAGTTTGGTTATCAGGCGTTCTTTTTTTGTTCTAACAACTCAGAATATTACAAATAGGCCCAAGTCTTTTTCTTATGTGACTAATAGCAATTTCAAAAATGCTAATATATACTAGATATTTCTTATAGTCTATAATCTTGTAAAATCAAAGAAACATGTAAGAGCTGTCATGTCAAATCTACTTGCTGCAGCCACGGTCTCAACTGAGCGAAGTATTCTTCGCAGTATTTAGAAGCTGATAATCCCCCAGTGTTATTACAATACCATGGGCATTGTGTGCAATTGGATTGTGTTACTCCGTAGTCCTGCATGGTCATTGAGTACATATAATAAGGAGAGTTAAGAGCATAGGGGCAAAATAGATCACAAATAGAAAACGTATTTTCAACGCGATAAGTGCCGACAGGAGCCAGAGAAACGCTAACATGATTCCTGTCAAAAAAGCCCAAAAATCGACTGATACATTGGAGTTTCTTTTAAAAATGTCGGAAATTCACAGATATCTTCGGCATTTGGACTGACTGATCTTTATGGATTGATGTCGTCCAATACATCTTCCGCGAACATTTTTCTCTGAACGTGTCATTGTAGCAATAGTTTTGCTCTGGTTCAAAACAAAGCTCATCGCACGCCAAATATAGAAGAGAATTACTACGTAGCTATTTCTACAGCCCGAGCGGTTTTGCTACATGTGTTCTCACTAGAACGACACTTGAACTGATTTCTTCATGAGTAGAAATCATGTGACGTGTCGGAATGTTCGGAATCTCAGTTCCGACAACACAACTTGGTCAAATCTACAAATCTAGCATAGCGGCGAAGTATCAATTGATCTCATAATTCTGATATGTATATAAAGCTCTCAAATTCCTTTAAGTATCAAAGTTTTAAAAAGTCTCTTGTAATCATACTTGCTAACAGGCCCAGATCGAAACGCAAACAGTTTGCAATAGGAGCTCTTTGTGCGAGCACGTATTTATGCACAGCGTTATTTCGAATGCGACAGAGGATGTTTCGTTTGAATTCTCTCTTGCAAAATGAACTAGGAGCTTACATGCCAAGCGTTCTCCCAAAGACTTCCCGGTGTCTCTCGGCGTGCATTCACTCCACGGGTCTTTGTACCGATAAAGCTTCGATGATGAGCTTTTCACAGTTTTTTCGATGGTTTCTGAAATGAAATAACATAGAGGCCCGACAAAAAAGATGATAAATCACGAGTTTGGATCATTAATCAGAGACTATTAAATTGTGCACACTAGTCATTTTAAAGTTGAAACCTTAACAACGTCAGGCCCCATTCTGCCACGATCAGTACACGTTGAAAAATATAGTTGCATGTCTAAAATTAAGAACAGGAACCCAACCGGATTCAATTTTTTCCAAGCATTACGTGTCATGCCGGTTCTGGGCAGCAGCAAAATTCGAAAAGAGTTTCTTCTATCGAACTATGAGCTCGCATCCTTTTAAACGAGTTTTTTGATTTCATTTATCTGTCAACTTATTTATATACCTAGAGATCATTTGAGTTCATTCTGTGTGGGAATAATTGCTACACTTCGTATTCCCGGTTATCACTTGTTTCTTCTTCTGAGAAGTGAGATAACAAGATTGCTCGACACATCTCCAACGCATTGAAATTCGGTGTGACCTTGAATTTATCAACCCATTTCTTTCATTGTTCTTGCAGCCTGTTTAAAATGTACTTTCTTTGGGGACCTGCTGTCATTCTAATGCTTCATACGAGCAGGTCTGTCATTGCACAGAAGAACTATCTCAACCACGCTCGTGATGCCGCCAAGGTCCTCCAGAAATGGTACGACATGGAAAGTGGACTTTGGAACACTACCGGCTGGTGGAATAGTGCGAACTGTCTTACAGTGCTGGCAGGTCTTACCCAGCTTGATCCTAATATGTCCATTATAATTGGAGATGTCTGGAAGAATACTTTCGTGAAAGCGCAAAAGTATAATTTGAATCAATCCAAGTCACCAAACTGCACTGCAGCAAGCTGTCCGAAAGTTGAGCGGGCGTACCGCAGATCGGGGAGTATTTGGGGAACACGGAGTATCTATATTTCGGGCGATTTGCAAATCGATGATTCGAACACCAAAGGTTTTTTGAATGGATTTTTCGACGATGAAATTTGGTGGGCATTGGGATGGATAAAGGTATACGACATTACTGGCGATACAAGTTACCTGCAAGCGGCTCATGACATTTTTGAAGACCTGCGAAATCATAGCGCAAATGCGACTTGTGGTGGCGTATGGTGGGATCGAGCGAAAACAGCCAACACCGCCATTGCGAATGAGCTCTTTATCAGCGTAGCTGCACATCTAGCAAGTCGTGTTGCGGACAAAAAACTGTTCTATCTGAATTTCGCTCTCGATAACTGGAGGTGGTTTGAGCAAAGCGGAATGTTCAATCAACAGAAACAAATAGTCGACGGAATAAATCTCAGTACTTGTAAAAACGATGGCAGGGACGTCTGGTCATACAATCAAGGCGTCATCCTAGGAGCATTAGTAGAGCTTAACAAGCTACATCCAAACGAAACATTCATACAGCAAGCAACCAGCATTGCAGACGCTGCGATCAAGTACATGACCGACTCAAATGGCATCCTTCATGACCCCCATGAGCCAGATAATGGCGAGGATGGCTTTCAGTTCAAAGGGATATTCGCGCGTAATCTAAAAGACTTGTATTTGGTGACGTCAAACCAGGCTTACAAGAATTTCCTTGAAACCAACGCAAACAGCCTTTGGGAAAAGGCGCGAGACTTCCATTCTGGTATCATTTCCAATGTTTGGTCTGGACCGTTTAAATTATTGCACGCATCAGCCGCAACTCATAGCTCAGGAATGGATGCACTGATTGCAGCTGCGGCAGTTCAATGATTTTGTTATTTTAGTGAAGAGTCGAAAATATGTACCGAAAATCATAGAATCTGAAAATGGCCTTCTTAAAGTTTTAGCCCAGTTTCGGGAGAAGAACCAAATAACGGAGAACTCGGGATAACTAATTGATTATTGCTCTACTCTGTTAGCTTTAGGCAGGGATTGAGCATCGCTGCACGTCATTACAGCATTTATCTCAAATTCTATTATATATTAGTACATTCGTAAAGAGCTTAAGTACATTTTATGTTGACATGTCTATTTTGACATCAGGAAGCTTCTAATCGATGATCCGACCAGTTAAGCTTTCCGTAAATCAGAGAGCTGCTTGCATCGAATCTTAGTCCTCATCTCTCAAAACCACACATGAACAAGGCGAGAAGTATTGTGCCGTCACAAAATCATTTTTTCACGAACTGTGTTTAGGCTCTATGTTAATGGGGTAAGTTTCAGCACCAGCCGAGGTAGCTTCTCAATTGTGAGGAGATTACGTCCCTAACTTGCGTGGGGCAATACGATCTCCAGCTTAAAAGGACTATCCAGCTGTTGCCTGCAGCATATGTGGTCAACATCTCTAAAATGAACAAGACACACTTTCGTAACGGCCCTGCGTGTCCTGGTGTTGCTTTTATTACAGGTGGCGCTCGTGGGCTTGGAAATGCCATCGCTGTTTCTTTCGCCAAAGAGGGAGCACGAGGTGTGGCTCTGATCGACATCCAGGACGATGACACGTTTAAGAAAGGAAAGGAAGCGGTGGAAAAGTATGGAGCGAAGGTAATCCGTCCAGCTTGAATCCGAGAAACTGGAGAACTCATAGCTGTTAGTGCATAACTATTCACGCAGACGTTACCAAGGAGGATCAAGTCGAGCGAGCTATTGCGGAGACGGTCAAGGAGTTTGGTCGTATCGATTATGCGGCGTGAGAAGCCATTATTAATTCTGCGTGGATCAAGTTATCGAACCCAAAACGCTGATATAGACAGGAATTTTGCTGGCATTATTGGACCTCTTGGACCTTCGTGGGATATTTCGTTAGAGGAGTGGAAAAAAGTGATCGATGTTAATCTCGTTGGCGTTTGGATTTGCACCAAGCACGAACTTAAGCAGATGCTCAAACAAGATTCGATCGAGGTGTTAGTGGAAATTTGCCAAAGACGTGAGGCGCATGTTCTGATTGCATATAGCGAGGAGGGCCGAGTTCCCCAACAGGGATCAATCGTGAACTGCGCGTCCGTAAATTCCATACAAGCAGGAGCGGGAACCACGGGTTATTCCGCGGCAAAACATGGCGTAATGGGAGTCACTAAAGCCGTTCGTAGTCCTTGGACGTGGAGCTTGTTGCACCTAGTTGACATGTTGTAGGCATGCCTCGAAGCACGAGGATCGAACATTCGAGTTAACGCAGTGTCGCCCGGGTTTTTACTAACAGATTTAGTGAAACCGTCCTTTGATAGTGAACAAACGGGTCAAAAAATGTGGAAGGTGTACGAAGACCGACAAGGCAGAGCAGCTAGTTTCAGTGAAGTTGGAGATGTGGTAGCGATGTTAAGTACTCCGCGCTTTAGCTTAGTGAACGGCCATAATCTTGTGATTGACGGGTATGCAATTTTGCTATTTGCCAAGACTGATACCTTGCTAATTCTTCACAGCGGTTTCACGATCAATGAAAATACCGTGTAGATAATCCGCCAGCTAGATATTCTACTCTCTGTATATCCGCCAAGAGAGGACAATGACAGTTCAACAAGGCATAATCTACATATCAGGGGCAGCAAATTTGACAACTACACATGATTCTTTTTTGTACCACGACTGACTACGTTGAGAATGGCCAACAGCCGACGACGCGTTCCGCATCTTGATCAATGACGAGAGCAGGTGCTGCACCAAATTCCAACGGGTTTCCCTCCCAAATTACAATGTCGTTAGAACTCTTCAAGCCAAGAATGCGTTCAACATTAGTGCTAACAAGAGCAACAGCGTATTCGTCACTCAACCCTGCGTACTTCGCCGCCCAGCTTGCCTCAATAGGAAGATTATGAATGAAACTATTCCCTTCGGAACTTTCAATTGCGAGGGCAAAGTTTACGCCCGCTTCATGAAGAATCGCGACCGGTGATCGCGTCAGAGGTGGTCCAGTGAGCAGGTCCTTCTTCTCCCAACTGTCCGGTGAGCCACGATGGTGAGTGAATATCAAAGAGACATTGGCTCGAGCGATAGCGTCTGCGACTAGAGGAGCCTCTGCTCCGCCAAATAGAACAAGTTTGAGGTTTGGCATGTCTCGCTTGATCGCTACTAGTTGAAGTATGTCATACTAGTTCGCGTTGTCAGCGAAAGTCTCTCGAGGTCCTGGATTTTACTTACCCTATTCTCAGTATGTATGACGAGAGGAGTATCACCATTAACAACGCTGCCATAGATGTTATTCTTGCCACTATTTTGAGCAAGCAGCTTTCGCAGCTTTGCAACTGAAGCTGAAACCGTTTGAGTGCTTTTCTTCGCGCCTTGACCAACCACAATGTGCAAACCTACTTCATCCTTAAAGATCCCCTGCTCCAGCACGTTCTCATTTTCGCTAGTTTTAATGCCGACACTAACAGCGCCACCAAAGCCACCTTCGTCTACATGAGGGATTGATACAGCGCGAGTCACACCTCCGATGCGAGCTCGTCCAAACGCTTTGCCACTCAATCGGATGCCATAGCGTGCGTATATCAGTTGACTTGGATCTGATACATCCAAATCAGCTGGAACTCTTCCATCAACCGTGCTCTTCTCTGCTGGAATTTCCTCCAGTCCTAGGCCGGTGGTCACCGCAGTGAGACCAGGAAAAACATGACCGTTCTCAAGATGAATTCTCTCGCTATTTACATTAAAGTCAGAACATTTTGCTGCAGAGCCAAAACACGCAATTTTACCATCTGCAACTGTAATCGCCAGATCTTCAAAGGTCTGTCGCAGTGCGCCCGCCTTGTGAAAAAGGGATCTCTTGATGCCGGTAATATGGACACTTGAGGTTTCAAAGATATTCTTGCAACTTTTCTGCTTGTTCGGCGTCTCTGCGAGTGGTCGTGTGCGGTTTGATTGCTCTGTTAGCGACATTGGACTCGACAGGCTGCCCACATATTCCCTACTTAGTTTTTCGTCTAGAGTCTCGCGGCCGTCCACATAAACTTGAATCGGAGTGGCACCAACGGACAAAGGATGCGATGTCCAGATAACGAGGTCAGCGTCATATCCTGGCTTTGCAAACCCGATGCGATGATGGAGACGGAGCGATCGTGCTGGCACGCTTGTCACCGACTGCAGCGCCTTCAGCTCGGACATGCCAAAACGATGCCCATTTTGAGCTTCAAAAAGAAGATACTTCGCGTTCGTTGCTTCCTCGCCATGATCAGACTTGTAAGCCACGGGAACGCCATGTTCTTCGAGGATCTTGCCGGCGTACAGATTGGCTTCGTAACCTTCCTGCTTGTAGAATCCGAAGTCAGAAAAGGTGGCAATCGTTATGTTGTCGCCTCCGGCCTTTATCATTTCAGGAACTTTCCAAGCAGATATTGCGTGATGGAAGGCTCGAATACTGAATCCAAATTCTTTGCTGTGTCGAAACATGGCTTGGAAATCTTCCGGTTCGTAGCAGTGATTGTGTAGATCGACCTGACCACGGAGCATGCCAATTGTGGATTCAAGCTCAAGCTGCTCTGGTAGTCCTTGTTTTGCCAAGGAAGCGATGAGTCGAGCATCACCACGCTCTCGTGCTGCTTCGGCTGCAAGGCACCATGCATCTTGTTGTTCCTTGAGCTCGTGGGCGCGTTGCAGGTGCTTGCGGAAGATCCAGGCATTCCCCATTCGAGTGTGGTCGTAAACTCGTCGAGGGTTTTCGCCACATGCCATCTTCATATACCTCCTCCTGTCTTCGTCAGCAACTCCGTACTCGAGCAGCATTTCTTCTACGTTTTCTTCCCCGTCTTTACCAGCTCGCAAAACATTCTTGACTGCGTATGCTTCGCCGCCCATGATGTTTGCAGAGCCAGGTAGAATTAGGGAGCTCGTTATACCACCTGAGCGAATAATGTCCGTGGCAATGTCGTAAGGCTTGATGCTGTCGAGTGAACGAACGAAAGGAGTTAACGGCCCCGTAGCTGTCGTCACTGATTTGTCGTTCATCTCATTCGTGTCTTCAGTAGCGGACAATGCCGGCCAGGTGCCAACTAGATGGTGCGAATGCATGTCCACAAGTCCGGGGGTAACATGTCGGCCCTCAACGTCGACAATCTTCGCATCGCCAAGAAATTCGAGCGCAAGGGCAACGGGAGAAACTTTTGTGATAACGCCTTTCTCAAACTCAATATTTACGCGGGTATCAGCCCATCTATCACCGTCAAAGAGTGTGACGTTGTGCAGCACGACAGCTTCTTTCTGGCCGGTGACATGGTTCCAACGCGGATTCGCTCGCCCACGTGTAACTGGGTCCTCGTACTCGACTGGTCTCTTTCTGAAGCTAGCACACTTCCTGAGTCCTATTTCCAACTTCTCGGTATAATGTTGGGTCAGTACGAGTTGACTTCTCGATGTCCAAAGATATGACGAGAGAATGCTAAAATGCAGGTACGCCGTCGATATAATACCAATGCATAGCCAGACTAAGCTTCTACGATGGCTCGAACAGAAGTGTGTCACGTGTAGAAATTTGTCTGTCGGGACTCCCATTTTAACGCAAACGCAGCTTACTGGTGGTGTGGGAAATGCAGTTGTTGAATCGTAACGAGTATTCAAGATTAGTGAGTACGTGCCTTACGCACTAGACCGTATTCGGTAATCAACCTCATGGTTGCATTACGACGTCAATCTGTTAATTGGAACGAGCTAGAAAGGTCGTACGGCTTTGACCTTCGGGTTACTGCTCAAACAAATTACCCCACCATTCTTGTACTGTCAACTAGTAACCCAATAGTCTTCCCGAAATAGGTGTACGCTGAAGATTCAAAGAAAATAGTGTTGTATGTGTCGAACAATGTATCATTTCTTCATTTCGCTAGCCACTAATAATCAAACGACTCGAGGTCCAAACCATTCGGATTTCCATGCTAGCTGGCTGTCACATTGGCGGACTTAGATTCGTCATTTGGCGCTGCAGGCGTCTTCTCTTCTTCATCAAACACATTGCCCCAGCCTTTCACAACATCCGTAGCAGTTCCATCTTCCCAAACATCCACCACCATATTTCCCACAGTGCTATCAAGCAGTCCTCCCCAGTCGTACTCCTCATAGCTTACGACACCGTCGACCGCCTCATTTTCTTTGTTCGGTGCAAAGAACGGCGGTGAACTTGGCATGGGAAAGTCGGACCATAGATTGTCGTCATTTGGAGGCGCAATAAGGCTTTGCGACTTACTTGCTGCGAGCCTGCTGATAGTAGCCATGTCTCCAAATGTAGTCGAGAGGTTCTTCGCAGGAGAAGAAGTAAGTGTCCAATTGAAAGCTCTAGAAGGACTGCTCGTCAAACCGTCTGAAAGAAACTGATTCAAGCTCTTCGTAAATGGAGTCATGTCTTTCGCACTCTGTTGTTGCTTCTCCGCCAATCTTGGACTCCTCCGCTTCGTTGGTGTCGGTGTGTCTGGTGGGCCCATGCAATCGTTGCTGCGCTTAGAGCCCGTCTTCGGTGTCAGTCCTGTGTTCGGAACGCCAGCCTTTGGCGTAAGGCCCGTGCTCAAAATTGAATGCTTAGAATTGGAATTCGGTGTCCTTGGAACGGTTTTGTTTGGTGTCTTTTGCTTCTGAGGTGTCTGAAAAATGCCATCTTCAAAAAGGTGCGCAAACTCATCATCGTCATTATTCGTGGGAGGAAGATTTTCTTTGTTCATGTCGGAGGAATCCTCAGTGTTCAACACTGTCGTCGTCTTTGGTAGTGAAATCGAAGTCGAATCCGATGGCGAAAGAGCTGTGCATTGGGCCTTGCTAGCAGACTGAGAAGCCGAGGTTTCAATACTGTTAGCATCAGATGTGGAGGAAGGGGCGTTATCAAGCGATTTAAACTCGCCATCCTTCCTGGGCGAAGGAAACAAGAGTCGTCTCGTAGGTTTAGGAGTGAGACTATCGTTCTCAGCATCAACTGGAGTCTCTTGCATTCCAAGGTTGCGAGCCGGGCTTGATTGTATAGCCTTCTGTAACGCTGCGTACTCCCCGGGCGCATTCGACTGTTGGGTATCATTTATCAGAATATTCTGAACAGACGTCGAGGGCGCTGGACGTTTCGGTCCTTCATGATCGTTCTGCTGTAGAGCCATATTGCCATCTTGCCGATTCATTTCTGAATGCGCGACGTCATACTGCGATTCAGGCTGTCCAAATGGATCTGTAAAAGTGGGCCTTTCGGGGTGTGGTGTCGGCACATCCCAATCCGACGAAGGTGCCGGTATATCAGATGTGAGCATGTCCGCAGCACCCTTCTTCCTTCGAGAACCCTTTTTGTTCTTCGTCTGTGTCTGCGCAACCGATGGATCCCACAACTCTCGCGGTCGAAATTTGCCCCACTTGCGGATGTAGTCACCGCATGGGTTGCAAAAGTACGTCTGCTCGTAAACTTTCGAGTCGCGTTCTGCCTGGGTGAGGTGTCCATATTGCTTGAAGATGCGATACTTGGTTATCTTGCCTTGCTCATCCCGCTCGAGAACCTCTAGCATGTGTATACCACTTCCGACACCTACTGTGACGTTTTCCGCATCGCCATCAAACACTTTGAGCCAGTACGGTCGCCACGTTGGAGTCTTTATCTCTCCACAATTGCAACAAAAACGAACTGGAGCACCAGAGGCAACAGCAGCCTCTAACTGATTGCTTATCGATGTCGAACGAATCAAGCCCGAACCTCCTTTCGAGCGGGATTTCTTATTTGTTGCTGAAATTTGTCCTAGCCCACTGTCCGAGTCAATATCAGATGAGTCCGCAGCAGCCCAGCTCTGAGCTTTCTTCAGGGTACGTCGTGGGGCCCGTCCGCTCCTCTGTCCAGCCCTTTGTGGATATTCATTCCTTCGTGGCTCCAAAACATAACTAGCTGATGTGGGGCCTTGAAAATAGTTATGCTGTTTGTCGTTCAGAGGGATCATCGACGTAGTGGATGTGTAGTGTGCTGCCGCAATGTTTGGAGAACCTGAAGTGCGATTTGATTGCACGAGTGCAGGACGTGCTTGAACAAGTTGTGTTTGACTGTTCGTCTGATTTGCATTAGACATTGCGGGTAGGGTGTTTGGTTCTTGGGTATCGGCAGTTTGTGGTTGAGAGTTCTCTATCGACGGTACAGCCTTGTGCATATCAGGGGAAGCAGCACTAGTTGGCACATGAATAGAGGATGTCTGCCTCGACAGAGGTTCTCGAGATGTCTTGGATGGCGCACGACCGCCTCTTCGATGAGCGGGTAGCGTATTCGGTGAAATTGGTGTCTGATTCCACTGTGCTGATGCCATTGCGCTCTTTTGGCTTAACGGATCGAAATGCGGGAACGAGTTCATCGGAAGTTTAGCTTGTGGGCCTGGGTGAATGTGCGCAAATTCGATTTCCCCTCTTGCTTTCCTCGCCAAATGAGAGTTCACCGGAGGTTTCATATTTGACGATTTCGTTTCGTTTGCTGTAGGCAAATCACTCTGAAAACCAGAGTCCAAAGCAGCTGGTAGCTCGGGAAGCGGACTCGAAGGGGGTTCTATCGGTGTAAATTCAGGCGGAGATGATGGTAAATCAGGACTAGGTGAACCATGCCTGCTAGATCCACCATCATAGTCGTTCGAGTAGATGCCAGAGTCGTTTCGTGCCAACTCGGGTTCCGCTAATGCATGGGAAGCACTTCCCGTAGACTCTCGTCTCAGATTGCTTCCTGCTCGCGAAGGACCCGGTCGTCCCATTCTCTTTTCTCCAGGTCGTGGTGTGGGTGCTCGAGGAACCATGTCTCCACCTGCTGAGCTGTTGCCAGCTACGGAAGGTCTAAAATCGCGTATGGAAGCCGCAGTCGTCACAGCAGATCTCAAAGAACCTGCATTGCCTCCAAATGATCCTCTCCCATGCCAGTCCGTCTGCATTAGACGGGCTCTCTTCCTAGACGGGGCGTCCTCGAACCCTTGATCGTCAATAGCTGATTCGCTCTGTTGTGGTTGATGGAATGAAGCACGTGAAACAGGTCTTGAACCATGGAAAGCAGCAGGCCGATTTGCCGCAGAGTGATGGCTCGGTGTCGGACTTCCAGCACGGCTGCTGCATGGCCCATTTGAGTATACATCATCCTCTGGCGCAAATTTTGGGGTGAGCATGTCGTGTAGTTGCTCCACACCGCCCACGTTCGCCCGAGCGTTTGATTGCCCAGCAGATCCGTCTCTCAAGATCCCGGCATCCGGAATGGCTTGCAAGAACGAGTTCCACGCGCTGCTATCGAAACCATCGGGCATAACGACGTTGGGATCTCTGTATACTGCCATACTCTGCAAATATTCTCGTTTGGATCGCGTTGGAACAGGTACGAGCTTTAGTTTTACTTCTAAAGTCTCTTTGATGCCACCTGATGCAAACAGTCCCATAATGTTCTTGCAGACTCGACCTGTGACCATCGTACCAGACTCTCTCGCGGGTGCGTTCGGCGTTGGTGAGGCGGTTGCAAGAACCCACGACAGCATTCCCTGCCCAACAAGCGGCGTTTCATATTCCGAGTAATCGTACGCGTAGACAGTGTAGTCGTTCTCTAGCTTAGCTATCATCTCAGGGCTGACCACAATGACCGTGTTAGTGCACAAGAACGCGGGCCTCTTCGCAGGGCAAGTTTGCCTCACCTAGCAGCCACGATAGCCTGTATGCATGTCCTCAGCTCGACAACGCCAATTTCCGTTGACTCATCAAGAGCCACAACCTGGATCGGAACAGGTCTGACCAGTCTCGCCAAGCAATTTGTTTTGTTCTCGTTGTCGAATGTGTATAGAACTTTCACTGCGCGCGAGTCAGAGATGAAAAGACGTCAGATGCTAGGCATTAGCCAGTCGTACCTCGCATAACACGCCTTGGTATGTCTGGTTCTCCATCATCGGCTCCCTCAAAGGCAAAACCGACCGATACATCTTGGGAGCGCACGTCGTCCACGCGGAAGGGCGACGACATCGCGAACGCGTCTTATCCGCAAATAATCCGTTCGAGCACACAATTGCTATCTTGTACGACGCTGCATTGTAGGTGGATAGCTTGGGAGTCCAGAAGGGTGTAAGGAGTTGCGGATGTTGCGAGTGTTGTTGAGCGAGTTACGAGGAGTGGGTACGCGTTGCGCAACAAGACGCGGGTAGTGCAGCTGAGCAGAGGGGGGTGACACGGGGCCTATAAAGCCGAAGATACTGATTCTGAATAGAGTAGGGTGATGAGGCTCTGATACGGCAGTAAAAGGCGAGTTACGCACAACTGAGGAGGAAAATGAGATTGGGTTGTGAGGTGCTGGTCGGTAAGTGTACGGGTGAGGCCAACCAGCCTCGTCGAAGTCGCGAAGAGCTTGAGCCATAGCCAATGACACTCGGCGCGCCTTACGTTTTTGGGAGTAGCTCCTGCTCGACCATCTCACTACTTGAGCTAGTCGTTCCTTCTCTTCTCACGTTACGTTACGCCTCGCGTCACGCGTTCTTGGACTCAATCGACGGTCCCCAAGCATCCGCCTCCAGAGCAGCCGATGGGCGCTGCAGCTTGGCCATGATTCTCGTGGCCTGTTCAATGAGCATTTGCACAGCATCGCTGCGCTCTGTTCTCGCGCCCTTGGACTGCGCGTACACAATCCGTCAAGAGCAAAGGGAGAGCTGAAAAGTCTTCACCCTCGCGTCACGAAACGCGGACAACCTGCCGCACCGTTCAGACACGGCCAGCTCTCGTTGCGGATCGAGCAAGCTCTGTCGACCAGGCTGGAAATATATGAACAAGGCCAGAATTCAAGCCGAATCTGCCGGGATGCTTGCGGAGCTTAATGTGTTAATCTCGCCCGGGTTTGTGTGGCAGAACACATATTCCAGCCCGAGCCTCGTCATCTGAGGCATATACCAACCTGGAAGACGACAAAAGTCATAAGCTATCTGCACGCTCCGATGCATCTCCCTAGTTAACGGCAAGATTCAAGTCTAAAGCGATGAAACTCAAGACACTCCACGTGATGATGGGCCAATTTATCAGCTTGGCCTTCACGGTCGAGAGAGAAGGCCAGCATCATATCTCCCGGGCTCCCTGCTTATCTCTCTCTCTCGCTTGCTCGCTGGACCAGCAAGCTCTCATAAAATCTTGCAGCTAACTTGCTGCCGAAGGACAAGCAGACGGCTCAATACTAACCCAAGGATCGGGTGCCACAACCAAAACACTTGCAAAATGGATGATGCATGTGCACCTGTGAATCTAGTAGATCGCCATCGCCAGCTCAAAAGGAATGCCCATCTCCTGAAGACCCCCTTTCGCTCTCTAAAGCTGAGGTCAGGATCGTGTGTGTCGAAACCATGGTGCTTTTGCATGGACTGGATGTCTACGTGTGTTTCCTGCTCCTCCCAACAGGGGCTCGTTTAGTATAATGCACAATTGGCCAAATTTATGCTCATTCCACACGAGCAAACAACGTTATGTCATCTCTACGGTTTGGCTCTCCGGCTAGTCAGCGCTAGTGATTCTCCAGGGAGGCCAATCTAGAGATTTGATGACGGTTGGTGGGTTTTTGTCCCGGCAGCAAGCTGAAAATAATCCTTGAGGATGACTTCCTCGAACACTTCGCATTCGATGCCTCATGTGCTCGATTGTTTTTGAGACGCACACACGCCGAAAAAGATGGAGAGCCCTTCTAATCATGTTCTTTAGCTGTAGGTCCAACTGATCAATTCACGTACACGTCCCTTGCTGCTCGGTGCTTGAATTACTCCGAGCCTAGGCTCATGCTCTTGGTTCCTCCCACATGACCACTACACACTAAAATCATAGCGATTACCGTAGAGCTAGTCTACGGCCACGCACAACGGTTACGCCCACAATATGCTTCGTCTGGCCAAACCAAAGCTCGGCAGCACATCATCCCCAAATCGTTTCGGCGCTCGGAGGAGCGGACATCATTCCGTCACCAACCTTGCAGCTCGCTCGATGCCCCGCCTAGCCCCGCTGTACCTGTGCAGGCATACGAGAGCGGGCGCTGCAGGTAGACTTGTTCATGACGAGGAGGTCTTTCTCATACAAAAGATGGATTAGATTATATCGCTTAACTGAAAAGAAAGACTTCATTTTCTGCGGCTGCAAGCGGTCACCCATTTCATACATCCTTCATACAAAGGCTAGACAACAATTTTATCCGCCCATAACCTAGAGCTCCTTCAAAATACTAGCAGTCCACTATGTCAAGTATGATCTTATCTAACCTCGCATCCCGTACTACTAGGCCATCAAGTACTGACCATTACGCAACAGCAAAGCACTTTATCTCGGATCCGTCTCACCTCGTCAACACCGCCCTCCATGCTGTAACTCTCACAAACCCATCCCTTTCCATCGACCTACCAAATAAAATCATTTACCGCACCAATGCGAGTCCTTCAAATGTATCCTTGATCTCCGGCGGTGGCTCTGGTCATGAGCCCTCCTTCGCCTCCTTTGTCGGCAATGGTCTTCTCACATCTGCTGTCGCGGGCACAATCTTCGCCTCGCCATCAGCAGTGCAGATACGCAACGCGATCATGGGGCGTGTGCCGACGCAGAAGGGCGTGCTTGTCATAGTGATGAATTATACAGGCGATGTTTTGAACTTTGGCATGGGCGTTGAGAAAGCGCGTGCTCACGGAGTGCCAGTCGAGATGGTCGTCGTAGGCGACGATGTTGGTGTCACGCGTTCGGCTGCAGGAAAGGTGGGAAGAAGGGGAATCGCAGGAACATGTCTCGTGCATAAGGTCACCGGAGCTCTTGCGGAACAAGGTGCCAGCCTGGACGATTGCGTTAAAATTGCGAAGTTGGTCAGTGGAAACCTAGTCTCTGTGGGCGCGAGCCTAAGCCATGTGCATGTACCAGGAAGAGATAAGGTAAGCGCAGAGGAGGAACTGGAAGAGGAAGAGATAGAGGTAGGAATGGGAATTCATAACGAGGCAGGCAGTGAGAGAGTGAAGACCGATCTCGTTGGTTTGGTGAAGAAGATGCTCGCTCAACTGTTGGACCAGACAGATAAGGAACGAGCATTCTTGAACATCCCCAAGGGCGCTAAAGTCGTGCTCCTGGTGAACAATCTCGGTGGCGTGTCAGTCTTGGAGATGGGCGGCATTGTCGACGAGGTCGTCAGGCAGTTGCAGGACACGTGGGGTCTAGAGCCAGTACGCACGCTCCTCGGCACGTTCATGACAAGCTTGAATGGGATGGGCTTCTCCATCTCGCTCTTGCAGCTGCAGGACACAGGTTTGGGTGCTGGCAAGAGTATGCTTGAATTGCTCGATGCACCATCAGAAGCCACCGGCTGGAGTGCAGCCATCAAGACTTCAACTTGGGATAGAGTAAAACCTGCGATCAAGACAGAGGAAATCAAACCTGTAGACGAGGAAGAAAAGCCAGGAAATCTGAAATGTCTGTTTCTATACAGAATCTAGGGAAGGAGTATAGATGCTAACCTGCGCACTAGTTGACTACGCTTATGCGCGAACGGCGCTAGAGACCGCGCTCAAGCGTCTAATTGCAGCAGAGCCCGACATCACAAACTACGACACCATAGTTGGCGACGGTGACTGCGGCATCGGTCTCAAGCGGGGCGCCGAAGGTCTTCTCAAGATGCTGGAGCGTTCAAAATCCACAGACGACGTTCTCATCTTCCTTCAACGCGTCATCAAAGTTGTAGAGAGTACCATGGACGGAACGTCGGGCGCAATCTACGCAATCTTTTTGAACGCTCTCGCCGCGGGAGTGAGAAGTCAGAGTCCGACGAGCACGAGCGCTGCAGCCGAGGTCAGGGAGCCAATGCAGGTTGGAATCTGGGCCAGAGCGCTGGAAACGGCTCTCCAGTCCCTTGGGAAATACACGCCAGCCCAACCCGGTGACAGGACATTGGTGGATGCGCTGGATCCATTTGTAAGCACATTGAGCAGAACTGGCAGCGTACAGAAAGCGGCAGAGGCGGCACAAGAAGGCGCAAAGAAAACCAAGGACATGAAGGCAAGCCTGGGAAGGACGGTGTACGTCGGTGGTGAAGGCTTCAAAACCGTACCGGATCCAGGCGCCTACGGTCTTGCGGAGTTTCTGATGGGATTAAACGAAGGTCTGAAGTGATGTGTATCTTCTTTTGCATTTGATGATTGACGCGAGGTCTGCAATCGAAGGAGGAGAAAATATATAAAGGCTTGGTGTATGCCTTACATGATCATCATGTCTCATTTTTTTTTCGGGCTTGCCAAATCCTTTTTCTCTCACAATTTCCCTCCCCCCCTCTCTCTCTCTCTTGCCCTGGCACCGGCCGATATAACAACGCTGAAGCTTTCGTGCATTGCCATCGCTTTCTACTTCCCGCGAGGAGCAGTTGAGATCCCTCAAGATGCGCCCACACAAGCTAAGCGTGCGTAACCAGGCGTATGATCCAATCCAGTAAGCATCTGCTTCGCGCGTCAGCACGCAACAAATGGCTACGACAGCAGCACCAGGATGACCGAATCGCCCCGCAGAAACATCTTGCTGATGAACCTGTCCTTGTTGACGACCCTGCCCTTTTTGCCCTGCGCGTTCCTCGGCTGCTCGCTCCACATCTCCTTCACGTTCTCGAGCACCATGTTGAAGTGCCGGTCGAACGCCTTGACGCGCGCGAGCAGCTTGCGGTTGTTGCGGCACGAGATCAGCACCTGCCCGTGCGACCGGACGGCCGTCTGCAGGACCGAGAGCGGGCCCATGGTGAACTCGTACTCCTCCACGAGCGAGATCTCGTACTCGGTCAGCTCATTGCGCGGCTTGTTCATGAGCTCCCTGGGAGGATGCGCGTGTCAGCTCCCCCGCTCTGTGGTTGGAGGAAGGGGGGAGGGGCCTCGTGGTGCGAGAACTTACTTGGCTTTCGCCTCCTTTTCTGCGAAGGACGACATCTTTGACGGTCCGCTTCTCGCGTAGGCTGCCGAGTGGGATGGTGTGGGCAACGTTCACGACGAATTCTTCTGCAAGCGGGCTTCCGGACGGCCGGTCGGGTCTCTCTTCGCTTCGCTGATTTGATTGAGCAAGTCTGAGCTGGCCCCTGTATCTGGCGGATTCGCGGCGAACGTACGCTGCGCGACCTGACCAAAAAGTTTGGAGGTGAATGCTGGGGAGCAGTGATTCTGCCTTCATGCCTCAGGCATAAAGATCTATAGTATCTTGCACATAATGCGCCAGAGCAGTGAGGCGCCTTTTTAGACTTTGTTCTAGAAGCTCAACCGGCCACTTCGGCAGGGAACGCGAAGTTGCAAGCCGTGTTCAGAACGGTGTTTCTCTTGTAGTCAATCGCATCCCTGGCTCCGTGCACTGCACGCCCTGTCCCGCCGGAGGCCGAGCCGGAGCCGCTGATCGCTCGACGAGTGCTGATTAATCAAGCTGTATACGGGTCACCTCGTACCACGATCACATTGGCAGCCTGTTAGCAACTCTACGCGCGGCAGTTAGGAGGTCTGGAACAGCTAGCCCTGCATATACCATCCCCGAGACGTAACAGACACAAAACGAGACTTTTGGCACGCCGGCTTACCTCGTTAAGCTTTCCGCCCCCCCCAAATCTTATTCATGCCTCGAAGCCTGCGTGATCGTGGCTTTGCTTCGGCATGTCTCCGCGCTGTTCTTGATCCTAGTCCGTGCATTTATCTCTCCAAGTTTGGGGGCAACACGTGCGGATGCTGGGCATATCAAGGCAACGCGTTCGTCATCACAACAGGCGACATCCTCGCACATAAGCTCCCCGAATCACTTCATCGGGACACTGCTCCAGGTAAGCTGTGCCTGAGATCATTGGCTGCCTTACGTTCCTTGAACATGTGGTGTCCCGCTGATCTATATTCCAATTGTTTAAACTCGCCGACGCTGCGTAGTTTGAACCAAGAGCACGGTTGTCGAATACGGTTCCAAAACAACCAAACATGAACAACATTTGCTAATGCCTATATCACGATTCACCTTCGTCCTTGATGATTGCATAGCATCTCTAGTGCATGATGAGCGTGCATAAGCTAGGTTCATAACATGCATATCTTATAGATTTTAGACTTTACATCACATCCAGAGGCCTTCCTTCTCGACCATCTGCTTTCGTCCTAGTCAACTCGGCTCATGTTGCTTCAGCACAGCCGTTGGTCATTTGACGTAAGGGAGCAATTCAAAGGAATGAACATTTCGATTTGGGTTATCTCATTCAGTTCGTTGAGTAGCGTGGCAGATACAAGACAAGCTTGACTTCAATTTCGACTCCTCCTCGAGCCCCTCCCTCTTCGCTGCCCTCCGCTCGACTGTTCTTGATAGTCGTCTTGCTGTGACAATTCTTGACCGTACCCATACGCGCTGTAATCTGTCTCGTCTCTGATCTCAATCGGATGCAGGGTCCTAAAGACACCGTTAACTAGCCATTGACAGCCAAGGCAGTACACGTGACGGCATGCCACTCGTTGCTCGTCCGAGCTTGATGAAGTGCTTTGAGGTGAGAGTTCATTTGCAGCTCCGTCTGACGAAGCGTCACTCGCCTGAGACGCATTGTTGGTATATGCAGCGTAATATCCAGAGTAGCCAAGGCATTGATACGGCGTTGAGTAATCGGTCGGCAAACCGGAGCGATGTCTGTCGAGAAAAAAAATTTCGTTAACATCGAATCCGCATCAACGATCCATAAAAGATAAGTCTGTACTATACCCGCACTGACAGCAGCGCACCACGGTCAGGAGTTGTCTACTTGGTGGGTTTTGAGTGTTGAGTGTAACGACAAGGCGTCTCATGATGTCTCGCTGTCCGCGTTGCGACCTAATCGCGTTGGTGCTGGCTTGCGCTCGTTGGTTTTCGTGGTAGTATCTTTGTGAGTCGAGCGCAATGGCGAGGGCCCAATCTGACATGGTTTAACACCACGGGCAGCACAAAAACAGCAGACGTCTTATGGTGATGTTGGGCGCACACCTTCTTCGGCTAATATATACCTGATTAAGACGACGATGGTGCACGAGACGGGATAGAGTTCGGACACATCAACCGGACTTCTGGCAAGTGAGGCGACTGGATAGCTGATAGAGTCAAATAATTTTTTTCTGCTTCATGTGCGGTATAAGCAAAACAGCACTGACACTGACGATAAGGTACGCGTCATTCTAATGGCTGACAGCGGGAAACCCCCGGAGGAGCTTGTAGTAGAGGGTCGATGTATAGTGCTCTCCATTATAGATTGTTGCCTTGCTCTTGTAACACCCCACATTCCCAAGATTAGCAAAGAAAAGCAAAGAGAGCGCAGGGAAGGTTTGATCCCAAGAAACGAATACAACGTCTGGAAGAAATGTTTGGCACAGATGCTCCTTAGGCGTCAAGAAATCAGATCATGTGTGCCTCTGAGGTCGCCATGGATTGCTAAGAAAATGCGAGGCGGCAGGCCTCACAAGCAGCAGGCCTTAACGCGTCTCACCATCAGAGTCCCACCAACAGGATAGCTCCTAAGCGAGGCGCGGAAGTTTTGCCGACAGCTCGATGTGAGATGAGCAGCAGTGTTGGAGAGGACTGACGTTTGAGGATTGGGAATAGAACGACACCAATCGTGACGGCTTATTTGCGTCGGATACGCAACCGTGATCCCGGTTCCCAAAGGCTGTTCCTTGCAAAAGGTGTCTCTGGCTATCGATTAGCGAAATGGCCGTTGAGATCGAAGGATAGGTGCCGAACCCTCAAGAGGCAGGCCGTTCTGGCACACACAGGGTTTATGAACGTGCAAGGACAAGTTTCTAACGCGTGTGGATTTGAGAACTGACTAGGCCGGGCCCCACGCGGGAAATGCACAGCATCGGACCGCACGCACGAACGCACGCACGCGAAGCAAGGAAGAAAGTGTTTCACAGCTTGTTTCAGTAGCAGCGGAATAAATAGGCGCAATGGAGGGCGTGCGTCTGACTCGAATTTGTTCTCATTCTGTCCCTCGTAAAATGCCCCTGTTATGGGCTTTCTCCCTCGTATATGATCAGGTTTTTGTACTTCTGCATCAAGTAGCCCGTTGGGTCGTCCTCTTTGACGTGTGCCCAAGCTCCTGCAAAGTGTATGAAGAACATGCCCCGCTCAAAAGGTTTCTTGTTTCTTTGGTCCCAACATCTGATCTCTTCCGGGAATGCATTTATCGACTGCTGAGGCAGCATGATGAACCTGCCCTCGAGGAACGCGGACTTGAACATGATGTCACGCATGCAGTCCTGCTCGCTCATCTGATGCTCGTACGTTGCATTTGCCTGGTGGTACTCTATCACGCGATTGAAGAAGCTGTGGGCTCGTGGGGTCGCGCGGGTGAGAAAAGAGCCAGCGTTCAGCTCGAAACTAGAGCCAAAAGTTAGATCAAACAGGAAGTTAAAAAGGAAAAAAAAACTGTGCCCCTACGCGCGACAGGATGCACATACCAGTCTGGTGTAAACAGAAAGTCAATTTTGTCCGGGTTCTCCACCTTTGACAAAGCATCTTGGATGATGTCCTCGACCTTGACGTTCATGTTCATGACGAGCGTGTCGAAATCGATCCACCACACCCAGTCGTACTTTGTAGCATTGATAGCGCGCTGAACCATGTCGAACTTGTGCCACATCAATCCTCGCTCGTTGTTCGCTTCCAGGTCAATTATGAAGTCGTAGTCATGAAGTCTCGCGTAATCTGGCACTCTTCCGTAAGCACACGACGCGCTGCGCGGGGCATTGAACCAAGCAACTTACGAAACTTGTTCTTCAGCGACAGGTGCGTGTAAGACTTTTGATCGGTGTGGAACGTGACGATTGCGATTTTGCTCTCGTTGAGCGGACGGAAGCCCAGAGGCCGCTGGAGGCCCTTGGCCAGCACCTCTGACGGCGCGGACGCCGGAGCAGGCGTCGGAGCCGCGTCGAATCGGAAGAAGAAGAGCAAGAAGAGCACGACGACGGCAACCAGGATCTTCCAAGGCTCGAAGAATCGACGGGGGAGGACGCGACGCGAAGGCGAGTACGGCTTTTTGTGATGGTATCCCGACATGGTTGACGATGGAATAGAAATGAACGAGCGACCGGAGATATTAGAAGAGTCTACGGGAAAAATGGCATCGTGAAGGTAGGACCGTCGAGATGACAGTTCACGCATGCAGAAGACCCCCTCCTTAAGAAAGGGAGGAGAGGGCGTTGGGCGCAGGGCTCAGACTGAGCAGTTTAGCGTGCTGCACGCCAGGCTGAAGAGACCGACTGGCTCAGAGCGAGACCAGCCGTGACCCGACGACGGATTCTCCATCTCTTGAAGCTTTTTTTTTGGTTCCTTTGGCGGATCGACGAGGTTGACTTTAACATTTTGCTTTTGGGCGACAGAAGTCAAACGTCGGCCGGTCTCCTGTCACGCAAAGTCCTGTAGTAGTTGGTCTGGTAGCTTTTTTCCTCACGAGTCCATGCGAAACTCCGCCGGCCGAAAAGTGACCCTTTTCGAACCAACGTCCGGGTCGGCAGAGGCGGCGCCCCAGGGCCAGTTCGGGATCTGCAGCGCTGCCAGCATCATCATCGTCATCACAAGCATCATGCAACGGCGGGTTAAAATTGGAAAGCGAAAAGACGGAGATCCTGGGGAAGGATCCCGAGCCAAGGCTAAACCCGAACAAGACGGCCGGCATGCCACTCATTGTCAAGACCTCATCCCTTCGTGCCAGGCGTCGGAACCGCAGCATTCGACGACTCGCGCGTGTGTCAACGGCTGCGTCCGGCGCTGTTTGCGAATCCCACCTGGCGAGGAGGACGAGGAGGCTTTCCGTACAACCGTGACACACATTCTCTTGCTCGTATCCACCCGCTGTTTCACCCCGACTGCCCAGTCAAGGACCTCATTCCCATCAGTAGAAAGCCTCCCCGTCTCCGCTGCCTGCGTATATATGACTCAGGCAACATTTCAAAGACCTTAGGGAAGTCGCGTAGTCGAGTTGGTAAATGGACGTTGTCCAACTGAGTTCGAGTCTCTGCCGCTGAGAGCCTTTGCTCTCAGCTCATACAGCCTTCACTGCTTCTTCCTTTTTTTCCTTTTTGTTTCACAATTCCCCCCCCCCCCCCCCCCCAAAAAAAAAAAAAAGAAGAAAAACCAATCAGCCGTGGAATCAGGTCACCACCAGGAAGCTCAAAAATATTCACGGAAGCTGTTGGGCGTTTGAGTGTCCTGATGCCTCTTTACGGTACTTTCCAAGCTTCAAACTCTAACCACCACTACCACCAAATACCCCTACAGGCCGCTTAAACTTCACTCCACTCCCGCTGCACGAAGCCCTGGAGCAGAGCACTTCGGGCTCTTTCCCCTTTCCGAAAAGTCTCCGCCGCGCTCGTGCAGATGCGCGACGTTCGGAAGGGAGCGCTTGACGAAGCTCTGGGCTGAGGTCGAGAGAGGGTTGAGCGCAAAAGTGATTGCCAGCAGCGAGACGGACACGTTCGAGGACGTCTCGACGCCGTTGCTGTACGCCGTGGCTCGGCGCACGCCCACGGTCGAGACGACTTTGGTGGCCTTCATTTTTTTTATTCATTTGATTTAATTTAATTTAATTTAATTTAATTTAATTTTTTTCTTCTTTTTTTTGGATCGCGAGCCGATTCTGCCTTCTCTCCATGCGGAAACCTAAACGCGGCGTCGTGTCCGACCGATGCTGGACACGACCGCGTCGCTGCGTCCACATTCCGCTCTCCCTCCTTGGTGCTTCAAAGAGCGGAGCCTTTAGGCACAAGAGCCACCTGTTTGCAAAGCATCCTGCGCGACAAACAAGGCCTGCACTCTTTTGGCCCAGGACCTCTTTGGAGCGGTCGTGAAGCCAGCTTACGCCGCGGGCCTCTTACGGAAGGAAGGAACAGGCACAGCGTGCGTCTCCTTGTGCAACGGCATACGTCCCGCGAGGTCTCTACGGCGCATGACAAACGTGTGTGAGAAACGCGGCACAAACGAACCTCCTCAGGCAACCCGTGATGTGAAATGACAGTCGCAGCTCACCGTCCATGTGAAACCTCCGCACAACTACTCCCTGAACCCCGTTGATGCCTCCCGTCTCTCCAGATCAGGGCCTCTGCGAAGCAGAAAGCGTTCTGCGGTGCTTTGAAGCTGGCGAGTGACGGGAAACACGCTCGGTTTGATGGACGAAGGTGGAGTAGACGAGATTACACTGCGAGCGATGAGCAGTAAACGATATGCATTAAGTCGATCATTGAACTCCCCCAGCTAGAGAAGATATCTCTTTGTGCTACTCCTATCTGAGGAGGATGATTCCTTCTCCACGTTGCCCTTCTCCAAAAAAAAAGAAAGAAAATTTTAAAAAGAAAGAGGTAACAGATAGGTAAGGATTGGTTGCATTTAAGAACAGACCAGGAGACAAACCGCGGGGGAGGTTTAATGGGCATTTAAATGTACACATGGCGATCTGATCAACACGGCGAATCGAACTGCACCGCACATGAGACTTGAAAGATGCGTGACAGATGAACGGTGATTAGAAAACCCACCCGTGCCCCGAAATGTAAGCTTTATGAAGCTGGGGACGAGAAGGGCCCGTCTATATTATTCTGAAAGCATAAAGTGTTCGTCTTCGAAGACCGCAAAGTACATGAGTAGCCTCCGTATCAGGACGTCGCCGAGTAGGCGCACATTTCCTCTCGTTTCCATTCGGTCGTGTCCAAAGACCCATCTGGCACGTTTGACGGGCCGTAGAGATCTTTGACAGTCGTTAGACAGACGAGCCCAGAAGTGACCAAGTCCAACAGGCGCGTCGAGAAAAGCGGGAGGGATGGAATTCACGCCCTGCCGACCTTGAACGACAAAATCTGCGCGAAGAAACAAAAAGTCAGCTTATCTCGGTTCACATAGTACGAGCATCACGCGGCACGTACATCGTTCTTTCCGACCTTGACAACGTCGTCTTCGCTGACCCTTACGCCACCTACGGTCTCCACGTACGCGATAGGCACGTCGCCCATCACCTTCCTCGCCACGTCCGCAACAGTGCTACCCCTTTTCACGAGCACACAATCCCTAAACACTTTCTCGTTACCCGACACGCCTTCCTTAAGGAAACCGACGCTTCTGACCGGAAACACGGGCACGAGGCCAAGAAGTTCGCTTGCGCGAGTGAGCACCTGCACCACGCCCGTGCCGTTGAAGCGGTACAGCACCATGTCCTTAAGGTTGTCTAGGCGGGCCGCTAGCTTCTCGTCGAGCTCCTTGAGGCCACCGCCGTTCGGATCCCCGTCGTCGATGAGGTCTTGTCGCGTTTCTATGTAGTCCTGTCCCTCTTGGTAGCGGATATAGCCCTGCTTGGCCAGGCGGCGGAGGAAGACCTCCGAGATGGCCGAACACAGGACGAGCGTTTCGGGAGGGTACATCTTGGATATCTTCATGATGTTCTGGCGATGGAGTATCATAAGCGGCGGCGCCCGTGCACTTGCGCAGTGCGAAATGTCAAAAAAGGGGAAATGCTTACCTTGTCTGCGTCTGGATGGTCGATCTTGTTCAGCGCGATGACGGTTGGAAACTTCTCATCCACAAACGCGTTGATCACCCGCTCGATCGTCTCGTCGGACCACTGCTCGAGGGGCTCCTTGATGGCCAACTTGTCCAGGACGCGGGCCACGATCGAGCTGGTGCTGCCGTAGCCCGAAAACTGATTCTGCAGCGTTTCGACCGCGTTCGCCTCTGCAAAGGCGCCGTGCCGCCTCCGTCAGTTACCTGCGTGCTCATCTGAGAGTGTGGAGCGCCGTATGTCGATACATACATATATATATACATGTTTACACTTTGTGGGCGGAAGGGATGAGAAAGGTGTGAGGAGACAAGAAGTGAACTTACTCACAGCGACATGTCGTCTTTTGATGCTGCCCCACCGCTCCATGAGATTGCCTTGGATCCAGCGCACGATCTCGCCTCGCAGCCAGACGATGTCGTTGCTGGGGTCGTAGCCCCTCGTCGCCTTGCCCTCCGCATCGGTGGTCCCGCTCACGTCGACGACGTGTATAAGGGCGTCGGCATGGCGCAGGTCGTCGAGGAACTTGTTGCCCAGGCCCTTGCCTTCATGCGCGCCGGGCACCAAGCCAGCGACATCGAGCAGCTCGATGGGTACAGACCGCTTGCCGTTGACGCATGAGCCGTAGTTGGGCGCGCACCGGGCCTCAAGGTGATATCGAGAACAGGCACACGGGATCTGCAGGTATCCTATCGCGCGCTGGGGGTCTATAGTGGTGAAGGGGAAGTTGCCTACGGGTCGTCAATGGCGGTCTGCAGCACGAGGACGACATACACGGATAGGGGAGGGCGTGGGAAGAGGAGGAAGAACGAGAAGAGGTCGAGACATGTGTCGTCGCGCAGGCGGCACCGGAGCTTCGTACCTACTTTCGAGCTGGCGTCCGTCAGACTGCGTGAGCAGGTTAGCCCATCACGTCCTCCCGAGCGGCATCGCGGCAAGTCCCAAAGACGACGTGCCTGTTAAGCGTGGTGCTCTTCCCGCTGGAAGGCTTCCCCACCAGCCTTGTCACAACGTCCCAAGTCAGTGTCAAGCAGGCCTTCCGAAAGAGGCGTCCAAAATGTTCTTACCCAATAAGTGGATCTCGCGGCATTCCTCGCGGCTGCGTCCCGAGCTGTTGAATAGTCGCAAAAAAGGCCGAGTGGAAACGGACGTTTACGTTTTCTTTTTTTTCCCTTTTGTGTAATTTTTTTGCTAAAAGGACGATGACGGCACCACGCGCTCGTCACGTCCCCTCATGGGAGGGAGTGGGCGGCGGGAACCAAAAAGGACATTAATTAGGGGGGGCCGCGGTCAAGAGTCTCCCCAAATAGGAAAACGTTGACCCGCCCGCCATAAAAAAGAAATAAAATGAGAAATAAAAAAACCCCCCAATAAAAAAACCATACAGTATTAGGGCACTCTACCTTCCTGCAACGACAAAAGGCAAGAACCAGAACGAGATATGTTGGGGAAAAAATGCAGGAAAAAAGGAAAAGGATAAATTGTTCGTGTCGGTGCGCGCTCACATCGAGAGTACGTCGAAATCCAAGCTGGCAGCCAGGCTGGGACATACACGCGCTCTCCCCTTCCCTTTCCCCCCCCGGACCCGTTGGCCAGGCCCACCGCGATTTTAGCGCCAAGGCCGCGTAGTCGTCGTTTCGTCGAGCATACGCGTCCGGGAGATTGATGAAGAGCTGCCCGGTACATGAATATATATATATATATATGTACGTGTGTGTGTGTGTGTACTTTGTGTGCGTGTGCGGACGTTGGGTTCACGACTAGGCATTGGGAAGAGGGCGACGGACAATCTTGTGATCTGCTCACCCGCAAAGAAACTTTTTATTGCAACTGTTCTCTCTCTCTTTTCCTTCCTGTCGTGCTTCTTTTTTTTCCCTCTTTCTCTCCGAATGCTCCGATATACCGTGATCAACTTGATATCTAAACTATACACACACGCAAACACAGCGGGTTGTAGGGGCGCCGGGCGAGAGCGAAAGAAAAAAAAAAGACTGTCATCAATTTGTCTAAACGCCATCAATGGTCATAATTGTCTACTATACTTTAGGAAGACATGGTAGAGCCGCAGCGCAAGAATCCAAAAGAAAAAGATGTGATACCAATCTGGCGGACCACAGGACAAGACCCAGAAAGAAGTAGGAAACAGGGAGCGAAAGGACAGAAAACGAAAGCCAACATCCGGACACAAGGTAAATTGAGAGAAAGGCAGACAATTGCCTTTTCCACTCTCTTTTTTTTTCCTGTTTCACTCTGCACCGGCTTTGTATTGCTTCTTTGCCCCAGAAAGCTTCAAAGCCGATTCCCAAAATGCTAGAACTCAATTCCCCTCAACGTAGTAATCCTTTTGTAACAAGCGCATCCACTGCCCAACGTTTGAGCACATGAATGAGCACAAACACACGTGATAACCAGATACTAGATACTACGTCCTCGCTCCGAAGCGCCGGACCCTTAGAAGAGGAAACCAGCACCGCCAAGGAGGGAAGAGGCGAAGACGACGAGGCCAGCAACGAAAGGAGCTAGGGTCATCTCCGGAACGCGCACGTTTGCAGCAGCAGCCTTGGACGAGGACGAACTGCTAGATGTGGTGGTGCCATCAGACATGGCAAAGCCGGTGGACGGGGTGCCGGCAGTCTGGGAGCCAGTGTTGCCGTTGTTGCCTGGGCCCGCGCCAGCGCCGCTGCTAAAGTACTTCTTCGCACCTTCCGGCATAATGGGCAGGTAGTTACCCGTAGGATCGTTCACCTCCCAGTGCTGGCTCTGGGCCGGGCATTGCGAGGGAGACGAGCCCGACTTAGCGCCGCCATCACCGGACGGAGCAGGGGTGGCGGAATAGGCCTTCTGAAGAGCGGCAAAATCGTCGAGCTCCTCCACCGAATCCCCGTTGATGTTGACGAGGCCGTAGTTGGACGATTCCTCCGAGTACTCGTACACAAGACCGCCGGAGTAAACAGGGGTCATCTGGTCGCTGTACAGAGCCGCGATTTCACCAAAGTCGCGCTTGTTGGTGTTGCAACCGAATTCGGACAGGCTGTGAAGGTGGAAAAAAAGGTAAAGGTCAGTCACGACTGTCCGCACTCGCGTCTTGTTTTCAAAAATGGGCAACTCACAAGATTGGGATGCTGTAGTTGCTGTATTGCTCGACCTTCTTGTCCCAGCCGGAAATGGTGAAGGACGACGGGTCACACCACGAGTAGTCGTTGAAGGCGAAGAAGTCAGAGCGAACGGCATCGTTGCCACAGTTCATGTACGTGGCCATCTCGTATCGGTTGCTCTCGACGTCGGCGGCGGAATAGCCGACGGGGATGGAGCGGTACTGACGAGCGGCAATGTACGCCCTAATGTCGCGGGTGACGGCTTTGACGTAGGGGGCGGCAAAGGTGTTCGTGTCGTCGTTGATGACCTCGTTGCCGGAGTAGAACAGCAGCGTGTTGTCGTACTTGGCAAACGCATCGACGGTGGCGAAGACAGACTGCAGGTACACGTCGTTGTACGACATGTGGATCGACTCGTTGTCCTTGCGGTTGAGCGAGTAGAAGGGCGTGTTGACGTCCAGGGCCAGATAGATGCCGGCGTCGGCGAGCATCTGCATGCACTGATCGTGGTCCTTGGAGTTGTCGACCGAGTACACGCGAATGGTGTTGATGCCCAGCTTCTGGAACTCCTTGACGTCGCGTGCGCAGCCGTTAGCGTCGGCAATAGGGTCTTCGTTGGCCGAGGAGCCGCCCGGCTGGTAGTCGACGCCGCGGATGTAGAAGCGGCTGCCACTGGACGTGTAGAAAGCTGCGTACCCGTTAGGTGCGACCGTACGGGGGAGCCTTGCCTGGCGTGCGAAGAGGGGGTTTGCATCTACATACCGTTGCCCTTGACGCTCACAGGTGGAGTCTTGGGGTTGGAGATGGTGTTGGCTCTCTTCTCGACAACCGGGCCAGCGAGAGCCGTCGAGAAGATGCCGGCGGCGGCGAGGATCGAGACCTTCATGAGGGGCGACGATCTGTAGGTGCACTACGCGGATTGAAGTCAAAAAGAAAAAAGGCAGCCACGCAAGGACGTGGATCGATTTGGGGGAAAAAAAAAAAGAAGAAGAGCTTTCCCCCCTGGAGCGATACGAAGGTGGAAAGGAGGAAACGATGGAGGCGACCAGAAAGAGGACGGAGTCGACGTCGAAGGAGTGAGAGCGTCAACGGAGAAGAAGAGGCGAAGACGGAGATCAATTAGAATACCTTAACGAAGCGGTCGTCGGGGGGGAGGGGCAACGATGAAGGAGAAAACGAAAGATGCAAGAGCGAGAGTAGCAGAAGGATTGATGTGAAAGAAGTCAGGCTGACGGAAGGGTGGTGGTCGCGGTAGAAAAACGAAGGGTCGAGGGGGGGGAGGGAGGGAGATGGAGAGCGACGAGGCTGGGCGCCAATGGGCACAGCACTGGCATTCGCCTGGCACCAACGGGCGCACGCCCGCCAACGTCTGGGAGGATTCTTGTGGGCAGCCAGAAGAGCGAGCGACACACGGCGACAAGCGCAGCCAGTCGCAGTAGCGGCCCTCTGTTCTTCGCCAGGCGGTGCCCGTCTCTTGCCCCCCCCCTTGGTCTGCCCCAGCACGGGCTGGTCGTCGCCAAGATCTCATCTCCACCCCTGGCCGCCTGCCGCGTCCGGCGCAGTCCCGCCGCCACTCCCGGCGCGCCTTCATCTCTCCAGCGAGGCTGTGCACCCACCCGGCGTGCGTCTCACAATCTTGCGAACTCTCGACTCCTTCATGGCGATCCGACCTCCGCGACAAGGCCTTTGACATCATCGCCAGGCTTCCGCAGACACATTCTCTCTCTCTCTCTCTCTCTCCTCGAGCGCGTCCGCACATGCACGCCTCGTGCTGCGTGCCCTAGCCGCCGTCTGCACGTCTCAATCTGCCCTCTCCGCCCCCCAACCCCGTGCACGTCGCAAAGCCGACGGAGAGCCTCATTTCGACTACGCTTTTCCCCAGCTCGCGAGCCAGACGATGAAGGGAAATCAAAAGAACGACGCCAAACGACCGACAAAGCGGGCCCACCTCAGCGTTTCTGCTGTCTCTTGGCATGACTAACTCCCTCTCCCCCCGTCGTTGCTTTGCCTGTTCCCCCTTCTGGAACGTCTCATATTTTGCCCTTTTCTTAACTGGTGGGGCAGAACCGCCTGGGGCTTCGCTGCCAACGCGCTCTATCATTCTCCAATCCCTCATTGCAGGTCTTGCCTTTGCGCTTCTCTGCTAGTGGGTCATGCATGCTTTATTCGCTGCTACTGCTGCATGCGTCGATGGGTGCAGTAAAAAAAGGGCAGCCCTTACAATGAGAAAAAGGCCAGCAAAGAGAGGCTTCTAAAAAAAAAAAATAAGGGAAACCCTCGAGCGAAAGTGCACAGTAAGGGGAAAGGTAAGGCATTCTCCGCCCTCCCCACCCCCCCTTCCTCCCTACACCGGCAGGAGGGTGGCGAAATTCGAAAGATCCTCACAAGCCGCACATCACACATCCCCCTTCACCTCCCCTCTCCCGCTCATGCGAGGTGAGGATACCGGCGGATGAAGATCGCTGGCTCTGCTTGCTCCAACGAGCAGGACGGGGGCCGCCTGGGAGCGGGAGCGGGGAGGGGTGTTTTGTGTGCGGGTGTGGACTCGCAAGGAAGATCGGGGGCCGCCATCACCACACCTCCTTCGTTCCCACTTATAATAGATCCAGAGGCCTTAAAAACAGGCAAACTGCTTGTAGCGGCGGGGCCCCCTCGATCAGCGCTCAAGCACGTCGACGTCTCGCCTTTCGATTGGTGCACCTGGCATCGCGAAGAGATGAAGAAAAAAAAAAACCAAAAAAAATCCTCGAAACAGCCGCCAGTATGCTCTTCCAAGCGTCAGGTCTGCTCTGGCATCACGAAAAGAAGGGGAACCGAGTTTGGAAATCGTAGAAAGAGGGAGGGGAAATCCATCGTAGAAGGTCAAGATTCCTCCCCCCCGCCCCCCTTTCGTCCCGAATCCTCGTGTCCCCAGTGCAAATGATCGATCAGATAATCGTTTCTTTTTTCTTTTTTTTTTCCTTTGCTTTTTCTTTTTTTTTTTTTGGAGATGCGTAACACCGTTCGTTCCAGCCTTTGGACGCATTTTTTCACTGACCCGAGCACGGCGACAGCGCAAATGTTTTGCAAAGTGTCCACACACGTGCCAAGGATATGCCGATCTGCGGGTTTGCGAGTGACTTGGTGAGGCTCGAAAAGTCATGGCCAAGGTTGGAGACCACAATTGGACTGTACACACATCCTTGATTGAAAGACGTTTCAAATAAAGAGATTCGATATCTTGATCTCATGTGTTGTTCGTTCACGGCCTCGCTTTCCCCGTCGGGAGAATTACGTTTTTTTCCTTATCGATCCTACCGACGAGCCAAACATCAATCATCTTCCCTTCTGCATATGTACTTCCTCTTGCTTGCTACATAGTCACAGAGCTTGTTCTGGGGAGCTGTGAACAAGCATACAACAGAAAATCAAACTAAACAACGCGCTTCGACACCCAAACTTCTAGTGTTCCTTCCGCATGGTCGAAAGAGGTAAACAAAGACCATTAGTCCTCGAAGACCAAAAAATCCTGGCCCGTTCCCAGCAGACCCCAGCTCCTCTGCACCCGACCCACCAGCAATCCCCTGGGGAGAGGAAAAAAAAAAAGGAAAAGAAAAACGTCCTCCATTTCATCAAGTGCGCCTAGCAGAGCTATCAGATAGGAAATTAAAACAGTAGTCCAATGAACCGTCCAAGAAGATACAAAATCTGGTTACTTTGTTATAACGTGGTTTTATATAAGGCCGTTACGGAAAAGACGCGCTCCGCAGAGCGTCGTCGGTGGGTTACGCGCGTTCTTGTACGCCGCCCATAAGGAGAAAGGAGAGAAATTGGTCAAGCAGAAGTGGGCCGCCCGGAATGCAGAGTCTCTGTGGTATATCTTTCTACAAGCCGTATGGACCCGGAAAATAAACAAAAGTAGCAAAGCAATAATACTTTCAAAATAATGGACAAAGACTTGTACCCGCTCCGTTCCTACCCTAAGTTGGAAGCTTCCTAGCTGGCTCATGTCTCGATGTCGTCGTGAAAAGTGCGTGGCCAGGTGGCCCTGAATGTGTAACCCGCTCGATCGTGAACAAATAGAATAGATGAGAACCGCCTTGAGACGTGGAAAGAAAAAGGAGATCGCCAGCCGGTTAATGACTGCAGCAAAAGTCCCCTCAAAAGGTAATCAGGCTCAATCGCTGTGCTGTACTGAAGGAATTTTCAAATGATCGTTTTCTTGGGAACCGTGACCATCCATCATGCAAATCGAAATTCATACATTAGTTAAAAAGAACAATAGTCAAGGCGTGAAGCCATCGGATAGGATTCATGTCGCCTGACGTTTATTTTGGTCCCACAGAAAAGGGCAGGTGCGTGATGGATGCTTGACACTATTGCAAAGCTTCAAGACAAAACTTTACGCGAGAGAGCCTCGTCGAGATCCAGAAGGTTGCTTCTTCCAAAAGTGCATCAGCTTGCTGAGGCGATTTGTCTTCTTCGTCTTGACAGGCGACATGGACGTCGACATGATGTGCTGTGATTGCGGCCGAGTTTCGATGGACAACTTGCTCTTAACACCTACTAAACGCGACAGACTCGCCACGCTGGCGCGTTTACTCCTTCGTCGGGCCTCATCTAGGCTCGGGATCGAAGCCACAGATGACTTCCTGCCTTCGGAACTAGAGCCATACGAGCCACCGAACATAAACGGAAACTGCGGCGGTGTAGTCATAGTCGAACGGCTACTCGACAGGCTCGGCACGTCGTCCACAGACATGCGAACGGGCGGTCCAGCGTCGCCAAATGAGATGGATCGGTTGTCCGTCATGGACGACGTTGCGGTACCAAGACGTGGCGTGCTCAGCGATACTTGGCTGTTGCTGAAATGCCGGCTGGAAAATGATGAGGCAGTTAGCGTGTCCGGCGTCATGAGCGCTTGGCTTGGATGGGGGAGCTGCAAGTTCATAAGCGGTCTCGGCGCCTTCTCATCCTCGGCCGTTAGGGGAGGCGTGATTGTCGAGTCCGAATCGCGGCCCAGGGACGAAGCCCGTGGCTCTTCGTGATCTTGAACAACCTCGACGGCCGAGGAAACGCGCTGGCTAGACATTGATGGCATGATTGCAATGCCGCTTGCTGCTGAGCCAGCCGATGTTGGCTGTATCAACTGCGAAGGTTTCCGAGTGGGCGTCTCAGCGTCATCTTTGAGATCATCGGCTTTGATGCCGGGAGCCGACTCAGCATCATCGTTTGCGATGGTGGGAGCTGCAGCGCTTGGCTTGCTCGGCGCAACCGCCTCTTCAGCTGCTTCCTCATCCTCCTCTTCAAACACATCTGGCATGGTGGTCGTGGGCGTCAGCTTTGTATTTCGTAGCTCGAACGGAACCAGCTCAGGAGCACTTTCGGTACGGCGATGATTCAAGGACGCCTGGTACCCCAGAGAGTGCATTGAGCGACGCGGTCGCGGCTGAGACTTTGCCGGAGAACCTCTCGAGTTAGCACCGAATTGCGGTGTTCTGAAAGGCCCCAGCGCTGCGTCCAGATCGATGACAGGACTCATTGGGTCTGAATCGGCGTGTAGACGGTTCACCAGGGGCGTGAGGCTCAAATTGGGCCGCGGCTCTTCTGTGACGATTGTTACCGTCTCGTCAATGTCAAAATTGGGCTCGAACGTATCCTCTACGTCGAAAACTGCCGGTGCGTTCGCCGGTGAAGGCATCATCTCTGGCGCCGGAGTTTCGTTCGAAAGAGGCGGTGGTGTTGGTGCACGTCCTTGGATAGGCTTTGTTTTGAGATTTCCGTGAGATCTTGACTTGCGCGAGATGAAGGACCGCGTCCAGGACTTGGACTTCTTGGATTTGGGCTGCTTCTCTACGTTGGCATTCGAGAGCTCTTCGCCCAGCGCGGCGTACGCTGTGCTCTCTACCGAGTCAGGCGAAGTTGGAGGCGACGGAAGAAGCGAAGGCTCGGAGATACTGGATCGCAAGACGTGCGTAGGCTTTTTGGACTCCCACCAGCCAAAACTCCGCCGCTTGGGCGATTTCGACTCAGTCGAGGCGCTGAGAGAGGGCGGACACTCAGAAGCTGGCGTCGACGCGGCTGACTTTGGTCTTTCGTTGTTGCTGCTGTCCCACTGCACGTGAAACTCCTGTTTGTTCGATGACGCGACGTCCAAGACGTCGCCAGAACTCTGCGGCCGAGACGTTGATCTGTCGCCCTCGAAGGTCGTTTGCAGCGGCAGTCGTGCCACCACCCGGCTCGAAGGTGGACTCGACGCGCTGAGACTGATGACGGAGGAGAGACTGTTGGAGACGGAGTGCCCTCGGATTGTCGACAACGAGCTCTCTGTCTCGGATGAGATTGTGGATAGCGGCCGGATGTATTCGACACGGTCTGAGAAACCGACGCGAACACGAGGCACTGCTCTTGGCGGCGAATCTGTGGAGTCGGTTCTGGTTGCCTCTGGGCTCGAACGAAAATCTGCCTGTGATGCTACCCTACGCTGCGGATGGGCAAAGAAAGGCTTCGTGTCGCCCTCCAGCGGTGTCGCAGGCGCGCTGCCTCCTCTGTTGCCCGGCATGGACTCCTTCGGAGCCATAATCGCTTGCAGGTCATGACACGAGATAGCACCCGATCGGCGATGCCTGTGGCCGCGTGCCCCAGCCGGAGGACCGAGTCTTCCGGACGTAGATGACACTGGCAGGGCAACATCGCCCTTGGTTGGACTTGTGCTCATGAGACCGGCACCACCTTTGCCGTCGCCACCAATGAACTCGCTGCCGCCCCTCCGGTGGCCTAGTGCTCGCGAGGGTGTTGTTGGTGATGGCAGGATTGGTGAGTGCGGCGGTGTGACGAGTGATCGCGACGCTGAGGCCGACGCGGCGGAAGGGTTGAACACGAAGTCAGGAAGCGCAGCGGATCCACGCGAACGATGCGTCCTTGGGCCAGACGAAGGAAGAGGAGTGTTCTGCTGTGAGGACTGTGGACGTCGGTTCAGGGCGTTCCAGTTATCCAGAGACGGCGATGCCTCTGACGACTGTGCAGGGAAGACGAAATCTGGATTTGGCAACAGCTCGATGCTGTGCCCCGTTTCAGGTGCTCCCCGCCGCTGGTACAGCGGTTCCACAGAGGCCGTCTGTTCGCCGAGCGATGGCGTCGGGTGGTGAAACGAGTTGGTCATGGTGGACTCGCACCGGGGTCGCGCGGTGGACTTTCTACACGGAGCCTGCGAATGTACACAGGCTAGAAGCTCAGCTTGCGCAAATCACTGGACGGACGATTTTCGCATGTGGAAAGAATAAAGGCGTTGTAGCGGTGGTTCGAGCCTTTCGTCTGGACCTGAGTCTCAACGGTCGTTGTAGCAACTCTTTCTCGTCCAGAGTGGCAGGACAGCGCGGGTTGCATGCAGCGCGCGCAACGATTGCGGAGACGGGATGAGAAATAAAATAGATACACGATTAGTTTCTGCCGAAGCGCCGGTCAGCACGAGACGAACAGACGATCGCGATGGACGCCGATGTGAAAAGAGAGGCGAGGCAGGGCGAGGAGCGTACAGCGGTTTCTGGTGGGAGAGAGTGGGTCTCCAGAGCGCCCGAGTGAAGATGATGTTCGACGTTGCAAAGAATGACGGATGCAGGGTGACCACGGCGGTGGAAAGGAGCGGACGCAGCTGTCTCTGCGAAGACAGTGCTGTGAGAGGGCGTCGACGGCGACGAGGAGGTGGGAGGAGAGAGAGGGAGGGAGGGGGGAGGGGGGGCGGTGTGGGAAAGGTCTTGGTGGTGGTAGACGGGCAGGTGGGAGGAGGAGTGGGAAGAGGGACGGGTGAAAAGATGGAGGTTGTTTGAAGGAGAACGGGCCATTGGCGAAGCAACGACGAGCAGGTCGCAAGCGGACAGCACCAGACGGCTCCGGGCGCTGGGCAACGCAAGGTCGCCAAAGGCCGGACCCGCCCACGCACAGGAGGGCGCTGCAAAGGGCTAGGCGCCTGCGCCAAGGGCCCGCACTGACGCCGCGCTAATGGGGGGCGCAGGCCGATCATGCAGGTCCCACCAGGGGCCCCGTTAGTGGGCGGGCTGCCGGCCGCGCTGGGCCTCGTCGGCGGGCTCCCAGCGCCCCGTTGCGCGGGCGCTCCGCCGGGCTGCTCAGCGCCCTACCCACTGCCTGGCAGCGGCTCTTTTGCGGCCTGGGCCTGGCTGTGGCGCCGGCCTGGTTGTTTGATGTGCCTGCAAAGGGCAGTGAAGCCATTTGTTGCTTGCTTTCCCCCCCTCCCCGTCTCCGCGTACCATCGCTGCCCATGCATTATTGCTGCCCGTCCTGTCAGTGCTGGTACTACCGCTGCGACTACCACGACTACGACGACTCCAACGTCTGCGACTGCTGCTGCTGCAAAGTACACACTGTGCTGCTGCCGTACCATGCGTGCTAGCCTCTGCCGCCGCTGCGCCGTCCCTCGAAGCAGTGCGCGGCCGGTCCCCCATTCCATCCCCAGACGGCCCGCCGTAGCGAACAGATCGTGAAGCTAAAAAAAAAAAAAGAAAATGTCCGACCGTCATGAGCCTCTTTCGACGGGCGCTGCTTTCAAAACAGGTTTGCTGTTGACGTCTTTGACGACGAGCTCGTGCCAGACGTTGAATGCGACGCCGCACACACGCACTGGGCAACACAACCACCGCATCGCAGCGCCGAACATGATGCCGCACCCAGCGCGGCGAGTGATTTGCCCTCATCATCGTCGTCATCATCTTCATCACAGGAGTATGATTATGGTCCCTGCCAGAACGGATGTGCGCCACCTTGGTCCTGGTAGGCAGCACCCCTCGGCCACAGGACCAAAAGGCACCGCAATAAAGGACAGAACGCAGCCCGACGGGGGAGACAAAGACGCTCGCCCCAGCCTGGGATCGCGCCCGCAGCAAAAGCTTCCGAAAGCAAATCTCGCATCGTCCCAGGCGACGGAACGAACCCGCCACGCACTCTCGCACACGCACACGCACACTCACACTCCCACACGCTCCCCAGCACGCCCGCGGCGGCCGTTGGCACATTGGGTGCAATCTCGCTCCCCAATCACGGCCCAGCGTGCGCCTCCGCCGCCGCGAATCTGCGACTGTTGCCTCGCTGCTTCGTTCCTCTCCTGTCGTTGCCCTTCCCCACTCCGCGGGCTTAAGATTAGCCCCTTCCCGCACTCGTCTTGCCACGGTGCTCGCTCTCCAGCTGCTGCATCCCAACCCATCATGATGACTGTGCTGTGCTTGTCGCGATGCAGCCCTTCTTATTTCCTCCTGTCTTTTGCCCTGACTTATTTCGCCTCGCTTTCCATTTCGATCCTGGAAGTTTTTTTTTTCTTCTTTTCATGATGACTGACCTGCTCGATTGATCGTCCCGCCCTGTGTGACTCTCGATCGTCGTGTTCGTGCCGAAGACGTAGCGGCCGTTTCTGGACCATCTTTGATCCTGCGGAGTGCCCGACCCTTGTGCTCAGCTGAATGTCCTGCCAGGAACCAAAACGACAGCTGCAGCCGAGAAATCACTTCGTATGCGTGTGCTTTGCGTGCTTGGTGTGTGAGCGTGTGTGTGTGCGTGGATCCGTATAAGCGTCTGGTTGAGCTCGCCTGTCCGCATTCAGCTGCTCAGTTGCCCACCCACCTTTTCTTTCGCTCGCGCAATGATGCCGCTTCTGCAGATACGCACCCTTGCTGCTTGCCCATGCGCGTGGCCGTATCTGTACCTCGACTGCTCACAATCTTCCCGTTTCTGATCATTACCGACAAGGTCAACCATGGTGGCGATCAATCTTTCCACTCTCCTTCGCTCAAACCGGGCCATGCACGCTGTCCGCGACGAAAGGGGAGCCTCAAATCTTCCACCACAGATTGCAGGCTCGGCAGCGTCCACGAATGAGAGCGGCGACAGTTTTTGTAGTAGTGCGTCTTCTTTTCTGCACGTCAATCTGTCGTACCGGACGCCTCGCCGGCTGCGTGTCAAAAACGCTTCGCGACCAGCTTGGGCCTTGGCTGGCATGCACAGCTGGCAACAAGAGATGCTCAAGATGGTGAATTGGCGACCACGTCTACTGTGTTGGAGCTTCGATGTAGCTCGATGGCGTTGGAAGCCTCAGGGATGCGTTCCTACGTCGAAGCCCGACGACAACCATCGCTTCGCAAAGCACCTTCATCTCGCTCATAGAATTGACTTCTCGGATGGCCGCCAAATCCTGGCTGCTGCCACGGCTGAGGCTCATTATGCGGCTACTTCCACGTCCAATTTCCGTAACTGCGACGTCAAAGCCTCGTGAATTAGATGACTGATGACTACATGTATGAGGCATTTCCACAGAGTATGCTGGACGAGCAATGAGATTCCCTCTGAATCGGGCATGCTACCGCCAAAGTCCAGAAGGACACGCAGGCACCGACGCGTGGGAATCGTCTCGGGCAGGTTGGTCGCCTGTCTACTTGTAAAAGGCCCCCCGATCGCCGGCAGAGCCCTACTTCAATCTGGGAAGTCGAAAAAAGGAAATCGAAACTCTCCAAGCCTCCGATCCAATGCCCTACAGTACTGTGACCAAAAATGGGGGAATCGCAATCATCAAATGACACGGGTTCATTTTACTACTCAATCCCATGGCAGGACATTGAGCAGGGGCCATGACACATCTCCTCCGCAACCACTCCTTCTCATCAGCAGCGCCTCGTTTGGATAGTAAAGAAGAGAAGTAAAAGAAAAGAAAACCTTTTCCACATTGACCGACGATTGATCACTTCTGTCTCTTGTCGCACGCACCTTCCGCCCGACGTTCGACTTGTATCGCCTTTCTCTTCTTTTCTTTTCCGTCTCTTTGCCCGGTCCCTTTTCGGACATTTGCATGCATGTACGCACACACGCATGCTGCAAGCCACGACAATGCACGACAATTGGCCTTTGAGCGTCGAGACGCACGCAACTTTTTTTTTGACCCCCGATCCAATGCATGCGGAGTTTAGCATGCGAAAATTTCAAACATGCAAACGCGTGTGGCATATGGAGTACTTCTTGCTCCTCCTCCTCCTCCTGCGTGTGGCAAAGAACACCGGCTGAGCAGACATCGAGATCACTTATTTTTTTTTTTCCATTCAGCTGAAGAAGCAGTGACTCACTGAGGCAGTGGTACTGAAGAGCAACGAAACGCTGCTCGTCGTCAAAAGCAGATCTTTGGCGCTCTGATCCGTGGTCAATTGTCGATCACCCTCTCCACAAGCATCGTTTTTTGATCACGAAATTCTCCATCGGCTAGACCCAGAGCGTCAAGCCATTTAGATCCTTCAATCTGGAGGTTGGCCGTTTAGTATTTCCTCGCATTTAGGCGACCATTAGACATACCTTCTACGTATGCGCACACGCTTGTGTTCCTCTAATCGCGATCGACAGGGTCTAACACGCCGCCGAGGGCTGTTGAGATGCACTGGCCTGGGACCGCCTCCACTTTTTTCTCACCCAGCTTCGAGCGTTGGACGGATTAATTAACACCAAAAGACAAGAATGGTTGACAGTCTGACTGCTGTGACGCCGGATCCGCCTGATTGCACTGGCCTGCTGCTTGCTCGTTGCTAGCTAGATACCTACGCACTAGGCGACAAAGAGATGAAACGTAGCGGGCCCGTCAGTCTGGCACAGGACCGGACGGGTAACGCTGAACTGCTGATACCGCTGCCGCCGTCGCTGCTGGAAATGCTTCGAGCAGCTGCCACAGCTTTTGCGTCCCTGCCCCGTCGCTCAAGCGCTGCAAACGTGCGTACGGTATGGCTTCGGGAGCAGCGGCAGCGACTGTAGGCTTGAGGTTGATACAAGTCAACCGGCTTGGCAACCACGCGGCTGGAACCACTTTGTGTACCATGCTCAACTGTACTGACCCTCAAACCATCACAGCCTCCTCATTCCTTGTCATAATGATTGATCGCCGTCGTGTCTGCGCGCTGCCTCAGAGCGAAGACCCATTCTGAGGGACGTAACGACGGATTTTTTTTTTTTTAATTCTTGGCAGCTGCTAATTATTTATCGTAACTCCCGAGCCCCCGTGGGCCCTTTTCCTCTTTCCTTAACGGCCAGTATACCCCCCGGGCGACACTACCTCATTCGCAGCTTGCGTTGCACTGTTAGTTATTCGTTTGACAGTTTGTCCTGAAAATGGAGCAAGCCTCGTGATCATTCGCCTTTGGCCCATCCCCCGCAATGGCGGACGCCTTCGACGCCTCTTTGTAAGCGGCAGCGGCAAAAGTCTAGTCTGTGAAAGAGGAATGCCGCCCTCCATCCCCTTTCAAGCGAACGGGTAACCCGAAGGAAGATAAATGGACTCCCACCCAATCCTAGTGTCGTTTTGTACCATCCTGCAGAAGGAGCGAAGGGAGGTCACATTAATGCTCGACATCGTCCCTTCTCGCTACGGGAAAGCTTCCGTTACAGCCGCGTCTACAAGTAGACAACTTTGTCATGTACGAGTGTTGTAGTTTTCACTTCGTGATCATCATCAACATCATCATCATCATTATTATTAATAGCAGCGTGAGCAGTGACCTTACGCTCAATCGTTCGGCCGTCTCGCTACTTGTACGTGGCAACGGTGTGGCGTCAAGTTGGCGCTGTTTTAGTCCGCTGTGTGGGTACAGAGAGTACATGGAAACACGAATTCGACGTCTGTTTCGTTGCTCTGTTTGGACAATCGATGATGTTGACGATGACGCCAGCAAATAAAATGGTTCGACCAAAAAAAGAAATAAACACCCGGGCTTCTCGGAAGTGGAAAAACCGCACGCTTTTGGAAGGTCAAGGATGGGAGACGCTACAGGAGAGAAGGAAGGGAGGGGAACGAATAATAACATTCAACAAATAGGCGAAAACAAAAAAAAAACAAGGCAACAGTGACCTGCTTGCGTCTTTCCACTGCATTATCGACCACAAGGCGTGCGCCCAGCACTTTCACGCTCTAGGCGCACGCCTCCTGAGGGGTGCAGACCACAAAGATCTGTCCCGTGATGCCCCATGGCGTCGACATCGGCATTCAGCTGCCAGAAAGCCACGGCGAGACAAACGAAAAAGATAAGAAGAGGGCCATTTGAATTTTGCTGTCCCAACAGCGGAACGGCCGTACCTCTGGGCCCGGCGCCTCCGTGGAGGAGGGCAGAGAGAAGAAAAGGGCAACAAGCCGTCTCGTGTGCGTTTGTGTACATGTGTGTATGTTGATGGCGCTGCTGAACCTCTGTTACTCTCCCAGGAGGTTCGTCTGCTTTCAGCGTCCTTTTGGCGCGCTGACGTATGGGAAAAGCGACGCCTCCCACCCCCCCCCCCCCCCTTCTCGAACCGCTCAGCCTTGGGCCTCAGCCGCATCTGACATTCCCGAATGTCACTTTGTACTCTTTTGTCGCTTGTACGCCCGCGGCGCCAAATCAGATATTTTTCCGCAACGCCCCCCTCGGCCCCCTTTTTCTTTTTCTCTCCTTCCGTGCTAAGCTCCCCTTCTGCTTCTCATCCATCTCATGCGTGCGATCGGTGTGGCCGAGATCGAGGCTTTCCACTTCGCATGACCCTTCTTTTTCCTGGGAGGAGAGGGGGAGTGGGGGGTTTAATCGTTGAGCTTGCGGTTTCCAAGTCAGCAGCATCGAGTGTCCTCGCTCGAGGGCTCCAGTCGATCATGCAACATATCGAGCGGACGCACCTCGTGCGATTCGTCGTCGTGCTCAAAAAAAAAGAAAAAAAAAGAAAGAAAAAATCTTGTCCATCACGCGAGTCGCGAGCAAATATATATATATATATATATTGTATGTGCATAGAAAAGGTTTCCTCGCCAAAGCGCAACCACCCAAGCGGTAGGTACAAGGACGGCGTTGCGCCTGTCCAAGGCGGCGCTTGTCTCGGACGCAGCGAGTAGAAGGTACAGAGAAACGGCCGAGCGTCGGGGATTTTGCCTTGGGTCAGGCAGCTCACTGAGCTTGATCATGCACAGTGAAGGGGAGGGGAAAAAAAAATGGGCGGGTCACTTCGTAGCTTTGTGCTGTCGTACGTACGTCGAGAGGTCGGGTTTGCAGACCCTGACATAAGACGCGAAGACGGGAAGACCGCGTCGGGGCCGCTCTCCAAGGTGAGCCCAAAAAGGTGCTACGACTTGATCAGGAAAGCTGGGGCGCACGTCGGCCTGACAAAAAACACGAAAACGGGGGCGCGCGTTTAGCAAAGTGTGAAGACGACCGAGCATGTCTTAAAACGAGAGCGTATTGCGATTCGGGAGCGTGCTGGGTCCGTCGCAGCGTCCGTACACGGGATGCAGGCAGCATTTGGGTCGAGAACTCTCAACTTTTTACTTTGATTTTTTCTCGTATCAGGTCGAAACGCTATCTAGGATATTTAAACGCTCACCGCACGCAAAGAAAAAAAAAAGCCCGCCACGTACACACCTCATGAACTCATCAAACGTGGAAAAGCGAAGCAGGAGAGAAGAACAACACGTTCAGCAAAAGATTCCGTTGCAAACGCCTGTCGAGGCATTGCAACGGCTGAAATGAAAGCGACATGGCCACCAAAATGCTCGCTTGAACACTGTATCCACCCACGCCATGCTTTGGGGTACACGTGCAGAAAGCCAGCCCAGATGTTTTTTTTTTTTTTTGTATTGTCGGGGACTTGAGGATGGTAGGACATCAGATCTCGAACTCGTTCACCCAGTGCTTGACGACGAGTTTGCCTTCGTGGAAGGTCTCTCTGTTCATCCGTACTATGATCGCGGCGTGACTGTGTCGCGCGGCGTGAATCCAAACGGGGTACTTCTTGAAGCCGACATCGTCGAGGGCCTGTATCATAGCGAACTGCTTCGGCGTGAGAGCCAGTGTCGGCATCTCCACGGCAGCAGGAGCATCTGCAGCGTCGCTCTCCAGACCCTTTTCAGATACACTCGAGACGGAGCGGTTTGATTTGTGTCGTGGAGAGATGACGGGACTAGTAGTGGGGCTCATTGAGCCATCCTCTAAGGCGACCTCCTCGCTCGATGCTGGAAGATATTCTTGCGACTGGGCTTGATTCACGTTTTCGAAAATGTCCTCTGCGGTCTGGCGCGCTTCCTGCACCATGGAAACCAGCAAGGGCACTTTGTACTGCTCCGCGCTTATCCCCGCCTTGCCCTCGAGGTGCAAGCGTATTCGCCTGCTGCTTCTGAAGGACTGGATGACCGACGTCATCAGGAACGCAGGGACACCGATGACCATGAACAAAACGATGAATATCGCAAACGGAATCCTGTAGAGCGAGTCGGAAGCCCCCGTGGCAAGTCTCTGGCCAAAGGTAGCGGGGATTTCGGGCTCCTTTGGCGAGACAGGATTGTCCGGATCAAGAATGACTGGTTCATAGCCTTTTAGATAGTTGACCTTGATGCCCTTGAGGTCCACGAAGGGATCGGTCTTCGATATTCCGGTCGTATAGTAAACGGCCGTCCTGTCGTTCACAATGTTGCAGTAGAGGCTGCGGTGCTTGAACTTGGCCAGTGCCTGAATAAAGATGGAGTCTGGATCCGCCAGCACAGAGAGAAGCGGCCTGCCTGTATCCCGAAAGGAGTCGATCGTGAACAGCTGTCTCCCGCTCATGGACAGGAGGCGAGCACCCAGCACATTCCACAGGTGGTTGTGATAGCCCAACAAGGGTGTCCGAACACCTAGGTGGGGTGTTGCGAATGTCGTAAAGTTGACTGGCTCCAACTTTTCAAACCAACCCTTGCTGTGCAGCAAGCCGATCGCATACCGTGCCACCAGCCCACCCAGCGAATAGCCTATGACGCTGATCTTCTTGATGTGCTGCCCATTTCGTGCCAGCTCTTCCAGCTTCTGCTCGATCTCTTGTGTCACACGTTCGCCGCCTAACTCGATGCCGTCGTAGGTGAAGCTTCCGGAATTGCGCTTTGCAACAAGGATATGTAACTTGTCCTCCGGGTATCGGTCGCGCAGTGCGGAGGTGAGATACCACAAATGCGAGGGCGAGCCCCACAGTCTAGCACGGTCAAAAGTCAACAAATCAAAATTTTTGCTATGTGATCAGGCACCCACGGATCGTTGCGAGACTTGAACAGCAGATTGTGGCATCGCAGTAGAAGGTCAAAAAAATGGTCGCGTGCCTCATTTCAAGTAGCCCTCACGCAAGCTCTGGAACCTACCCATGAACCAGTACAGCCAAATGGTCAGCCTTCACGGCTCCCTCGCTTGAAGCCGAAGAGCGACGCTCGATCTCTTCGATGACATTGTCCGGCTTCTTGATGAGCGCGTCTATGCTCTGAAAGTCAATAGGCAGCATCCTGACCCAGAGCTCCGCAACCAGAGTCTGGGGAAGAGAGACACGCAGGCCGGGGACAGTTGCAGCCTGCTGCACACACAGTACCTACTTATTAGCCTAAGCATCGCGGCAAAGCAAAAACAACGGTAGCAAATCAAGCAATCGAAGGGCGAGGACCAGCGGTGAGCAGCGACGATCCGGGGCCGGAGGCGACTGCAATTGGGGAGAACGTTATCGTGCCTGGAGGGAGGCTTGCTCGTACCTTTGATAACGATGTTTGTGAAAAGATATGACAAGCTGTGAATCCCTGCGCGGCGGGCGATGATGCACATGCACAGGCGAGCGAGGGGCCGCTGGGCGCTTGGGGCCAAGCTCGATGCGGCTCGTTGGCGGCCACTGTCGCTCCGCTCCAATGAGCTGCAAGACCGTGTCCTCGATGCGTGCTCCAGCTGGGCTTGTGCTTTTGTGCCTTTGTGATGTGTGCGTGTGCGTCGTCGTGCGTCGCGCGAGTCTGATTTTCGACAGCGACGCCGGAGACTGCGCAGGAGGCGAGAAAAGCTTTGTTGGCCGATAGCGAGCGGAACGCGAGAAGGCGCGTTCTCGACGCCGCCTGTTTGACTTCCTCTTTCGATCGCCCTTGGACATCCCGTGACGTCGTTCAGCTCCGAACGAGCTCGTCCGCTGAGAAGACGGTTCGCGTCAGCCTCGCCAGCCCGGCCATACTTGCAGCATCTCCAAGTGGCAGAGCTCTGCAGGAAACCTTCGCGGCGAAGCGTCACGTCTTTGTTGTCTCAAGCTCGCTGTTCCAAGTCGTACTGTCCGTTTAGGCAAACATGACATGCCACTCGCTGTCGTGACAGGTCAGCTGAAAGCCAACGCCTTATCGCACCCTCGCTGGAGCAACGACGAAGCAATCATCACAGATGTGCAATAAAGTCCCTGGACTATTCAAGGCCACAATACAAAGCAAACTGCCTAGCGGCTGTCACGGCTTGCCGTCCACGTAGCCGCAATGTTCTCGTCGACACTCTTCAAGAGCATCCCGTGTCCAGCTGGTCCAGATAAATGCAAGCTTGCCAACTGCTTGTTCTCGCACGAGCTTGGAATCGTGCCGTCAAAGGTCGATGATACCGCACGTAATGCGAAAAGTGCGACCGTGGGTCAAGAGCACGGCGATCTGAAGCGCAGGAAGCTGAACAACACGACCCTGGAACGGATTAAAGATGGCTCACAAGTCGACAACTCCCCTGCCCAAGCGGAAATCGCAACTCCTTCTAGTTCCAAAAAGCCAATAAGCGCTCCGGTTCAAGCAACAAGCACTGCTAAATCGCTTGCATCTGTGGCTCGCCCCATCTCGCCTCCAGCCTCGGTGGTCGAAAAGAAGGCCTCAGTGCAAAAGCCCTCTCCAAATGTGACAGATGCAGCACACAAGTCCTCAGAATCACGCCCAGAGAAGGTAGAGAGGCTCGCGCCGCGCATGGTCGCAAAGATCAGTACACCATACTCGACCCGCAGCGCTCTCTTAAATCATATACATAACGAAGTAACGCGACTCAACAGTGAGGTTGCGAAGAGCAAAGACCCAAGCATAGCTGCCTTGAAGCTAACAGAGAACCAATTAATTCGCTTGGCACTCGATGAGGAGGAAGAGGCGACGAAACAGCCGCTTGTCTATGTCAACAAAATGAAAATCAAGATCGGCAGATACAGAAAAATGCCCCTCAATGAGTGGGTGGAAACTCGAAGGCAGGCCACAGGCTTAACCAGAAACGAAGGGGAAGCGAAGGACGCAGGTGTCGACAGCCCTGTCAAGATTGAGACTGGCTTATCGCCTTCTGAGGAGCTGGACATGCTACAACGATTCGTCCTCTCGCCACAACAGCTGTCAACAGCGGGCTTCATACTCACACCGCCAACGGATGCACAAATTGCAGATGCTCTGAAGACGATCGAGATCTCTGGTGGATACGAGACGTGTGACAGGTGTGGCACGCGATTTAAGTGGCTAGACGAACCAAAGGAGGATGGGACCATGACGACAAATGGAAAGTGCGTGTATCATTGGGGTAAACCAATTTTCCCAAAGCGGGAGAAGACGGACCATATCACTGGGCCGAAGGAGGCGCTTTACTCGTGTTGTGGCCAGGCGAAGGGGTCACCGGGCTGCACAACAACGAATTCGCACGTCTTCAAGATCAGTGCATCCAGCCCCGGCCGCTTAGCTAGTATCCTCCAATTCCAGACCACGCCGCTGAACACAAAGGCTGAGCGCATGGCTGTCGCATTTGACTGCGAGATGAGTTACACTACGGCGGGTCTTGAGATAGTCCGACTGTCTGCGTGTAAATGGCCGTCGAAAGAAGCACTCATTGACGTACTTGTCAGGCCATTTGGTAAGATCCTCGATCTGAACACCAAGTTCTCTGGTGTAACGCCAGAACAGTTCTCTAATGCAATTGACTTTGATCCCGAGATCCACACGCCACTTCCGGAACCCGGCGCAGACGGAGCCGAGCAGCAGATGAAGATCGTGGCCTCTCCGGCGGCAGCACGAACCCTTCTTACCAGCTACATATCGCCAACCACCGTGCTCATTGGTCATGCCATTGAGAACGACCTTAATGTTCTCCGTCTTCTTCACCCCACAATCGTGGACACGTCCCTACTGTTCCCTCACCACGGTGGCCTCCCCTATCGCTTTCCACTTCGCAAACTTGCCAAAGACCTACTCAATCTGGACATCCAGACAGCAGACGCAGCCGGGCATGACAGTATGGAAGATTCACGTGCAACTGGAGACCTGGTGCGCGTCAAGATCGGGAGAGAATGGGACAAGCTTGTCAAGCAGGGCTGGAGTGTCGATAGAGGCAAATTTTACGCCACGATTGGGGGGAAGAAAAGAGAGGCCAGCTTGCCACCGTACATGGATAGTCAGGGGTACAGTAGGAAACGTAAGGACGGAGAGGCGGTGCCGCCCATGGGCCAGGTTGGGGAGAGTGAAGGCCTAAAAAGGTTGCTGCAGGAGAACAGTGAAACAAAGGACGCGAAGTTGTGAAGATTACATGTACAATACGCATCCCCTGGAAGCACGAACCTGTCGAAGACGCGTAGTCGCCAATCCTGGCAAAAATCTAGTTTGGATATTCTTCTCTTCTTCCAACAGGAAATGCTACACGTTTCTACCATCCGCCGTATCGCTCGCTCATCAGGGTGAGTTACACAACGGGAAAAAGAAATCAAGCTTCAGGCGAACTTAAAACTGCACTGCTCTGAGGTTGTCACGTTAAGGGAGATTTGTCTAATCAATTGTCGACATCTTCATCACAGCGACAGTCAGTGCTTTATACTAGAACAAAGGATCGCACTCTTTGCGAAGCGTTTTCATCCACCGCTTCGCCGTCCATCATGCCATCGACATAGCAATCACCAACAACGGCCCATAGCTCTGCAGCGCCTTCGATAGGAGTCGACTGCGTCGAAAACGCTTCATCAGAGGGTGCGGGAGAGGGACTTTGTGATCGTCTTGACGATGCAGGAGAAGCAGGCGCAGGTGACGTCGAACGCGGTTCCGGCGAAGGCCCGCGTGGCATCAGATACGGCGTTTGGTCAGCGCCTGCTTTCTTGCGTACGAAAGGGTCGCGCACGCTGAAGCCGGCGGGTGGCCTTTCGCGGACTTGCCTGAGAACGACGGGGACGCTGCACCCGTATATCACGGCTACTGTGTCTCCTACTTGGACCTCGTCGGGGGCCAGACCGAAGAATGTTCCGTCCTGAAGTACGGCGGCGGAAACACCGTCCAGATCCGGCTCCACGAGTATGGCCCGGCGGTTGTAGCAGGCTACGCGTGCACGCTCGAGATAGTCCTTGAGCCAGCGGTCGATTTTATCTCTTCTTGCATTCTTGAGGACGACGTCGTAGCGAATATCGCCGGATCTGTCTTGGAGCCGCATCATGCGAAGGCATGCTGAGTGATCGTCAAGGTTATGGCCATTCTTGGACGTGCTCGCCGCGATCAGGGTCCTCCACAGACGCTCTGGAATACCGTCAAGTTCAAGCCTCTCATTTGTGTCGCTGTGCTTCCATCCCCCCATCCGGAGAACGTCCCGCGGAATGATTCCTGGAAGCATACGATCGGAACGCTCGCAGACTCTACCGATGACCTGCCCATGGACTTGGAGTGAGCCATCATATACCTCTCGTAGAACAACGTGAGGTGCTGGCGAAGGCAGTGGATCTGCCGGGGTGCACTCTGAATACCACAGCTTCTCTTTCGGTCGTTTGCCGAATATCGCAACGCCTTTTCGCGAACCTGAAGCTTTGAACCGAGATTCTGTCTCGCCAACGAAAGAATCACCATTAATTCTACCCCCGAAGACTTCGCTAGGAATACCAAAGGCGGATTTATCTAGAGTGCGCATCCAGGAAGGTAGCACTGAGTCGACTCGACGTCGGTCATGCTTGTTGAGATTAATCCAATGCCAATTATGTGTTGGTACCCAACACCTAAGTATTATGTCAAGGCCGCTGCCCAAATTGTAGCTATATTCGATCATTCGAGTGAACACATCAAGTACACTGCTATTGTAATCCGTCGGTGGGATTGGGACGCAGGGGTCATTCTTTGCCAAGTTGTATACCGCGAACACGATGTCCCTTGGGTCGCCAGCATCGAATGGTGTAAGTTTGGCGATTAACCAGTCCAGAGCCTTTGTTGGATACGGTTTACGAAGTGCATCTCTTCTAAGTACCTCCGAGAACAGCAGACTTCTCAGGACAGTAGCACCATACGCATTCAACGTCTCTCTAGAGGTGGGATACAGAGAGTCATTCTCGGTTGACTCCTGTAGTATCTCCAAAGCACGGCCAAGAGCAATAAAGAATGACTCACTGTCCTGTTTCTTCGCTCCGAAATGAATGGTAGCTTTTTGAGCGTAAAATAATTCCTGAAGAATCCACCTTCGACCAAACCACTGGTTTCGCATCAGATCAAGGAAAACCGACCGCTTGTTTTCATCTTCAAATAAGTTGAACATGTGTTCGTCGATCGGGGTCTGTTTCAGTTCGGAGATCAAGTCCATGCTGATTACGTTCATTGGCGTCGCTTCTCCCAGCCAGATGCAGACATTCTGAGCCTTCTTGTAGACTTCAGCCATGAGCGGGAGCTGTTTGTTCTTTTCGTCGATATCTTTTTGGTTCATGCAAATGGCGTCGACCCAGAGAACCTTTGTGTAAGATGGTCTCCACCAATTGCGATAGTCGAGCTTCTCTCCTTTTCTTGGTGGCAATTTTCTCATGCGATGAAGAGCTGAGTAAAGATTCTTCCGAACCGGAAATATGGAGACGTGCTCGAAAATTTGACTAAACTGCTCTTGTATAGGGCAGTCTTTGTCCTCGCTGATCTTGCGATGGTTCTCGTTGCGAGTCATGTTGAAGATATATATTGGAAAGAGGGCCGTATCATCTCCCCACACGTATGAGAGAGCCTCGTAATGAATGTTATTTGGGGCTTCATCCAAAGGAACTGTTGCCATTGATACAAATATTGCGTCCTGTGGGTCGCCTGGGTGTAGATAAAGCACACGGATGTAACCCTTTTTAAGAGGATGATATTGATGTCTGAGGCGTTTACGACGCGCAATCTGAAATAAATTCCATGTATTTTTAATGAACAAGCTATCTCCAGTGTAGTATCCAGGCTTCGGTATAGGGTCGATGGTATATCCCGTGTCCATGTTTGGGTTGTTTCTAATCAAGTCTGATGGTCCTGGAGCTGCATCTCTTGAGCCTCTGCTAAAGCGACTCCGTCTGTTTGACTGCGTGCTTGGCTGTAAATTCGCAGCCTTAGCATTTCGCTTCTTTTCATTAGATTCTAGAATTGGTCCATACGCTCTTGCAGGTTCCAACTCAGACCGACATGATTCATTATTAGACCAATTAGGCGCTCGGGAAGTTTGCAAATTCTCATGTCCGGGATGAGGTAACGGGTAAGTTATGTCCATGTTTTGGTATGATCAAGGCAAAAGCTGGGAGCAAATTTGACACTTGCGCTGCCGTTCTGCCTGAGATGGGGGCGGCAGCTCTTATATTGTAATGAGATTGAGGCGCCGCGGCCTCATGGGTACACCAGTAAGCTACGATTGGCCGCCGCCCTTTTACATTGCACCGAGTGGCTGCGTATCATGCTGAAGACGAGCGAATTAGCGGGCAGTTTGTCTCTGCAGCCTAGATGCGAATCAGCACACGTCTGAAAAAGTTGTCTGATTTAAGATCAGCCACAGGGCAATCACGCATTCTCTGCCGCCAGGAAGATATATGAGCAAGTGTATGGGACCGTGCTCCACGCATTATTCCAGTTCTCGGCCAGCTATAGATTGCGGATTTTTTTTTTCTCAACCGTATATGATCAGCAGCAAGCAAAGTGCAGCTCAAGGCAAGGCATTTTCCATATCAGGGCAACATGCACGTATTATTTTTTATGCAAGTTCTGCTTAGCCAAGCGTTTCAGCTTCCATTCTATTTTCCATAGTGGCTGAAAGGATTCGCTTGCCAGGTAGCCTCCGCTGGAAGTCAAAATAGCAACTGTCAAGTAAGTATTGGTTGATGCACAGGAGATCACCAGAAGGAAGACAATTATAGCATTAGAAGGCGTGTTCAATATGTTTTCAAGCAATCTGGCTTTTGGCTTTAACCTCCACGTCTGGAGAACGTCCAAAATGACGGATGAGAGTCCTAAATACGTGCAACACTGTCGATCCGAGATCGGAATTGTGTAACCTTCTTTCAACTTTGTAAGCAAAACGTTTGCGTATTCATTTCGTCTGTCAATAAACGAAGAAGAATAATTAAAGAATAATTGCTGAGCGGTTGACGCAATGGGAAACACTAACTTTCATTACGAGCAGCGTCGTTTGGAAAATGAGCGCGTCATACTAGAGGTTTTTGATGTATGCCACTCCTATTTTAAATTGAACTGAAGGATGAAAGTCCGCCCGTTTTTACTTCGCGCTGATTGCCGTGCTAGCCAGCAGCTCACGCAGCACAGTTCGTCCGTGGTATCACTGACAATCCAGATACACTCGAGTATCTATCGCTTCCTGCTTTTAACAGCAGCGAGGACTTCGTTAAGTTTTATGAAGAAAATATCAGCAGTTCGCTTGAGGAATGCCTCTACGCCATTTTAGACAAAGCAAGCATTCAGGACGGTAGACGGTCTGATGAAGTATTTGCAGGCGTGATATCGTTGACCGCTACAAACAAGAGCAAGGCCTGTACTGAGCTCGGCATTATAGTTTTTCCAGCATTCCAACGAACGCATGTAACAACAAACGCCGCTGGACTCTTGCTTATGTATGCCCTTGACCCTCCCTCTCAGGGAGGCTTGGGACTGCGACGTGTTGAGTGGCAGGCACACACAGAAAACGCCGCGTCTCGTCGGGCAGCCTTAAGGTTAGGGTTCGAGCTCGAAGGTATTCTAAGGTGGCAGCGCGTGGTCCTAGCAAATCGGCGGGGGATTGCCGTAGACGAACTTGAGCGGCGAAACGGTACCAAAGGAGAATCTCGAGGTCGGCATACTGCTATATACTCAATTGTATGGGAGGAATGGGATGAGAAGCGGATCAAACTCCTCAGCATGATGGACGGGAAGTGACTGCTGACATCGCCGTTTTGTGGACCGCTAGTCGATTTTGCAAGGTTTGTTGCATGCATTTCCAGCCATTTCACAGACTATGTATAGGCTAGACACTGTATCGAAGTGCAAAAGGAGAGGACGAACTCCTATTTGCTCTTTTCATCTCTTTTTTTGCTTGGGTACGGGCGTGTCGAGTATGACACTTGTAATCATCTGGAAGCGACGTTGACGTTCAATCCCGTGCTGTTCGTTGCACCTGACAAAGGAGCATCTCATTCCGCAATACTGAGAGATCTTCTCTGCTTTCATGACATTCAACAGTTCCCACAAACGCCCAAGTCGTTCTCGAACCAGCCTAGATTTGCTCCAATGTTCGCGACTCGCTTTTGAGGTGGCAATTCCAGGTCCAAACTAGAATTGGCACTAAATGTTGATTAGCTTAAAAAAACCATGCTACAATATATATCTGTGGACAGATGCAAGGGAAACTTTCTGGGGAAAGCATTCACAACATCGTCATGTGCAACTATTCAACGGCCACGGAGACGAGAATCTGATTCCCCTGCTTGTCTAGTCTGAGGAAAGAAATGAGAAGAGCGTAACGTGCGTTCTCTATCGATGTAGAGAATACGCAACTCGTTTTTGCCGCTCTGCTTCGCCCAAATAGAGGACATCTGAATGACGCAAGAGTTTGAGAACCTGTAAGTTGGTTCGTCGGTCGCTGGAGACCTGTTGTGGCGATGTACACGATATGGCACGTGACTTTCCGGACCCGAATGGCGAGATCGTCCGGTGCGCCAAGCCAATTTGTGCCTTGATCGCCTGGCCGGTGACGGAAGCTGTTCAACCATCTTGCTTGCTTCTCCTCCCATCACCAAACACCACTGCCGATAAGCGACCGAGCCCATCAGCACGCCCTCTGTGCTGCTGGCCACGATCCCAATGTTCTCAAACTCCGTCAGGCGCATCGTACTACCCACCGCTGCTGCCGCTTCGTCATCGACCTGCACCGCTTCCACTGCGGCCTCATCAGTGCGCGGTGTTGCCGCCGTCTCGCATCGCAGTCATCAGCGCAGACTCTCCTCATCGAAGACTTCCGTGCCGCCGGATAATGCAAAACGAGTTGCCATAGAGCAGGGCAAACAGAAGAATGCCGAAGGAGGACGCGGAACAAGGAAGAATCGGGTGAGAACCACGAGAGCAAATGGCGCGGCGAGTGAGAAGAAGGCAGCGTTAGTGCCTCTGAGCAAGCTGTATCCGGACTTGCCGGAGCCTGTGAGAAACACGAACCATCTTAGGCGAGAAGGTATGTCAGTCCTCAAATGGTTTGGCGATAGGGTGGAAAACTAATACATGCAGATCTCGCCGTGATGCAACTCTTCGCCGGCCATCTTCCCATATCACCGAACCATATCATTCCTCAGCCAGTATCTGATGACCAGTTTGAGGCTATTTTCAAGCCGAAACCTCACTGGCAGAAGTACAAGGACACACTCGACCAGTTGAATGGCGCTATCGCCACCCTTGAAGAAGCAGGCGTGGTTGAAGGCGTGGACGATGCCGTTGAGATCGTCCATCTCGATGCAGCGGATAGCGTCGCCGACCCTCTTTCGCATTATTATCGCATGAACCGTCCGCCACCACCGCCAAGACCAGTTGACGAATTTGAGCATGAAAATGCGAAAGCTCCGCGCAGACGCCCACGCAAGGGCAAGAGCTGGCAGACTACGATCACCGTGACAGAGTGGACAGATGGCCAAGGTCATCGGACCTTCCATGCAGACAGTACGCCAATTGTCCGCGTTCCGCATACGGAGATCCGCGTGATTGAGGAACCCTTACCCACGCAGGACGTCTCGATACGTCAGCCATTCTTGGAGCGCATGCGCGCCAGACAAGAGAAATGGCATGCATTCCAGACTGCTAAGATCAGAGAAGCCACCAAGAAACCGAAAATGTTACTCATCAGCGTGAGAAGACAAAGAAAGGTCAAGATGAAGAAGCACAAGCTTAAGAAGCTGAGAAAGCGAACACGCAATCTGAGGAGAAAGCTTGGCAAGTTGTAGAGTGGAGGATGGCCGAATTATTGGTGGTCGCGTGGGTTCTCTCCTTTATCAATTTCCTCTTGGGCGATGACAACACGATCGACTACTTTCGGTTCATACTGTTGCATGGCATGGCGTCTGCTGCTACTTGCTGATGAGAGGTTCTCGCGCTTTGCTATTATACTTCTGCATGGCCGTGTACCTTTTCTCCAGGTGCGCAGTCCAAATAGACTTTTGCTTTGTACTTGCCTTTGCATGCGTTTGTAAGAGCTAGAGCGATTATTTTGTCTTTTTTTTATTGCATAGTCCTCCAAGCTCAAGCTTCATCTTACATAAGATTCCTTGTACTCAGCGTCTCCTTCTCGTATCACGGCTCATATTTCCCGGAATTTTTCTTGAAATCCGCTTTCACTTCACATTCGGCTTCAAACCCATTTTGAAAATAGGACTGTCCCTGAATGTTGCATAGTTGTGGAACGCGATTGCCTGCTCCTTACTGATCTCGACTTCCTCTCCTCGTTTCAAGACGCCGGCATCATATTCTTTGATGGCGTCCTCCAAAGTTCTCTTCCCCGCCTCCACCGACTTCATTGCGTTGACGAATTCGAGCGCATCCTTGATAGCAAGATTACCCCCTTGACCGCGATGGAACGTCATTCTATTGGCTAATCAGCTCTCAACGCCGGAGCCAGAGAGATGTGCAGCTCAAAACATACGAGTGTGCTGCATCTCCGCTAAGTGTTACACGTCCGCCATGGCTGTTCCATGACTTTGGATGCCATATTCGCAGCTGATCCGGCTTTATAGTCACATCATCCGGCAACCACTCCACGGCCGACTTATACGGATCCGCCCAACCATCCATCTTTCCCTTCAGGCGCTGCAGCCTCCGTTTCGAACCTTTAGCTGTTATGTCATCATCGGTATCCCCCTCTTCGGTTGGCCAGGTGACCAGGAGGTAGAATATCCATGTCTCTGGCCGCTCAAGGTCTGGTTTATCGAGCAGGAATAGCCCAATGTACATACTTTTTGGATGCGTGGCGACGTCGACGTTTGGGTTCATAACGCTCTCTAGCCACCTAGCCTGATCAGTCTTTACTGAGAAGGGAAAGTTCATGAAGGTGTAAGGCAGGACTTCTTGTTGCGCGGCTTCTCCCAGCAGCCACCTTCTCACGTATGACGCCCCTCCATCCGCGCCCACGATCACGTCGCCCTTCTCGCTGGTCCCGTCCTCGAAGGTGGCGACCACGCCGTCTTTCACAACGTCGATCCCCACGAGCTTCTTGCCGTACCGGATGTCCAAGCCTTCGCGCCACGCCGTCTTCGTCTTGCGAATGTTAAGTCGTCGAACGCCTGGATAACGCGGCTCGACCATGGTCTCCCCAGTGGCGCCGTCGCGAACGAGGACGCATTCTTTGCCGGCGGCTTTGGTGTCAAGGGATGGATCCGGCTGGCATCTGCTAAGGGTCGAATACAGGGCGTCAGGAAGAAGCTGCCGAATCAAAGGATGTGCCCATGAGAGGGTGACGCCCCAGTTACGGTCGCGAGGTGCAGTTTCGCGGTCGTAAATCGAGCATGAAATTCCATTCTTTCGAACAGGGAGTTTTTCCCCGTATGTAAGCTTGATACACAATTTACATTGAATTTGTCATTCAAGATACCTTTACAAGTCCGTGAGCCGTAGCTAGGCCCGCCAAACCTACAAATTCAGATCAGTTTCCGCTGTAGAGTTCGTGTCGTGTAGACCGTTACCTGCACCGACCACAATCACGTGAATGTTCTTTTTCATTGCCATCTTAGCTGATCTTCTCAAAATTGGTATCTTTGGCGCAGCACCAAGAACGTCCCGTTGGTTTATGGTTTCTGCTGGACGTTTTCGATGCCCAGATTAAAGATCCGTCATAGTTCTGCTCCGTAGCGTTAAGAGTGACGTTTCCTTTTCTAAGTAGACATGCGCCGCACGTACGACTGATGTTCAGCTCGGATCCCCACTGCAGGGCAACATGACACCCGCCGCAGTGGCGATGTGCTATTGTTACAGGGTTCTTTCCGAGCGTACTTTATATCTGGGGACGCCTCTTGTCGCACGACATTTAATCCAACTCCTTTGGTCGTTGCGCGGCCTTTGGCCTGTAGTCTGACAACATCTCTTCTGGGATCCTAACTTTTGCAGCTGTGCCACGCCGGGTACTTGCATTGACGAAGGCTTGAACCTCACTATTTGTGGCTTGGGAAATCGCCAACGTCACTCGTGCTTCTGTGAATAGGGCGAATCGTCGATAAAACCTGAGGTTCGAGGTCTTGCTTTAATTCCAATTGAAGGGGCGCCAAGAGTAAAAGCATGGATTTCTATTCAGATCCTAATGCAGGCACCAAATCGGTGTGGAGCGAGCAGGACGTCAAGCAGGTATGTGGTTTGTCATTATCCAAGATTCGTCCGTTTGGCTCTGACAGATGCGTCTGGCAGCTTCGCAGAAAGTTGATAACGGCAAATCACATTTTGCATTACCATGGCGTCGTTGACGCATATGGGCACATATCAATCAGACATCCGCAGCGGCCAGATATTTATATCATGTGTGGGTATGTGCATCCTTCGATAACAGGTATCCCCGAAAAGGATCGTGTCTGATCAATCCTTGTGTACAGATATATGGCCCCAGGAGTAGTGAGCAGTCAAGATGACCTCATCGAATACTACGTAAAGGACTCCTCAACTGTAGACGCCAGTGCCAAGAAGGGGTACTCAGAGCGATTCATACACGGCGAGCTATTCCGCATGTACCCAAACGTAAATTGCGTCGTGCATTCCCATGCTGAGGAGGTACTTCCGTATGTGACCGCCGGCGTGCCGCTTAAGCCCATTTTCCACATGGCCGGTTTCCTGGGTACGAACGTGCCGGTGTTTGATATCGCTGACGTCTACGAGGCAGGCGAGCAGCAAGACATGCTTGTTCGCAACGCGCGTATCGGCAGCGCGCTGGCATCCTCTTTCGGTGCACCCAGCACGGGGTCAGATACCCCAAAGGATCCGCAACACACTGTCGTGTTGATGAGGAGACACGGGTTCACGACGCACGGAGCAGACATCGAAACCGCGGTGTACAGGGGTGTGTACACTAAGATTAATGCAAAAGCATTGACGGAGGCAATCACGCTGAGAACGGCGTTTTCTTCATTAGAGGCGCTTGGCAGGCCGAAGTTTGACCTAGAACCCTTGACTGAAGAAATGTGTAAAGGCTGCTTGAAGATGAATGAGGGCACTCAGGATAAGCCGTGGCTGCTGTGGTGTAAGGAGGTCGAAGCTACCGGCTTGTATGTCAACAACGGATGAATGACATCGTCCTTGTCATGACTTGGATACATTTTCATTTCGAGCTAGCAGAAGGTTGTTGCAAGAACATATGTGTTTTCAAGAGACTGGTTACCGCCGTTGAAACGAGGCATCACTATTACTCGAATTGATCAAATCCCATCCAAAAATGATGTATATGTCCTAAAGTGCCAAATTCCGAATCTCCAAAGTACAGAGCCACGTTAGAAGGAGATGTTCATAAATGAGAAACATACAGTACCACGATGATGTGGAAATATCACCCTTTCGCTTAGAGGAAGATTGCAGACTTAGATCTCCACACCTGTAATCCACGCGCATGCTGCTCTCACAATCGTCTCAATGACATTGAGCTCCTCCTCGCTACGTGGGGCATACACCATTGTCCAGCCACTCTTCACAAATGGTAGACAGAACCGACACCCCCATCCAGCTTCCATAATCTTACGTGCGTCAGGGTCGCTAACCCACACGTGCAAGCTATTATCTGCGGGATGAGCGTGTGCGATTTCATGGTTCAGCAATCTGTCCCGCGCCTGCGGATTCAGGGTGGGGATATGCTCCAGCGCGTAGAGGCCGTCCGTCGTCTTGCCTTCCGTGTGAGACGGCTTGACTGCGAACAGCTCCGGGTGCTCCGCTGCGAGCGTGAGCATGAGATTCTGCAGCCTGTCGCGCACCTGTGGAGGGATGGGCTCCGGTCGCTGGCGCTGCGGCAGTATACGGGGCATGAGCTTGGGAGGTGCGCCGGCGCGCTTGGGCAGCGGTGTCTTGAGGTACGAAGGACCTTCCGTGCTCAGCCCCGAGGGGTCAAAGACATTGTTGAAGAAGAACTTCAGTCGCAAGATTGTCATGCGGATGTAGCCACTAGCGCAATGCTTGTTAGTCGCAGAAGCCAGTCGAGTCCGACGCTGGATCTTCCCATCGCCTGATCCACGAACTCGACACGGGCCGAGGTGGCGATGGCACAGCGACGCGCGTTTTGGACGAGACTGACCGAACGGTAGGAGATGTCCCTCCCGTCCCAAAAGACGTCCATTCCCTAAAGTCATTTACGAGCCTACCATGGGGGGGCCTTGGCTTAGCTTCTGGACATGCTAAGTCGTGGGACGACAGGACTCGATCTTACCACGCAAATCCCAGAAGCGATGTGGCCGCGACAATCGAAACGATCGGGTTCTGGCTGTGCTTGGCAACTAATTTCTTGCACACGTCCGCCATTGTCTGGGCTTGCACAAGAATCTCGGTGCGGGACGACTGTGTCACCTTCGCAGCACCGCATCGCTGACGTATCGTCGCGCTCGACGATCGCGGCAAGCAGCCATAGAACTACCGGGCGGGAGAGCTGGCATTGGCTCGCTACCAGTCTGCGTCTCAATGGGCCAAAAGAGCACCGCAAGAGGTGCGGGTTGGGCTCGCTCGACCCGTGGGCTGACTAACAAAGTCTGGGCAACATCAAAAGACGACTGTTTTATTGCCCGCAACAAACCACCGCATCCAGGCTCTCCCCTCGTCTTTCACCCCCTCTCGCGCTCCATATGGGACTTGATTCTCATTCTTATCGTCAATGCGCGATTGGACCTTCCGCAACAGGATGACGATGCCATCTGGTGCGGCGACGCCGCCCTTCTAGTTCGGCTTCCAAGAAACACCCAAGAGCCGTCCGCTCCGCTTCAAGACACGGCCAAGTTCTGGGCGCCATTCTGGGGTTACCTCATGGCTTGAGCAGTGTCTTGTCGCTGCTGTAACTCAAGAAATTGGCACGCATTCGTTATTGATGCAGAACCTCTCACGTCGTTGGGCACGCGAGCTTGCTCGAGCTTGGGGTTCCAAAGGGAGAAGCTCGTTGTCGTCGTTTGCCTCGTGTAATGTGCCATGACATCGCCGCTTGGACCCTTCCGCCGCGGTAGCCTTCTTTCTTGGTTTTCTTTGTATCTTCTAGCCTATTGCCACTTTGTTCGGCATGGGGAGATAACAGAAGGCTCGGTCTGCAGCTTCGCGGCGGGTTACGTACGGGTGTTTATCTCCTTGTGCCTTTCGCCTGTACGTAGTGTCGATAAATAGGTAATGCGGGCCTTCCCTTGATCTGACTTTCTCTCCACATTCTCCCACACAGGCTCTTTTCCTGTTTCCCTTTGTCCTCTGCCTTGTCCTAGTACCGGCCTTCAGGACCCGTGGGCGACAAGGCTCTTCTAGAAAACATGGCAGACAATGAAAAAGACCAGGAGCTTGGCATCTCCAGTTCCAGCAGCAACAATGGCGCTACCCCAGCTTACAACTCCAACGAGTCCAGCGAGGAACTTGGCTTCTGGACGCGCATGGGTTGCACGAAAGAGTCGTTCAAGCGCCGCACGCTTGCGGACAAGAACAACCAACTCAACCAAACCCTAAGGAGGCGCCATCTGCACATGATCGCCATCGGTGGCAGTATCGGTGCGGGCTTTTTCGTCGGTTCCGGCTCAGCTTTGTCCACGGGCGGCCCTGCCGCTTTGCTCATCTGCTTCGGTATCATCGGTGTCATGATCTTCAACGTCTGTTTCGCCCTTGGTGAGCTTGCCGTAATGTATCCTGTCTCTGGTGGCTTCTACACGTACTCTGCCCGCTTCATCGATCCGTCCTGGGGCTTTGCCATGGGCTGGAACTATGTCTTGCAGTGGGCAATTGTCATCCCTCTCGAACTCACGGTTGCTGGTCTTACTGTTGAGTACTGGCAAGTCGGAGTCAACGTTGGTGTATGGATTACAGGTATATTTTCACTCTGGAATCTCATGTAACAAGCGGGCTCAGAGATCTGACACAATTTGCAGTGTTCCTCGTGGTTTTGATCATCATCAATATATTCGGCGTTCTTGGCTACGGCGAAGAAGAATTCTGGAGCTCTGTACTCAAGCTTGGCGCCGTCGTTGTCTTCATGATCATCGCACTCGTACTCGTATGCGGTGGCGGCAAGAGCGGAACGCCTTACGACGAGTACTACGGAGCACGGTTCGTGATCAAACCCTAAACTGTGATATTGCAAAAGCCATAATTCTAACGGTACGCACAGTCTTTGGTACAATCCCGGTGCTTTTGCAAACGGCTTCAAAGGCGTCTGTGCAACATTTGTCACAGCCGCGTTTGCATTCAGCGGTACCGAGCTCGTCGGTCTCGCTGCTGCCGAATCCGCCAACCCTGCAAAGCAGCTACCTGGAGCCATCAAACAGGTCTTCTGGCGGATCACGCTTTTCTACGTCATTGGCCTCATGTTCATCGGCTTACTTGTGCCGTACGATGAGCCCCGCCTGCTCAATGGCAGTAGCGCAACATCCACCTCTCCATTCGTCATCGTAGCTTCCAATGCGCGCCTAAACGGCTTTGATGACTTCCTCAACGTCATCATTCTCATATCCGTCATCTCCATCGGTAACTCGGGCGTGTACGGCGGCTCGCGCACCCTGACTGCTCTTGCCGAGCAAGGGTACGCCCCCAAGGTCTTCAGATACGTTGATCGCGCTGGTCGTCCTCTCATCTCGACCATCGTAATCTTGGCGTTTGGTCTGCTCGGTTACATGAACCTGGCGGCGACGGGCGAAGTGATCTTCAACTGGTTGTTGTCGTTGTCGGGTCTAGCGGCCTTGTTCACATGGGGCTCGATCTGCCTGTCACATATTCGCTTCCGACACGCGTGGAAGTACCACGGTCACTCTGAGGACGAGATCCCTTTCAAGGCCGTTGGCGGCGTGTGGGGCTCCTGGCTTGGACTCCTCCTCGTAGTTCTCGTCTTGATTGCACAGGTACGATTACTATACCCCTTCATCTTAGCAAATACCAGCTTTTCATATATCTTATTTCATTTCTCCAACTAATTCGCTCCGTGCAGTTTTACGTTGCTGTCTGGCCGGTAGGAGGCCATTCGGAAGATGGTGCCGCGTATGATTTCTTCAGTCTGTACCTCGCGCTGCCTGTTGTACTTGCGTTCTGGATCGGTGGCTACTTATGGAAGAGGCGAGGCTGGCTTCGTACAAGCCAGATTGATGTTGATAGTGGGAGACGTGAAGTTGATTGGGATCGCATCAACGCTTACAGGGCTGAACTCGCGGCCATGCCGGCGTGGAGGCGCCTCCTCTGGTCGTTGTTCTAGGAAAAGATACTTTTTTTTTCCAGAATATTACACCCTTGTAGAGAGTATCTAGAGGAACTGGGAGTGCGAGCGCATGTTACAACAGGATTGAGTTCTGGCTAAGTGACTTGGTTCGGTTCCAAATGTCCGCTGTTTTTCCAAGCAACTGCTGTGACAAACTATCGTTTTCCAAATCCTCGTGTTTCTTCATTGACTTTAAAGAATTTCTTCGAAGTGTCGGAATTTTGCATCGGTCATGGGTCATCAAGAGTGTCGACGTATAGCAATGCCTGAAGACGGCATTTCCATTGAATTGCCTAATTCCGTTAGTTTTAGTCGTGAGGCCGCTGGTTGGTTCAACCCAAGGTGCTTTTTAATGCAGTCGTAGCAGGGACATCAGTCGTTAATCGTCAACTTTGCTGCACATCAAAGATGCAAAGCCTCTCTCGTACTATACTATTGTGTCACGCTGCATGGATTCTGAGATTCCAGAATATCCCAGCTTTGCCCAACAGCCGAAGATGGTGTCACATTCTCTAATGGGCCCAGCAACTTGGGTACTCATGAGAGGCCGAGCTCTCCATGAGAACTGTGTTGATGTGATGATGAGAACACCTGACTGCGCGATGCTGACAAGATTGCGCGTGTGTTTGGAGTGTATCAATATGTTGATATTGGTAGATAGTCATTGCTACCCCTCCTAGTGAAAGACTTGAAATGTCTACGATAGCACCAAGAATTGACTCATCTTATCATACGAGCTAATTCTCGGGGCATTTGGCATGGCCGGCAGAAGATCCGCGACGAGAATCAAAACATAAGCACCGCTTTTCGAAACTGATGGTGGCGCAAGGGTACGACTATCGTCTCGTCACTCACTTTGGCAACTCTGGCAAACGACCGATCAGCTTGGACAAATTGGTTTTGGCGGCTGTTGTGGGAAAAAGATGGGCCAAGATTGTCGCGATGAAGTAGAAGCCTCTTCGGCGCAAATCTTCTGGCACTGGCTGGAGTAGGATGGCATTGAAGAGGGAGGAATTCCGTGGCAACGCGACTCGTGTTTGTGATTAAAACGACAAAAAGTGCAAACGGACTGTAGTTGAACCAAGCAAGTGAGAGCGTAGACTAGCGTGCTCTGTACAGAAATGTGGGACGAGTGGGGTATCATGTGCTGAATTCGAATATTTAAAAATATTGAAGACTCTATTACCCCTGAATGACATAAGGAGAAGATAATGATAGGCCGTCGGTGCGGGATTGAGCTTTGCAAAGCTGTGTGCGGATTATGCGCTAGGATGCGGCCAGCTAAATCGAATATTGTCATCCTCGATGCCCTTCTGAACGATCCCAATCGCCCCGTTCTTCACTAAAAACTCCAACCTGTGGTCTCTATACTCGCGCTTCATTCCCTGACCCTTTTCCCAAGCTGCAGGACCCAGGGCGGCCATCTTCGGAGCGGCCAATCGAAATTCTTCCCAGGTCTCTTTTATACATGGAATCTCTTCCATCCGAGCGTGCCACTGCTGAAGAGGACTGCCAAGTTCAGGACCGAGCCCGTTGGACACGGAGCGGTTCAGCATAGGCGCTACTGCTATGTCGGCATATCCAACTGCTTCACCAGAGAAAAAGGGCTTGTCACCGAGCCTCGGGGTAAGCCAGTCTTGAATTTGCTTTGTTTGATCTACAATGGCTGCATTAAGACGCTCTGCTTCCTCCCCTTCGGCCCGCTTGAACCAATTGATTTCCCCAAACGCCCAGTTGATCGCCTCGTAGTGCGTATCGCAGATCTCCTCGATCATGCGCGCCTCTGCCTTGCTTTGCGGATCCGCAGAGGGGAAGAGACTCGGATGTTCATCCGACGTGAATTTGTCTTCAAGGTACATGAGAATGGCCGTCGAGTCGAAGACTTTGAAGTCGCCATCAATCAAGACGGGAACTTCCATCCGTACGTTGGCAGCGGCGAACGTTGGGTTCGGCCGTCCTGAGCCTAGTGCTTCAGGCGCCTCGCTCTCGAATGGAAGATGCTTATAGCGCAGAGCCATCCTCACCTTCTGCGCATAAGAAGAAACCGCATTGTCGTAGAGCACAAGCTTGGTGGCGGACATAATGATTGTACTTGTTGGACTTCGCACTTGCTCGCGAAGATATGAAATGGGTATTTCCGGAGGATCTCCGGTTGTCTATTGGTCTAGGAGTTCCCTTATAACACCCAAATGAGCTCCCTCGAGAAAGAATGCACTACAACCTGCTTGTACGGTCAGCACTAAGCCCTTGCAACAGTGTTTTGGAGGGATGCTCACTCTCGTCCGACGAATTAGACTTGACAACTGTTGCGCTATATGAGCTGACCTGAATATCGAAACAATATGGCGGTGAACAGATAGAGGCAATAAAAGAGACCTCGTGATATCATCGAAGATCGTAAATATCCGAAAGCAACCGTGGATCTCAACCGAGTCTGATGCTACCCCACCCTGGTCTCGGAACTAGGCTAACGACTCCGTGATTGGAGGAGTAAGAATATTCCGTAGCCCGAGTACATCTTTGACAGCGCCGACGCTGCACTGCCTATTAATATTGAGATTGAGACCCGCCTGGACCGTGACACGGAACGTCCATTGTGGGGTGTTACTTTCCTTTAGGAGTGGGTTTGCGTCGCTGGTTTTTGAGCTTTCAACACGTGTGTAGTGTCGATAGTTTGATCGAGGTTCAACAGAAGTAGTTGAGCAAGAATACAACATATCCCGCCGTACTATACCAGAAGTTGACACGGAGTGGTTACCCGGCTCGGGATCACGTTCGAGAGGGGTTGTTGAGGACGTATCCAGTTTGATCAGAGGGCGACGTTTGTCGTGCCACTGAGTGAACGCTTTGTGATTACTGATGAGTCCATACGAGTGGAAGCTGACCCTGTGTGTATGACAGTCATTCTCTGATTCTTTTGATTTGCTGAGCTTGGTGAGCGCTCCATTCCCTTTGCGATTTGAGCATTATCGATGGGAAGTCTGAGGAAGGGAATGTTGAAGATGATGGCTTCGAGATCGCGAAATAAATTCACCAAGGACTTACAGACATTGTTTGCTGATGGATCTTGAACCAATGAGTTATGTCTCGCGAGTTTAATTTTAAAAGTTCTCTCTGTAGTACAATGATCGCTGGGCATATTTAAGAGGCAAAGCGTGTTTGGGAGGGGAAAGGGACGCCACACGAGTGGAAGCCCGCCACACTGGCGAGCTTCGCTGCAATTTTGTTCACGTTTTGCGCAGAAATATCGTAGCTGCTGCTGCAACTCGAGCAGAGAATTACAGGACCATTAGGCTTCGATAACCTTCTCAGTCTTCACAGCTCTCGCACAGCCTCTCCTGGCAACTTACGAATACTGACGCAAAGGGTCGTGACCATGGCAACCGCTACTTCGACACCGTCGCTGCCACCCCCCTTTGATCGTACTCTTCCCGAAGAGCTCGAACTCATAACCCAAGGCGCAGAAGCGCGTCTGTATCGCACGCCATTCCTCACTCGTACCCAACACTGTGCGTTGAAATATCGTCCCCGCAAAACGTACAGGCACCCCACTCTTGACGCCCGCCTCACCAAGCAACGCATTCTCGCAGAAGCGCGCGTCCTTGTGAGATGTCGCAAAGAAGGGCTACGTGTTCCGGCAGTTTTGGGTGTCGACTGGGAGGAGGGATGGCTGGGAATGGAATGGATAACGGGTCGGACGGTCAGACAATGCTTGGATGAAGTTCTGAAGGACTGCCATTCCGCGGAGGAAGTGGAGTCCAACTCAGCGATATGGGAGTTGATGGGCAAAGTGGGCAAGACTGTTGGCAAGCTGCATGAAATCGGCGTAGTACATGGCGATTTGACAACAAGCAACCTTATGGTGAGGAATGAGGAGTCAGCGGAACAGGCCGCAGCACAGAACCTACGGGGTGAGATCGTCATTATTGACTTTGGACTGGCATTACAAACAGTTCAGGATGAAGACCGTGCAGTGGATTTGTACGTTCTAGAGAGAGCTTTTGGAAGCACGCACCCGCAGGCTGAAGGGCTGTTCAAGGAGGTGTTGCGAGTGTACGGGGAGAGCTACAAAAGTGCGAAGTCGGTTCTCAGAAGACTGGACGACGTGAGACTGAGAGGGAGGAAAAAGAGCATGATAGGCTGATGCCTTTGACTTCTTGATTGAACTGCGCACTTGAATAAAAGAGATACCCATGGCTAGATCTATAATCTACTGTCTTCACCGAGCAACTGCATGCCTACGCGCTCCTGCAGCTCCTTAACAGCTTCTTTCGTCCTGCCTAAGTTAACCTTAATTGTGCCCATGCCCGCTAGTTTCGCTCCCTTAAGATTGCTTCCTATGTCATCCAGGAATATAATGTCGCTGGGCTTGATATCGATCCCTCTCGCGCGACCAATCTTTTGGATCTCCTTGATTGCGTATTCATAGATTCGTGGCTCAGGCTTGCGCATACCAATCTGCGCGCTTCCCATGAAGATATCGAAGTTATCATGCAAGTTTTCGAGTCGCTCCCCGTTGCTGGGCAGGACATGCGCATGCCCGGCTTTCTTGCTAACCTCTGCGATTTCGTCGTGGGGGATGCCATTGACAAACTCCTTGCCCGTCTCATCCACAATGCCCTCTGGGAAAATGGTGTTGTTGCTCAGTGCTGCCATAATAAATCGTCCTGACGCCTTTAGCTTCTTCAAGGCAGGATACATGTACGGATCCGGACTTCGCGCGTTGCGCATCATGTTCCAAAACATAGTCTTCGCGTCGATATCCGGCATCTCTGGGATTTTCCCTGCCTTGATGGCGGCCTTATGCTTTTCTGGAATTAAATTCGCCTTCTTGGGGTCGGACAGAATTTTGCCCCAATACCATTCCCATCGCTTGCGGTCTTGGAGATCCGACTTGAAGTGGGCAAACCAAGCATCATCAAGGGGTACTTCGCCGCGCTCGATTTGTTGCCAGGCTCCGTTCGGCGCAGTCGCGCTGATTGTGTGGTTTATATAGCCCGGTGGAATATCGTTTGCAAGCTCGTAGTCTAGAATGGCTTGGAACGGGGAAATAACCTATACTCAAAAGCTATTAGAGTCATGTCGCGTAGTCCTGTACTTTAGGAATAAGGTAGCACTTACGCACACCCCGCCGATGTCAAAGAGCTGTTACTGAATGTTAACGCTGGATACGAACATGTGAGAGAGATTGCTACATACGAGAGCTTTTGGCGGATTTCCCATAGTGACTTTACGGTGCTCGACTTTATAAATTTTTTTTGAGGGTTACATTTTGCATGTCGTTAGAAAGAGTGTCGGCGCGTCGTGTAGATTGACGGATAACCGATTGCGGAGCTATACCGAGGTTTAATTCTAAGACTATTCTATGTACACGGTTCCTTATCGATAAAGGGGCTTCGCCTGTTTTTTGTAACCTCTTCGTGCATTGTATGAATATCGTGAGTTTTACACATCACATCATAGTTAATACCTTGACGATCGCAAGATTGTCGCAGAATGCAACAAGGAGCTGTTGTTAATACCCACGAACACTCGGCTTTGGCCACAAGTTAGACTCTTATAGCGATTGCGACCTTGTCTAATCCGATGCTGTGGATGGAACTTCGTCGTATTCGCAGCGTTGAAATGATCAGGATTCCTTTGATCACAAAAACACGACATGTGAAAACGGAATCGGGCATGTCACTACCATTTGTCATATATTAAAGTATAAATTATGCTGACAGGTTGCATTGTTCGTGTGCTCAAGTAAGCATGCGGAAGGGATGTATATAAACCGCCAAAAATGGGGAGACTTCTGGGGTTGCATTCAAACTGGATTTACTTCTTCCATCAGTACTAATTTCTCGGTTGATCTTGCGTGAAGCACTGCGTTGCGATGCCTCGAAGGATTGTCCTCGTCTCCGGTGCGCGCTCACTAAGCATCACCAAGCATTACCAGCCGTTGGGTAAATGTGCTAATTTGACCGATATCCGTCATAGGCGCTGAACAAGGTGTTGGTTATGCAATTGCCCAAAGTCTTGCGGCTTCCGGAGATGGCTATCATATCTTTATCACCAGCAGCAATCTCGAGGCAGCGGAAAAGGCGCTGATCAGTATCAGTGCAAACATGACAAATGCAAAGAACCGATTATATGCAATTCAGCTTGATTCGACGAATGCAGCCTCTATCGATGACGCTAAAGCATTTATTGATGATCGTTATGGGAGGCTCAACGTCTTAATAAATGTCGGAGTCAAAATTCCGGCGCTGAATACGAAGGCTGGAGAACATGAAGAAAATTCTGTTGATTTCCCACCATTGTCTATTGTGTTTCGGCCGCTCTTGCTTCGGAGCTCAAATCCATACTCCTTGTATATTAGGTCGTATATGGAAGCTCTCGCACCCAAAGCCGAAAACGCGGAGGCACATTCTTCCAGTGATACGACAAATCAAATAAGCAGAGAGGAATTAAAAATCCTCGTTGAGAAAGAGCATGCTGTGTACGGGGATGAGGGACTAAAAGTATTCGCGTTGAACCTCGGAACCTCTGCGACACATGGCAAGAGCAACGACGAGAACGGTAATCTTATCTTAAGAATTCTGAGAGGCGAAAGAGATAATGAGGCAGGTAGACTTGTACATTAAAGAGGTGCGTAGCGGTGACAGGAGGAATGGTCCAGGAGAAAAATCTAGCGGAATCTTGTAGCTCATAGAACTATGATGTGCCGACTGCGCCGCGCGGCAGGATATCGCAACGACTGTGCCGTGAACGTCTCTAAGCATTCAGTTAGTGATTCAAATGTTATAATCTTCTTCCAAAGAGGCCCAAACATGTCTTGGTTTAATGAGCCATGTCTTCAAATAATATCGGTTCTCTCGGTCGAAAAGCTCGGCGCTGAAAGACCTTGCGCTAAACTGCTCTAGGCAATGTAAACGGTCATGAAGAGGTGTCGATGTCTGTGCGGAAGATCACGGGAGCGATGAATGGTGCATAAGTGAGATTGTAAACCTGCTTAGTTCATTATATGCTATCTTGACTGATGGATTGTATGGTTGTTCTCCTATCCCCTACCCCTGGCTCTCCTCTCTTATCTAGCCAGTATTTGCTTATGTCACGTGATACTTAGTATATGCTTAGACTGATATACCCCTGATCTGGTAAGATATGCTACCAGATCTTACTCAGTCTATTATCTCTCATTCATCTGCTTCAGCATCCTTTATCAAGTACCTAATTGCCTTGAGACCACATGCCTCTCTAAAGCTATTAAATGTCATGGGGTCACCCCTATGACACGTGATTGGCACCATCCTGTTGCCTGTCTGATTAAAGCAGCACCAACATCAGCTAACATAACCTAACATAATCTAATATTACCTAATATTAGTTAACTAGACTCCTAAACTAAACTGACTTCCTAATTCGATTTTACTGCGCGCACACCTAAATCCTAATTAGGAAAGATATAATAAGGCCCCCTTTATATTCTCAGTAAGAATTACTTTTGGGCCTTCCCTTCTTTATATAATATCTTAATTATTATATGATACTTTAGTATAGTATAACTAAATAGATAGTTAATAGCCTTATTAGTTTACCTTATATAATAATTTAAATAGATTATTTTTAGTAGTCCTATAATATTATATTATATTAATTATCTTTATTGTTACGAGGTAACATGGTGATCACGTGAAGGGAGAGCGATCATGTTGATCATTCATGATCGAGGTGATCAGTCTGCATAAGCGAAAGGTTGTGATTCGCTCAGAAGGATT